TTACATAAAAGAGGCCAGAAAGCCAATCCCGCACTCTACATGCCGACTACTGCAGCACTCCAGTCTATACAGTCCATCTCGGACATCACCACTCAAGTTCGCCATACTAGTGGCGACATTCCACCTCCCCTCGTTGGCGCCTCTGTCACTGTTCTCAATGGCCATGCATATGTATTTGCTGGCCGCTTAGTGTCATCTCGCAAGATGACGAATTCACTGTACATTCTCGACCTCAAAACCCTCGAATGGACTCGACATATTCCGACACCAGATAGCGAACAAGCTGCGAATCCTCGATATTTTCATTCAGCCGAAGCGTACCAAAATCAAATTATCTTTTTTGGTGGTATGGGATACTCAAGAGAATCAGCAGACGGTTTATGTGTATTGGACGATGTTTCGGTACTGGACGTCAACACATTAGAGTGGAATCACCATACGATAGAGAAAACACTTTATTCACCTCGTCCTCGATATGCACATCTTTCATCCATTGTTCAAAATACACTAGTGGTAGTGGGTGGCCAAGACATGACGAACAACTATATTGAAGAGATTAATGTCCTTGATCTCCACACCTGGAAATGGATTAACGTTAAGCCCTTCGAAAAACATGTTGGTGCCTACCGCTCCATTGCCGTCACTGCTCCTTCCGGCGCTCACATCCCTACCATGACCTCTGATGCTGGTACCGCCGCCACCAAACCCACGGGCACCACGATGGCTAACGTCAACTCCGATCAACAACAACAACAACAAGCAGTCGATGGGTCGATCTACATGTATTCTAACTACAATTTTGCTGACGTGCGAAGAGAATTACAAATGATCAGTGCGCCTGCAAATAATTCGAAACCAATTCAAGACTATTCGTCTCTCATGTCTGGTTCAGCCATGCCACCTGGTTTAAGGTTTCCCGCGGGTCACATTCTTGGACATCACCTTATCCTCACTGGAACTTACTTAACCCCGCAAACACACTCCTTTAGTATATGGCTTATGAACCTCAGTGCTATGTCATGGTCTCGAGTCGAAACAGGGAGCATCTTTTCCACAGGCTCGTGGAATCGCTCCATTTTAAGCCAAGACCAAAATAAGTTAATGGTCTTTGGGCATCGAGACCGGGACCTTCTTACCGACTATAATCACCGCCAAGTCAACTATGATCATTTGGCTGTGGTGGATATGGAAGCCTTTGGTGCTTATCGACTTCCCGTCATGACGTGTTCGCCTCTTGCTCAAGAGATGGGGCTCAGTCTACTCAACGAACCTGGCGTTTCGGACTTTTCCATCATTACCCGAGAAAACTCGGTCATCCCCATCAATTCGGCTATTTTACGCCGACGGTGGCCCTATTTCGACCGGCTAATGAAGGACAATGTTGAAATCGTCACGGTGAAAGAGGATACGGAGGACGTTATCGTCGAGACCGAGGCTTCGACGCTAGCTTCCACAGATGCAACCATAGATAGTACAGCAGAAACCACTACCACTACGCAGACCAGCAACGGTAGTATGGAAGATTCAGAGACAGTGACGGAAGCAACGGTGTCTGTCAAACCAACCTTTATACAGGAAGGTGACATAACCCCAGATGAGGCGGCTGCAACAGATATTCATGATACACTGATAGCGGAATCTCCTTCACAAGATGTTTCACCTCGACCCAGCATAACAAATCATCTTCATCGCGAAGCCACTATCAAAAGCCATGCTCTCCATTTCCCGCATACCTCTCAAGTTATTATTGCGTTCCTCCAATTTATATACACCGATAATCTTCTCACTGCGCAACAGCATCAACCTCATATCCTTTCACAATTGCTTTTGTTAGCTGATATGTACGATATTCCAAGACTGAAAGACTTAGCCACGCACGCCCTTCATCAAATGTTGAACATGTCTACCGCCGCCCTCATTTTCGAAACGGCCGCTCTTTCTCATCAAACCAGTCTGCAGATTCGTTCTTTGAAGATGATGATTGCCGCCAAGAAACTCATCCAACAGCAACAAAACAGTCGAAGTTCAGTGACCGTTTCGCCAAGACCTTCGCTTCACACACCTCCTCCCTCTGCTTCCACGGTATCACTAGAATCAGCGACACAAATGAATTCACCTCGAAGTGTGGCGTCGACCAATTCGTATATGTCAGCCACGGCTACGTCCAGCTCAGTTCATCGATTTGACTCTAATTCTCGCATGTCCCTTCTTGACCAAGGTCACTATATGACTTCGCCTGGTCATCAGCCTGGTTCGCCCAATGGTTCCATTCGCTCACGCACCGCTTCTTTAACACGAACTCAGTCAACGCGCCGGTCACTGTCAGGCAACAACCAGTCTCCTTATATGGCGTTTTCATCGCCCATGAATCCCATCATTGCTGAACAAGATGATTCCGATTACGCCAACTCTCCTAGGCGAAGCACCAGTACAAACCGTCCTAACCTGGACCTATCGGATGAAGCGTCTTCCGCCAAGGACGAACCAACTTCATCCAGTAAGAAGTTCATGAGTTTGAAGAAGTCCAAGAAGTCATCCGATGGTAAAGAGAAGAAGCCTTTTTTGGAAGCTTTCAGTAGTAAACTGGCATCCTTTGCACATTAATCCTCCCATATTGGGTTTTTTATTGCACATAGTAGTTGTTTAAAAGTTATATAAATACATACATTTCAAATGAACCATCGCTTGGCAGGGATTGCTTATAACGTCCACTTGGAATTAGTAATATCCCACCGTTCTGTCATAACACTTGTTAAAAATCGATGTGAACACATTAATTTCAAATGAGTCATGTGAATCAAACATGGCTCGGCTTAGCCTGCTTACCAAGCTCACTTGGCATCCATTGGCGATCTTTCACGGGTGAAAGATCGCTCCACTACGCTCAGGCCATCTTCGGCCATTCAACCATGTGTGTTGCCTAAGTTCAAGTAGCAAGCAAACATCACAGCTGTTGCAGACAGCAGCAGTTCATGCCCTTCCAGCTATTTTTTTTTCTAAAAGGAAGTGTTTATGGTCTGAGGATTTGGCAGGTGACAGTGATTATTCATGGCTGGCCGAGCCATCGAATTTCTCGTCATTGGCATAGTAGAATGCCCAAGCGGGTCTTGAAAATAGAAGGACCTGAGGACATATAGAACAGCATACACTTTCTAGAAGCAACCTCATAGAGGACAGGGGGCGGTGGTGGCAAAAAACGAAAAGGTTGAAGTGGCAAACAACGAACAGAAGGTGCCATTGTTTCAAACAATCATCTAGTCGTTACGATACGAACTACCATGGCCAAGTTGTTTCAAAACCTTGGTTCAGTATAATATCGGCAACCTTCAAAGCTACAAGCTCTTGTTAGCTCTATGTAAATAGAGAGAGGGGCGAATGATACAAAAATTTCCTAGCCTTAACGTGCCTGAGGACACTGACTTTTTCTTCTTCTTGGCCCCCGCAGTCCCATAAACCCCATTGATGGGTAAATGTCGTTTTTACTAGCCTCAACACTGCTTGACGGAAAGCTTTCTTCATACTGATGGCAATTGCACTAGATTTTGCAGCGATATCTAACTCAAGTTCAACTGGTTCCCTCATATACTCATACCGGTGGATCTTCTCAAAATGGACATCCATTCCAAAGTACACAGAGCAATGCAGTCCAACATTTGAAGCAGATGGAGTCAAATGGTAAATATTATGTAGTTATATGACAAGTACCTTGTACTGTTTTACTAAACTACTGGGTTTTAGGGCACTTAAGGTATGGGAAGCACAATACAGGAAATTTCATATTGGGAGGGATTCTGACATGAATTTTCAACCGACTTTTTAGCTATTCAAAGGCAGACAGCGTACGCCTAATGTAACTACATGCAACCTTTGTATTACTAACTCACAATCCAGTACTCCTAAACATAATTTCTTTTTAACAAGGACTTGGCTTTGTACTTGAAGATGGTCGATAGCGATTCACATCCACTGAAAGGCATACGGAAGAAAGTACGCATCGTCTTTGTGGTGGAAGATGTGGCAAAATCAAACCGCATAGGTAGGGCCGATTATGGGAAAAGTAAGTATCAGTCAGGTTGAATTGGAAATACAATAGCATTATCTTAACTCTCAACTGTCAAACAGCGGAACATCCGGTATGGTTTAGTGAAAGTAAGCAGCTTTTTGAGAAGTCGGTTGATGATGAAATGTGAAACTGGTTACTAAATCCTAAAAGAACACGCTACATGGGGCGAGGAATCTCTGCTTCCCTTGGATCGGTTAGGTGTCTATGCCCCCTACAGTAATTTTTCGACGTCGCGCGACCGACAAACTGTCAGTGTAAAGTTTGAGGTTTTGAAAACAAGATCTGATCCTCCAATCCTCAACCGTGGCGTTGGCTATATGCCCTTCATGCAGAAATATTTCAACGATGCTGCGTTTTCAGATGTCACATTTAAAGCCAAACTCGACAATCAAGAAAGAACTTTTTATGCTCACAAAGTCGTCATGGCATCAGCCTCCTCGTGGTTCGAGACACTTTTTACCAATGGCATGAAGGAAAGCTTCTCCAATGAAATTACCCTCGCAGACACCGATCCAGCCACCTTTGAATTTGTACTACGGCATTGCTATGGCATGGAATTCGACATTGAAAATATTGAACAGGCTGAAAATATCGTCGTCTTATCAGATCGCTTTGGTATTGATCGCTTGAAAGATGAGGCATTCCGGCACATCCGGCTAGAACTGTGTCCAAATAACATATGGAGAATATGGGAATTAGCTGGTAAGCATGTCGAAACCTCTTTGGTTCACAGAGAGAGTATCTACACCGTTGTGCTGACAATTCATGGTTATTTAGATAAACATTCTGACAAAAGAACTTATTTAACCTGCGAAGATTATGTGTCGCAAAACATTCCTACTTTGATCAAACACTCCAGTTTCTTCCAGGCCAGTCCAAATATTTTGGAAGTCATTCTTAAACACGATATGGGCAACTTTCCGTCAGAGGAGAACCTCTTTGAAGCTGTTGTTCGATGGGCCACCTATGAAGAGAATATCGGCCCCTCAATGTATGATGATAATTCTGATCAAGCTTCTACAGAAAGTTTTGAGAACTTGTCCACTGTCGCCTTGCAAGAAAATCCTACCTTCCCTGAACCCATGTTGGGGGAAATGGATTTCTCTGTTTTGAAGTATCCCTTTTTCTCCAAGCCCACCTCTCCAATCATGCTACGGTCCGACGAGGATGGCGTCATTCGTAGACATTCCATTGGCACTGTGGGGCAGCGTAAACGTGAACAAGAAAAACTGGCAACCGATCGAAGAAACTCAGCGGACTCGGACTCATTTCCGTCCTTTCGACTAATGTTATTGCCCTATTTATTGCAGCATATACGATTCCCTCTTATGTCACCGCAGTATTTAACGTCAAATGTAATTTCCAATGAGATAGTTATGAACGCTGAAGGAATGAAAGACTTGGTAGGTTTTTGGAGGTTTTTCAACTTGAATGGATGACACCATGCTAACCTCATACATTCCGATGTACCTTGTAGCTCATAGAAGCTTTCGCATACCATGTGTCAGGCACACAAAATAACTCAAAACCAACGCGATTTCGAGCTCGTATCCAGAGAGTCGATTGAAATATCCACCAAACCTTTTTATAATAAAGCATTAATAAAATTTCTCATAAATTTCTTGGGTCACGCAGCATCCATAACCCCTCAGGTTCTCTCCCACCTACAAGCTTGACTAGCTAGTTGGATCATTCGACTAGCCATGACTACCCATTCCGAGGCAAGTGCGGAAAATAACATTCCTCGGGAAAGTTCAAGATTGTTGGACAATGAACCGTCGTCTACGTCGTACGCGGCTGTTGAGAACGGCGGCCAAGAGGAAGAACAAAGAAGCGGAGAGCAACGGGTGGGTTGACCAAACGTCCATGTCGAGAAATTTCTCGAAGCTGCATTCACTAACTCGGATCATTTTAAGTCTTCCAAAGCTCGCCGCATCACTATCATTGTTTTGGCCGTGGTGCTTTCCACCACTGTTTTGGCCACCGCATGGTTCGCCTCTCACTACAGTTCACTGCGCAAACGATCATACCGACCTTACGGGATTTTGAACAACGGCACCCATGACTTTAGACAAACCCTTATTATGATATCGTTGGATGGCACCGTTAATGACTACTTGGATCGTGGAATTACGCCTAATCTGGATGCCATTGGTAATTGAGATTGATAGAGCTGTCAATATTGAGTATGTTGCTGCCTGCCTTTTCATACTGACTTGTTATTCGTAGCTGCCGATGGCGTTAGAGCACAGTACATGAATCCCTCGTTTCCGGTAAATTTCTTCTGCTTTTGATTAATGTAGTCAATCCATGCCCGCCCGCTCTATCCATATTTATTTTACCCACCTTCTTAATTCACAGTCAGTGACATTTCCAAATCATTGGAGTCTGGTGACTGGCCTCTACCCTGAAACTCATGGCATTGTTGGCAATGTATTTTATGACCCGGTATTGAATCAAACCTTCAATTATAAAAGCGCAGCTGGTAGCTGGAGCCCCAAGTGGTGGGGAGGTGAACCGGTAAGAGTCCAATTGTACAAGCGAGCATATGTAGAGGTGAATCTATCTTATTGATAATACCGATAGATCTGGGTCACCTCGGAACTGCAGAATGTGACATCGGCTGTTATCATGTGGCCGGGCTGCAGTACCAGCTTCAATGGTGTACGTCCGACCTATGAAGTTCCCTTCGACGACGTTACAAACAGCGATAAGAAAATGGATCAAGTGCTCCAATGGCTTGATCTTCCATTGGAGGACCGACCGCAAATCATCAATGCGTATATTCAAACTGTTGACCAGCACGGTCATAAGTATGGCCCATACGACAATCTTGTAAGTTGTCATCTTTGTATACAATGTACTTGTCAATTCATCTCTCTAAACCATCTTTCTAGACACTGAACGCATTGCATTCGGTTGATGGTAGCCTTGGCCGCTTACTGGATGGATTGAAAAAGAGACACTTGTCCGATATTGTACATATCATGGTGGTTAGCGATCACGGCATGTCTGAATCTTCCAACGACAAATTGATTTACTACGACGATATTCTGGATGAAACTGCCCTCGGAAACATCTGGAAGTCGGAAGGATGGCCATTGTTGGGTATACGCCCATACCCTGGGAGAGAAGATGCTGTAGATGACATTTATCAACAGTTGTATGAACATTCACTTCTCCCTGGGGCCAAGTACGAAGTCTTCCGTCGCGAAAATATGCCACCCAAGTATCACTTCTCTCACACCCAACGAGTGCCTCCTGTAGTTGCCATTCCGTTTGAAGGTTGGAACTTTGTTACTCATAAGCAGTTTAATGACCCTACCAAAGTGTACCAGCCTCGCGGTGTTCATGGGTACGATAACTTTGCTCGACAATCACGGGCTATCTTTGTGGCCAAAGGCCCATTCTTTGATTGGGATTTAGGGAGGGGTCAAAGACTCAAGCCATTCGTGAACGTTGAGGTTTATAACGTTCTCAGTCGCATCCTCGGACTCCAGCCTGCCGAGAACAATGGCACTCTGGCCGGCTTTCTTCAATCTCTGGATTAGTTCTACCTTCTCACCCCATACGCCAATCCTTTTTGTACATGAAGAAACAATTATGTTAATGTAGATGAAATGACAAGAGGGAAATCTCTAATAAATGGTACAAGTGGTGCTTTCTTTTTGCTTCTCTATCGTTTCTGCTCTAATATGGAGAATGTCTTTTGGCTTGCATGCGACTGGGTACACCACGGGCCACACTATTTCCGCTGGCCGGCTCTATGATGCCAGGTGTGGATGTCCAGGTGCATAATTTCGAATCCTCCCCTCCAGAATACATGACGTTGGTTTGTGGATTCCATGCCACTGATCTAACAACTTCAGTGTGACCGCCCTTTAAGGTTTGGCAAAGTTGAAGTTGGCCTACATTGACATGCATCAAATTGATATCGCCACTACAACAAATACAAAGTTAGATCCAACCGTTTTTTTTTTTTAAAAAAAAAAAAAAAAAACAATAAAAATGAGACTCTAAGCTTACCTGTTGGAACCTGCAATTAAGTAGAGTCGTTGGGTTGCTGCATCATATTGGCAGTCAATTGCATAATCCACCTCCAGCAATCCAGGCTGAGTAGCCTTTCGTATATCTTGAAAGTCGCTAATGAGATCACCCTAATGTACATTGAAAAAACATGCAATGCTCAGATACATATTCAGACGCACTGCTCGCTGCCGGGGCTAACTTACCTCAATGGAGTGAAGGGACAGAGTCTCAATGTGCGTAAGACAGTAGACATATTCGGAATTAGGTCCAAAATAGCCAGCTCGGTTGACAGATGATCCTGAGTTGATAACGGACAAAATGGCTTCGTCTTCATCGAATTGTTCGACAGAGTAGTTGCAGACGAGACCATCGGTAGATGCAGAGATGAGCTGTGTCGGTATAGTAGGGTGACATTGAATGTGGGTGATATCATCATTATGCGATTCCACAAATTCGGCCATTTGCTTCGTTTGGCGGGTATCAAAGAACTTGAGCTTTGCCTCAGATACAACTAGTTCAGTACCCGCAGCAATCATAGCTTCGTTTGAGTTGATATCAAAAGAGCATAATGGCATATGTGCTAGATAGGAGTTGTTAGCGGAGAGCCATCAATATCACGAAAAACACATTGTGCATGACAAAAGTACCTTGGAATATTTGAACCGGGGAGGCGGGGGTTCGCAAGTCCCATCGAGCAATCGATCCGTCCATAGAGGCAGAAAAAATCATTTGCTCGCCGTGCGTCAAAATCTTTGAGATTTTCTCGGTATGATAGTCGAGCGTAAGGGCAATGGACAGTGTAGCCGGGTTGTACAGTTTGATCTGGTTGTTGGAAGCCGAAACTACGACATGCGAGGCATTGGCGTTGACATCGTAAATATAGCTGTCATCAAGGGAGAACAAAGTAGAGCGGTTGAGATGCAGCTGTGGCAACAGGTCATTTGCCTGACTGAACTGGAATGCCATTGTGATGTTAGCAGGAGTTGCTCACAAAAATATAGAAGCAGCACTGACTTGGGCTCACCCACAAAAAAAAAAAAAAAAAGCAGTCGAGCGCTGATCGGTCGGCCTTGCTGTGCTTTTCGTTTGCAGTCAGTCAGTCGTCATACCTTTCCTTCCAATGCAACCTCCCTCATTACGACCCCATCAGAAACTGGCTGCCATTTACCCAGCCATTGTCGTGCTGGGTCTATTGGTTTCCAAACTCGGCAACATTCCTGATGGTTATTTCTCCAACAAGCGTAATATCTTCAACGTCTATTTCGTCAAGCTCGGCTGGTTCTGGACAACCTTGGTCTACTTGCCTTTCGCTTACCTTGTTATCTCTGATCAAAACGTACAGAGATTCGGAAAGTCTACTGTCCGATGGCTGATGGTTACGCTTTACTGGTTCCTATTGACTCAATGGGCCTTTGGACCAAGTATCATCGATCGAGTTTTCATAGCCACGGGAGGAGCATGTGATTTTGTCCAACTAGACGAAAACCCAAATCCCATTCAGGTTTTTGAACAAGTGGCCTGTAGAAAGCAAGGTGGAACTTGGGCTGGAGGACACGATGTTTCCGGACATTGTCTCTTATTGATACATAGCAGCTTATTCTTTCTGGAAGAGTTGAGTTGGCTTTGGTATACCCCGTCTTATAATACAATCATTCGGAAAAGCCAGTCGCTCTTTATTGTCGTCGGTTCGCTCCTTGGATTATGGGCATGGATGTTACTGATGACCAGTATTTATTTCCATGGACATTATGAACTACTCTCCGGTACTTTGTTTGGACTGTTTGGATGGGCCTTAATCGTAAGTACAGCTTTTGGTTGCTGAGCATAAAACATTGAACTCACCAGCGGAATTTTTGCCTCTAGTACGTGGTCGTTTTACCACGAACCAGCTATCCCAGCACGGCCGAAGAGAATCGCCGTGAAAAATAAACAAAAATTTGAATAGCTAGCTGTGTTTTTTTTTTTCTTAATATCTACCGAAAGACTTTATATTCTTAATAGATTTCAACCATAATACCTACACACATCTACCATGCTTCTTCAATGTAGGCGACATGTTCATAAAATCATAACAGATGCATCCTTAGCTAAAGTAATGCCTCAAATGAGGCATCCGTCTATGCTACGTTTGGCAACCACCACCTCGACAACGCGACCACCGCAGGACGACGAACCTCGACGACCAGCTGTAACCAAGTATAAAGCTTTATCGATACCTACTTTAAAAGATCTTCCACAATTGTACAAGGAACTTGTCAAGGCAAAATTGGCGGGCCTAGTCGCCTTGACAGCTATGGCAGGTGTGGCCATAGCCCCGGGCACAGATGTGTCAACGTTACTGTATACCACTGCAGGCACTGCACTGTGTATTGGTTCAGCCAATGCCATCAACCAGTGGATTGAAATTCCTTATGACGCACAAATGCTTCGAACTCGAAATCGTGTTCTTGGCCGCCGCGCTTTGTCACCGTTTCACGCTTGGGCTTTCGGTATCACCACTGGCATTGCTGGTACAGGCTTGTTGGCTACCATGGTCAATCCTCTCACCGCTGCTCTCGGTGCGCTCAACATTTTCATTTACACTGGCATTTACACTCCTATGAAGCGTGCTTCCATCGCCAACACCTGGGCTGGCGCTGTGGTGGGTGGTATTCCACCTATGATGGGATGGGCAGCGGTCACCAACTCCTTGGATGCCGGTGCATGGGTTCTAGGAGCTATTGTGTATGCTTGGCAATTTCCACACTTTAATTCCTTGGCCTGGAATTTACGTGCTGATTATTCCAAGGCGGGTTATCGCATGATGTCTGTCACCGACCCCAAATTGAATGCTAGAGTGTCCTTGCGATATAGTGCTCTCATGATTCCACTCTGCCTTTCCATGCCTTACCTTGGCCTTACCACCTGGTGGTTTGCCCTGGACTCTACCATCGTCAATGGCGCTATGCTGTTGGGAGCTTACCGGTTCTGGCGCCAGAGCAACGAAAAGACTGCACGTCAACTCTTCTTTGGAAGTTTGCTCAACCTTCCACTCATCCTTGCTTTGATGATTCTTCATAAGGAACATCCACAACCTATTTACAATGACCAAGATCTGCTTGAGGATGATGAAGAATGGGTTGAGGAGTAGATGCATTTTTTTATATGTGTAAAACATCCTGTTCGTCCATGCCACGAATTTCAACGATATAGACGCCTAAAGGCATTAGTCGAAATAAACTGATTGTACAAATTATTCACCCTCTTATAGCACAAACTGCTTTCCCATTGACTTTTGCATGAAATTCCAACGAAAACTACAAGAAAAGCTACTTTATGTGACTTTGTATGTTACATCATATTACAGGAATATAAACGACCGTCGCTGCCTTTGACCTCTAGCGTTTGCAGTTTGGTTTTGAGCTCAGGATCCAGTTGGGAAATATCGCTCAAGGTTTCGTCCACAGCATAGTCGTTGTTATGACAATGGCTGCAATTTCGGTCAAGCTCGTAAAACAACATGTATGCACTTGTGGAAAGATCATCGAAGACGGCCTTCTTTTCCTTCTTGGTACCTTTGATCTTCTTGACACGTTGACTCACATTCATATCATCTAGGGATTAATACATTGGTCAATTATGCTTAACTTTCCATGGTTTTAGTGGTACATTGTTTAAGCTTACCAAACTTTAACCAGACATCTTGGTAGTCATTTTCAGGGTCCTGGATACATGCATACGCGATATAGTGGCCAGCGAAAGGACTGTCTCCACGGTGGCAAACTGCACTTCGCAAACGGACGACGGAGTTCATTTGAAGGCCGCAATTCTGACAAAGGTCCGTATCATCGATATTTTGGTTCAAAAAGCGCTCAAAACTGATTTCCGGAGGTACAATGACTTCGCGCTGTATTTTTCTGTAATTTAAGGCATTGTCGCAAGAGTAGCGCTTGAGCACCATGGGTAAAATAAGGTTGCCGTCCTGATAATGCGACGCTGTGATGCGTTCGCCCTGCTCATTTATTCCACTGTAGAAAGGCAATAGTTCTAAGACTTGCCATGCTGCAACTGATACTTGTCGTTCGGCGTTTTCGACATGAACAGGGGCTTTATATGTGCTGGATGGGGTGGTTCCAAATTCTTCTGGCTCTTCGTATAAGACGTTTCGCTTGATGCCGGTAACCATATTGTTGTACATCAGATCGATTAGTATCTCTTGTAAATTGATTGGAGTATTGGAGTCTGTTGGTATCGGTAGTGTTAATGTGCGCTCAGTCATCACTCTGTCATCGTCGGTGTCTTTCGAGGCGCCATGGTATAGCCTTACTTGGAACTAAGTATTTACAAGAATTTGTTTGTCACACTGATTCACATTGTAATTGGGGCATTAAAAAAAGACTTTCACTTACAGGTAAAAATGGTAACCCAAAGATATTGGTGAGGTGTAAGAAAAATTCGCTTGTGTCCTCTTGTGACCATGCTCCGGCAAACGTATGACCTTCCCATCCGGTGGCTTCCAAGGCTTTTCGAAGCCGTCGTACTTGGTCTGTTCGTACAAGGTGACCATCTCTTAATCGGTTGACAAATAAACGCAAGGCTGTCTGCAGACGTCGCTTATCGAAATCATCATCGTCGGTATCGCTGGTCAGCAGTGGATCAAACGCAGTGGTCGTGGCATACATGCTGAACAGCAACGCATCGATGTAACATGATGTCAGCTGGTCGTTCTCCGAGCCGAGCATATCGTGGGTCAAGGGATTAGGCGGGACAAGGATGCCATCGTCGGCATCTTGGAAATCGTTCAGCTCTACTAGTGCTTGCCGGAGATCCCATTTGTGTTGTTCAAGTAAATGTTGGCAGCTTGCCGGATCTGGTTCTACTCCAATATTGCCTTGAACATAATGTGATAGCTTTTGTATCTTTTGCTTTTGTTCTTCTGTCAGCACTACCGGTGGCGCTGAAGTCGGTGACGATTTCTTCTTTCCACGAAACAATTTACGTAGTAAATTGCGCTTCTTCTCTTTCTTATGGACAGGCGTTTCTAGCCCTCCATAGGCGAATTCTGACATCAATTCTACAAGGTTTGTTTTAAAAAGTAGTAAAGAGAAACCGAAAGGTGATACATATACAAATGTTTTTTTTATTACTTTTTGTGTCGCAAAAAAAAAAATCATTCCATTCTGTACAAAAATTGGGACTCAAGCGGACAATTGCTTTTTGGCTTGGCTTTAGAAAATCTCCTTTTGCTTTAACTTGAGAAAATCGTACTTTGATTAGTCAAGATGATGATTGACACGATGGTTTTCGTCATGATGACCCTTCATTTCCTTCTCCATAGCCTTTTGAGCTCTCATTGAATCCTTTTGAGCAATTTGTTGTCTGTCTTCGTTTTCCAGCTCACGGTCAATTCGAGCTCCTCGTGACGGAGTGCCTTCGTGCTTCATGTGATCTGCATTCTGAAGGTACTCTTCAAAAGTGTCATATTGCTTGTTATGACCTTCGTGTGAGGACTCATATGGCTTGCCGGCCATCAAAGCCGCCTCGGTATGAGCAACGTTGGTCACTCGGGTTCCTCCTCTCTCGTTCACAGGGTCTCTGTCAATGTTGGACTTCCTGTATTGCATGGGGTCTTTACTTGACTTGTTGGATTGCATAATGTGATGTCAAAGAATAAAAAATATGCAGAGACAAATGTCAGTTGTTGAACGAAACCTGTGGGGCCCTCCTGGTATTTATAACGTCTTGGGTCATGAGATGACATCAAAAATGTTTCATTATTTAAAAGCCTGTTCTACCACGCTTCGGAGCTCTACGGGAAAATCGAAGAAATAAAGCAACTGGTGTTTTGCAAAAAGTGGTTTTAATAAAGAGGTGTATTACTGAATAACGCTTATAGAAAAAAACAGTGGAAAACGTGGTATGAAGGCTTAAACACGACCATGGAATAGACATTCTTTAACGTCTTCCTTGTCAGCATTCTTGCCAGCAAGTAGCTTTTTGACTTCCTGGGGTGGATTCAACCCCAACTTATCCGCTCGTTCTGCATAAGCGGACAAATATCAGATGTTAAAAAAAAGCGGAAACTATTATAGCGTCAAAGTATCAAGTCATACTCACGCCATCGTTCCAAACGTGAAATGCCAACACACGATCCGTAAGCATAATTCAAATCGAAAGCGCGTAGAACTTTATCCTCCTTGGACTGATCCTTGGTATGAACTAGTAATAAAAAAAGTTTAGATCGTATGTCTGACTCCCCTCGGGCTATGCATAGACCCTTGGATGAAACGCCTCAGCCAAATCTAAAAACAAATAAGTAAATCTCACTTTCTATCACTTTGGGCTTTGCAGCAGGCTGTTGGCGCTTGCGAATTTCAAGGTCGTCATCTATTCCAGTGTGCACTATCTCGTCTTCTTTCTGAAGTTCATCGTCATCGGCAATGGGTGCAATGTCTTCAATAGGGGATGTACTGCGCGCTTTCTTTTCCGGTTTAACCAGTGATTTGGTCAAATCGATGGGCTTTTGAATGACTCTTCGCTTTTTGGAAGTTTTAAGACCAGAGTCAGTGATCTTCTGTTGCGTGCCGACGGCTGCTCTTCTTTTTGGTGGCATGATGAAGTGAAGGGTATGATTCCAGTGTTCGAGTGAGCGTCGCGCCAGTTGACGGTTTAGGAGGCCGAACGAAATCGTGACGTCATGGGACGTGGTACGCCATGGCGTAAAAAAAGAGGCTCAATTGGCAGTAGGCAACTAGTGGTGAGTATATCGTGGCTGTTTATACCATCCATATCTCTCTCTTAAAAGGTGTGTCACGGTTGCAAGCCATTGGATACTATCGCGGAACGAGGATCAATCAGGTTAAACTTGAGAATGACAATGCTTGCCGCGAAAAGGAAGGCCCTACAGGGACCATATTGCGTTTTGAGAAAAGTAATGTGTTCAGTTTCCATCATAGTATCCTGAACAAATTTCCGTTTGTCGCTGGAAGCACAAATTGTATGTCGTGTTTCTCAGTCAGTCATTTATTGAACGGTACATCATGCTGAAAACCAGTTTCGTCCTTGGTAGCTTGTAGAAGCCTTTGGCATAATAGTCCTACTTCATTACATATCTCAAGATGTGATATAATCATGAAGTCTCCATATCAAGTGCTGCAGAATGATGCTGCAAAGCTATCCATTTAAAAGAGAGTTGCATCATCGAACTTTGTTGCAGACAATACAAATGTTCAATCTCAGCAATACAAAACGTTCCTACAAGGTCGAGCCTCAGCAGCCGCCTATATGATCTGCTTATACAATATATCAAGAGCGGTTGCATTCTTGAATAATAATGGACACGAAATTCATGTAAAAAGGCAGGCATTAAATTGCTCATTTACGAGAATATGGAACATCAATTGAAAGTGTAAGAATCTGTGTCAACCAAATATTTTAAAGCTGTATTGCGCTTGTTGCGTCTCTTTGTAGAAAAACATAGAGACACCAACGTTTCAAGAAGGTGTACAATGCTTTAGTCCGTCTTCGTGCAAAAATCTGTGGTACAGTTCGCATGACTTGCAACTGAGGTCTCACTTTGGTCCGTCAAAATTCGTTGTCCAATTTTTTTACTCCGTGAGGTCGTCTGCACAGTCCTTAACCACCATGGTGAAATATGCGGTGATTTGCGCCAGTAATCAAAATCGATCTATGGAGGCTCACAATGTCTTAAGGTATAACTATTCTTCTTCCGCGAAAGCGATCGTTCGGATTTGATCGATAGCCATTGCTAAAGCGTTGAGTTACCTCCACAGTAAAAAAGGATTCAATGTACATTCTTACGGAACAGGGACAATGGTCCGATTACCAGGTCCAGCCATCGATAAACCCAATATTTATCCTTTCGGAACGCCCTATGATTCTGTCTATCAAGAGCTAAAGGGAAAGGACCCTCAATTGTGAGTAGATAATCATTTTGATATTTGGTCGAGTTGGCCCTCGAATCATTGGCTAATGTCAGAGTAATTAAAGGTATACGCAGAACGGTTTGCTCAGTATGCTGGACAGAAATAGAAAGATTAAGGACGCTCCGCAACGATGGGCCGATTCCGTAGATATGTATGATGTGATCATCACCTGCGAAGAGCGATGTTTTGATTCTGTGTTTGAAGGTACGTTTGTGTGTTCAAAGTAGTCCCTAAATCCTCGTCGTACTAACACGTGTACAGATCTCGCCAACCGAGGAGAAGAGTCGAGTAAATCAACACATCTCATCAATGTAGATATTAAGGATAACCACGAAGACGCGTTGCTCGGAGGTCGAGCAATATTACAACTTGCTCAAATGGTAAGTGCTCGTGTAAGCTTTTCTGTGTGCTAGAATTTGGAATGACTTATTCACGATCTCTCTCATGGCATGCACAGATTGAAGCATCCAAAGATATTGATAACGATATTCAAACTATCATTGAAAAATTCGCTGAGCGGTACCCTACGCACCCAATACTTCACACTATTGCATACTATTAACAATTACTATGTTTCTGTATTTGGCATTTCCATTAAAACAAAAGGTTGAGCATGCTCTCCAAGCACTGATCATGAATTGTTTTTTTGCGTTAAAAACTCCAGCAATGCATCTTCACCTTTGATCCGTATTAATTCCTCTATTGCTTTATACTTTTCGGCTTTTGCGCTGCTACTTTCCACTTTGACATCAGGATGAGTCGTATCTTGTTTCGAGCCCTATGTCAAATAAAGTAGGTTAACAGCTTGCGCATTCATCCAAGCCTTTTCAACGTGGGTTCTTACCAACGCCGCTCGTATCAGCATCCTTAGACCACGGTGGTCCAATTCATTATCATCCTTCAAGTCGTCTTTCAAATAACTAACGATGTCAGATTGAAGAGCAGCTAGTCCTTCCAGCCACTGCGAGGATAAATCAGTAATAGTCAGTACCCATACGTCAAGGCTACAGTCTCAATCATCAGTATGTTTACCTCTCTCGACTCTTGCGCACTTGGACGTGCAGTGCCGGCCACTTTAAGGTTATGAACACCTCGATCCGCAGTTGTCGATGCAAGTAAGGATGCCTGAGTTGACGGGGACATGGGCGATGACGATGATACGGGTGAACGTGTGTCTTGTCTAGGGCTATGTTGAGATGACCGTGATGAGGATTTCGTAGACCAAGCTTCCGAGCTTTGTCGTAAACTGTGGACAAAATCACTCAGTTTGAGAAAAAAAGCAACTGTATAGCCACATTGCTAACTTACGCTTTTATGTGATCGACGAAGTGAAGTTTAACTGCAGATTCGGGCAATCGGTATACCACGCCAGCATACTTGAACATTTGATCCGCTGCCCACTTTGCATCGGATTCGTCATCAATAATTTGTATATCTCCATTGTTTTTAGTTTCCAATGGATTGTCAGGCTCAATAATGACAGGATGCCGTCGTTGTCGTTTTCGAACCTGCTAAAATATACGCAGTTGAAAATTAGTAATCGATGAGTATTGTTGGCGTTATCCTCAACATTTTTATTCTGACTTACCATGGCCATCTCTACGTGGTTCGGGCACATCCACTTTCGATTCACGTTAGGTGCAGACGCAAGAGGAGGATCCAAACAATCCAGATGCCAATAAAGACTACAATGATCGCATGCGATAATTGGTTTTTCTCTAAGTGCTGATTTCCGACACCGATAGCATAGGATGATTTGACCATTCTTGTCACGTAACCGAAAATAATCAGGTTCTTCGATCATGCCATTTTTTCTAATAAGAAATCATTAAAATATGCAATATGTCTAATCAATTTGCATTATGGTACATACCCTTTTCTCACAGGCTTGAAGCTCCCAGAGTCAACATATTCGCCAAATTCATTGGACGATACTGCAGAGGTGAGTTCAGTTAAAAAAAATAGAGCTGATGGTAAGCAGATTCGGTTGAGCTGATATACCTCCTTGAAATAGATTTTTGATATCTTTTGGAAGTCCAAAGAGAACTGGATTCGTCGCTTCAAGTTTATATAGGAGGGTTCCAAACAAGCTTCTGTGGTTGATCCGAGGGGGATGCTATTTTCAGCCAAGGAAAATCCGATCAGCCAAAGATTAAAAAAGGCGGAGACCTGGCTACTTACTCGCTTAGCTCGACACTCAGTACAGAACCATTTTCCTTTGATATTAGCAACATCCTTGCTATCCATTGGTGGCTCAACACATACGAAATGGAAGACTTTGGGACAACCTTCGCAGCATATGAATTCTCCAACTCCTCCGCAAGTTTCACAATTGTCATTACTCTATACAACAGAATCAAAGTTGCAATTTGTTAGCTAGCAGAAAAAGACTGTCGTAATACTTGGGAAATCCATACCGTTTTATCATCCGAACTGGAATGTGGTGAACCAGCACCATTCTTTTTAGTGTCTTTCAGACCTTCCTTCTTAATCTGGGCTCTGCAAATTTAAGAAGGGTTAAAAGGAATAAAGAGTTAATATTTCCTCAAACTCTTTCCATTCGCTCGTTCCATGAACATGAAAATGCGCGGCATGCCCTTACCTTGTTGCCGCTAATTTCGCCCTTTTCTTTGCAGGAAGCGAAGCCAATATCTTGGCCATGTCTTCGTCTTCATCGGTTCTTCTCGTGGTTCCTGCCTCGCCATCAGTAACAATATCACTCGGCTTTCGCGAGTGCGTCTTTCTGTTTTCATCGGTTTGATGTGAACTTGGAGCAGTATGGTTTAAAGCATGACGTGTTCTCGTTGCTATGGGAGCCTTTGTACGTAATGGTCTCCTCTGCTTCTCTGCCTCTTGATCATCATCATTATCCGAAGACTGTTTTTCACTTGCTTGTTGAAATCGAGGGCTACTTCGCGAAGGCGGTGCAGGAGATGAGGTTGTGTGTGAACTTGCAGCCATATGCTACCAAAAGTGAGTAGGGTTGGAGAGTAGCTCAGCACAGACAGGATTTTGATGAATCGCCTGCAGCAGAGTATTCCACAATTAGGTGAGATGTCCTTATAACGCCCTATCAAAGGTTGTCAACAATCCATTGAAAATTCATGACGAGCATCACTCTTGGCTTTCTCGTCGTTCTCAATCATACGGTATATGCTGTGCCCAGACTAGTGAGTAACACAGTGTCGCCGCAATCTTGCCCTTGCGCAATTTCAACTACGTGATTGTCCCATCAAACTCTGCATTGCCACCTTCATCTATGTCAAAATCTCAGTCGTACTTGCAGATCGCAATACAAAAGTAGCTTGTTTCATGGGCTTGTCGGTCTCAACGTTCGCATTGGAGTTTTGTTCTTCCGCACCAGCACGTCAATGTACAACATGTCTAGCTACCTACCGATTTCCTTGTTTCCAGATACTTGTTTTAAAATATGTGATTTACACGCCCCCACTTGATTTGCTTGTATCCAACCAGGGAAAATTTAAAGATGCGGTTGGGGGGAAGAGGAGTAGGTGAAAAGAAAAGGGCAAAATTTCAGAAATGCTCAAAAAAATTATTTTATTTTTTACTGCGAATTTATTTCGTATATCACGCTCCTTTATACTTGTATCTGGCTGCATCAAGACCAGCAAATTCTAGATTGACATTTTCCATCATTTGAAGGGCGAAAAGATCCATTAATACAACAAGGAATGGGATAGCCCAAAAGATGAGTTCTTTGCCTGATACACTATAAGATACCAACATTGGGATCCAGCTGACCACCAAATTGACGATGATAACCTTGAAAGCTGACTGCGGGCTGCCCTGTGGGACATCCTTGGATAAAGCTGACTTGGCTAGGTCGATCACCGATAAACCTGCGTTTAAGATGACCACATATAACGAAAGATACAGCGAAATTAAACTGGTTATGGCCGCTGTACCTGGATAGTATGTTTCTGAAGTAATAGGTTCACTTGATGGAATTGGTATCATGGGTGATGAAAGGTCATTTGGGGGAAAACATATTTCTTTAAGATATAAAAAGTAGAGCGATGACACAAGAACTGAAAGCCCCGCAAGTCCTCTCTGGATAAGCAAAATAAGGTTGTCAATGTCTGCAAGATATACTGCGTATTGTGATTCCTGTTCTCGCTCTAACCTGAATGCTGCGATTGGACTTGTCATTCTCGATGCGCAAATCGCTCACCAGGCGCTCTTGCTCTATTCAAAAGTTAACTAGTGTACAACAGCCCAATTTGTATTTCAAGCAAGGGACATTTTACCTTGCTCATCGAGGAATTCTGCTTGATCCTCTGGTGCTGAGCTGGCAGCCTTTCGTTTCTTGATTCCTTCCATGAGCAAAGACTGGTTTGAAAGTCCGCATAAGATGTCCCAAGCTATGAATTAGATGCCGCGCATGGTCCAGCATTGAGTCCAAAAGATTAATGCCCGAGATCTTGAAGGCATTATACGGGTTGAGGCACGTTAAGCTTGTCTACTTATACTTTATTACCATCGAGCTCAGGTGCATATTTTATGGGGTTGGCTGTAATCTTTGGCGGAGTTCTTCTTAGGGTAATTGACAGCGTTTGGTCAGTGCCTTGGAAATTGCTTGTCGTTCCTGCCATCTGCAAACAGTCATGAGCGGCTTGATTGCATTCCTGCAGTCAGAGCTGTTGTCGCTATCAAGCGAAGCGAAGAGAAAGCATCCAGAGATCAAAGAGGTACGGGCATCCCGCTGATTGGCCATAGCGTCTCAACTCGATAACTCACTGCTTCATTTTTCAACATGTCAGGCTGCTGAACGTACCAGCGCCGTCCTGAGAACGTTCAAGGAACGACCAGGACATAATGTTGCAGAGGGTTTGTGCCAATGACTCGTTTCTTCCGTTATTTTCTACCGTCTAAACCTAGTCATGTTTGCAGATCTGACTAAAACAGACGAAGTATTACGACCATTCCTTTTGGCTTGCGAAACCAAGCAAGTTAAACTGGTTGTTATTGCCATAGGCTGTATACAAAAACTTATCACCTTTAATGCTATACCAGAGGTAATATTAGGAGAACATTATAATCCCTTTTCGGAAACCATCAAGCTGCTAACAAAATCAAACTATACAGCAATCAGTCAATGCTATTCTTAAGACTCTCAACGATATCATGATACATGGTGTTGAAATTCAGCTCAAGATACTGCAAACTATTCTGCCGCTACTGACCAACTATCACACTATACATGGTGATGTTTTGGCGGAGGTATGTTTTTGATGAATATGTGGGCCGACCACCAACCCAGCAACTGACGAATTCGCTTGTCAGGCACTCTTGATCTGTTTCAGACTACAGGATTCCAAGGTGGTTGTGGTTAACAATACAGCTGCTGCCACGTTGAGACAGCTGGTCATCCACGTATTTGATAAAGTGGCTAAAGAAGACGCAATTTTGGCGAAAGGCAACGAACACCATGGTACTAAATTAGTATTGAAATGTTTGCATACCCATGCTCTACACCCTTAACTAACATTTACCAACGTATTCTAGATCTTCAGCCTAGAAAAATCACGATCTCACCAGAGGAGACTATAGAATTGTATCCATCTGCAGCCGATGCATACTATCTATTCCAAGATTTGTGTCTATTGACTAACGGAGAGGCAACCCAATTTTTGCGTCTACATCACCTATCTCGAACATTCGGATTGGAACTTATAGAAAGCGTCCTCACAAATCACATCCAATTGTTCAAATCTGTAAGCCTCGTGATACTCTTGACCATGGGGTTTTTAAAAGCAATGCCTGACCAAAATTCTACATTTTTGCTAGCACCCTGATATGACCGTCTTGTTGAAGGAAAAAGTGTGCCCTCTCATCATCAAAACGTTTTCCGACAAGCATGACTTCCCGCAAACGATGCGCTTGACGCGTGTCATTTATATTCTAGTCAAGCAGTTCAGCAACATACTGGTAAGAGCCAAGTGTATCTGTATGTGCAACGTGAACTACGTGTATTAACCGATTGGCGCACAGATAATGGAAACCGAAATTTTTCTATCCATGTTTGTCAAGGTTTTGGAACCCGACCATCCATTATGGCAGAGAGTGCTAGCAATGGAAATCTTTCGCGGAGTATGTGCCGACCCTACGCTCATTCGGTCCATCTATAACTGGTATGATAAGCAAGCATCGTCAACGGATATCTTCCAAGACATGATAACTGGCTTTGGAAGACTTGCTGCCGAAAAACCTCAACTGTTGGGTGTCAACCAAGGTGGTCGGGAAAGTCTTGATAGTGGCCAGGGCAGCTACCTTCTCCACTCGTCTTCTCAAAACCTATCTGCTGCAGAGCCCGGTCTAAGTACTTCAGCGTCAACAATGAGAATCCAATGGTTAGTGGAAAAAAGGCTTTATATGCCTATGTGTTTCATTGGTTTCATAGTAATATACTAATTCAACAATGATAGCATCGATCAATTGGACAAAGCAGACCCTCCTAGTATTCCCGAAACGTATCTGTATTATTTAGCTCTTGTATGCTTGAATACCTTAGCCGACGGAATGGCTGGCTACGTACTGCCAATATTTGCTAGCGGTAGTCATAAGTTGAATGGATCGATGTCGGCTTCCACAGCAGATGACCATCATCTAGGAAAGGATACAGTATCGCCACAGAAGGACGACCCTGATGTTGCAGAGAATATAGTGCTTGTAACAGATATGGCAACAGTTGCATGGCCCGGTCTTTTGGCCGCCATGTCATTTTATCTCTCAGCCAAATTGGACGAAGACCTGTTTCAAGCCGTCATGCGATCTTATCAAAACTTTACCAACGTTTGCGGTGCGTTGAAGCTCACAGTCCCACGAGACGCTTTCCTTACCAATCTTTGCCGCAATGCTGTGCCGACAATCCCAATGATATCCACCTCCAGAAGTGAAACCAACATAGCTGGTAGTAGCAGTAGCCTTAGTACACTGGCATCCGGAGCTCTATCTTACTCAGAACTATCTGCGCAACAACAGCAAATGCTTGCGAATATTGCTCTTAGCGAGAAGAACTTGTATTGTCTTCGAGTACTTCTGAATGTTGCCATGTTTCTGGGTAATATGCTAGACCAGTCATGGTACTTGGTACTTGAAACCCTGCAACAGGCCGACTTTCTTCTATTTAGTCGACCGTCTCAAAAGGGATCTTCTTCAAGCAACCCTCCAACTCCTGTACGGCGCCAAACATCAACTCTTACCCTCAGCACCGCTACACATTTGTCACCTCAACAAGCAGGTAATTTAAATATCTTGGATAATAATCGCATTTACTTAGCTTACTGACATGCCATTCGCTAGCTCAAGCTGCTGCTAATGCCACAGCAGATGCTGATCATATTACCTTGATATCTGCTTCAATGGGTCGTATCTTTGACAACACAAAATATCTGGATGACGGATCTTTTGTTGCATTCACAAAAGCCCTATGCCGAATGAGTTCAGAGGCCAGTGGCGCTCCATTTTCTGATACAGATGCCACCCTTGGTTCTAATAGCTCGAAAGCTGTAAGTGACCTGCTACCATTCACATATTAATTTTCATTTTGCTAACTTTTTTTCCATCACTCTAAAGAAACTGTTCAATAACAAATCCTTTGCCGTCGAAAAGCTTCGCTTTATTGCTACCCTTAACATGGAGCGATTGATCAATCCAAAAACAAGCTTCACTGCTTGGGATATTATCGTTAAGCACCTAATCACGACTGCTAACTATCCGTTCACACCTTCTGCCATTCGAGCCCAGACTTGTGAATCCATCTCTGATATTGTGATTTCTGCTATGAACGTTGAGCTGTCCACAAACAAAGATGACCATGAGAAAGTTCAACTACGGCTTTTGTCGGCACTTAGTCAATGCATCATCGACGCTTCCAATCCTCCCGTTACCGTAGACACTGGTGATCAAACAGGTGGCTCTGCCTACATGTCTAGAACTAGCTCAGAAGCTCAAAAAATGGCGCTTGAAACTTTGAATCGTTTGTTACAAATGTCTGGCCATTCTCTCAGCAATGGTTGGTCTTTGGTATTCGACATGCTGACTTGTATAGCAACTGGTGCGAATATCTTGAACGAAACCGGTAACGATGATGGCACACTAGCTGTTCCCTCTGATGCTGACAGTCCAAAGCTACGACGGGCCAGCTCCGACATGATGGCTTCAACTGGCAGTAAGGCGTCTATGGGTCTTGTCAGGATAGCCTTTTCATCGCTACAGTTGATTTGCACAGACTTCCTGTCCTTGCTCAACCCTGATTCTCTTCGACAATGTATCGCAACTCTTGGTTGTTTCAGCACACAGAAAGACGACTTGAACATTAGTTTGACTGCCGTTGGATTGTTGTGGAATGTTTCTGATTTCATTCTAACCAAGAAACAAGAGTTGGAGAAGTCTGGTGTCGGTGAAGAGGAAGCCTCAAAGAATGTTACCACGGCTGATTACAGCATAGACAAAAAAATTGAAGGAGAGGCTACACCCCGTCGCCTCAACAACTTGTGGATGCTCTTACTTTTCCAGCTCTCCAAGGTGTGCATAGACAGTCGACCTGAAGTCCGTAACGGAGCCAACCAAACACTGTTTAGAACCATTGGCATGAATGGCGACTTGCTCAATATATACACATGGCACGCATGCGTATGGGAGATCTTGTTTCCACTTCTCAATGACGTCAAACTTGCTGCCATTGATGCTCGTAATATAGAAGAAAACCAGGCCGCAGCTGGACCATCCGATACAGATAGAGAATCCGTTGGATTTATGATGCATCACTCTCGCAACACAGCTGAAAAGCAATGGGACGAAACCAAAGTGCTTGTTTTATTGGGCACATCCGGTATCTTCCATGACTTTTTGGATAAGCTTACTGAACTAGAGGACTTTTCCAGCGCCTGGATCCTTCTTCTGGCGCATTTCGAGGACTCTACCTTGCGTTCCGGAGCAGAGGTCTCGCTCGCTAGCATCAAGAGTTTGAAAAATATCACCACATTGGCAGAAACGGAGAAGGATACCTCTAAAATGGAACTTTGGCAGAAAGCCTGGCAATCATGGGAACGCATAGGTCTTGGTATTGCCAATGGAGAACAAACCAATCACTCAGTGTCTATTAGCACTATCGCCGATTCTAAGTCATTGACCACTTCATTAGAAGTGGAAAACTTGAATCAGATCTCTGATAGCTTCACGCAGGATACTTTGATTACACTGGCCAACACTTTTACCGATCTGTACCCTGCAATCAAATCCGAGTTTGGCTTGGAGGAAGTCCAGCGGCTTTTGAGAGTGCTCCGGGAACTGATGATCTACTCCAGTAGCCCTCAGTATCGACCTGATATTGATCATCTGTCACCACTTCAAGAAGCTATTTTAGATGCATTGTGCTCTATCGACATGACGGTCGATGCAGTTGCTGCTATTCTAAATGACCTGGCCGACTACATGTCCCTGGCGTTCCTTAGCCCGAATCACGATAGCCTTGAAAAGCTTGTTAGTGCGACTCCAATACCGCCCAGCCAACGAAAGCATTCCACGGTGACATACATTGCGCTTAACAAGAAGTGCACCAAGCTTGTTCTAGATATTTTCAAACGCTTTTCAAATGAACTCGAGCTCTATCAACAAGGTGTATATGTCAAAGTCATTGCTGCCTTAGGAATACCCATGAAGCTCAAATATGATTGCCCACCATCATTCAAGCATTATGATGAAGATACCCCAGCATTGTGGAAGAGTGCCACGACTGCACTTTTGGAGATTCTCGATATTGGGCTACCCAAGGTGCGAGAGTTTGAATCAGGTAACAATCGTCTTCATTCCATATGCAATAGTATTTCCTTTCATCTTAATCATTTCGTTCAGATATTCCATTGCAAGAGTACGAAAGTACATGGAGGGCCGTTGTAGAAGTATTAGAGGGCAGTCTGCTATCACAAAGGTACGCGTTCTTTGATCCTTACAATTTCTATCTACTGCCATACTGACAGTCAATCCTTTCCCAAATTCTATAGCTCGCCACCATCCACAATGTCCATTGAAGAGTTGGATATCGATGAACACTTTGACATCAAATTGCTCACCGCTGTTGAAAACAATATTGTCTTGCAAATCGGACATGCTAAAGTGCCCACTGAATTGATTCGCAAACTCATCGATGTGATTAAGGAGGGATCCAGACTCTATTACGTTGATGAGCAAGCCAATGATAGTACCGATGACAAGCCAGGGGACATGACTTCAATGAATCGATCTAGCGACCTTCTTGCAACAGTCGGTACCATTGTACCTGTGATGAAAGAGACTTTTGCATATGCTGCGCTTCGTTGCCTCTTTTCTCTGTGCTCTAGCGATAAACAAGGTAAACTGGCTGTTTCGATTTATGTATCTAGCGATGTGTGACCTTTTCCTTTAATACATCTTCCTTCAAAAGATCAATCGGAAGTTCGTCAGCGTATTGCAGAAGTATCTGCTCCGGTGCTATTAGACCGCTGCGAAGTGGTCTTGCGAAACTACATGGCAGATCAGCCACTTCTTGGACGATGCCCGTTTCCAAGGTACTTGATGGGGTGAGGACTCACTCGCTGTCTTTTTTTCATATTGGAAAGACTAGTTTGGGTACCGACAACATGATGGTTTCTTTGGATGTTCTAACATACTTTATCCCTCACTTTATAGAGTCAGAAATGAGGAAACTCTCTTCATACTTAGACAACTACTATTCCTCGAAATGCGCCCCAACTTATTGAACCAGGAAGGCGATGGTGAGTGATTGTCTCGGCATTATGTTGACTCCTTGACGCTGTTACTTACGAAAACTTTCCCATTCCGTAACTCAGATGACATCAAGAAGCTTTTACTGGGATCTTCGCGGGCCCAGATATTCTATCTTTACCCAACACTATGTAAAACCATGGTATCGCAAGACGCTGCCGTCGTTGCCTTAATTGGAGAATTGCTAGAGGTGGCAGGGCAAGCTATGGGTTTATGCCCAAAAGACGATAACAAATAAGGAATTACTATGACTCTGTATTCGTCTCTCTAGAGAGTCTATCTAGATGCCTTCCTCTCGTAATGTATATATATTTTTACATTAGCTTGTTAACTCTACCCGTTGGTTTGTTATGTTGCTGTAAGGTGTGGGGATGGCATTGAAAATTACATTGCCTTGCCAAGTTATGACTGCCGCTTCGCCCGAGAGGTTGACTCTTAGATGCTATGTTGACGGTAGCAATTGGAAAGGTTACCGACGCGTTATAGCCGACGTACGGGTAAAAATAGGATGTACTTGCTCGAGCTGCTTCTCAAGCTATTGTGTTGTGTGGCTGCGTTTTTTAATACGTAAGCTCGGTACGTAAGCTCAACATACTTAAGCTCTACGTACCTCCGCTAATGCCTACACATTGTCTTCTTTACGATTACATCCTAAAATGAGTTCAGCCGAAGAAAAAGCCGAGCAACTTAAACTTTTGCTTCAATTGACACCACAGGAAATGCGCAAGGTGTTCACAGTTCAAAAGACTCAGCTTTATTCAAAGTTGAAGCCAACTGACTTTGAACAACCCGCTAAAATCATCGATTCGTCGTTCAAAGGACCTGAAAGTGATATTCCCATCCGAGTTTACACACCCGAAGGTACAGTAGCATCCTGTACAGGTACTAAGTGCCCTTTCATGTTGTTAATAGACAAGTTGATTACAGGATCAGGCCCCTTCCCAGCCATCGTATTTTACCACGGTGGCGGCTGGATTTTTGGTGATATTCCCGGATATGATAGCTTCTGCAGAGCAATGTGTGTCGCAACTGAGGCAGTTGTCATTTCAGTGGGTTACCGGCTAGCTTCCGAATTCAAATTCCCTGCTGCTGCTCATGATGCCTATGGTGCCTTGGTGTAAGCTTTCTTGTTTATGTATCTACTGCAGCCCTGTATAACGTACTAATGGTGCGCTTTACAGTCACTGTTATGAAAACCCTGAGACATACAATATCGATCGCAATCGTATCGCCGTGGCAGGAGACTCTGCTGGCGGTAATCTAGCTGCAGTTGTGACCCTAATGAGCAGAGATCAACGGGGACCGGCAATCAAATATCAGTGCTTGATATACCCTGCGGTGGATATTCCCAGATTTTTTACAGAGGCTTATGCGGACGCACCAATGTTACAATAGTAAGTTAGTCCCTCCGTTTCTTATTGTTCTAGTTAACCGAGATAAAATCAAATACATGTAAATATAACCTTGCCCTGTAGCTTTGCAGACGCATATCTAAAATCACGCGAGGACGCTGACAATATATATGTTTCCCCGCTCAAGGCGGATCTAACCGGACTACCTCCTTGTTTCTTATTGACCTGTCAGAGCGATTCTCTGCTCCAAGAAGGAAAGGACTATGTACAAAAGCTACATGAGTCTGGAGTTCCCTGTGAATACTTGAATGTCGTCGGCCTTGACCATGGCTTTGTGGATGTCAACAAACACTTGGAGCCTAAGGTCGCTCCGCACCAAGATGCCATTTTTGCTGCAATGAAGAAAGCTTTACAATGATCACTTCGATAGTCTTATTTACTTTTATGAATGTCATTTATCCAGGGCATGTTGAGCGAAAAACTCGTTTAATAAAGCCCAATATTTACTATGCTGATTACCATCCATCCGTTGTTCCCATGATATTGGTACGAGTACGCAATTGAATTACGCATCCTTATATGCTGTCTGTGGCAAGACAATACGTAGCTGGAAGCAAACAATTCACATCGTAGGAACGAAAATGGAGGAAATTATGGTTATAAAAACGCGATAGTATCACTGTGATACATGCGACATACACTTCTACAGATGTTGGTACACAAAATATTCTATCCTAAATGAATAGCCGTCTTCCGTTAGCAGGAAATTTGACAAAAACTCTGGCAAATATTTTTTACGGTAGTGCAGCGTAAGAAGCGTTCCTTCATACAAAAAAGATAACCAGTTGAATAGTTACAAACCAGAATTTTATCGACTGCTTGTCAGATTTTGAGCCGCTATTTCTACCATGTGCTTATAAAAGAATGGCTTAAATAGTGAAACTCTCATCTAATTTTTTTTCGAACCTTCATCAAAGAATTAAAACAGGTGTTCTGCATGGGACGGTAGTTATTCATACATTTGTAGATGTTCTCAGTTTTTTCAATAATGATTATTGAATTTAAATATATTTTTTAAAAGTAGATTCTACGGCTCTGTAAAGCCCAAGGTTAAGTCTTCAGTATAACGCGAGAGCTGCGAACTACAATAGCGCATTATTTAATGTGTCTATTCGAGAACCTACAAAGTCCATCCTGTTGATGCTTAAATGATAGTTGATCATTAAAAAATACACATCTGCTTCAATGTAAATGGCTTGTGAACGTATTCATCTTTGCTCTTCTTTATAGTGCCTGAGACGTACTGCTTATTACTGTTGCAAGTGCAAGGCAGCCGCATTACAAATCCATATGTAAAAATAACATTGTCGCAAAAAGCGCAGTTTAAACCATTGAGTTGATCACGGACAAGTACGATCATGTCAGTCATATCGGAAAGTCATATCGGAAAGTTATATAAGACTTATAAAAGGGTGTGAGAATTTTCTGAGTGTATACACAGCATCTATATTTTCCATCTATCATCATGTCATGGAACAATGAAAGTATTGAGGCCTTATGCAAACTCAACGGAGTCGAATTCCGAGAAACAGTGAATAAGAGCTTTGCGAAGATGTTACAAGATACTGAACCTGAAGTGGTGTTACAGCCTGCAAGCGTTACGAATACGAAGTTCAAGGGACCAAAGTCAGATATTCCCATTCGTATCTACACGCCCGATAGTAAGTGATGCGACAGTCTTGCATGCGTGATATAGGCGTCCTTCAATATAAAACATTGGTTAGGTGACGGTTGCGTGAAATTGCCTGCTGTCGTGTTTTACAGGGGTGGAGGATTCATCAATGGCGGGTTAGACAGCCACGACTCTACTTGCCGAAGACTTTGTGTGAAATCTGGAGCTGTGATTATCTCCGTGGATTATAGGGTAGCGCCTGAGCATCCATTCCCTGCTGCAGTAGACGATTGCTATGCCGCTTTACAGTATGCATCTCGAAGTGCGTTCCAATGTTGAACACCCACAATAACAATATTGTAACACGTAGGTATGTGCATCAGAACGCGGACGCTCTAAATATTGATGCCAGCAGAGTTGCTGTAGCTGGTGATAGGTGAGATTCCATGCTTTGTATTAAGTTTACGAATCATGGCTAATAGGATGAGATATTCCTTTATGTTAGTTCCGGCGGCACTCTCACTGCCGTTGTAACCATTATGGCACGAGACAACAATGGCCCTTCAATCAAGTTCCAATGTCTCATCTACCCTCCTACAGACTTCACAACTGACTACAGTAAGCACCAACCTCATGAAGGTGCATTGTTAAGACGGGAAACCATTAAGTAGTAAGTAGATAATTGCACAGCTTTCAGCACCAATCCAGAAACTGATAAAAAATTTCATCCAGCTTACAAGATAACTACCTTCAGGACTACAATCACCGTGAAGACATCCGTGTATCTCCATTGAAGGCAGATCTCACTGGACTTCCATCAGCATGGGTTTTTGTTGCTGAATACGACCCTTTGACACCTGAAAGCATCGCTTACGTTGAAAAGCTCCAAAGTCAAAGCGTATCTGTTGAATTGGTGACTGCTCCAGGCGCAGACCACGGTATCTTTACTTTTCCCAGCAACCTTTCCCCTGATACTGTTCGGTATCAAGAAGCAGCAGCAGCAGCAATTAAGAAGGCGCTTTCTTAGCTGGCCATAGTCGCCCTTTGAACTACCCTCTAATTATAATTTTTTTCTCATCAAATCGGGATATGTGAAATATCGCACGATGACAGGCGACGGAAATAAATTGCTTCAACTTTATGTGCTCCTGGGTTCTCGATCGGTGATGCTATTCTTCTATACATATTATCTGTGATTTTGCTATTTAAAATATGCTATCGCTGAGGGTGTAGAGCACACCGGACGGCCATCTGTGAGATACACTCAGCCAATGGAATGTTACGTTGCCGTCTTGAATCATTCTGAAGCTTCAGGTTGCGAAGGTCTCGTAATACAGTATCTTTCAATTCAATCAATACATTGTCATCTTGATTGTCTGATTGTTTAGTCAACATGATGTATGACAAAAACAATTGTCCACATTGTTGCCAATCTAGGACTTTGCTAGAGTCAATTCGTCGCAAGATATCTTCTATACTTGAGAGATCATCTGATGGTGCCGAGATAATGCATCAAAAACGTGATTTAACAGTTTGAAGACATATCATGTCAAAACATACCTGACTTTACTGCTTCGGGGGCAAGCTTTTCTACTACCAAGTGATGTGCATCAGCATGTTTATCTGCCTTAATGAGGGCATCGACCTGTGCATGTAAATCTCCTATATGAGCTGCCCGTAATGCCTATCGGTATATGCAAAGTGATTAGGTATCTGTAGCAGCACGCACACATATATATACATCTATAAATTGACTACTGTGTACCTTTGCTTCTTCAATCCACGTAGTCGGAATTCTAAGTGTATCTCTCAAAAACGATTCTTGCTCAACAGTCGTATTGACATCTACATGGCGAGCCAGGACATTCTGTATCGCGATCTGACGGCTGTTTCGCTCTCTGTTAGCATTCAGAAATTGGCACCAATATCGATGAAAAGAAAACCCCCCTACCAAGACTGATCCTGCAGATATAATTGCACGTATATGGCCCACTCCCATAAGCCCATAGCTTCCAATTGTGAGGCAAGGCTCACCGTACTACTATCCGTATCAACCGAGACGTTCAAAGCTTTGGAGAGCATGACAGAGAGACACCAGGTCATTCGATAATCTAATGGATCGCTTGTAATTCCTAAGGGATCCAACGCAGCGCGAATGTCGTTCGATTGTTGCGCATACATCTTGATGATTTTGAAGAGCATGTCGCGTCTAGGAGAGACAGCGTGGGGCCCTAGATACCAAGGTGTAGGTTCAGCGACTCTCAAAGCAAGTTCGCGGTGTGTGGTTGCTTCCAAGTATTTGTTCAAGCCATCTTCCAAAGTGGTGTCCGGTGAGCTGTGATACCAGATATAAAGTCCCAGAGTTCTCTTCCAATCCAGTCCTTCGCTGACTAGTACTCTGTCGCTATCTCCAACAGCGCCGTTCATGCCTTGCGTGAGTCCAACATTGCCGCTCATGACCTCATACACCTTTCGGTAGTCTTTGCTAATCATGCCTTCGTATTGATAATCCTTCCATAAGCGTAACTGAGCTTTGATGTAATTGCGGAATGTTTCTGAGCCGGTAATGACTTGCGGTAGTAGAGTGGATAGTCTATGATCACGGTTTTCAATGGCAGCATTGCATGCTTCCTTTATGCGATGACCGGTGAGGTAGGTGAATACGGTTGCTGCGATGTTGCCGTCTGCTGCATGCTGTTCTAAATCGCGTTCCATATCCTGGGTAACTGCATCCTCCAACCACTTCGTGAATCTCCTCTTTCGCGCCGCTTCTACATCAGCTACCCCAGCAGTGGGTTCATCGAATGGGTCGTAAAGACCTTGACACAACTTGAGAACAAGAAGTTCATGGGATGGAATGAAGGACCACCTTCCACCTAACAGATTACCAAACGTCGCGCCAGGCGCCAGCTTCGCGTATGGTACATTCCCATTTTCAGTGATAATATCAGTCTGCTCGAGCATGTTTTCTAATAGTTCTTTGCAAGGAGTCGCGTCAAACTAATAGGCGGAAAGGGTCAGTGAACTAATAGACGACCGGTTTGCAGTATAACAATACGTACACTTGTAGGGGAGGTATAATGAACGTTTTGTATAGATACATTGGCAGACATCGCTTCCAACTGTGATTTTGATCTGGAGTCACTACAGAATATGACGGCACAATTAATTTCAAGCCAAAAATCTCGTCGAAATCCCCATAAGAGACGACCCAGGTCAATAAAAAAGAAATATGCGATGTTTACCTCAAACCGCGTACTCCAACTATTTTGCCGCTGTTAGCAAGCAGATCACCCGTACTCCATCCAGGTCTGAAAGATCTTCCCATGGTGAGACCAGCATCTACCAACATATTACTGTACTTGTAGGCTACTGATTCAGAGTATCCAACTTTAAAATACTTGTTTGCGCGTGGTTGTACTTCGTCGGCAACGTGATTCTCAAAAGAGGATCGCGTCTATGCGTATGTCTCATATTAAAAACATGACTATGTAAATCACATTTAGTCAAGGTCACTCACCTGCATATCGTGATAATCATCGTTGACGTCCTTCATAGCAGAATCAGTTGACAGGGATTCCGCCATATCTTGTAATGTTCGTTTGGGGCCCGAGGTGGTCTTTGTAGAAGGCTCATTGTCAGTCAACATATTATGGTCGTGTGACTCTCCATTGGGTTTCTTCTGTTCCTCTTCGTCGTCTAACCGATCTAAAATGGCGATGGCAGCCGTGGCGGCAGTGGCAGTGGCAGCAAGAATGGATGGGCTCTCGACAATATCTTCAATAGCGTGTTCCACGACATCTAGCATGGTTTCGTCCTCATCTTCTATACTTGGAAACTCGTAACGTGTAAAATGTTGTACACCAAATGTCCAGCGGTGAAGGGTTCGATTGTAGTCCATGAAGTGGGTATATTTGACAGACTGCAGTTTCCGAATCAGTCTTTGCAATGGTATGACATTAGGTACCCGGGACTTGAGATTACATAGTTCGATGGTTGCAGGTACGTTGAGCCCTTGACCCATTGGTGGAGTGTCTGATTCTATTGGATATACCGTGCAACTTCCGTGTTCAAAACAAATCAAGCCGCCGAGGAGCGAATCCAGATCAATGTCAGTTAGATCCACTGCTTGTGTAAAGTGTATGCTGCCGACATGGGTTCTGCCAGCTCGAAAATCCTTGACAGAGCGGATGTCTTCAGCTTTTAGGCGCTTCAGCTCATTAATGGTGGGTGCTGACCAATACCCGTTCTGACCGACATTTTCTATCGTCATGTTGACTCGTACACGTCTTTGTGAGGGAGGTTCAGAATTGGCGGGTTCATTTTTTTGGTGGAGCAAAAATGAACAAGTGCACGTGACCGTTATGCTGATTGAACGCTGACGCGTAAAGCTTCAACATACGAAGGCAATAAATAAGATAGATCACTGTATATGCTACTAAACTGACCTCATAATTTAATGGAAAATCATAACAGCTATGTCAAGATAAAGTGCAGCTACGATTGACAAGCGCGTCAGTGACTAACTGCATCCATATCACGAAGGTGATTTCCAACTGGTAATATTGGGTCATCCAGCTCAACTCGAGTTATGTAACGTCACTGCTGCGAAAGGTAGGATATGAAAGTTCTTCTATAAATAATCGCGGGATTTACAGTTGATAATGAACAGTAAATGATTCTATTCGAAACAGCTTTGCTTTTGCTATTTCTCGGGTATCCAAATAAAAATAAGGCATTGGGCTTAGTATGCATCCTCGCCTAATGCCACTCGAATTCGATCTCTCAGAGCTTCAATGGCCGCCATCTTGATATCCAGAACCTCATCCAAATTACCAAGATAGTCTATAAACTCGCTGGACGTTTTGATATCGTCTTTGATGCTAGGTGTTTCTCCTTCCTGCAGATTACGCCGGCTGGACAAACCAAGGGAGAAATTCGCCAATAGCTTAGTTTCCTTTTTGGTATAATCGGACACTTCTCTTACTTCAGCTCGATGTAATTTGATGAAGTCGTCGATGGTATCAGCGTCGAACATGATACTATCAATGTCTACTTGCTGTTTAGATTGGTAACTGTCTCCTCCTGACGAATGGGTTCGGCTCATATGGTTGACACGGGGTGATTTGGCAGATGGACCACCGACCATAGTATCTGAGCCATCTGCATCCTGTAGTGAGACAGGGCTAAGTGACAATCCCTTGTGTTGATCCTCAAAGCTGGAACGAGATCGGTCATATTGTAAATTGGATGATGTGCTAGACCTGTGCGCCATGTCTTGACTGGTTCTGCTAGGGTTGGAGCTTTGTGGAGCAGATGACAAACCACCATAACGAGCGAGGCCAGATGGGCTTTTCTGGCGCTGCGACGCATAGGTGTTTTGAGGAGGTAATGCAGCCGGAGGGTCGGCCAATAAGCGGTCATTTCCATCATGCAAAAATTCTTCATCCAAGATATTGACATTTTCATCAGGAAAGTCCTCATCATCCAAGAAAGTGTCATCCACTTCTTTGTACAAATCCGGATCGTCCGATTCCACAAAGTCGTCATCCAGAAATTGCTCTTCGTCTTCATCACCCGAATGGTCATCCATATCATTGTATCCTGACACCAAGTAATGATCGTCCGATAAGTTTTCGCTTTGAGGACGTGCACGTTCACCTTTCAACTCTTTCACTCTGAAATATGACAGGGTTAATTTGGGTGGGTTGCGGTGACCATGAAGCATATAACTCACTAACCTGTCAGCATAGCGAAGGGTATTAAGGGTATGTTCGCTATTGCTTTGATTGGGTGAGATAGTTGCAATCATGCAAGTACGTGATTTCCCAACAAACGAATCCTTTAAAACTTGAGTTAATTTACTTTGACGGAACGGGGTATGGCGTTTATCTTGGTCCAGTGCTCGGATGCATTCTTTGAGAGCCAGCAAGCTTTTGTTGATTTCGGCGCCTTCCATTCTATTCATAACATAGTATACATGAGCCTTATGGTGATCCACTTCCGTGATATTATATCTTTTTTTTTGTTTTTCAATTACCTCGTCTTAGTGTCGGCATCACCTCTATCAGCGCCACGTTCACTACCAGCCAAATCAATAAAGCTAAGCTTTCCAGTAATCTGCTTTCGGTTTTTCTTGGGCTTGAGTAGCACTTGCAAAATGGCATGGGAACGAGAAGAATCGGCATTTGCGCCCGTACTTCCTATTGATACAAAGAAAATGATTAACACCAAGCAGCAGGTTGGGATGCATGCTTTTGCCACGCAATAGTGGTACTTGCCTGTACTGCGAGCTTGGCTACCGTATTCAAAAACTTGCATCAAGTTATTGACATTGTCAATAGGGAACTCCTTCAGACCGGAAATGACGACATTCTGCTTTCCATCTTCACGAGCAAATAGTTTCTTTCGTTCATTCAACAAATCGTACAATTGGCCCTGATAGATTTCATAAAAACCAATCCAGGCTGATAAATGTTCATACTGAGGTTGCTTCAACAGAGCAAAGATATCGCGAGCAGCCAGGACATACAAGCCATGTTCTTGATCTAACATAGTATAGGTTTTGCCAGATCCAGTCTGTCCGCTGAGAAAAAAATGGCAACCATTTCAGCAAACACGCTAACTCAGCCCATCCACGGTAGCCCAAAAACAGGGGGTAGGTACTCACTATGCAAAACAGGTTGCCTTTCCACCATCAAAGACATACTTGACAAGCGGTAAAGCGGTGCGTTGATAAAGCTTAAAATAACAAACAAGGTCAGCGGCGAACTTATCCACAGTAAATCACTAGATGCTGCTCTGCTTTACCTCTTGATTGTCAGCATCAACATCAAACACTTCATCAAAAGTGAAGCTATGCTGTTCGACGTATTTGGTAAGATCAACTTTTACTCTGAGCAAAACACGGAATTCGTTAACACCTGCTGTTGCAAGTTCCATTTCATTCCATTCGCTTCGACTTACTTTGGCTCATTGATATGGATACTTCGAATTCCGACAGTAGGAGCAATATCCTTTTCTGCTTTGTCGATCTCCTTTCTACTCAGCGGCCTTTTCCTAACACACACACGAATCTTTTGGTTCAAATCGCTTTGACCGGGCTTACTAGCAGGTATGGTGGCAACGGTGGGTGAGCTGGATCCGGAAAAGGCTGAAGAATTGGAGGGGGGTCGAGGAGAGTGGCGAACACGGGAATGCAGAGGCATACCGTATGGGTTGGAAGGACCGGACCCTCTGCGAACGGGCACAGGGTCATCTTCATCCGATGCATCTTCATTATAGGTATCAAGGTGTTTAAGGTATATTTCAGGTCTCGAGAGTTGGCCAGGCAGGGTTCGTGATCTAGATCGAGTGGCTAGCGGTGGCGGGCTAGGCATACTAGGAGATTGAATAGGCGATCGATTTGGCGAACTAGAGTCTGGTCGTTTCTGATAAACATCGGAAGGTCTACGAAAAGAAGAAGGAACGGTTGACTGGCTGGATGCCAAAAGTCCATTCTCATAACTTGGAAGTTCTTGACGCAATCCTTGGACCAGCTAGAAGGGTGTTAATGATGTATTTTGCCTAATAGAAGTCCCGAAAAAAATACAAATTAACTTGCTTGAAACAGTTTCCGTCGGTCTTTCATAGTAGTTACACCCAAGCGACTGTAGTCCTGCATGGAAATCTATTTACAATAAGTCAGTGGCGGGAGGAATGGAGGGGATAAGATATGTAAAATTTTTGACGTGTGATTAGAGGAGAATTTTGGTAAAAATTTACGGCAGAACTAGATCGTACCTGAGCCAAGCTTTCTAGATGAGAGATACCATTGGAAGAAAAGCTATTGGGAAGAAAGGTGTTATTTTTTTTTCCTTGTGCGGGAGTGGAAGCGGATATACACAGGAAACGCACCTCGAATAATACTGTAAGGCGTGTGGCGGTGGATGAATGAGACTAGGTCATAGTGACGAGATGCTCAGGGACGGACGGGACTTACCTGGTCGAGATCAGCTTTCCTCAATGTATCTAATAAAGTAGTTGCCATGGCCAATGGAAGAATAGAAGAGATGGAGAGTTGGGGAGTGGGATGAAAGTTCACAAAATAATGTGAAAGCAAGCAAAGAATTGCTCACGTGCCCAGTGCAGGCAAAGCAGGGCGGGCGGGCTTCTCGGTGATGTTTCCAATGGCTGGTAACGTGATATTGTGATCTCACTCACTGTGCTATAAAAGTGGCCGATGGCGAAAGAAGTTTTTCCAGGTTTATTTCTTCTTTTCCTCTAAAGCAAAATGTCTCGCCTTCATCTCTTGCAAAAGGTTGCTAACGTTGTCGTCTACTTGTTCTTCTTGGGAGCTACTGTCTACTCTGTAGTTGGTCCTAAGCCTGACCCTAAGGTCATTTTGGAACACGAGACATACATCACTCCCGGTATGTTCTTGGCATATCTTATCATATTTAAATAATCCCCCCTCACTTTTACTAATGCAACTGTCATGTAGCTTCCTGGGTGTTCTACGTGTGGTCTGTCATCCATTTGCTTTTGGGTGGTTTCGTTGTCTACCAATGGTTTGAGCCTGCTCATGAAGTCGCTGTCCATGGCGTTGGCTGGCACTTTGTTATTTCCAGTGTTTTGAACGCTGTTTGGCTCTCTTTGTGGGTAAGTTCCGTGGCACTTTGGCTGGCTGGCTGGCTGGCTGACATAACATTGACGACTTTTTTCCTGTCATCTAGCAAAAGGGTCACTTGGTCTTGGCGCTTATTGCTATCCTCTTCACAGCTTCTTCCGTTTCCTTCGTATTTTGTAAGTTTAGGGCGTTGCTACACAATGCATCAAATCAAGTGGCAACTTTGTTTGAACCTCCGCTAATACGTTACACCTCGCTTCTTTTACCCTTCCTTTCTTCCCCCTTGCCTCCGTTTTAGACAACTTGGAGAAGAACTATGCTGCCAACAACTGGTGGGACCGCATCTTTGTTCATGCTCCTTTCTCCTTGTGGCACGGTTTCGTTGTGTTCGTCGCTGTCTTGAACACCTTCGCTGCCTTCACCTCCACTCAAGAGGATGGCCCTGATACCCTTCACATCACCTTGGTCATCTTCGGCCTCGTGTTCTTGGCCAGTACCGCTATTGGTTATGTTGAATACAAGGGAGCTAAAGGTGATGTTACAGGTGCTCTTGTCATTGCCATCGGACTTTTCGGTGTCTTCGCTCAGGTACGTGCCATTGCCCTACACGTTTTTTGTTGTTGTTGTGTAGACACACTAACCCTTACACTCCCTTAATTTTTTTTTGTCTTGTACAGCAACACAATGCTATCATCCACTGGTCTGCTCTTGCTGCTGCCATCGTCACTGTTCTCTACCCCGCTCGCCCCTACATCTTCAAGTTGTTGGGCCGCACTTCCGAGTCCGGAGAGAACGCTCCTCTCCTCGGTTAAAGCTTGCCGTCATTTCGTATAGTTAGCTTTTTTTTCAATTATCTATCAACCCTCAAGAAACACTAGGTTTCTAGCTTAACTTTGTACCCGTGTTTCGCTCAAAGAGCTTTCACTGATCGTAATATTGGATGTGGTTTAAAAACACGCACGTTTTTGGAAAATGAGTCAGTGTGTGACTGTTGAAAAAATTGTAATACGATTTTCCATTTGGAAGCTTTGCTTAACACCTCTTACTTTTGTCACAGCAACATGTCTGAATTCATGGAAGATCTTCGAGTCACTGGCTACAATGCCCTTTTAACCCCTTCTTTCATTCAAGAAGAGTTCCCAGCTGTAAGTAGAACCACTAGGTGTTTACCAAATCAAAAAAGCAGTGACTCACTCGCGTTGCTTTGTACCATAGAGCGAAAAGTCAAAAGCCACAGTCCGTCAAGCACGTCAGGAAGCTGCCAGCATCTTGAGAAAGGAGGATGACCGTCTCATCATCATCGTTGGACCCTGCTCTATCCATGACACTCAAGCTGCTAAGGAATACAGTAAGTTTAAAAGATTCTTAGGGCCAGGGCCACTGAATCGTTAGGCTAACCCCGTTTCTTCATAGGCCAGCTTCTTCTTGAAGCCAAGGAAAAGCACAAGGGAGAATTGCTTATCATTATGCGCTCTTACTTTGAGAAGCCTCGCACCACCGTTGGATGGAAGGGCTTGATCAATGATCCAGATATTAATGGAAGGTATGTTTTTTTGGTAACACAAGCTAATATCTAGATGCCAGCCATCTAGGGTTACAAAAAAGCCCACTGACCGTCGAATCTCCATTTGGTCTATATAGCTACAACATCAACAAGGGTTTAAGAATCGCAAGAAAGCTCTTATGTGAACTCACAGACGCTGGTATGCCGGTGGCTGTTGAATTGCTCGATACCATTTCTCCACAATATCTTGCCGATTTGATCTCTTGGGGAGCCATTGGCGCTCGTACCACTGAGTCACAACTTCACCGTGAACTCGCGTCAGGTGTGTCTTTCCCCGTTGGATTTAAGAACGGTACTGATGGCAACGTGGCTATTGCCGTGGATGCCATTCGCGCTGCCTCTTCCCCACATCACTTCTTGGGTGTTACCAAGCACGGTATGACCACTATCACCAACACCAAGGGAAACCCCGATTGCCACGTCATTCTCAGAGGAGGAAACGATGGTCCCAACTACTCAAAAGAACACATTGCCAAGTCACGAAGTGACCTTGAGAAGGCTAAGTTAGCTACCAACGTCATGGTTGATTGCTCTCATGGTAACTCTGAGAAGGACCATGCTAACCAACCCAAGGTGTCAAAATGTCTTTCTGCTCAAATTACTGAAGGTGACAAGAGCATTATTGGCTTGATGATTGAGTCTCATATCAATGAAGGCAAGCAAAGCGTTCCAGCTGAGGGCCCTGCTGCCCTTAAGTATGGTATTTCCATCACCGATGCATGTGTCAACTGGGCCACCACCACCGAGATGTTGAACGAACTTGCTGCATCCGTCAAGGCACGCCGCGCTGCTAAGCAATAGACGCATACACAGTCAAGCATATCCGCATTCAACCAACCCTCCCGCACATATAATGTATCCCATCAGGTTTTCTTACTGAAGATAAAAGCCAGAAATGAAAAAGTACAGCATCGTTTTTTCTTTCTTCCATCCTTTCAAACAAACAGAAAAAATAGAACAGCCAAAGAATTTTTATATAAAAATGGAAAAAAATCCTCCAACGCCATTGTACAGGCCAATAAAAGGATGATGACATTCGTCGTTAAGATTTTTTATTGTTGAACATAGAGCAAAAAGCAAAAAGTTTTGTGTGATGGAATGTGAAGGGTATTAAACATTGGGTTCGATCGATTCCAATGGGGCGGGATTTAATTAAAAAGTCGTGGATCATAAGGCGCCTAGCATTTGTTTCATTTTACGAAGGTCTCCAATGATGGCATTGATCTGTTGCAACCCCCATGTTTGAACGATATCATCAATTTTCTGCCCTCGCGCAAGGTTGCCCAGCATTTCAGCTTGTTGGCGAAAGCTTTCCAAAGCTGCACGTTTTTCTGCCGCTTTCTTATCGCCATTAACGGAGGATGCATCCGTGACCTCTCCATCAGCTATGTCTTCACTATGACTGAGTTTTCGTTTCTTCGCCAATGGCTCCTCTTCTTTCTCTTGTTCAGGTATTTCCTTGTCTTGTGGTGTAGCTGACGCCTCGCCGTCATTGGCGTTTTCTTCGGAGGACGATGCTTCGTTGGCAGCTCCCCATCGCTGTCGTACAAGTTCTACCAAACTCTCTGCTTCCTGCTGCCACACTTGAAAAGCTTCTCGTTTCTTATCTAGTTCCTTGTCCTCCTTCATCCTCAAAATGTCTTTAAGGGTAAGATGTCTTTCATTTTGAAAGCTTCTTTCGTATGTCACTAGCTTGTTAAGGACTCGTTGACCGATATACATATGTTTGCAAATGGACATATCGTCTGGACATGTACATGATACCATAACTTCATCTTCGAGCGCTATGTCGTATATTGTGCTATAGTCTGTGAACGAATGAACTTGAATCTGTATTTCGAACAAAAATTTTCCATGGAGTTAGTGTAACCGTAGAGATCGCATTTTGATCGAAGGTAGTGTGTCGTTTTTACCTTATCCTTGTGATTGCCTGCAATCAACAACTGAGCCTTCTCCCATGTGATATCATAAGCGTCATGAAACCGTTTTCGTGGTTCTGATCCTAAAATAACTTGATTGATTGGAAGCAATCGTCTTTTAACGTGTTGTTCCCATTCGAATGATTTGTTCAGTACGCGATTGACGAGGAACATATGCCGACACGTCTTTTTCCTGCCACGAGAGTTGGGGACTGCACCATTCATGCAAGTACAGTCTAGCATGCAATTCCTTTGTAGCCGAATAGCGAACGATCCGACTTTGTCGTCTCCAAAAGCTGCCACCAGGACCTGCATAATACAAAAAAAAAAACGGAACGGGATCGCGAAGGGGGGCATTCGTTAATCTAGGTGTATTCTTGAAATGCCTACGGCAAGATATATACCTCTTGTTCGTTGTGTGGAACCACTAAACGCTCAGCTTCCTGCCACGTCATTTGATTAACCATGTCCAAAGCACTGCGTTCCATCTTTGTGAGCTTCACATTGCTGAAACTTCTGTTCACCCTCAAACCATCGACCTCGGGAGCGACCCAGTCCCATGTGTGCTAATTAAAGAGAAAAACGGGTCATTAGTGAGTCCAGATATAGCCATGCCAACGCTATGATGTCAATCACTTGCCATGTTTTCACTCATGCTATGTGATTTCTAAAAGCTGAGGCACTTCTTTGCTGGAAAGTGTCGTCATTGGGAGAACAGTGCCCAAAAAAAAAATATGTCACGTGTTAGTCTGCGCTGGGCCTGGCCGACAGGTTTTCAATAAGGAGCTTTTACCCAACGCACGCACAACTGAAAGCACTCGTATGACCAGCAGTTCATGACCATCGAAGAGTACAAGGCTTTGAAGAAGAAGCCTAAGAGTGACATTGCGCTCAATCTTCTCAAAAGACTGGCGTCACAGGCAAGTTTGACTTGTTAGCGTCCGGCCAAGAAGCATAACCCGCGACATAAAGGCTGACACCGTCCTTTTGACACATACTTTTCTCAAAAATGTTACTGCAACTAGGTGGCTCCAATTATGAAGAAAAGGGGATGGAAAGTCAAACAGCTTGCAGAATTCTATCCGAGTAATCCCAGCTTGCTAGGTCGGTCAGCGTTTCAAACATACATTACTTGTTACAAACAAGGACACTGATTACGACTCTTTATAGGACTCAACGTCAACAAGGGATACCGTATCGACATACGACTCCGTTCTCCTGCAGACGCATCTGAATTTCTTCCATATGACGATTTATTAGGCACATTGTTACATGAGTAAGTGAGCAACTATCTATAGCACACATTCAATTCCATTGACGCTGTATTTTCCTCGAATGTTAGATTAACTCATATAGGTGAGATCGGTTTGTGAACATTAGACGAGCAGCATCGTGCCTAAAACTGAAATAATTACTCGCTTTAGTTCGGGGACCACATGATGTCCAATTTTACAAAATACTGAACGAGGTTAACGCTGAATTGGATGACTTGATTAGCACAGGATATAGCGGCGAAGGGTTTTACAGTCAAGGAAAACAACTAGGTAGCAGTCGACAAGTATCCAAGAGTGAAGCACGGAAGAAAGCTTTGGAAGCGGCTGAAAAACGACAAAAACTTGGCAAATTAATGCTTCCAGCTGGAGGAAGACGGTTGGGTGGAGGGGAATCGGCAGCTGAAAGAGAAGCTCAGTTCACTCCGCAAGAACTGGCAGCTGAAGCAGCTGAACGTCGACGTCGTGATAACATATGGTGTGGTGGTCAAGAAGCCATAACGCAAGAGGCGAAACCGGAAGATTATGTATCGACTGTTCAAGACAACGGTTCAACGTCCAGCAATAAACGACGGCTAGATGATATAGATGATAAGGCATGGGCGTGTAATTACTGTACATTTATGAATGAGCCGCTACATCTTGTTTGCTCCATGTGCTTACAAGAGAAAACAAATGAAAAGAGGATTAAAAGTTCCTGAGGTGGTAGTTGGTATCGCTGGTTTAGGTCCAATAGGCTACTCTCAATTTTTTTTTTTTCTACAACACCAATTTTCGGTGGCATCGCATTTTTTTATTTCCTTTCTTTCATTTCGTCATGTCAACTCAATCGACTGATTCACAACGTGAAGCTACACCTTCCCCAGCTGCTTCCACCCCTGCTGCTCCCACTAAAGCAGTGCAAGTGAAGCTTGTTTTGCTTGGTATGTATTGCAAGTCAGCACCGCCCATGCTCACTATATCATACAATCCGTTGCATATGAAACATCACCGATCTAAACGTCTTGACACTCCTTTTTTCAACTCTAGGTGAAGCGGCTGTAGGCAAATCCAGTCTAGTGATCCGCTTTGTCAATCGTGATTTTCAAGAAAACAGAGAACCCACCATTGGAGGTAAAGCATGTTATCTACATGGCACTAATGTCGTCATGCCCCCCATTATGGTGATGTCATGGCCCATTAACACTTTGACTTTTTTTCATCTCTGATTAGCTGCGTTCTTAACTCAAAAATGCAACGTCGATGACCGTTCCATCAAATTCGAAATCTGGGATACCGCTGGTCAAGAAAGATTCCATAGCTTGGCACCCATGTATTACCGTAATGCCCAAGCTGCGGTAGTTGTATATGACGTTACTAAAGCCGTAAGTACCGAACGTTTTGCTTGCTTTTATTGCCTATCTGTTAATCCCTTCTGCAGGCTTCTTTGGATAAGGCAAAGTCATGGGTTAAGGAACTACAGCGTCAGGCCAACCCTAACATTGTTATCGCTTTGGTCGGCAATAAGCTGGATTTGGTGCAGCAAGCAGAGGAGGAAGATGAAGATGCTGAAGAAGGCACTAGCACTGTCAGACAGGTGCCTCAAGAAGAAGCTGCTGCTTATGCACAAGAATCCGGCCTCTTGTTCTTTGAGACGAGTGCACGAACAGGTGATGGTGTAGATCAAGTGTTCTCGGATATCGCCAAGAGTATTCCTCTCGAACACATCTTAGCGTCTAGCCGTGGTTCTCGACAAGGCGGATCCAACAATCCTCGCATTGACTTGATGCGAGAAGGTGCCAATGGGGTACGCGCTCCCGGCGATGGCTCCAACTGCGCTTGTTAAACATCGTCTTCTTTTACACATCTTGTATTCTTTCCTTATCCCCTTTTTCTCCTGCTTTGCTTTGCCTTGCCATACATTCAAATATTAACAGCTCTTTTATATTCCAATTCCCCCCTTCCCCGCGTCCCATACTGCTATATGGATGGATCATAATCTCCGTATCTCATACAAATACTTTTTTCTTTTGTACGATTGCTTCCCTTTTTCGCTGCGACAGTGACAAACATACATGAGATAAAATCACTCTATGACACACAGTAGTGCTCCGTGTGAAAGACTCTTAGGGCCGGTACTATGTTCATATCATGACCGGGTGGCATTCCTATAGGGCAAACAAAAAAAAAAACGGTTTATTTTACATCGGCAATGTCATCTGAATCATCTGAAGGAGAGGCACTGAAAACGGTCTGTTGAACAGGAGCCACGTAATCGATGGACGCCGCCGAGTCACTTGTCCACGGCCGTCGCATCAGAGGGTGCGCTTCAGTATTGAACACAAATTTGTCTAATGAAATAACATCGTCTTCTGAAAAGAGAAGGTAGAGATATTTGAGAGTCTCCGCCATGAAGAAACTAGAAAGGAAGGATGAGTGATGGATTGGTGGACCTTGGTTGCCTATCAAAAATGCCTCACCTCTCCATGGAATCGTTCTGATTGTCTTCCACACCGACCTCTTCAGTAGGAACGAAATCCACACTGCGTATAGATGAATACGCCGTGGGGGTCTTGCAATATTTTTCAATGGCCTCAAATATCTTCCATCCGTAGTCCTGATATTTTGGATCGCCTGTAATTCTATACAAGACATACAGACTTTCAACCGTTTCTAAATAAGCGAAATATAAATATAGGAGGTATCAAACAGGTTGGCTTTTTCTTTCGTCGTAAAACTTACCGGGCCGGAGCAAGTACATAAGATCACCTCCACGTCTAAAATTGGACATGCCAGGACGTTTGCCGACAGCGGTAGCCATGTCCTCAGTGACATTTTGTCCAGAAGGAGGTGGAGTGTGATGTATCTGGTCTCTAGCCGCCTCTTGTTCCTCGTTTGCAGCGATCTGAGCTTCATCGGCATGTGGGTGGAAAAGTACAAATCGGTCTCGACGAATCTCTTTTAGACTCTTGTTATACGTTTTCCCGTTAAATACTTCAGTCTTGAGTTCGTAATAAGTCCAGCGTTCTGGGCACAAGCCAGTGGCAGAACTTTGGTACATGAACACGCACGTCTCCAGTAATCCCTTGGCAATCAGCAAATCTTCTTCTCGGTCAAACAGTTTGGCGCCAATAGCAAGCATACCAGGCACGAAACAAGACTTTTGGCCAGCAAGTAGGGTCTGGTTAGCATCGGAGTTGTCTAACCATGCAGCCGAAAATATCTTACCAAGTGATCCATCACGAACTCTGGCGTACGAGACACGGTGTTATATGGAGTAAGGTATAGGAGATCAGACTGTGGTAGCTGTCGCAACAAGTATCGACGCATGCCTTCCATCGACTCTATGTCTATCAGTGGTTGTTAATAACCTCCGGGACCTCAAGATAAAAATAAAGAGAGCCTCGCCAGTGTGGAGCTTAAACTTACACATTCGTTTGTACTGTGGAACCGTCCCATCCACCAGCAGATATTGCTTCAAAAAATACTGAAGACATGGAAGGGTTAGCAAGAGATGTAAGCACTCCATCCCAAGGGAAATTATACAATGTGTAACCTACCTCAAATGCACTATCACCCGCTCCACCAAACGACGAAATGGCTGAGAATACCGGGAAAACGTTACTTCCAATCAAGTTCAAGCCCATTCCCTTATTACCGACTTTGTCCTACTCACAATTTGTAAATTCTCCTCGACCAACGTCCATCGTGGTTGGGTAAAGTCCAGGAATATGCATATTCTGTTCGATGCCCATGCTTTCAACATAGTCGGTAATTCGCTGAGCCTATACGGATCAATGAAATTAGATGAGAGGGAGAAACAATGAGGGCAATGAACTTGTAAGGCAAGGCGGCTGATTTTTTTCATCAGGGCAATTTTTTTTTTTTTTTGGTTTTCTAACCTTTCTGGCATACTGTGGATCCCCGGTATAATGAGACAGGGTCATAAATTCCAACTGAACAGTGCCTACTTCAGCGATCAAGCTAAAGTTGTCTCTGGACATCCGGCTAATCAATGATATGAAAAAGGAGAGGAAGGGGACACAGATTTAATAAAGCTTGTGGGATTGCTCCACTGCATGAGGCTGACTTACCTTTCGAGATACCACCAATGATGGGGTAAATCATAAGGTGTATCAAAGGCAGGCATGAGCACTTGACCCAATTCTTCAGCTTTGGTTAATAAAATCTCATGCCCAGAAAGTTCGTAGGCACTCAAAAGACCACCAAGATGACGAATGATTGTTTCAAACACACTGATGGGAACGGAATTCGCTGTGCGGTTGTAATTGATGCCTTCTATGGCCTGGACGGCCTCATTGAACTCGTCTTGAAATCCCATGACAAGCATGGTGGATAACGAATCTACCAAGGTGGCCCCCCATCCGCCAAATCCATCGACGGTTCCATTTGTATTCGGTTTAACTTCATCGTGTTTGAAAGCGTATTTTCCTAGTTGAATGATATAAGCATGGAAGGCCAAGTAGCACTACATATGATACCAAAGCTTACGGTAGCCAGTCCATGTATGATTGAAAGCATTTTTCACAGCCTGCTGACGATACTCTCTTACGACCTTGGCTTCCGGCGACTCGTCCACCTGGGGTCGTTGTATTTTGGGCAAACGAGCATTGAATCCTTTAACACCCTGAAGGACTGTATGTGGCTTTCTTTCAATTTCTTCTTCCTCGACTTTCTCACTTGGTTTGCTCGACACGCGTGCATCCTGATCATAGGCATCACCAAGATCGTGGTTGAGTTGGGAACCGGAGTTCGAGGACTCGTGAATGGAGAGCGCGAGGTATTGTAGAACAACCAGAACGACTACAGCAAGTAGAATAGGTATTCGCCATCGTTGACGAACTTTGGGCCAAGACATGTCGAAAGGATTGGGTGAGAGATTGCGGTAAGCGGGGAAATCAGTAGAAAGGGTTAAAGAGGGGTCCAGACTAGAGTGATTAGAAAAAAAAAAGTCAAAATGGACACAGGAAGTGCGCACCCCACTAATTTTTTAACATGTGTAAATTTTTATTATAGTCAAATTTAATGCTCGTCATCGCCTGCTTTCTTCAAGTCGCCCATCTTGGTGGTCTGAAATGATAACAAAGTGTTAGATGAGTGGAGAGAGAATAGCAACTTCATTAAAACACTGACTTACCTCGACTGGAGATCTATGGAGCAGTAGAAATGATAGATTAAGTTAGGAGAGAGAAAAAAAAACGGCGGAGAGATCACTCAAAGACCTTACCCAATGAATGTTAATTGTTGGATTTGAGTAGTCTCCTCGTCACCTTGATTATCAATTATGAAGAGCTATTGTAAAAAAGAAATACGTCAATGGCACGTACCACCCTCAAGCCATGTGCAACGTCAGGCCAAAGCAACTTACCACCACACTGGAAATGTTTTGGAATTTGACAAATCTCAAGTTGATAATAGACTTGCCGTCCAAATCGGCTTCTGAAAGTTCCAAGGTCTGTGTTTCCTGCACGGAATCGGCATCGTCGAAATCCATGTTTTGCTTATTGGCAAATAGCTTAATGGTTTTAGGTCCGTGCGATGCTGATATGAAATGATGAATAGCTGAAGTACAAGTGGAATATGTAGCTGCAATGCTTACCACTGGGAGCCTTGATTTTGAGGGAATGAATGCGAACGGCTAAATACAAAGGTGAGTCAGTCACTATAAAGGTATGTAGAAAACAAAGCATGAACTTACTCTGGTTGAATGGGATGCCAATCATAAGTTGCTCATCCACATCGCTCTCAAGATAACCTTCATCATCCTTGAAGATATTGCGCACATTGTGCTCTTCCTGCTCATTGCGAATATCAATCTGATTCAATGTGATGAATTCCTTGAGGTCCGACTAGGTGTGCGATGGTGTCAATGGTGCATTGTTCAAAGTTTTTCGAGAGCTTACGTCTACTTACATGTCCGCTAACACCAACGCTAGACACAGGGTCCATATTGGGATCACCTTGATGTTGCTTAATAAGATCCTCAAGTCCTCTGGGGTTAGCACCCTTCATTTCTGCGATTTTGTTTCCACCTTGATAAAATTGGAATGTTGGCCTGCAAAAATGATATGAATGACAAATTCAGTTTCTCAAAGACGACAAGAGAGACCACACTTACATGGAAGTCACTCCACGTTCAGAGGCAACATCCTAGACGACTATAATGAGTACTCAAACCTTTTATCGTTCTATTCTTATATGAGGTAGAGAGCTATACCTTTACTTGATCGACATCCACCTGAGACAAATAGGATCAGTAACAGCTGATAAATAAGACGATCGGAGAGGGTCATATAAAATTCGTTAAACACACCTTTGCAAACGTAACATGACGGTATTTTTGTGAAAGCTGGGTGAAGAATGGAGCAATAGTTTGGCAAGGTGCACTGGAGCATGGGTGGGATTGGATCAGAGTCGGTACAGGGCATGAAGAGCAGCTTTGAATGACTTACCACCAGCTGGCTGTAAAGTCAACAACTACCAGCTTTGTAGCCGGAGCAGAGGACAAAAGCTCTCGAAACTGGGTAGCATTGTGAATGTGTTTAATGGACATGCTGGTATAACAAGGGAAGTGGCAATGAAGTGGAGTTGTGCGTGACCCTACTGAGTACGCGTCGCTGACTGACCTTTAATTATGTCATGAAATGGAACCTCACACTATGAAAAGCTTATAGTTATATAAACAGGCATTTATTACAATTTCTTTTATCAAGAAGAATGAAGTGAATGAGAGAGAGGTATGAATGTTATTTCCCTTTTGTTTTGGTTGAGAAAAAAAAAAAGATGACATGACTATGCTTTAGCTGGAGAGATATTGCGCTTCATAAGAAGCGTGGCATTGTTCATATTGAGGTCGAAAGGAGCACGTCTTGATCGTTTAGAGTTGTTGGAAGAAACGGTGGATTGCGTATCTGGGCTAGAAATCATACTAGCTTGACGCTGTTTCTGCTCGGCTACTTTTCTTGCTATTCTTCGTTGTTGGGCTGCTTGTAGTCGTCGTGTGAGGTCGTCACCACCCATTTTGCCCGCAAGGGCAGCAGGGACATCAGCAGGTAGCAATACTTTGCCAAACTCATCATCACTATCTTCCAGAGTGGAGCTAGACTCGTCTCCAGAGTCAATCGTATCTTGAAATGCTTTTGTCGCACCCTCAGACGTTTCGTCTGCCACCTTCAAATCACCCATGCGCTCATAGAGAGCTTTACGTCGTTTCTTTTCTTCTCCCATTCGTTGCACTGCATATGTGACGTCAAACACTTCTTTCATAGATACACCGGGAGAAAGGAGATCCTTGCGAGATTCTGGGTTAGCCGTTGGTGGAGCATCCACGGTCACAGGAATGGGTTGTGGTTCCTTAGGAAGGTTTTCTTGGCCCTTCATGATCCAAGGATGTTGTAAAAATTCGTCGATAGTATAGCGTTCGTCAGGATCAATGCACAGTAAATGCGTTATGAGGTCTTTGGATGAACTGCTGATGTCATCCCACCACGGGCTCAAAAATGAATATTCACCCCTGGCCACCTTCTCGGTCAAAGTCTTGATACTTTCATCATAGAATGGTGGGAAACCGCAAAGTAGCGTGTAGAGAACACATCCCATGGCCCACATGTCGACGGCTTTAGAATATTTTTGATCACGGATAATTTCAGGAGCAGTGTAGCCTACGGTACCGCAAGGGGTCATGGTAGAAGCATCCCAAATGACTTTGGAGAGACCAAAATCTGCTAATTTGACAATTCCTATGCCGCCTCCGCCAACTCCAGGTGTGAATTCTCCTTCATCTAACTTTGGTGCGTCGTCTGGGTGGGAAAGTTGTAATGTTTTGGGATCCTTGGATGGCACAATGGGTATAGGGTTGAACAAGATATTTTCTGGCTTGATATCACTGTGAACATGCAATGTTTATAAAAGGAAGAAATGAGAGCATTAGCAACCAGTAAAATAGCTTCCAAGGGTCAAAGGATGACTTACCGATGAACAACACCACACTCCTCATGAAGATGTCTAAGGGCATGGGCTAGTTGTGTTATAACATGACGTGCGAGGTCTTCACTGAAATAAGTCAGCTTGACGATTTGATGGAACAGCTCTCCTCCGTCACAAAGCTCGAGCACCAAGTAGTAGTAATCATCGGATTCAGAAAAGCTAATCAGACGAATAACATTGTCGTGGTGAATACTTCTCATGATCTGGACTTCCTTGAGAATATTCGCCCGCTAAAAGAGTCCGTTAGTCCCTGAAGATAACAGAGGGTTGCATACAAACTATGAAACCTACCTCAGTTGCCTTGGGACGCTTCTTCATTTTGGGGTGTAAGTGTCGCTGTGACTGAAACAAACCACGACATTAGTTCCTGGTGGAGTGTGCGATCAATGGATGGACTTTGACTATTACCTCTGCAGCATTCTTGTCGGGTTTAGTTACGACCTTGACAGCAACATAATCACCAGTTTGGGTATCGTACGCCTTGTATACCTTTGAAAAAGCGCCACTGACAACATCGAAAATACAAAGTTAGAAACGACTTCAGGCATAAGCAACTCCTGGCAAAAATAAAAACTTACTCTCCCATCTCGGAAATCAGAGTATACCGTTCTAGCTTAGGGTAGGTAGGAAGCTTCTTGTCGGCCTTGGCTAGCTTTTCCTCTTCAACAATACGGACGGCAGCCTCGGTGTTGTTGAATGACCGCTTCTCGTTGTCATTAGCAGCTTGGTCCTTTGGTAAAGCGCCTTGCTGAACCGACACAGCGTTCTTTCCCTGTCTTATAAAGTTTTTTAAAGTGTCCAAGACGGGCATTGTGGTTGCAATGGGAGTGAAATGGAGAAACGAAGTTAAAAGAAAAAAGCTCAGGTTCTTTTTTTTGAAGCTTTTTGATTTCTTGCAAATCAAACTGCGATGGTGGAACACTATGATGTCAATGAACTACTCAAACGAGGTTTGACTGAGTAAAATATGATTTTCGGAAGAGGTGTCATTAAAGGCAGGTTCACCCGCGACACTATCCGAAAAAATTTTCAAGAACCCAGTCGCCTCGCCCTGACAACCGAAGGAAGGTGCTCTGCTAGAGTCACGTACCGTTTAGGATTGTCTTTGAAAAAGACCATTTTTATATTGGGATTTCTTTCTATGGCAGATTGGAGATGTAGAAAAAGGGAGAGGGAGAGAAAAAAAAAGTAAACTATGATAACAAGGGCGTGTAGGAAGATTGTTTGTTCCACATTTTGTTGGATGAGTTGTTCGATGGTTATTTAAGCACCAATCTTCTTGTCAAGGGTGTCACGGATGACCTTGGTAATGATGGGAGTATCAGGGAAGGCATATTCTTCCAAGTTTCTTGCATATGGGGTGGGGACATCAGCACCAGCGACACGGGTCAATGGGGCATCAAGGTAGTCGAAAGCATCGGCTGGAAAAGAATATATATATACATATCGATTAGCCACTGGGGATAAAAAACGCGACATGACACGAAAGTCAACTTACATTCCATGATCTGAGCAGCAATCTCAGAGCCAACACCATAGGAAGCCCAGCCACCTTCAACGGTGATGATACGGTTGGTCTTCTTAACAGACTTGACAATGGTCTCGACGTCAAGAGGACGAATGGATCTCAAGTTGACAACTTCGACTGAGATACCGTCCTTGGCAAGTTGCTCAGCGGCTTCCATACAGAAACCAACAGATCGAGAGTGGGAGACAACGGTGATGTCCTTACCCTCACGTTCAACCTTAGCCTTACCGATAGGGATGACAAAGTCAGAAGATTGAGCCTCTTCAGACATGGGGAAAGACAAACCATATTGAAGTTCATTCTCCAAGACAACAACGGGGTTGGGGTCACGGATAGCAGCCTTCAACAAACCCTTGGCGTCTTCCGAGTTCCATGGGGAGACAACCTTGAGACCGGGAACGGAACCGTACCAGGCAGCGAAGCACTGAGAGTGTTGAGCAGCAACACCAGCAGCAGCACCGTTGGGACCACGGAAAACAATAGGGCACTTGACGGTACCACCCGACATATAATGGGTCTTTGCAGCAGAGTTGACAATATGGTCAATAGCTTGCATAGCAAAGTTGAAGGTCATGAACTCGCAAATGGGCTTCAAACCACTGAGGGCAGCACCAGTAGCAAGACCGGCAAAACCAGCTTCAGTGATAGGGGTATCGATAACTCGCTTAGGTCCAAACTTATCCAAAAGTCCACGGGTGACCTTGTAAGCACCGTTATACTGAGCAACCTCTTCACCCAAAAGGAAAACCTTCTCGTCAGCGGACAATTCCTCTTCCAATGCTTGGTTCAAAGCATCGCGAACAGTCATCTAGAGTCAATGGGGGTCAATGTAAATGACGGGAAAGCGGGTGGGTTCCCGCGGGCGGGTAAATAAACCTACCTCAACGCTGTTAGAGTTCCATCTCTTTTGAGCAATGGCGGACAAGGCGACAGGAGCTTGCTTAAGAGCGGCACGTCGAGCTACCAAAGGAGCAGCGTTACGGATAGCAGTGGCCAAGAAGGTCATTATGAACTGGAAGATGAGTTATAAGGAAGAGGAACGTTCAACAGCGTCGGTGGCCAGAAAACAAAAAAAAAAAAAAATTGAGACTGTTGGGTGAGAGCCAAAAATTCTGGTGGTCCGGAATTCTTTTGATTGGCTGTTTCGGTTTTGGGGCAATTTTTTTTGGCGAGTAGAATCGGATCTTGACGGGCTCCCTTTTCCCTTTCCCGCGGGCGGACGGTGAAGACAAAAGCAAAGGGAAGGAAAGCAAAGGGAAGGAAAGTGTAGTCAAATGAATGATTCATGGTTACAAATCACCCACACAGTGTCTTAGATTTTTTATGTAATGCAAGGGCATGTTATTGAAAATAAACAAAGACTATCGACAGATAACGGCTATATTAAAGTTAGGGTATTCGGTTCGCATGGTATTTCTACACTCTTAACCTCCATCCATTTCTATCGCGTTTGATGAAACGTTTACGTACAAGTAAATCCACCAACAATTCTACATTGGTACGATTGTAAAAATCCGTATGATCATTAATTTCCTTGAGAATATCATCCACGTCCAATACGCGACCATTGGCTTCGGCAAATGCTGTGTACACTCGTGTTAATTGAGTTGATCCGGGCGGTGACTGCAGGAAACAAGAGTCGCGTTAGTATGCTTTTTCTTTTTCAAATATACATATCTTCTTCAATGTATGGATGGACATTTACCTGAAATAGACTGGGAAAGTATTCAAGACTGAACCGGGCTGGTATCTGGCCAGTGAAGCCGGTTGTCATGGTTATACTGGCTTCCGATGGCTCTGGACTCGCTTGGGATGGTTTGAGGGGAAGTACGCCAGAAAGCTCATAGCCGACACCAAGGTCACTGCCCGCTAACGAAGACGCGTCCATCACCGTATGGGAAGGTACATGGCTAATAAACCTGGCTGTATCGTTCGCTTCGGATGATCCTGCGCGGAAAGGGAAATCGGAATCCATGCCTTGGGTGTAATTTTCAAGAGTGTCTTCATCCACAAGTTTGCCAGTTTTTCGAAGCATATCGTCGCCATCGTCAAAAACATCCATGTGGCTGGTTTTGTGAAGTTTGTAAGGGGTAGGTTTTTTGGAGTGTGAGCCATCATAGACACGTTGTAGGTTAGGGCTGCCAGGTAGTTGGAAACGGCTATGGCCAGGTGATTTGGCTTGGTTACCATCCAACCATAGTCCGGGCGGGCAGGGTGATGAGATACCACTCGTACCGGAAGGTACATTCTTCGTTTTCCGTCTTCCAAGCATGGTTTCAAATTGTTCGGCAGGGTCCAGCCCTTGTTGTCCAGCGTCGCCATATCCTTCCATCATAACGTTCTCTTGTCGTTGTTCTGCTTGCGTTTCGGGTCGAGCCGCCCAACTGTCAGTTGTAGAGTACTGACTGTGTTGCTCATCCCCTTCGGCCAAAGAACTGGAAGGTTCTTGTGTGTAGGTTACGCTAGGAGGTCGATCGTCATCCTTATCATGTCCTTTCCAAGCCTTGGCAGGAGGACTTGCTCCAGACGTTAACATGATATCGTCTACAATCATTTTGGCAGCTTCTTTGGCTGGTGTTTTGATTAGCTGGGAGCGAGGAACCGCAAATTGAATGGTACGTGGCGGGGAATATCGACTTTTAGCTGTCTCATCTTCTCCATCATCAGCCGACATATGATCAATCCTCGCCAAATTAACATCAGGCGAGCCATTGGAGGAAGTTGTGTCGGACATGAGAATAGTTGGTTTTGGTACAGAGGAGCTGACTGAAGACACATCTGGCCGAGGAAGCCCAGTCGATGATTTGAAATGCTTATTCAGGACCTTTCCAAGCAGCCTGTTTGATTGTACGCTTTGAGATGGTGTGTTTTGCTGTATGCCGTCTCTCTTTTGTGGTGTGGTGTGGCCAGCTGAAGTCGTATCACTCATGGCTTCAAGATTCATCTCACGCCGTAATCGCTCCCACGGTGACTGTAAATCATCGTGTTCGCTCCATGGCGCTGCTGATGGTGATCCTCTCACGCTTGCTTTTGTGCCCAATGGTGGTCGATTCGATCCCTCCATATCGTCTGTCACTTGCAATGATGTGCGACTACTATCCAGAGACTGAAAGAAATACAGCCAGAACTGGGGAGAAACGAATAGAACAATGGTTAGACTATATATTCTCTGCTGTGTCCGTGTTGAGGCTATGGTGGGTGCTGATGACTTACCTTACTGCCATTCCATACTCCTTGACTTGCATCAGCGTACTTTTCAACTTGAGGTATGATTCTTGTTGCAATGGTTTGATGACATTTCGCGAAATTTTGATCAATAGCCTGCAATGTCAGCGTGATGTTCTGCTGTAATTTTTCTAATTCTGCATTGAGCTGCTCGTCTGTGTACGAGGTCATCTTGGTTTGTTGTGATGGCACGCGCAAAACGACGCGAAGGTGAAAGAGAAATTTTTGAACCGACGCGCTCGCTAATTGCCCGTGACGTTCTTGGGCGACACACCGAGACCCAAAAAAATAAAGCGACAGTACCCACACTGAACCCTCCATTTCATTCATGAAGAAAAACGAGGAAATATTCGAAGGTTGGTAGATTGAGAGTATGCATCACAAAAAAGTGACATTTCCCATCTAAAAGAAACACTGCTGTCACAGAAGCGGTGCAGTACGAAGAAAAGGGAGAGCGGCAGGAAAGCACGGAGCAAGCTCGGGAGTATTACGAGAAAGCTGGCGAAATGTACTCTCGAGCACACGAACTTGACGAAAGCGACATAGATTCACTTTACAATTGGTAAATTACCACCGAGCATTTGCTACTATTCTTTTCAAACTTGTGAACTGACATTGTTGCACAAAGGGCAAGAGTGCTTTTCTTGCTTATGGACTACGTCCCAGAGCATGCTGAAGCTGAAGAGAGACTCAATCTCCTTGATAAATCCATCAGCAGATTTCGAAAAGTACTTGAAATGCAAACTAATAATGCGGACGCCATGTTCAATCTTGCCCAAGGTCTGACAGTTCGAGCCGATTTGGTCGAGGACGTCGATGGTATCACTGATGCGCATGGCGAGGCAGCACAGGCTTTGCAGGAGGCCGTTAGTCTGTATGAATCGGCTTACGAGCTCCAAGAAAAGTTACACCAACAACAAACTCATGGTAGCAGTACCTCCTCCGCTACGCCCATCGCCATCGCAAAAGCTCCCGTTACAGCCTTCACTTTAATCGAAACGCTAACATCGCTGGTCGATGCAACCAGAAGCCTGGGAGAAATGCTGGATGAATTCGAAGATGTGCAGCTTCTGTACAAAGCAGCATTAAGCAAGATATCTTTAGCCTACGGAATTTTGGCCGAAAATACCGAATCGGAAGAAGACACGCCTGCGATTATTCAACTTTACCAAAGTCATGCAAGCTTATTGGCAGCGCTTGCAGATAGAACATTTACAGATACGGGAGAGTTGGATGAAAAATCGTACAAAACGGCCATTGAAACATTAGCCAAAGTAATTATTTTAGACCAAGACAACGTCGAAGCGCATTGTGACCTCGGCGACTTGTATGGTGGATATGCACAAGCAAAAATGCGAACCTGTACAGATCAAGACATATCATCGCAGGAAGAGAAATCGTTATGGGGATTTTACACAGAGGCTACAAGGTGTTTTCAAACAGCTCTGGATTACCAACCAGATAATTTAACCACGTTGTTTAAGTTAGGAGACATCCATTTTACCAGAGCACAACTCCCCTTTGCCATAGCACGAAAACAAAAAACACAACTTTTGAAGAGTGCTGAATACTGGTACAAGCATGCTGTGGACCTCGAAACTAGCGATTTGGAAGGCGGCTGGGTACCCTGGGCGATGAGCGCTTGGGCCATAGCCAAGTGGACGACGGATCATATGGAAAAATTAACCGAAGCCGAAAATATTTTGAAACTGTGGGTTGAACAAGGAGGTTCTCTGAACCTTTTAAAGGAAGTTGGTAAAGATAATATCCTTATGCCTGATGAATTTATAACTTGGGCTTCGGATATCTTGTTACAATAGTCAATGATGTCCGTTGCTCTATCTAATCGACGCCTTTGACGATTCAAAACGATAAAAATAAACCCGATTATCCACCTTTGGTATATGCAGTTTCCCATCCGGTGTAGTTCTAGCCTGTGCGTCTGATGCAATGCTCTCCATTGGCCTTACCGTTTTCTAGCGGTTCGAGAATCATGTACTGTACCACGACAAAATTGGGAAGCCCCCACCTATTTGAACAGGCAAGCCCGTCCAGGCTAAAGTGAAGTAAATACCCATGCCAAACACACACCATCAAAATAATGGTGCACAGAAGCTGTACCTGGGAATGCAATGGTCTCAGACATCTAAGGGTTACGTAGGACGATTATACACAGGAAGGTAGGAGGCCATAGTCAGGAGATGTATCCCTACCGTTTTTTTTTTTTTTCTCATAGCGATTTTGCCATGCTCTTTGAACATTGCATGATATTATCTGCAAGCATCTATGTTGGGGAATTGGTAAGTGCGTCGTTTGTCATGAAACCGTAGAACAAAAATCTTTATCATGGTATACCTGCTCAAGCGTTCTTATTTCAGCCAACTCAACGTACGAATCTCAATAGGCTTGCCCAATAAACGTCTCGTTATCAATATGACCATTACCGTCGTCCCCTTGTCGTACCTTAAAAATGTCTTTTATAAATATTCTACTGTACCTTGCGTTGTTCATAGACACGTCATGGCGCATGCACACTGAAACACTAGAGCCGGGTACAGAGTAACCTATGAAGGTATGTGGCATGGGCCCTGGGAATCCAATTGAGCCAAGGCAAACTGGTTTTTGAACATTGTAAGGTAAACTGAGATCGGTTAGGCCGATCTGCAAAGAGCAATATAGACACACACCTTATCGTTGTTTTCACGTTGTTCCATAACGCCTCTCAGCGGCTTGCATATCGGTAACGAACAGACGACATCAGCCGACGGTGCTAAAAGAAACAAGAAATGCACGCCACAAGTACTAACAGTTAATCAGTGCAGGAGATAGATATCTGGCCGTTACTTAACGCCAAATCGGCCAGCCAGTTCCTCTGCCGTTAAAAATATATAAACCTCGCAGCGTTTTAGTCGTTTTACTTTTTTTTCCAATATCAATTCTCATCCTCTTAGCTCTTCAGCTTCCATCACTTTATTCCCATCCATTATGACGCCAAAATGCTATGCTTGCTCGGTGGATATTGTTCTACCTATATATCATGGATGTCCAAGTTGTAAACGGTGGCAGCTGGCGTATTGTGAACATTGCAATGTTTATAGCCACTGCACCAATTGTGCCTTCACAGAAGAGCATGAGCGACGATCCCGAGAACGGGAACTACGATTTGCTACATATCTGCGCCCAACCGTCTTATAAATCCTTGGCAAAAAAAAAAAAAAATTATCCCTATCAAGCATTCATACAACCCCATCGTCTTCCTCAGCGTTTTCCTTCCACTAGAAATGACACTCATAACCATCAGCGCTAACACCACGTCATCTAAATTAAGCCTCTATAACAAAAATCATCCGCATTACATGATATCAATTGAAGTAAAATAAAAAAAATGGAATACACTAGCATTGCCTCCCATATCTTGCTTGTATTTATTGATCCAGAGATCGTTATTTATGTATATCATCAGCGACGTTGGGAAAAATGTGAAGTGTGTATTTGAGTATGTAAATAGATAGCATAGCGTTAAATAATGAAACATTGGGGTTTCCCAATTCCGAGTGGACATGACGGTGCTCATGTTTGTATGGGATTCAAATATGTCCTGATAGCAGTGATCTGCAATATCACTTGTTACCCAGATTCTGAAATTTGGCTAACAGCGCCGACACCTTTTGACCACCACCAGCTGTTGTGTTCGCAGTACTGGGCTTGGCCGTGTCAAGTTTAGTTTGTGAAGGCTCTGGCTTCCCTAGTTTATCAGGCTTGGCTGCACCATCGCTTGGAAAGTTCCCGGGCATATGACCTGTGTTCTGGTTTTTTACATCTTCCTTGGCCGTGTTCTCCTGCTGATCCTGCTGCTGTTTAGGTGCATTGTTGAACTCCGAGGTCTGAGGGTTGGAGGTGGGCGTAGGACTACGGAGCTCGGGCTCATGTTCAGATGGCACACTTCCCGGCAAAACAAATCCTCCAGCATCTCGTCGACTTTCCGTTGGATGTGCAGTAGGATGGAACACAGCCGGTGATCGAATTAGCTGGCCGGCCGCTTCTTCCCAAGGTTGAGGTGGAGTGTACTGCTCATAAAACTGATAGTATTGTTGATATTCCGGAGGTGTGAGGTAATAGGATCCAGGGGGGTAGGTCGGGGAGGGGCCACGAGAAGGTGGCGAGGGTGAATGATGATCCCATGGAGAAGGTGGTCTAATTTCATCTGGTTTACGTGGATCGTAGTCCGCCGCGGCGATAGGTGTAGAATGACGGTAGGATGATCGAGTGTCGTATTCATCATCGTTTGCGTTGGTAATGGACGTTGTTCTGTGTCGAACCCGATCACGTTGCGAGGTGGGCGTACTTAACGAAGCCATAGGATTAGGTGCATCCAACCTGTCCTGAGATTGGGAAGGCTCGGGTATCTCGGGCAATTCCTTGTCCACGTCACTTGGTCGTCTGCGGCCCACGAGAGGGTTGCGTCCGCGGTTAGCAGAGGTTAGTGTTCGACGAACTTTGTTTTGATCCGGTGTCCAACTGTCAAGCGCTCTCTTGGCATCCTTCACCATGTTGGATGTCTGCGTGGTACCTGAAGGTACAAAAACGATAGGTGTCATTTAGGGCATATCACTACGGATCAAAGCATAAACTTGGCAATTACCTCGATAAGGTTCCCGTTGTTCCCCTGGTTGGATAGGATGAACGTTCACTTGGTCAGCACAGTATTTGGCAGTGGTGGCAATGATGTCAGTCTTGCTTCCTAACTCGTGCATTCCATTGAATAACAAATATAGCGCTTCCTTCGTGGCCATCCTCTTGTAATTACCAATCTCAGTCTCAGCAGGAAGCATTTTCTGTTCCAAATCCGCCAACTGTGTTTTAAATTCGTTGATGCGATGAACTGCTTCTGGCTGGTTACGTTGCGTTGAATGAATCCTATCCTCCAGCGATCGCTTCTTTTCCCTGTCCGACATCAGGACTTTCTCTCTTTCTGCGATTGTCTTGAATGTATTCCGATATTGCTCAAAGTTATCTTTGATGGTTTTTTATGTCAGTTCATTTGTTTACATGGCTTTGTATAGGCAAGTCGTATCACTTACTGGCAAATTCCTGCAACACGTCGCTCCAGCAATTCATCAACTGCCCCACTTTGTCTGTGACGTCCTATATTCGCGAGCGTGATGAGCACGCCATTCTACCGGGTAAAACTCCCAACTGCATATACTTACTGTCAGATCGTCTCCAAGTGGTCTTCCATATGTCACCATTGCGTGACCTGCCTGCCTTCTCTGTCCAGCCAGTTGCTTGAAAAGCTCTAAACCATTCTTTTCCTCCTGCAAGAATACGTAAAAGTGCTTGTCATCCTGATAGATATTGCCCGCGCTCTTGGCAAGATGGGTTCTTATTTGATGAAATGGGTTAATGGAAGACATTATGAGATCAGGACGTCAGTAGCTGTGTAGCTCCTAATTTTGGTGTAGCAGACCATGCTCACCATGCCTAAATGCGGCAAAGCGTATTGAAAGGCAGCTGGCTTTGCGCGCTCAGCAAAGCATCGCAAAGCTTGTCAAAGACTGTTCACGACCAAACGCTCAATTGTAGCTGGAATTTAGGACCCCTTCATCTTCATACTGGGTACATTTTCACAGCGATGATACGAGCTAGCTATCGGTGTACATGGATGGTATAGCCACATGGCAACATTTGTTGCACTATTTCTATTAAAGCACATCGTTTGAGGCGTACATATAGAAATCCATTCCTATCGCAGTCTGATCTGTATCAAGTAAGCGCTCATCCAATGTACGTAAATTGAACTGAACGATTCAAAATTCTACTCACACGCACTTTTGCAGCGCAATCCTCGAGACGATTATTAACCGGATGTACTGAGCCCCGTCCCTGCTGCGCTTATCTACTTTGCTTAGCTTTTGTGCTTGCAATACGAACCAATGGCAAATTTTCGTATCTTTCACTGTCGACGTCTTCTTTAAATGAAGGACCTGTGCTTGAATGATTTCATTTCCCTCAACCGCCAGCCAAGCACCTATCCCCGATCAGGTGTTTTAAATGTTGTGTTTGGTGGCCCACCTGGTCATAACAAATGGCACTGTCTTCGCTATTGACCAATGAAAAGTGTTAGTTGTGCCTATTCCCATGAATCCGATGCATTCACCCTTCAATTTAATAGCTGCAAGGCAATGTGAAGCTAAAGACATGTTCATAACCAGGCTTTCTTGTAATTCTCGGATTGGGGTCCGATAGGGTACATTCGCTATCTGATTTGCCAATTACAAATTGTACTTCCCGAAGTACTTCGGGTATAATCGCTGGGGAAAGGAATCTCCGCTTCCAGAGTCAAGTTTTATCAGTTCGCATACGGATTGACCCTCCGCGGGTTTGTTGATCAGAAAACCAATTCTTCAAGTAATGTCTGGAACAGTGAAGGATGCTTCGAATTCAACTGCCATTAACATGGCCCAAGCTCCCATAGAAGACGTAGACCGATGTGAGAAACAATACCCTAGCTGGCTCCTTAAAGTCGCGCCACGAACGTCTATGCTTTTCCGTCTATTCCTAGGACCTGACCCACTGAAAGTTCGCAAAAAAATATGTATCATGACTTTGATTGTTGTTCTGTTCAATGTGTCGGTATGGGTAGCAGCTGCTATCATTTTCCGGTCGTATCCCGGTTTAATTGGTATCGCTGCATTAGCCTACACCCTCGGACTTAGGCACGCCGTTGATGCAGGTAAGAAATATAATTGGTTTCTTAGCCATATAAAATTTTTTTGACAAAGTCCCAAAGAAATCTGACCTTTCTATCCTCTGCAAACTCAGATCACATATCTGCTATTGATAATGTCACTCGAAAACTGCTTGGTGATGGACAGCGGCCAGTCTCGGTTGGTTTTTTCTTTTCGCTTGGCCATTCGACCATTGTCATTGTGACCTGTATTGTGGTGGCCGCTACGGCGAACGCAGTGGCACAAGGAGTTCAAAACTTTAGTGACATCGGATCATTGATCGGAACGTCGGTCTCTATCACATTCTTGTTTCTCATCGGTGTGCTTAACGTGATTGTTCTGGTCGGGATCTGTCGGGCACTACGTCGCGTGAAACGTGAAGGTGTTTATACCGAGTTGGATATTGAGGCTTATCTTGCACGAAAAGGTTTACTAGGAAGATTCTTTTGGCCCATCTTCAAGTTCATCAATCGAGGCTGGAAAATGTATCCACTTGGTCTGCTATTTGGTCTTGGATTCGACACTTCAACTGAAATCGCCTTGCTCAGTATCACAGCCATTCAGGGGGCCAATGGCATGCCAATTTTCCATATTCTGATTCTTCCATTTCTCTTTACTGCCGGTAAGTTATTGAAGCAGTATGGGACACCTGTGAATTGGATCGTCTGACTAAACATTACATTTTTCTAGGTATGTCGCTCATTGATACTCTAGATGGCATGTTGATGCTGTTTGCTTATAGCTGGTCCTATATCAATCCAATCCGCAAGATGTACTATAATATCGTCATTACCACCATCAGTGTGACAGTGGCTTTCCTTGTTGCTCTTATCGAAATGTTTGCTCTCATTGGTGAGCGACTAGAGCTCGAGGGAGGATTTTGGACCTTTATAGCTACTTTGAGTGATAACTTTGGTATCATTGGTTATGTCATTATTGGAGCTTTCGTACTGGCTTGGATCATCAGTGCTGTGGTCTATAGGTTGTCTGGATATCACAAGCTGGAGAAAGAGTTCGACGAAAGAGAAAAGGAAGGAAAGGAAATGGAGGTAGAAGTTGTAGAAGGAACCGAGGATCAAGTTCTCAGCGAGAAACCTCTAGAGAAAGAAGAAGCCAACATAGGTCTACCTACCACAGAGATACGATAATCCTTTGTACATAATTTTGTTATTACAAATTGTTGATAGTATCATGCACTCTCGTAATAAACATAGTATACACCTGTTATGATTTTAACACCTTTTGCTCTGACTCTACAATTTTATTATGTTTTACAATTCAGATATAAAGTATGTAACAATTTGATAACCAGAGGGCATGTCTGAAAACCTGGGTAGTTTCCAAATCCATCCTTTCAGCATTTCATACCCAGTGTTTCTAAAAGAGTTTCACTTGGGTACGTCTTTAGGATGCAGTTGCTCAGGACCAGGAAAGCGCTCAAGTGACAGATCGGTGCAGTCGTGAAATTGTATCATCTCTAAACTGGTGCTACGTCTTCTTCGAGCGGTGGAGGGTGCGATACCGACGGTATCATCATATCGCCCCGGCAACTGGAGATAACTACTTGTGTGAGCTTCCGTAACTTCCATATCCAGCGAAATCATTGTTCTACCGCTGCACAGCGTTGCCTCACTGTTTTGACGATCGAGTAGCCGATGTTGTGACATATGTGAGTCTGACTGATCACTGTTGTTACGAACCATATGGTGTTTCAAAAGCTCCAAGCTTTCCTGGCGCTGAATTCCCTTTGTCAAGTTTTTGTTCTCCTCACCGTCGCCGTGCCAGAAGTAACGTCGCCATACTTCAAGCGAATTCAAATCTCTCACTTGAATATGTATGTCAGTAGACCCAGTACCATGGACTTTTAGAATATAAGCTTCCGGCTGAGACGAATAGATGGAAACTTGAGAATATGCAAAAACTTGACCTCGATTTGTCAAATGCTGATAAACAGGGAAAGGTAAAGGTAGTTAGTCAAATGTTGTCATGCCGAGATTTCAAGACTGTTATCTTCTTCTTTCTTGGCATATCTTATGCACTTACTGAAAAATGTGAAAAGTATCTGCTGGAAGGGAACACCATGATGTCTTGCATTTCCCAATGAGCAAGAAACTGTATGTACTTGTTTACACGTCTCAGTGGTAGCGTTCCTTCGTGCACTTCGATAAAGCCTTGTATCGTATTTCCATTACCATCGAAATGTGTACTTCCTATGCTACTTTTTCGAAGCTCAAGATGGACAGGTTCGCTTGCCAGTATCTGTTCCAAGCTGAATAGCTCACCCTCCTCGCCTGGATGCTGCAAAGAATGATCCGACTGAAACGCGGATAAATTGGCTTGCGTACGCTTCCATTCGTCCTCAGAATATAACTCTTTTCGCCGCGAACTACTTGTATTGCTGTTTGTTTGATTGCTGGAGTTTGATTCTTCATGATCTCTAAAAAATGCCCACACTTTTGGCAAGAACAAGATATACAAAGAAACTGTGGTCCCCCATAGGATTGTTATGACAGTAACATAGTAGCGAGTGATGAAATCGGCTGTAGGAAGGAAGAAAACAATGAATCCGATGAGTCCGGCGAATAATATATTGCTGGAATGGACAAAGTCAATGTAAGAAACACATTTCACAATTTCCCAGCTCCTGCATCGGTTGTCAACTTTTCACTTACTACACACACATTCCTATCTGTTTTGTTTCGCTATATTTTGAATACGATGCTCCAACACGCCGGGTTTTGATGGCCAAAAATATAGCAAACGCCAGGAGACCTATGGAGTATGTGGCTATCAAAGCCATGAATGCTGTTTTCGATGGATGTTCATAGGCGCATATGACATAGTAGGTTGATCGTGATAAGTTGACGTTGATTGGCGTGACCGTGGCCAGACCTAGCCAAAGTGCTAACAATACCTGCGGTTTCGTTAGTGACAAATAACTTTATAATCCAGCAGCAATAATATTTTCTTTTACTCACAGCCTGAACAACAATGATAACGGCAGAAGCTTTAAAAAGCTGCAGGTCTGTCACAATGGTTCGAGTGATAAAGATATTATTGAAAATCCGAAAGATGCGATAGTTCTTTGTCACCATATTTCTATCAAGGAACCAGGTCAGTCATTTTTACGCATTGGCTAGTGGTTGTAGAATCTTTCTTCTTACCCCATTATCAGGCAGTAGCCCAGATGAAATGCAGTGGGCATAACATAACAGCTTGTGACGGATGGTTCCTGAACCATGAGGACAAGTGCCGTATATGAAAGAATGAACCCCAGGAGCTCCAACGTGCAGAACATTGGACTAAGGGTGAAAAGATATGTTAGCACATTCTATCATACTAATGCACATAATAAAAAAAATCTCTGTGAATGTCACACCTCGATGCCTTGAAGATCTGTCTCTTACGGAAAATGGTGACAAGTATCATGGTTGCGAACGAGAATAGTATTCCCCAACCCGACACAGTCATGACCACAAGAGATATCGGTGAGTTATTTTTGGGATCAATTGAGGTTCTCGGTGGAGCATCCAACGGTTGCTGTAGTAGCCAAGATTCTTTAATATACTTGTGAGTTTGTATCTGGCATGGCCTGCATACTTACATTTGGTGTTCCATCGTGGAATAGGATAGGTGCTGTGATATTCAGTCCGCTACTAGAACTGGATCCAACTATGGTACTTTGTCCATTTTGCATGTTGTATATCAAAAAGTTTCTGCCATCAATTAGTTAGCTTCAATAAGTTGGAACTTGCTAATCATAATATTGGCGGCACGTCAACGCTCACTTACCCAGAAGTCACATCTCCGTTGGAATCAATTTGCATCGGACCTTGCGGACCGATGAAGGAGGTGTTGAATGTTAATGGGGTCATGTACTGCCCTAGTCGTCCACTCGCCAGATCTACCAGGGATTGGCTTATAGGAGTAGTGGTGTTGTGTATAGTATTATTGAAGCCCATAGCCATCATCATCAAACAAGAGTATGCCAGTCTAAAAATGGTTCATCAACTCATGTAGTACGTCGCATAGCTCGTTCCTTAGCACCTACCCTTCATTACCAATAGTATTATGAACTCCAGCCAGTGGGTAGCTATTTGAGTGAATAAATTTTTTAGTCTCGCTCTATTTGGGTGGGCAGATGAGATACAAGAGCAAAAAATTACTCTGTCGAATCCAGTCGACTCCATTTGTCTAGAAAATTTTCATATGGTGGATAACCTTGTAGATCCAGCCATATATCAAAGGAAATCATTCCATTGTAAGTCTTATTAAAGTCTATAGGTGTTACATTGTCGGTCAGGCGGGCGGCTAATGATATGGCGCTGGCGTTTTGTGGTGCGGGAGAAATCGTGCCGTTTTTACGAAGCGCTATAAGATTATTAAATCTTTGGGTGGCGGAATACAGGTCGTCATTCACTGACCCAATAGTGATCCAAACAAATTCATCATTGACGTATCCCATGTTGGCTGCAACGGTCAACAAAGACACTTGATCAGGTGTGTCTGCTGCGACGATGACAATGCGTGCACCGGTTTCGGCAAATTGTTGTAGAACACTCATGACGTTGGAATGTCCTCCGCCAGAACGAAAGGCTTGATACGTAAGAACTCGTACATTGCTTGTTCGAGATTTCATGATAGCATGCTCTGATACTGCTGAAACCATCAGTCATGTATTCACATCCTTTACAATTTCATAAGGTATACTAACATTGTTGTCCAAAGGCATCGTCTGAAAACAAAATGCCTACTCTGCACCAGTTCTGGCTTGCGACGAATGATAATATAACGTCAATGTACACTAGATCGGTCGGTATGGTACGAAAAAAATATTTGTATTGACTCTTGTCGGATAAAGAAGCTGTAAATAAAGATCATCAGTACAGCTCTGCTTATGATGTGGCTCAGTGAACGGTTACCTACTTGCTCCAGCAGAAAAAGAACACTGCGGAATTTGAAGAGTACTAGTCATCAAACCAGACAGCGAAGTCCATGACGATGAAATGTCGCCTATAACACCGATGACGCCTTGCTGTATCAAAGTAACGGCTGAATACACTGCTTCAGTAATGGCGATTTGGCCGCTGGCATTTGCGGGGTAAGAGTCTTTTTCGACCAAGGTAATGTAGGCTCCAGGTATCAATTGTTGTGAATTTATTTCGGCGGCGGCCATTCGTATGGCTGACATTCCGCTAAAAGGTGGAGAACAAATGAAAAGACAACACTTAACATGAAGCAGTAACAAATGTTTCTTCATCAAACAAAAACATAAAAATCACAGTTGCTAGCATCTTCAAATGCTACCAGGATTTATTGTTCTTTACCTAATGGTTATGGTTTTCGTCCACTCATCGTCAACTTGTTGAAACGGTAACAACACACCAATTTTGAGCTCAACTTTTCCGGCTGTGTCCACAGGTCGAATTTCAGTTGTTTGATTGACTGTTAAACTAACAACAGTTGTATTATCGTGAGACAGCTGTGAACTGATAATGCCATCTGCCATCGACTATGGTATAAGGAGTGTGAACAGGGAAGACCTTTAGCAAATCAGGCGGTCGCCAACTCGTGTTCTCAACTTTCTAATTATGAAGGTCAATATGCAAATTAACAAGCCTGGGTAGAAATACCAGTTTTTTGTTTCCATTCACCAAATAAAATAAAAAAAAAAATTGAGGGCTCTCCCTACGTTTCACGGATACGAAAAGGAGCACTATGGGATTGTCCCTTCGCTGACAATTATGGGCTGGGCTCTTAGCTACGAGATCAGCATAACGAGTATATAGCAGCTTTGTGAGGTTCGTGAGCACTTCCCCCACGCATACAGATAGCACAGTGGATACCAATGTAACATCGATATCGTGGAGCTTAACGATGACGTGTTAGTAATCATGGGTACTCAATTTGTTTGATATGTTCTATAGAGGCAGGCTAGGGGTGAGGAGTATCAATAGCTAGCTTATAGCCTGGTATAGGGATTATCAAGGGGTTGTGTCTTAAAAAATTTTGCACTAGGGTGAGCAGAGGGTTATGTTTGTCCAACAACGGATGTAAGCGCAACATATCTGAGGCAAGACGGCTTGCCTGTTTGAACTGTGCTTTACCTCGTAAGCTGTACCTATATTTTCCATATTTTGCAGTGCATTATATCCCATACTGCCATGACGTACAACTTATTGTCACTGACAGTTTATTTCCCAATGCAAATACTAGCTGTAGATTCAAACATTGCCCTCTATCGTGTTCAGTTCAGGTCAAGTGCTAAATACGAGCATGATAAATGCATAGATTCAAAGCTTGTATCGAACTCTCCCGGCTTGTATCACCGAATAATTGATAATAAAGTATTGCGTCAATTCACTTATCCACCCCCACGTTTAAGATAAGTGGTACCACCAGGAGTCGATATAAGGCTTAAATTGTTAGTAACCAACGATCTGCCGGAGTCTCAACTGCAGCTGGTTGGTCGTCGGTGGTTAACGACCTTTACCTCGGAAGAGTGTCTACTTCCCCATCTCCCGGTAATAACATGGTTACTAAAATAAGGATTGAGACGCCAACATGAGATATACTGGCATATCAATGCTGAGCTAAAACGTAGTGTGTCAATGGCAACGCTGAAAAGAGAACGTGGCTTACGGTATGCTAGGCAACTTGCTAAAGATAAACCAACGGGTTTTTCATCAAGTGACTTCATAAGCGATTTTCGCGAGCTTCGAGACGGCTTCATGAAGATAAGCCGTAAAGGGTGCCAGTAGGACATAGCCTATCTATTGCGCTACAAACTTTATGACCAGGAAAGCCGAAGCCCGGATATTCGTTTGTGTTCGCTGCCGCTAGCCTGGTGTAACACTGATCCTACTTGATCATCCATGGCTGAGTACCAGATTCTTTTAATGAAAGGTTCTGCAGGATGTAAAGCAAGCCCTTATGGGGGCCACAGATGCCAAGAATCATGATGCTAACAAACTAATGATTGTTGAACAACACTATTTTCTCATTCATAATGACTTTGAATATGCCTAAAGCCATATTCCGTCACTATTATGTTCCTCCAAAATGTCATATAATAAACTTAAATTCTCGGGCAGACAAGAGATAACACCTCAATTACTGTATTCCGCAAACCTTCGTCCTTTCTGTTGTCTAATGAATACCGACAGAAGATAAGGCTGGATTCCGCCTAATTTGATCTTCTCACAGTGGCAGGATGGCTGATTGTCACTAACAGAGTACACTGGCTGATAGGCATGATTTTGACATTACACATGTTGCCCCCCACACATTATCAGAGATACAGCTATCTAGAGATATGTCTTGACAAGATAAACAAATCTTATAAAAGGAGTATATTTCAAACGGATGAAATGAATTTCAAGACGCTATACTATAGCAATCACTTTTAATATGGTCCATAAAGCAGCCTCTCTGTTCCTCTTAGCGGCATCTGCTCTGCAGGCTCTTGCATACCCAGCCACAAGCTCCTCGGTTCAACTCAATATCAACACACCTCTTCAAGCCGATTCTTTGCTCAACATCCATTTGGATTATGCTCCTAAGGCTTCTGCTGAGGACCTCACTATCACCCTTGCCTCCTGTGACAGTGATACTGCTACTCATAAAGTCGGTACCGTCAATGTGACTGCTGACTATCAGCCAAAGAAATTGATTTGGCATGTACCTGCCGATGTCCATGGCTCCGAGTTCTGTTTCCAGGCCTGGTCAGGATCTACACTTGTTGGTCAAAGTGAGCCCCTGGTTGGCACCAAAAAGGTGTCCAAGAGGGGACACCCCGAAATGGCTGGCATGTTCTTCGATGCCGTCGAATATCATAAGAAGAATCTCGCTAAGCGTAAGACAGTCGCTGCTAAGGACAAGAAAGATATCAGTAAGTTAGGAATTACTCCAACAGCAGAAATCAACCGTAGTGTTTGTGGTGTCTGACCCATAAGTTTTAATTATAATATAGAAATTGGTATCGTTGGAGCTGGTATGTCTGGTCTTTTTAGTGGCTACCTGCTTGACTCCGCTGGCTTCCACAACTACGAAATCATTGAAGCCAACGACAGACTCGGAGGGTATGTACCTAAAATCGCTTACTATACGTTTTTGACATGTATCCTCATAGTGTATTCCATTTAGCCGTGTTCATACTGCATACTTTGGCAAACCTAGTGACTACACTTACCAGGAAATGGGTCCCATGCGCTTCCCCATCGAATGGGTTTACGAAAACAAGACTCTCCCTGTCAAGGATCATCAAATTGTGTTCCAACTGGCTGGCGAGCTTAACAAGCTCAACAAGAAAAGCTATGCCGTTGAGTTTATTGAGTGGTTTCAATCTAATCCCAAGTATGTCTTTGTTTGATATACAAAAAATTGTCAAATCATGTTGCTAATTAGCTTGTTATTTATCAGCAACTTGCTGTACTACAATGGTAAGCGCCTTCCCAATGGCCTTGTTCCTACTGTCTCCGATGTAAGCGCCAACCCCAGCCTTACTGGAAATCCTTCTGACCTCGCTGATGAGAGCGATGCTGCTACTGCACCCTACCTTACGGAGAAGTGGATGAAAGAGATTGGAGATGATATCTACAAGGCTCATGACGTATGTAACGATATGCATTGAAGCTTTTTATTTTCTATGTACTAAAGGAACTTTTCAACACTAGCATGCCCTCGAAGAAGGCCTCGATGACTGGTCTGAATGGGGTTATATCCACAACAAAATGGGTGCTAGCCTCAATGCTACTGAGTACTACACTGGTTAGTATTGTTTTGGTGCTTCTTTGTCCATGCATTCATGATATTAATAGAGAACCAAACAGGTGGTGATGCCGGTAGTCAAATTTTCGGAACCATGTATGACGACTTCACCTTCGCGTCTACCAAGTGGAGAACCATCGATGGCGGTTTGAACCGCTTGCCTCAAGCTTTCGGACCTGTCCTTGGCGACAAGGTAACCTTTAACACGAAGGTCACCAAAATTTCTTATGACGGTGAAAAGGTTTCCCTGCAATGGAAGAAGAAGACATTCGATACCAAGTATGAATCCAAGGAGTTTGAAAATGTCATCGTTGCCGTTCCCTTCTCCGTCGTCCGTACCTGGCACTTGCCTCGTGAGTAGCTTGTTGATATCCCATTGTTTCAATCCTATTACTCGTTTTTTGCTCATTTCAATCTCTTGTAAAGAATTCTCATATACCCTGCGTAAGGCTATCAGAGAACTTGGTTACAGTCAGGCTTGCAAGGTCGCACTGGAATTCAAGACCAGATTCTGGGAACACGGTGACCGTCCTATTCATGGTGGCTGCTCTTCCACTGATCTTCCTGCCGGTAGTGTCTGTTACCCGTCCTACAAGATTGGTGCCAAGGGTAAAGGTGTCATGCTCTCCAACTATGCATCAGGAGACATGGGCTTGCGTCTTGCCTCCATGGAGGAAAAGGAACATGTTGCTCTTATTTTGGAAAACATGGTTGAGATGCACGGAGAGATTGCCAGAGACCAATATACCGGTAACTACAACCGCAGATGCTGGATTCTTGATGAATTCCAGTCCGGTTCATGGGCCCAACCTAGCTCTGGTCAACACAAATTGTTCATGCCTTCCTATTTCAACCTGGAGCACAACATTGCTTTCGTCGGTGAGCACACTGATGTCAAGCACGCCTGGATCTCCGCTGCATTGGAATCCTCTATTCGTGGTGTTGTCATGCTTCTCGTTGAACATGGCCATGTCGACGAAGCCAAGGCAATCGTTGATAAGTGGAACGCCAAGTGGATGAAGATCTAAATGTTAGCTCGTTGTAATTTTATAGAAATAAACGTCTCGCTAGTTTCGAGAACGTGGTGGTACCAGTTTACTCTCTAATCTTTTTAAATGCTACGCCTTGAGCTAACTATGCCAGCCTGATGGTTTTTATACGATGAGAACGTGTTCATGCCAGGTTTATTGTGAATGAATGTATTATATTGTGGGTACAGCAGATGAATGAGTTGTCTATGAAAGCTATTAGCAATTCTTGATATGTTCAGAAGGTTCCGTAGCAGAGTGTTCAATGACGGCTTCCTTCATTTCGGGCTTTTCGGTTTCGACAGGTCGGTATAAGGAATACTGCTTGATAAAGAGAGAAGCTATGAAGCTGACAGATGTCAAGGCAGCCATCACGTACCAAGCAATATGGAAACTGTATACGTAGCAGTTTATGGTTGCACTTTCCTGTTGCGACGTGAGCACTCCTGATCGAATGAAGGTGGTACTTTCGGTAACCTCTGACGTTAACTCTGGGTTCAACGCTGACAGAAGACATGTCATGAGACTATTGTTGATAACAGTAGAGCAAACAGCGATTCCAATAGCGCTTCCCAAATTTTGAATGAACATTCCCAAAGCAGTTACAGACGCTAAGAGATGGAAAGGGGTTAGTGAACATACTATATCCTGATCAAATCCAACACTTTGTATTAAACTTACCCAAGTCCTTTGAATCACATGCAGATTGAATGGCTACGTTGCCACATGCGAAAACCATGCCAGCACCAGCTCCGAACACAATTAGAAAACCATATAGCATGCCGTCAGGAGTTACATCGGTGAGTAAAGCAAGAAGACCTACTCCAGTGGTAACAAGTGCCGTTCCGCACATGAGACTAAAGAGAATTGGATGCTTAGTTTTTGCGCAAATGCTACATAGCATGCATCGGTAAATACTTACATCGGCTTATAGGTATTAAAGCGACCCATGGCGAAGCCCATCAAAGTAGCGACTGAACTGATAGCTGCTTGACTGACAATAAGTCGGACGCCGGACATCATAGCTGAATCTGCTCTTGCAGCCTACAAATCCATAACATTAGCATAGTGAGCTTTGAGGCCGAGCTGAACAGTAAACGAATTACCTGCAAGAACAACGGCAGCTCAATAACAACGGCATTGAAGGCAAAGCCAAAGAAGAACTGCATGATGCAAACGAAGACCACGGTGCGTTTGCGGAACAAACGAAGAGGCACAATAGGTTCTTTAGCGACCTTATGCTCAACAAGGATGAACACCCCTACGAATACAAATCCAACTATTAAGCACGCTAGGACAGGAGCGCTATCCCACGGGTATTGGACGCCACCCATGTTCAATCCGAGTAATATCAATGTTGCCATAATCAAGATAACCACAGTGCCTAAAACAGTTTATAAGATATCTTATCTTCAGTCAATTCTGTAATGCTTCGATAAGACATACCTGCATAATCGATACGCTTCAATTGAACTCGGATGGAAGCATTTTTCTTGGGCTCTTTGAGCGCAATTGCTATCAGGATAGCACCAACAACTCCGAAAGGTATACTGTACATTGGTGAATGGAAAGTCTAACGTTTTCATAGATTACATCTTTCAGTATACTTACTTTATGTAGAAACAATACCTCCACGTCAAATGATCGGTAAATGCGCTAAATATGCCGTTAGCAATGACGCGGTAATTTGTTCCAAGCTTTGAGAAAACTTACCCCTAGAAAGACATTGAAAAATAATTCGATACCATTTAGAAATGTTAATTTCAGATGATCGTAATACTGAGAACGTTTTCTTTATCATCGACTTACGCCTACAATGAATTGTTACTCAAAACGCAAAGCACCATATTCAACGTAGGAAAAGTGTTCTTACCAAGAAGTGGTCCTAATACAGACGCCATTGCAAATACAGCATTTGCAATTGATTGGTATTTTCCTATGATAGTCATTAATATCGCCTCATCACAATACTTTGGGGAGAAGCTGCCCAATTTACCTCGAGATCTCAGGGGGACAACATCGGCAATCTGAGAGCCCGCATTAATTACAACTCCGCATTTCGGTTAACTGTTGAGGTCCTTTCTGTCACTTACCACAATCATGACGACGCAGAAGCATCCGCTACCTCCAGCACCTTGTGACCATAACTCAGCGTTAATAGATACTGGATAGACTTTGAACCGTATTATTCATAACCATTACCTTGCAATGCACGCATGGCGATCAGCATGATCATGCTGTTGCTGACGGCACATAATATAGATCCCAGAAGGAAGATTGCAATAGACACCAGCAGGACATTTCGTCGACCAAAGATATCACTCAACTTTCCATGCAATGGCTATCAATGGTTTCCATTTGCGTCAGTAAAAAAACTTTCTTTCGATTTCCGAGCTTCCCATATTTCCAGATAACGTGAGAGAAAAGTTTTTACCTGCAGAGCGTCGAACGATAGCATGTACGCCTATTCACACAAATTAGTTACGTCTCGTATGTAAAATCCCAAGAATATGTCTAGAGCTTACTGTGGCAATCCAGGATCCCAATTCCAGAGCGTGGAAGTCGGATGCGATGCGGGGGATAGCTGTTGATACAATAGTGCTATGTTGACGGTGAGCATTCATCCATGACATGGTGTGCAGTTTAATTAGATCACTCACGTATCGAGCGCGGCAAGAAATAAGCAGATGGCGACTCTAGGTTTGGTAAAAATAAGCTGGTAAGTGGAAGGATCAATGCTAGATTCTATTCAAGTCCTGCACAGTACCCAATGAACGAGACGATAAGTTGAGGTTTTGTCAATGGGATACCGACTTCGCTTGGATCAAAGGCGTAGTTCTCTTTTTTCATCCCCGGTGATTCCGAGCGTATGGTCGAGCTATCATCCTGCGTTGACCCATCCATGAAGAGAAAGAAGTATTGAGTTACACTGAGAGAGAAGGAAAAAAAAAAAAAAAACCCCCAATCACCGAAAGTAAATTTTATACTGGAAAGTTTTGAATCTCAACCTGAAAACTCCTCCATTGCGACTACCTTTTAATGATCACTGATACCAAATCCCATATTGAAGCACAAGGTTGTAGACAGAATTTTCAAGTGATTGATTCCATACATGGTCGACACTCCGTATCAAAGACCAAGGTTCATCTGAAAGTAGCCCCATAAAGAACAACATCGCTTAGGCAGCTAATGCATGGTTTGACTACTTGAGGTAAAATTTGAGCCGGTATTGTTGCAAATGTGTACCTGTCGAGCACACCAATGAAATTTTTTGCAGTGATGGAGAAGATGGAATGATACCAATAACATCTCTATAAAAATTTTCTGCATTTGTATGAGCAAGTGGTATAATCTCATCCATAAGAGGAACGCCTATCAAATGTCGGACGTTTCGGCCGTTGAGTTCGGCCAATTAGGTTTTAGAAAAATGGTAGGGCAAATATGCCACGGTTTTCGAAGAAGTATGCGATATCGTGCGATCAGGATATCAAAGGGGTCTAGGAAAAGACTCATCCCTCTAAGGATACTGAGTTACCGACATGCTTGGAAGCACATAACTTGATTATAAGGCTATGCGTAACTCTTCGCTCGACGTGTGCTGACGATCAAAGCATTTCTTATTTTTTTTTGTTTCCCTCACCCCTTTTGCTAGTTGAATGTATGATTGAATAATGCGATATGTATATAACATACATGTTGTACAACCAGGATTGGATAGTCACTGGCACTATCATGACTAACCTCTTCTTAGACTATATGTGAACACAAATCATATGCCTATTGTTGAATTATTTGCTTTTTCTAATGTGCTGTGTTGTTTACCGACCTCTTGTCTTAACATGCATATCGTGCAAATAGTACGCAAGTCACAAAAAAGTAGGATTTATGTCAATGTGCCTAAATTGTTTTTGATGTGACTAAGCAATGCAAATTAACAAAATCGCCAGGGAAACTCACAATGCATTTACCGATGTTGACAGCCACTGTGTAAAAGCTAATTTTACCATATGTGTTTAGATTAGAAAGCCCGCACTTTCAAATTGCAAAATGTTTTCTTTCACTAGAGCTATGGCCAGCTGTCGAGGAGCATAGCTATTTGAATATCTTATGTGAATATTGTAAGTGAATGCTTTTAAGCAAAGTATAGATTTTCTTCACTCTATAAAATATTTTCCATCCTTAGCAGATATTCTCACCATTGGTATATGTGCAAGTGGAACTTTAAACAGATGAGTTTTTTTGGCTTTATTCAAACCTGTCTGCATTTTGAAGTTTACCGCAATGTTTTCATACTAAGAAATCTTTAAGAGGCAAAATTGCAATGACAGATCTAACGTAGGGGTCTATATCATGAAATGAAAATGAGAGAAAGTGCATAAAAGAAAGATGAAAGTTTTGATTGTTCATTACTTAGATTCAACAAAATGAAATTCTTTGCTTCTCTAAGCGTTGTCGTTCTATCTGTTTCTGTAGTGGTTGCTGAGGTCGCTAAGGAGAACGTCTCTGGAAACAGTGTGGCCTCCGAAAAACAAGAAAATGTTCAACATCAACAGCTTTGGGCTAGCGATGATCACGGTGAAAAAGACGAGAAAAAGGACAAGGATGACGGTAGTGACCATGGTAACTTTAATGGTTGCGCTGATGGTGACTGCCAAGGATCTGTCGACCGTGCTCTTGCCCACGCTATGGTTCCCTTTGTAATCAATACCTTTACTTCCTCCGTGCCTTGCGCAAGTGGTACCATCAATTTCAACTCTTTACTCCCTACCGCGAGCGCAATTGTACAGGTTGGAACTGGAGTTGGCGCCAAGACTGCTACCGTCAAATGTGGAGGATCCAGTGCCACTGTACTAAATCCATCTGACGTGTGCCCCACTCCAACTAGTGTAGTCAAAACTATTACAGTTTCAGGACAATTGGTGACAATTACTCTCCCAGTCGCGGAAACTATCGTTCAAACACAGATTAATACAGTCACAGGAGCCGGACAAACTGTCACCCAAACATCTACAGTGACATCTACTCAACCTTGTCCATCAACCAAGGCTGCCTGCCCACGGAAAGGCACAGACATATACGTCCGTTGCGATATGCCAATTGTCGATATTGCCAAGAATGCAGAAGGTAACGCCTACTTGGCTGATGAATTTGCTCGACAAGCGGTGGAGGACGGCTGTTTCATGGTAACCGAATGGCGTTCAGACGGAACAAGTCCATCGGTATTCTATAGGGTAGACGTGACCAAACCAGGTGCTGTTTCAGCGTATAGATCGGCGTGTGAATCACATGGCACCTTCCGCTGCTCTGAAAGCTTTTCTGCAAGCGATGATATTTCATGCCCTGCTTAGTATACATATATTAAATTTGTTCTGTGAACGGTCCACGGCACTTGAATTGGAATATGGCGGCTTTAAGATGAAGGTTACAGTGCTTTGAGATTATTTGCGACCCAAAATGATTAAACAATTTAGCTAGAAAATTCGGTTTATGGACCAAGCCAATATATCAGATGTTGTAAGCGTGGCTGCTGGCTGTTGCATGCTCATGGAGAAACGTTACGTTATATTAACAAGGTATCGTGGTTTGAACTCACATTACTAGAGACAGAATCATAAGCACGCTTTATCAGAAATAAATAAGATATAATAAAGGGTATTATAAAACAACCTTTCATAAGGACTCCAGAAATAAGTGGGTTTAGAAATGTTACAGGTTTCGCTGAGACACAAGGATGAAAAAATTACACTGATCAAAGTCTGTCAAGATATGGGACAACATTTTATGCACTGGCTGTCGTCAATCGGATATTGTTAGGGTCATGGCCAACATTGTCCGCTTCTTCTTCATCGCTATCCACCCATTCCATCCAATCCTCAGATGACGGTCTAGGATTGGGATTGAGGAAACCTGTCGTTTCTAAGCTATCTTCCTGTATAACCTCTTCCACAGCTCTTTTGGCAACGAAGTAAACGTAGATCATAACTCCAAAGGCTAGAATACTGCCCAACGCCATTGCTGTGTACCTGAATACTTCCGTAGCAGTATCTGTTGGCTCATCGTCATCTTCTCCCAAGATATGCTTTGCAAATGAGGGTAGAGTTGCCCCTATGTAAACATGAATAGCTATCTTGACAAGGGATATCGCTGTACCTAGTGCGTAATGAGTCAGGGGGATGTTGGTGGCGGAGAACATCACATTCTATTTGAAGCAAGCAACGAGTCAGTGTACGGTTATACCCCCTTGTATAGCCTGTCTCACACAGCTCACCATAATATTGAATGGGTAGGGTGCCTGAAAAACAAGATCGTTAATACCGGTCAACGATCGATATATATGCTATGTTGAAATGCATACCAGTCTGATTAGGACAAAGAGCTGCAAATGACATTGGTTGAGTAACATCATACTGGTCAGAAACACATTTGCAGAAGTTTACCTTGAAGCCTTTCTTTTCCACCGCATGCACAACTGCTTCAAGTCTTGGGTACTTGGACATCATTCTGGTAACTCTTTTCTTGAGCCATCGGCGACTTAGGTAGAAGCACGTAACACTTCCAGCTAAAGCACCAAAGTACGATAATGGAAATCCTCGCCAGAAGCCAAACGTAAACCCTGACAGAGTCTGATAGGTGCCATATCCAATCATCGGGGGAAAGGCGCTGAGGAAGATCAAGGAGCCAATCAAAGCATAGCCACTGCAAGTAAATGAAGTGTGAGTCCAACACCAGTTATTAAAAATTTGGATACCAGGTAGGCATTTTGGGAAATTAAGAAGGCAAAGAATAAAAGACGCACCCTGCTCCCATTCCTTCGACAGCATGACTTAAGTTTTCCAGTCCTTCAAAGACTTGTCGCTTAAAGTGCCATAAAACAATTCCAGTTATCCATGATATCGCTAAGAATCCAATAAAATAGCGATATTGGTATAAGGTGTCTCGAACCGAACGCTCTCCTGTGACGTATGGGGTTAAAGTTGCTCTGAAGGAACCTATTATTTCCTGTAGAAATCCTCTCCATCCTCTACCGCGGTCTCTGGTTGTTCTTTCTCCCACTGCTATCGAGCCTTCTTCCAAAAGCCCAACATTGTCTTCTACCATTTGCCAATCCGTAGTGCTTGGCAAGTTTTCGTTACTTTCACTGACTGGTGATGATGCATTGTCACCAGTAGGCGTGTTTGTTTCTGAATGATTTGGTAAATGTATAGCTCCTTCACTTGGCGTCATTTTTTGGTCGTCTATAGATATATTAACCAGTGGAATGTTGAGATTATAGTGATTATTAAACGATGACCAGTGTCGGTCACATACGCGAACAGCGTTTCATACCGTAGGCAGTTGAGAGTCACATCGTTGTGCACGGACCACTTCAAAGTTGACATTTAAATTGGCAGCACCTGCTTGAAACGATTGGATCATTTTTTTTCCAGACACTTCTCATAAGAAAAAAAAAATCACGTACGAATTTATTACAATCACTCTTATTATTTTTTACTTTGATAAAAATAGAAGATCACAGAAGAATTATTTGAACGTCCAAGGAGCGAATGGGTTAGAGACGGTGCTCAGTAGGTCTTTTAGTTCAGGTGCATGTCTAAGGAGAATGTCCTTGAAAGTGGCATTGCGGACCCAATCAATGCCCTCTTGGGTGTAATATTCTGGGGTAAAGTCGTCCGTAAGAAATCGATCGGTCATCAATCTGCGGGAAGCCATAACCACGAAGACTGTAAAAGTGGTATCTCCGAAAGCCCAACCAGGAGGACGGGGCTAAAAAAAACCGGAAAGGAGTAAATGATCGGCCTATCTGAGTCAAGAGACGTGGAGTGAACGTATTACTTACCATTTCTGCTGCCATTCCGACAAGACAATCAACATCTTCAACGGATTTATAGACAGTCTTCATTTGAGCAATAACTTCTGGATCGGGATTGAGATCTTCCCAAGATTTGAAGGCGGGCAGACCTAGACTTCGTCGGATGTTATTGATACGAGGGACACCACGCTCTCTATCGCGAATCATGTCGACGGTCGAAAGATCAATGCGGGTTGGTGGGTTGTCATAAGGCATAGTGAAGTCCAGCATCGCCTTAGGGTAATTGTTCAGGACCATTGCACCAGAAAATTGCGTACCAAAAGTCGCCAACAAATCCTGGAACATATGGCCAATACATTGTCAATCGGTTGTCAAAAGGAGATCTTTCGATTGATCAGGAGAAAGTGCATACCTTATATTTGTAGTTGTGCATGATGCTTGTAGCCTTGCGGAAAGTCATATCAATCAGAGGAATATCTTCTCCATTGATGGGGTGACCGGTAGCCGAGTCAACAACAGTAATGCCATCCGGGAGGAAAGGATGAAATCGATATACAGCGGTAAACTCCTCAGTGAGACTGAAAGGTACACCATAGAATTTTGCAGGATTTCCTACGATACCATAAGCAGATGGGTGGGAAAGAATACCAGTAGCTCGAAGAGTATCGACCAGAAGCTTTTGGTCTGGGAAAGTATTCTCCAATCCAAACCAGTTCGACTGCAATGCAATGTAGCCAATCTCATCGGACAAAATAGCAGGAGTCCATTCGACAGTGTGAATCTTAGCGTTTACAGCAGTATTGATTAAGCGAGCTTTGTCGTACAGTTCCTGATCGTCCATGTCAGGGTGATGTTCCTTCAAATAGTCGCAGATAGAATTATGCTCCTTTGTAAATAAGTTATGCAACAGTGATAGACCTGTCAAGTTTGTGTGAGAATCATAATTTACATGACTGAACAAAAGTTCCAGACAATAAGTAAAAAAAAGGAGTATGTACCTAGCCACCAATTCTGTTTCATTCCAGTGACTTCCATGCCGTCCACATCGGTAAATAGAAGTCCCTCGTCGTCCAATTTTAGTTTGCCATCAACGTGAGTTCGTATTTTTGCATTAATTTCAGGAGATGTTCCGTATATCTGACTTTGATCCCACCAGTGAGTTTGCTCGTTAGCGAACGACACATGTTTACTTGGGTCATCCCCACTTTGAGAATCGTTGACACTTCGAGGTATAAGCATCTCCGTTTGCTGGGGTCTCCATGGGTCGTCCTCTGGAAGTGGGACATGGATGAACTCTCCAGTTCCAACTCCTCTTTTATGGCTCATCCTAATATAAATTCAAATTAATCAAGGCACGGATAGATGTCGATCACTCTCTGAAAAACCTAAAAATAACGTTAAAAGGACTTACCAATCATGTACTTGGAAATGTACCCAAGCTACGGACATCAAGTTGAGCGTTTCAGCTGCCTTGAATGTATCCCTGACCATCAACTTGTTTGTAGCATCTCTTGGGTTAGGATCCAGTAATCGAGATCCATCATCAATCCATTCAGGAGCACTATTTCTACTAAATCGGTAACCAAGCATGCCCATACTGGGTTGCTCCAGATTATTGCAGCTTCCGCTACAAAAAAGGCGTTAACAAGAAATTTTCTCATCGATCTGTGCTTGCATTCAAAACAGAATATTCATTACTCCAATGTTCTGGCTCGCCGTTCCGCCTCTCCACATTCCCCAGCTGCCGGTGGTTTGGCAGTGTTGCCGACGTATGAATCGTAAAGATGTTTGGAAAGGAGACGCTCTCTTTCAAGACTACATAACCACGAGATCAGTAAACAAATAATGCAGATTTGCTACTAGGTGTCCTATCCCACCAGAAATTTCATCAAGTATACCTTAAATGAATGAGGGCGACGATTAAAGGCAGCTGTAATTAAGAATAGTGAGCTAAATATCACATATCACCAGTCCGCTATGATATGACATACCGTCCACCAGTGTCGAACACCAGTTGCTCCATATAAAATAGTGTTTAGGATGTCAACCATGTCAGTTGTCAGACAATAGGTGTTATGCTAACAACATTGGCGAGAGCCGGCTGTAACTGTGCTTTTATTGTCCTTGTCTATCCCGGCGCTTATGCTTGCTCCTTGTGACATGCTGTTGCGATCACTCCTTACGATTACTCCCGTGATTTTTCTATTGGTACTGGAGAAGATTTTTTTACGCTCTCCTTCACACCCTCCTGATTTGCCAAAAGCCTACCATCCCTATACCGGTAGAAAGTTCGCCGTAGCTCCTGTTGGGAGGCCGTTCAGAAGGCTCGTTTTTGTTCTATCACGATCGTCTTCAACTTTCCATTATGCTGTACGACGCCTTACATAGTGCAATAACGGGTGTTAGCCGTTGTTGGAAAATTTTCAGTGCACTTTCATCAGAAGGGAGGTTAGTTGCCTACTCTCAAAGCAGTTCTTACAAATATAGTAAATGATATCTTATCCGCCTAGGGTGCTTCTTTTTCACCGTGAAAGGACAAACTTTCAACTCACTATCAGACATCTTGTCGACGACATTTATTTCACTCCACTCAGATTGTCTTTGGACACCTAGCCCAACTTGAATTGGAAAATATCCAATTTTCCAGGTCGCAAGGACCTAGCTGCTGACTCCTGTATAAGAAAAAAATAAAAATTCAGGGTCGGCATCCCGCCGGTAAAAGGTTTGAACCTTGTGTGGATAGTGCCCTTCACGTACATGTCATCTGAGTTCACCATTATTAGGGAGGGAGGACCTCTCTCTTTTATGACCAAGCTAACATAAACAAAATGATTACAGGATGCCGGGATTTTTGCAGACGGAGGCTTTGGGTAAACAATCGATGTACATATTGGAAGACATCCATATCATTATCAAGACAAATACCATCTAATCGCATCTTATTGCGGTGCATCCATTGAAAACTGCCCATCGTCATATAAAAGCCTTAAACATGAGTGTATCGATGTTGTTACTAACGACTGTTCTCAGCATGACTTGATTTGAGTATAGTATAGTCATACTGTCGTCGTGCAGCTACATTGTCGTTTGTCTGACTTTTCAAATCCTGCCTCCTTTGAAAACAGTCGGGTCCTGTGGCCAATGATTTTGAAACGAATAAGGCCTTTAATTAGGTAATAGACGTCAGTCGCATATGAACGTCAAGTTGGTTATATATAAAGTTAAAGTCTTGATTTCGAATTCTGCAGTTCTATTTCACACTAAGTTATAAGCATGGAGTTCCCATCGTATGGCGCTTTCGGTTATCCCAATGATCCCAACGAATATATTCAACCGCTACGTGACCTCAAGTCGGCATGGAGTGTAAGCTAAACGTTGACTTGAATACGTGTTACTTGGCTGTATTAACCTCAAACTGGTACGATGTCTTTCTCTCTCTTTATCCAGGCCTTTTTCGCTTTGTGGTTGTTATGGGGGCTTTTCTGGTTCTTGAGACATGCTTTTGGCGACGGTACTCAGACTGCTGATGAAACTGCCGATGCGGAAGCAGCTCAGAAAGGAAGATGGCACCTTGGAGGCTCTCATGTAAGTGCAATGGATTCTATGTCAGGTCAAGCTACATAGTTCGTGTCATTCGAATGCTAGTTCTCACATACAACCTTGGCCACAGCACCGAATCAACAGATCTAGTGAAATGCTGAGAGACTTAGTTTTGCTTCTTCTCGCGTCATTGGCTTTGAATACCTTTGCCGGAGGCATCAGTCGAGCAGTGATGATCTTAAGCTGGATGTAAGTTAATGGGGCCAGACATACATGCTGAAAGTGGATTTTCACAGCGTCTAAATTACTCTGCTTGACACAGTTACTTTGGATTCGCTGTCTTCTGGGCTATCTTTGAAGCAGCGGTTGAGCACCACATTGCTCGATTTATCTTTGCATTCGTATTCTATGGCATTGCCATCGCTATTGCAGCATTGGGCTACCATGACGGCTTCTAGTTAGCGATTGATTATCCAGTTTATTCATGTATGTACCTAACTACGTATTAAGTGTTGCCGCACTTGCAGTTTCAATTGAGCTAGTAATCATAATAAATTTAATATGGCAGTTCTTATTTTTATCCCTTCAAATATAACAACACTACCAAAGGGATTAAGGGTCAGTGTATTCGGCAATCCGAACAAAGCGGAGGTACATCAATCCATTAAGGCGTGCCCCTTGCAAGCTTCATTGAAAATGGTTTTATTAAACCACGTTCTGACCAATACAACATTACTTGAGAGAAATTGTCAAGAAGTGGAAAAATTACACAGGGGAATTACCTCTTGTACAGTGTTTGAAACTGGCGCTAACTTTCATTAATAATGTGATCCCTTGCATCAATGACCCTGCAAGCACGACTCAGTTAAAGCAGTCGTACAACTAGTAGCAGCTCTTCTATGCAATGCAGCTTATAGCAGAATTTGGGCGCGCCCTAAATCAATACAATTTTTCTTAAAACATAGGTTAGCGCAATATCTGTTGTACAGCACTTCAGGTCGTGATATTCACTTCTGTAGGGTAAATTCAGTTGTCCCGTGTACGTTGAGAAGTCGTTAACACGATTGGCTATAGAGTTTTCAAAGAGTAGACTTTACCCGTGCGCTCAAATATTGAAAGGGTGTTTCATAGGGAAACAGTTGTGCAGGTTATGGCCTTCCTCTCTTCCAAGCTAATGTCCCTGAATCAGCACTGTTCTCCTGTTTTAAAGCACGATTGGTGGTTATAAAATTTTCTACCGGTGGACGAATCGTTATGATGTGTGGGTACTAGCAGACCTTATCAAATTTGTTATCTATAATGTATGAAGCAGCATTCGTTCTTCGTTTCTCGAGGCACCCTCTCTAGTCGGTCGCGAAGCAGCCATTGTATGGCTTGGTCAGCCATCGTATCGAGAGTGTCTGAGTGCGGACTTGAATTTTTTTTTTTTTTTTTTTTTTTTTCGGTTCTCTGTCGCTGTAGTAGATTCATTTTGAACAGTTACAGCATCCATAAGTTAACATGCTGTTCTGTCCCTCCTGTGCAAACATTCTCCTTATCGACCAGGACGGTGGTCAGGCCTTCAACTGTCAAACCTGCCCCTACACCTTCCAAATTCGCGATGTGGTAAGCGATCTCCTTCCTTGCATTGAAGACACTATTGTCATGATTCAAGACAAACTAAAGCATTCCTTCCACATTCAGCATACTGCAAGAAAAGCACTAAAGCGTAAGGAAGTCGATGATGTTCTTGGAGGTGCAGCAGCATGGGAAAACGTTGATTCGACTGAAGGTAGGTTGACATTTGGGCAAGTTGAGAACACCTTTACCATTGGATTATTAACCGTTCACTGTAGTGGAATGCGAAAAGTGTGGAAATGGCCGAGCATACTTCATGCAGATTCAAATTCGATCAGCGGACGAACCAATGTCTATATTTTACAAATGCACAAATGATAAGTGTCAAAATCAATGGAGAGAAGGTTAAAGCATTGTCTCTCCCACTTAATCTGTACCTTAGAATTATACCTTACCGATCCATTCAACCACCAAAAGTGTATCAATGCACATTCAACTCGAAGGGTTTTTCATTTTTGTCGAACATCTTTCATTGATGTAGAAACAGCCCTGATATAGTTTGTATTATTCATGAATATTGCGATGTTTTAAAGTTTAAATAGTAAAAGGAAGGAAGAATGTTGCAGAAATTACACAATATTTTTTTGGGGGTGATTTTGCATTATAAAGCATCTTAGCGCTTATTTACTTTCTGTAATCGACTGTGCCTTCATAGATACTGCTTCAAGGCTATGGATCATGGAGTCGTACCCTTCTTCATCAGAAGAATCCATGACTTTGTTGGCTTGTACTGGAGTTCGTACTGGTGTAGTTCGGGCAGGCGATCGAACCTGCGACCGTGCTGGAGATCGGGAAGGAGGGGGTGGAGTACTGTCATTCTGTCTTAGCGTAGAAGATGAGCCTTTGTGGCTAAGAATTTCTTCATCGCTATCATTGTCATCAGAGCTATCAAATGATCGATCCTGCCATTTCGAAAGATTGCTCAGCTCGCTGTTGATTGACTTCATAATGTTGGGACCTCGAGGTTTGTTGGCTGGGTCAGGGATGTATTTGAGACTGCCAGGTCGGCTACTCTCTCCTTCTGAAGATTCAATGGCGCTATATTCCGTATCATCATCTTTTGGGGCATGTTTTTGGTTGGTATGGCGACGACCATCCTCGTCCTCTGATTCATTCATTTGATCCAATAGCAACTCAATTTTGCGTTGCGAATCTTGGTACTGTCGCTTAAGCAAATCTCGCTCAGATTTTAAGGACTGAATAGAGCCATTTTGTTCCTGTAATTGTTGTTCCAGCTGTTGTCTTTCTATGGCCCATTTTTCGGATTCTTCCGATTTTTGGTTCTTCATAGCGATATCCAACTCCTTTCTCAGCTTGGTGTTGGTCTGTGTGGACAATTCGAGTTCAGCAGAAGCTTGTTCAATTTGCTTGGTCAAAGATTGTATTTCCAAGTTCAGCTCTCTTGCTGCTCTCCGCGTTTCTTTCTTGTGCTCGCTATGTTTGCCCTTCAGTCGATTGCATTCTGCTATCAGCTGATCGCGCTCGTCCTGAAGTACTTCCAGTTGGTCCGTGAGAGCCTGAGCTTTGGAGACTGATCCACTAGCGGATTCTTGTATGTGAGAGAGATTGTGGTGAAGTTGTTCTATCTTGTTATCTAATGCGGCTCTTTCTGACTCCCACTACAGAGGTATTTAAGTATTTTGAAGGATAAGATAATCTCTTTACAAGGGACAATACGTACCTCGGCCTGTGCTTCTTCTAATCTGCCTCGTTCCACAGAGTTAACTTTATGGTTATCTTGCATCTCCTTTAGTTGATAGGTTAGTTTTTTATTTGTTTCCTCAAGTTCTTGAAGGGCAGATGATAGCTGGTTGAGCTTGGATTCGGTATCAGCAGCTTCCTTCTTCACTGTTTCCAAAGCATCCTCTGAAGTCTAAGAATTTAAATGGTCAGTATTCATACGCTGAAGTCTTCCTCAAAAATACACTTCAGGGAACTGCTTGCTTACATGAGCCATATCGCTAGCAATGAGGTTTTCCTTTTCGAGTTGACGAATCTTGGCTTCATAGATTTGAGAAGCCTCTTGCAGTTCAAGTCTGGCATCCGACTCGTTTCTTCTAGCTTCTGTCACTGCACGTTCCAACTCCATTAATGTCGCTTTGGTTCTGGTAATTTCTGCATTATTGGTAGCGTCCTTCGATACAGCCAGTGTCTTCAATTCAGAATGTAGACGTGCAACTTCAGCTGCAGCATGTTTAGCCTTATCACTTGCTTGGCGTTCTGATCCTTCCAGATTGTGGCATCTGGATTCCCACATAGACACAGATTCCTTGAGCTCTCGAATAGTGCGCCTGGTAGATTGGTCCAAATCGGACAGTTCTTTCTGTAACTCCTGGAGCTTAGAAGCTGATTCAGAATGACCAGACGTTGAAGGAACATCACTAATCTCAAAGCCCTGAAAGATTGGTGAATATGATCAGTTAATGAGAAGATCCTCCCACAGTTAACTGTCTCAGTTCTCTTTCTTACCTTTTGGATCATTGCTTCCTTCATTATACCAAGCTTGATCTCGTTATCCTCCAATATGCGAGTGGTTTCAATCAAGCTACTCTCCTTCTCCATCATGGAAGTTCTCATTTTCTCATTCTCATCCTCGCTATCAGCAAGTTTTTGTTTGAGAGAGGCAACCTCACTACGTAATTTGATAGATGAAGCTTCCAACTGAGAGATCTTGATAGTGGCATCCGATAATGCAGTTGGTGAAACTTCAGTAGCCAAGGCTCTGTTCAATTGAGTGGTTAAATCGGCGATGCGAGCTGTGCTGTCACGAACTTGAGCTTCTGCTTGCAAAGTTCGCGTGTGCAAATTTGAAAGTTCTTCCACCGCCCTAGTGTGAGCCTGTTGGGCATCGTCAGCTCTTGCATTGGCGTCAGCTACACGGTCTTCTGCTGACTGTCTTGCATGCTGGTCATGATTTACTTTTTTCTGCATTTGCTGAAGCTTCTTTTGCAACGTTTCGTTCTCTGACAGTGCATGCACCAACCTATCTTCCAGCTCTTTTGCACGTGCTGTTTCAATACTAGCGAGCTCGTCTGCTTGTCGGGACTGAATTGCAGTGTACTTGGACCTGAAATAGGCTGCTTCCTGTAATGCTGCTGTGCGCATTTTCTCAGCTTGAATGACCTGTTGACATGCTCCTTGCGACTGGTGCCCAATGCTTAATTTAACCTTGCGCAGTTCCGTCTTGAGTCTCACCAGTTGATCAAAGAGTTTGGCTTGATCAGAGTTTTGATCATCCAGGTTCATTAGAACATTTTCTACGTCTTCTGGAACTTCATCATCCAATTTGGCCCTGAGTTTGCGTGCCAATGAAACTTCAGTTCTCCACCATTGCTCCTTCTTCTTCATTTCCAAAATAATAGCATCCTTAGCCTTGAGTTCACGTGTATAATTGGCTCGCTCCTCATGAATGTGTGAAGCAGCCTGATCGTCTTTCAAAGAATGAGATCGACTCGTTGTCGGCTTCACTGAGGTATCTACCATGTTTCGAACCGTCAGTGGTGACTCAGCTCTAGCATGCTCTAAAGTCATAGGTATAGGCGTCCTTGGTGATGGCGATGGGGAAGCGCTATGGATGTCGCGCATTTGATCTGGGGTGGGAATGTGCGATTTTGGACGCCTTTCTGCAGGGATACCGGTAGATCCATTTGAAGGGAGCTGAATTTCGCCACCTTGGGGTATCGCGATAGTGTTCCTGAACTTTTGGCCGCCAATATCAACACCTTCGCGTGAAGGTCTTGGTGGGGTGCTATGATTTGCAAAGCCGTTTGCAGTTGGTGATGCTCTACTTGGAGGACGCTGCATACCTGGATGCTGTGCTGGGCCCCCGGGACTTTGATGGTTAGGGGTAGATGGAGGTGGAATCCCGGGAGAAGACGTAAGTCCATCGTACAAATCATCGGTATCGATGGTAATGGAGTCAGACCGCTCCAATCTTCTTTCCAAGTCTTCCCGGCTGTTAAGGTTACCGTTAGCGTGTCCATTTGGATATCCATGTCCATTAGGGTGAAGTTCACCACCTGGCGTACCAGGTGGAGACATAACTTCCTTTCTTGGCTCACTGTCTACAAAGGGCATTGGAGATGTTGGCCTGTTGCGGCGAAGCACAGCGTCTGGGATCATGGATGCATGCCGGAATGGTCGTCCCTGTGGAGTGTAAATGTGAGTATACGAGATACCCCTTTCGCCCATTTATTTTTAGATACTTACGTTTGGACCAGTGGGAGCATTGCCAGGATGAAGAGAAAGCGTGTTTCCTCTTCCCGATTGAGGTTGTCGATTGTCAGGGAAAGATTGATTTTGTGGGGTTATTGGGGAGTCAGACCGAGGTGGCATGTTGGATTGCCGTGCATGTGCCAGGTTTGATGGATGATAACCAGTAGTAGGAGATGAGGCTTCGTTCTGGAGCCCTCTGGTAGGGGATGGACTACCGCCGTTGATAGCTGCTAACTCTGGATTTCTCGCTGAGGTTGGTGAAGATGGAGCTTGAGTAGTTTCCGGGTACTTGATTTTGGCTGCAAACAGTACAAAGTTGGTAATTGGGATTATGCGGCCAAGCCAAACACACTGTTACTTACTGGTATCCAAGATATATATCATAGTGGCATCTTCTGACTTCATACCACTGGCAGGCTCACCACCCATCACATAAATCTTCTCCTTCTGTGCAGTCAGTGTATGGCCAGAGCGAGGAGTGGGAGCAGGTCCCATATTTTGGAACATGTACCATCGTCTGTCTACAACCCATTGAGTTCATAAAAAACCCCAAATCAGATAATTACAGCACTTCAATACTTACTGGTAACCTTGAATGCACACAAATCTCCGAGCAACTGGCCATCCGAACCTCGCCCACCGAAAACATAGATAACATCATCCACAACGGCAGCTGATGCTCCATCTCGTGGTGCCGGTATGTATCCCAAAGCAGCGATCTGCTCCCAGTATCCAGTATTCAAGTCAAAGCACCATATGTCGTTGTAGACAGTTCTACCATCATTTCCTGAAAAGCTGTTGACTGGATTAAGTCGACAGTACTGGCATTCATTGGAATTGAAATAGTCAACACTTACATATATAGCTTATTATTGACTAAAGCAGAAACGTGATTAGCTCTGGGCGATGGACCTTCGTTTTGAGGTTGGAGCACTCTCCATCTTGGTCCGGAGTTAACTATAGCAATTTGAGTTACAACGTTAAATTGATGTATATTGCACTCAAAAAAACAAGCTAGACTTACGGGCATTGACATCGAAATGTAAAAGTTCGTTGTAATATACTCCATCGCATTCTCCTCCCCAGACGTACATGTTCATTCCGTGCAAAATGGCAGAATGACCAGATCTACCGTGAGGCGGCCGGACATCCATGCGAATGGTGGACCACTGCTTGGTACCTTCAGGTGTATACATTAAGTTAACTTGTCCTCTGAGCTTTTCTCTCTATTATAGAACGCTGACTCACCAAGATTCAAGATGTACAGGTTCTCATCCGTAGCCTCTTCAACATTTTTAGGTTCTCCGCCATATACTAAGTGATGATATTTGTATGTTTTCAGAACGCAGTGACATGCTTCGATTCGAAAACTGAAATAGTAACTTACCAAGCAATTGATTTGCAAAGCTGATTGCTGTATGATAGGATCTGGCAGGAGGATAATCGCCTGATGCACTATAGTTGGAAGTTGACCCGGTGGCTAAAGCAATTACGGTCAAAAAAAGCACATTGTAGCAGCAGCGAGTCGAACATATTGACATGCACATACCTGGATCAAACATGAAGATGTCTTTTTTGCCAGAGCCTTTCGCTATTCCTCCATGGACGACAAAAGTCTCGGTAGTAGAAACAGCTTGGACAACGTGCCCATATCTTGGGAGGGCAGGACCAGAAGACTTTTTCTGGGACCAAGGATAGGCAACCTTGTCGGATTGTTTTGTAAACTTGGAAAACAATGACATGTCTTTGATTCCAGAATTCAAATGCTTCCCATCAATAAATGATGAATGGTTGAATGAAATGGTGTAAAAAATCCAACAGCTCTCAACTGCATTTGGTAAAAGTGCGTGTAACCGGAGTACAAAGAGTGGAGCTTGCTAACCCCGAAGCATTCAGTATGCAGCCACTCAGCCAGCTAGAAGACGATAGAATCAAGAGAATCATTCTCAGTGTTCCTTGAACTATTGAGAAATTCATAGTTTCGATGAAAGTTGTATGGCTACGAAGCGCTTATTTGTGTGCTGCTAAATTTTATCAACAATTGTACCTTATTTGTCGCAGTTTCAAATGGCTCAACGTGCAATCTATTGTTTCCAAGAAAAAATTCAATAATTGTACAATTCGTGATGTCAGATCCACCTGTCGTCGTAATTCCAAAGGCACTGACCGCGTCTGCGTAAAGCACTCGATTCATTACTACTGAACACAACTATGTCAGACGGCAAACTAGAGAAAATGGATAAGGACTTTAGTCCTCAGGTAGACCAGCTTCTTCCGGAGACTGAGAGCCTCCAACAGGTAAGATTACCTACGTATTTCTTGAAATGCAGGGGATCGCGATAACTGACATGTTCTTTTATCTGCTTTAGCAAGGAAAGCTTCAGGAAGCCTTGGAGAAACTCTTGGTTCTCGAGAAACAAGCTCGTATGGTAAGCAGTGTGGGAATGTCAAGGGTTTTGCTCGACATGGTGACACTAAACCAAAGTTATAGGCTGCAGATCAGTCATCTACTGGTCGAATCCTCGTTCAAGTAGTCAAGTTATGCTACGAAGCTCGCGATTGGAAATTGCTTAACGAACACGTTATACTTTTGTCAAAGAAGCATGGCCAGCTCAAGGGGGTATGTAATTCCACTTTATACCCACGTATTACTACATCAAATATGACAATCGTGTTAACGAACGCATCGCTTGAACAGGCAACTACCAAAATGGTGCAAGAAGCCATGTCACATCTTGATGACACTCCCGACATGGAAACGAAACTAGAACTCATTGACACACTTCGTACAGTTACAGAGGGCAAAATTTTTGTAGAAGTTGAGAGAGCAAGGTTGACGAGAATGCTTTCCAAGATCAGAGAAGATGAAGGAAAGATCGACGAGGCAGCAGATATCTTGCAGGAGTTGCAAGTGGAGACATTTGGATCTATGGAAAAGCGAGAGAAAACCGACTTCATCTTGGAACAAATGAGATTACTCCTCGCCAAGCGTGATTACACTAGAACTCAGATTATGTCCAAGAAAATTAATACTCGATTTTTCAAGGAGGAAGAAAATGAGGTACAGATTCAAGCGACTTCTTGAATATGCGTACAGAGATCTTTTACTGATGACTTGTTTTGACATTCAGGATTTGAAACTTCGATTCTACGATCTGATGATACAACACGCCATGCACGAAGAGCAATATCTCAATGTCTGTAAATTTTATCGAGCAGTGTACGATACCAAATCAATCCAAGATGACGAAAAGAAATGGACTGAAGTTCTCAAGAATGTTATTTTGTTCATTGTCCTTGCACCTTATGACAATGAACAATCTGATCTCTTGCACCGTATATACAGCGACCCCAATGTCAGCAAGATCCAATTGTACAAGTAAGCAGCTGATCTTGTTCGTGTAATGGGCACCAGAAGAGCGATCTCTAATTGTTTTTTTATGTTGCTGTAGTGACCTTGCAAAATGCTTTGTAACGAATGAGTTGATGCGCTGGCCAAAGATTGAGGAGATATATGGATCCACATTGAAGGAGACCGAAGTGTTTTCACCAAAAGACGAGGCGGGTCAAAAGCGATGGAGCGAACTCCATAAGCGAGTGATTGAGCACAATATCCGAGTTATTGCTAAATATTACACACGCATCACTACCAAGCGATTAACGCAGTTGCTAGATTTGAACGAACAGGTACATTATCGCTGGTGTGGATACCTCAACTTGCATGTGGCTAACTAATTATGTTTTACAATAGGACGCCGAAGAATTCTTGTCCAAACTGGTCGTTTCCAAAACCATTCATGCCAAAATTGATCGACCAGCCGGTATCATATCTTTCCAAGTCAACAAGACTGCAAACCAGATTCTGAATGACTGGTCAAGCGATATCAACTCACTATTGGGACTGATAGAAAAGACATGCCATTTGATTTCGAAAGAGGTAATTGTCTGCAATTGTTTTTTGAGTACTAGCGCATCATTGGTATACTGAGACTTTTATTATAGGAAATGGTGCACAGTATTGCTAAAGCTATGTAAAGCAGCTGCTGAACCGTTGAGTCATGGCTTGTCAAATTTGTAACGTCACGTCGTGACTGCTCTTTCTCCCAACAACTTGAATAAAATAAACCTTCTCGCAATACCAGTCTCCTCTCAGCATAAAATAATAGATCATGAGTGCGGAAGAACAATCCAACGCTCAAATTGAAGAGCTTACGCAGAGAACCGAAGAAGTTGTCTTGGGGTAAGCGTCCTGACTACGCTCTCTTTGATTTGAGGTTTGTATACTGACTTCATCTCCAGCGAGGATGGCAAGCCATTGTCAAAGAAGGCCTTGAAAAAGCTCGAGAAGGAACGAGAAAAGGCGGCACGAAAGGCCGAAACTGCAGCCAGAGTTGCTCAAGAGCAAGCTGCCAACGAAGGACCTGTAAGTTTGATTTAGCAAACGTTGTTGGGCTATTACGATCGCAGAAGGTTGACCGAATAAACTAGGATGTCTCTGCTGGAAAGTACGGCAAGTTGCCTATGAACCAGTCACAAGAGCGTACCGGTAAGTAGGGATTTATGTATGTAACCCCATTATTATGTTGGTACTAATCTTCACTGTAGGCCGTCACCGTGAGGATATCACCAAGATCAACGCCCCCCGTGCTGGTGAAACCATCTTGTTTCGCGCTAGAATCCAAACTTCTCGTGCCAAAAGCTCCAAGCTGTGCTTTTTTGTTTTCCGTCAAGGCGTCTCCACCATCCAGGGTATTCTCACCACTGATGATGACAAGGCTAGCAAGCAAATGATCAAATTCTGCTCAAAGTAAGTAGCAAAATCCGTTCATCCTCGATCAGGCGACTTGCCATATTGACATTTGACCATAGCATTCCTGTCGAGTCCATTGTCCTGGTTGAAGCTGATATCGTTAAGGCTGCTGAGGATATCAAGAGCTGTACTATCAGTGATGCTGAATTGATGATCAAGCAACTCCATATCATCTCCGAAGCTGAACCCCGTCTTCCTTTCTCTTTGGAAGATGCATCTCGTCCTGAGTCTGAAATGGAGAAGGAAGACGCTCAGTTCTCCCGTGTCGCTCTTGACACTCGCCTGAACAACCGCGTCCTTGATTTGAGAGTAAGGCATTTATCCGTCATAACTGTGAGGTTGTCCATGTCGTAATTAAGCTCTTTCTTTGTTCCGTTAGACCACTACTGGAAATGCCATTTTCAAAATCCAATCCGGTGTTTGCCACCTTTTCCGTGACTTCTTGTACAAGCGTGGATTCACCGAGATTCACACCCCCAAGATTATTGCTACTCCATCAGAAGGTGGTGCCAATGTCTTCAGCATCAAGTACTTCAACAGTAAGTTGTCATTGAAAGTTATGGAGTGTATCACCATGTAATAACCTGAAAATAGCCGAGGCCTATCTCGCCCAATCTCCTCAGTTGTACAAACAAATGGCCATTGCTGGTGACTTCAACCGTGTCTTCGAAATCGGCCCCGTTTTCCGCGCTGAAAACAGCAATACCCATCGCCATATGACAGAATTCGTTGGTCTTGATATGGAAATGGCTTTCGAAGAGCATTACCATGAAGTAATGGATGTCTTTGACGAAATGTTTGTCAGCATCTTTACCGGTTTGAAGGAATTGTTCAACACTGAACTTGAGGCTGTCAAGCGCCAGATGCCATTTGAGGATTTTGAGTTCTTGCCCAAGTCCCTCAGATTGAACTTTGCTGATGGTATCGCTATGCTTCGCGAAGCCGGCGTAGAGATTGGTGACTACGACGATATGAGGTCAGTGAAGGAAAGGCTTTTGCTTTGGTAGAAGAAGGACTGCGTTCTAATATGTTTCTTTTACAGCACTGAACAAGAGAGATTCCTCGGAAAGCTCGTTAAGGAAAAGTACCACACCGATTTCTACATGCTCGACAAGTTCCCATTGGCTGTGCGTCCATTCTATACCATGCCCGATCCTGAGAATCCCAACTACTCCAACTCATACGATTTCTTCATGCGTGGCGAGGAAATTCTCTCCGGAGCGCAACGTATCCACGATGCCAAGTTCTTAGAAGAGCGATGCAAGGTCCACGGTGTCGACATGGCCCACATCCAACCTTATCTTGATGCTTTCAAGATTGCTGCTCCTCCTCACGCTGGTGGTGGTATCGGTCTTGAGCGTGTTGTTATGCTTTACATGGGACTTGGTAACATTCGCCGATCCAGCATGTTCCCCCGTGACCCCAAGCGTTTAGAACCATAAAGTATATAAATGACATATCAATGAAAAATCAATAAAAGCCTTGACCTCCTGCAAAACTATACGCTGCTTCAATCCACATGAAATCAGCGTGCTGCCAATCCGCAACAGCGTTCATACAGGCATCCTCTTACGATACTAAGCGAAACCCCTACCCCAGTACCCTATAAAATGGAAAAAAACAAAGAAAGTAAGATTGAGTTACATGCTTAGTATTGAGTATACGCAAGTCACTAACACATTTCATGTGATTGCTTGTCTTTCATAACTGGTTCTTGTATACATCTAATTGTTGTTCTACCCACTACATCCCTTGAGGGTATTTAGCCTAAGCGACTCTTTGCATCATGCGAAGCCTCTTTGCATCAATTAACTCGTGAATTGATCTATTTTGCCCTTCACTCGCACCATCGTTTTAAAATGTGTCAATATGTGATGTTTTATGCAATAGGCGAAATGTACAATAAAAAATGGTTCTATCTACGTCCCTTCTTCTTGGACTTTGATTTCATATGGCGTCGTTGCTTTTGGAATCGGTTCATATCACCCGCTTCATCCATATTATCAAACAACCCTTGATCTTCCCGTGATCGCTTTTCTCCGCGAGGACCCTGTAACATTAACAAATATGGCAATTTAGCACTATATCACTTTTGTCAGGCTATATCTTGACCTAACATACCTCATCTCGCTTTCTTCTGTTCATAACATTTCTCATACGCTCATTCTCCTGCTCTTCCACATCTTGAATTCCAACGAGATTGCTGAAATCATTGAGGTTCTAATGTACAATATAATATTAGCATTGGCAGTGTATAATAAACATATGCGATGAAGTGAGATTCTCACATCGAATTCATTATCGAAGCGCATTCTATTGTTGTTTTGGAGTCGCTTCTTCTCCTTTCGTGTGACAGCAAGACGAACGTAATTGTTCTCTTCGTATTTATCCTTCTCCTGGATATGTCGATCAAGGCTGTCACCGAAGCCCATGCCTTCATTGACACCACCCAAAGCGTCCACTTCTTCTGGGCGATCATCCATCTCGGCCATCAAGTCTCGCATAATACGAGAGCGTGATGCCTTCTCAACAAGACGGCTCGCGTTCTTTTCTTTTCTAGATGATTTGCGAAGATCTTCATCGTATGTAACAGGTGCGAGTTTAGGTGGTCTATACACACCAGATTTGTCGGTAACTTCATCTACAAGGCAAGAAGCAATTTAGAGATTGGCAGGGACTTTCAAAACATCACTGTCTAATATAATCGTACCTTCTTCCTCATCTCCAGCCTTGTTTACCAGATCCATTGGGTTAGGTTTGAAAGCAAGAGGATCGCTAACTGTTCAGGTATATGGATTAAAATCCGTACATTCAAGTTATCACTCAGCTGATGACCAAAAAACCATACCTGCAGATGCCGCACCATTGTTCGTCTCGTTATCCTGATCTCCAACCACCGCTGTCCGTACAACCTTGTCTATTTGGTATTTCAATTTCTGCTCAACAGGCTTCATCTTTTCCAGCATAACTCGAAGCTCAATCAATGACTGGACGACGGGGTGTGATTCCACTTGCTTTCCGGAAAGTTTGAGCTGGATTATGAAAGCCAAGTTGGCAATATACTGAAGAAGTAGCTGGTATTTTACTTCCAAAAACGATATGCCTTTCGACGTTTTGATTTCTCCATCGGCAACTCTACATGGCAAAGAAATGTAAGTTTCCAGGGATCAATCAGATTGTGCATTACAGAGCTATGACCTACTTTTGTAATATAGGCTTCAGCTGGTTTTGGACCTCATCAATTTTTGACTCGAGATCTTTCATTAGTTGGGGGAATTTTGCCGCATCGCTTGACATTTTAGTGTTATGTTCGACAAGCGAAGGCATGAGATCTTTAAAGCACACTGAAAAACTTGCAAAAAAATGAAGCCAGCCAACTGAAAAATTGGGAAAAAACTGTGACTGTTTCTTAAAGATTGGAATTTCAAAGAGTATCACGGCCGACTGTTTCAAATAAAATAATCTATAATTTATTGTTATTTATAATGAAAGATGCTAAAACGTGTATAATAGTAAGCTTTGTAATAAAATTATCAGTAAAACAATGAATTTTGCTTTACGATAGAGCCTACGGCATCTATAGTGTAAAAGTTCTATTGCTTGATGGTATTGAGAAAGTCGATCAAAGCAGTGACTACACCTTCAGGGTTATCCAATGTACTGACGTGGCCGGCATTGGGAATAGAAACCAAAGATATGTGTGGATTAGCTATATCCCGGTTGTACCATTCAATCATTGAAGTATTTGTCAGCCCATCCAATTGGCCATAGAGGAGTAATTCTGGTATGTTCAATCTAGTGTAAGTCGGATCATCTACTACTACTTCTGCACAGGCTTTCATAGCTTTCACAATCTCAGCATCACCGGATTCAGAGAGCTCTCGATAAATTTCTTGTCGAGCAATGGTATTGTTTGAGGTATTCAGGATAGCATTGAACGAAGCATTATTGTCACCTGCAATGAGAGTGTCCAGCGGGGTGGCCAGGTAGTATTGCATCCAAGGTAGCAGAACCTCGTTTGGTCCACAATCCATGGCGATAAGTGCTTTAGTTCTGTTAGGGTATACTTTTGCAAACTGTTGTGCCACCATACCACCCATGGAGAGACCAGCCTGCAAAACGGCTTGTTTGGACGGTATTTGTAGATCACTGCAAGTGAAAGAACGCAATAGTATAGTTAGCTAGCAGCTTATTTAAAAGCATCTAGTCAGCTTTTTCTTACTTCATCATAGAAATCATGTCTTGGAGCATAAGGTCAAAGGTAATAGTACAGCTTCCCCGGGCAGTGACGTTGGACACTTGACTCATGCCCTGGCACCGAGGGTCGTAAGTCACTACACGATGGCCAGCAAGAAGAAGGGGTAAAACTTGAGCGTCAAAAGAATGGTGGTCCAGTCCAGCGCCAGGGGTAAAAATTATGATGTCGCCATTGGGATTGACAGAGAACCCACTCCGCCAGTATTGGATAGGAGGGCTTGCAGACTTGACAGTGCCTTGAAGGAACATATCACTCTTCCAGCTGTCTTGCGTTGTGGTTGCTGTAGTGAGAGCGAAAAGAGCAGAGAGTGTCCAGAGAAGTAGCATGTTCTTGAAAGAGATGGTGTGAGAGAGTAACCATCACCTTCGCTTTTTAAGCTCATGGGGAAATATTTTTATCACCTACCCTTTGTAGCGAATAAAGCAGGAATCTACCGAAAGCGTAATTGTTTCACTAACCTTAATCGATGCTGTCTTTAACGTGTCGACGAAGACATCATGAAGATCAACGCGTCAAATAGGAAGAACACATGTTTATTGTACATCAATGAGACACCATAGGCATTACTCTACTTTAGATTTATTCATGCTGGCATTAGTCTGCGACCGCGTAAGTAGTAGTGTGCCTGTTATAATTAATGCTGCGCCTAGCCACCAGCTGTAGGCCAAAGGTTCACCAAAAACCGCGTAGCCTGAGAGAGCCTGTCCATATACGAATGCCGTTAAACTCCATATGATTTACTTAGTTCCTGCCCACGGCTTAATACTTACCGATACACCGAAATTAGCTGCACTATTTACAACCGACACCGAAGTGGAGGATGGCGCTCGATTCAGGGCTTTGGTAAATATTGTCCACATAAGGGAGTTGCATGCGAATATTAAAAGGAAGCATAACAAGCGCACCAACAGAAGAATCTATTTCACCATATGAGTTATTTCAATCGATATGCGGCCACTTTGAACATCAGCACTTACATATGATTTTAGAGCATCTTGTTGTGTCACTGGTAGTAGGTCTATCAATATTTGTGTAAAGTAGGCTGTCCTGGAGTCTGTAAATAGTTTCGCAAAGACAGACGCTAATGCAGCGAATGCCCCAGATGCAAGTGCTTGTGGAATGAACGACATGAGACGCGCTGCTTCAAATTGTTGGTCGCCGCCCAACTCATTTTTTTTTATAGCGCTTGGCTTGTCGACATGATATAGCCGTGCAGTACTGGTATTAAAAGATATATTTGTCTTGAAGATATGCTGAAAAACTTAGTCCGCAAGTCTTCATACTAATGCTAATTCACGCTTGCTATATAATTTGCATAGCCTTTTTTAAAGTTGACAAAGGTCAAATTACCGTGTGCTGAGTAGAGTGAAGCTCAGTAATAAATTAGATCCAACTGGTAGCTATAAAGCCACGGATGTAAAGAATTAGTTTAAAAATCTGATATTAAATGGAAAGGCATTTATTTGAGTTACTTATATAACATTGACACATTTGTATAATATAAAGGTAATGAGAGCAGATTGAGACCTTCCATTTTCCGACAGCAATTATAATGTATGAATGAGTCCTCGACTCAACATCTTGAAGGATACTTTTTCAGATTGTTTCATGCTTAAGCAAGTTACAATAAAAGACCAAATAGTTATCGCTGAGCTCAGCATATGCGATTGATCATTCATATCATGGTAGTATTACGTCAATCGTTGTCGTTTTCCTCTCCATTTCAATTTTGTTCATCAGTGACAAGCCTTCGTTTAACGCTACTTCAGCTGTCATCAAAGGTTTACCATTGACAGTAAGAAACAAACGAGAACTACTAGACGAGCGTCTCAGCTGAACGTCTTTGTCTGAATCAGGTGAATTGTCACTGGCTGTATCTTGTTCTACGAGACCAGCAATAGACAATGCCAGCGGTGGTCCAAACGCACTCAGGCCATCAATCCTCTGCATTAACCAGGCTGATATCGCTACTACTGCTGCTAAGACGGTTATGACTATCATACTGGCATTGATCTGCACGCCGTTTCCTTTGCGCTTATAACGGCTCACAGTAGCGCCATTCCATCCATACGATGTGTAAAACACTGTGTCTATCTGCCCTTGTTTAAGAATTTTAGTGTCTTGCCTTTTGTCTCCTGTACTAGTATTGCTAAATACCAAAGAATTTTTCCACGTTTTGGGCACATTTGTTGAATTATACACGTCTCCTAACTTTGTACTATACCCGGTGATTGACATGTTGACGGACGCCACAGTAGTAGTATGGGGATATGACATGTAGACGTTGATGCTCTCCAGCCGAAACTCGTCGTTTACAATACTGACCCTAGCTAATCTAGCAGAACCGGTTATCTCTGCCATGTTGATTGCGCATAATGGTTCACCTTCGCACAGTGTGGTGCTGAAATTGAAGTTCTGCAGTATGGTAGATAAGTTTCCTGACCAGACGCGTGCTGTGGAATTCTGTTCAATGTATACAACTAGATCTGATAGCACTACGCTATTATTAACGCCAGCAAAATATACACCTGTTGCAGCATAAGTTGTCCGGATCTCGCCTGTGGTAAATGTCTCGTATATGTTTGGCCAATTAATACTTCCTGCTAGGGGATGAACCCCTGAAGCCTCAGAGAATTTCACCATATTCACATCTAATCTAAGATCATTCGCCAGTACCATGTTTGTTCCCTCGGCCGAGCTGTTGAAGGCGGTGCAAAATTGTCGTCCGGGCGAGCAAGGTATGGGATTACGTATACCACCGACTGACAAGTTGATGACTTCAGACATATTGAAGTCCGTCACCCATCCTGGGTCTGGTCGCGAGAGTACTTCCATTGTACCCGTCGTCAGATTCTTCATATCTTGTTCTGGATATACTCCCTGAAGTCCTTCAGTGGAGTTATAACAAGTCCCAAACGCTGAGCATGTTATATTATAACCATATGCGACCGCATCTGGTATTTGATAAGGCGGTAACGTTATCACATTACCCTGAGCATAAGAGCCAACAATTTGAATCACTTGAGGCTCCGATAGCACCTGCAAATACGTCTGATTCTTCCATATCGAGGCTGCTAATGTTGACCACAATGCATTGAAAGCTACGGTCACGACCCACAAGAGCAATATAGGCTTACTACGTAAGGCCAATAGGATAGTCTTCGGGGTGTAGAACCCTGAACTAGAACTGAGTTGCCAAACCTGATAATCTTTAAGATAATACGACAAAGCGAGCGTCAAAAAGCATAGAAATAGATTTATACAGATATCCTGCAGAGAAAATAGCGCATTAGCTGCAGCTTGATCAAGATACACAGTCATATGGATGATTGCGTAGACGGTTCGGATAATAGTGCTTTTGCCAAAAGTCGAAGTAGCGGAGCGCTTTGAGATGTTTGACGTTTGGATTGCTCGGTTGGTCCGTGTTCAAATATTCTCCTGGATGAATTTGATTCGAGGAAGGCTACTTGCAACCTACCTCGCTTTTATTTAATTATTGTTGACAGCCACGTATTTGGCCTCGTGATGTTTGGTGGGCCGATTGCCTTCCGAAGGACGTCATATCCTTCTTCTCGCCTCTGTCACCGGCCGGATATCTTGCATAACAACAAGAACTTCGTATTGGATTGGTAGCGAAAACAGTTTTCTTTATTAACAGGTCAATTATCCATCTCTCTACATAAATTCTGACGGCAATATCTTTATACATATGCCCTCGTGTTTTATGTTTGTTAGAGTCAACGACGCAATACCTGTTTTGAAATAAATAGAAAGATCAAATGCTAATAGTGTGTCCAAAAGTGTCCGCTAACTTTTATTTGGCTTCTCATTACTGCGCTTTGCTGAGCATTTACCTTATTCATTTTGAGCGATGAGTTCATTGCTAGAAATGCTTCTGACTTCCGCTAAACTTACTTTTTTGCATAACTCGCCTCAGAAGGTCCAGGCACTTTCGTCAGTAGACGCACTTTAACAATTTTGTTTTCTCCGCCCTGGCTATACTGAATGAAAATAAATGCGCAAAATTGCGGTGAAGATAGATAGTGTGAAGGTTAATGATATGGAACGTAACAATATCTGGTACAGAGCAGGTCTTTGCTCCAGCGGGGATTTCAGCTCTGTTTTTTTTTTTTTGAGTCGTGAATTGTGCGCCAGCATTTGTACCAAACTTCGTTGATTTCACTCTTACTCTCATCCTTCGCCAAAGCGTTTGACATTACTGCCGTTCTTCCAACATAAAACCGAAGTGCCAGGTAATTTGCTTTATTCTGGCTATGTTTTTGTCAGATTCTTGGGATTACGACTTGATCTAACGATACTCATTATTGATCTCAGGTACCCAGAGTCAGCTAGAATCAACATCATACTTCACTACGCGCAGCAGTAGCTTGGATTGGCGTAAACAGATAACTTATCTCGAGGAGACTGTTCAGTATAGAGATCGCCGGTGACAGAAGTTTTTAACCTTCGACATTTCGCATCGCCGATCAGTGTAAAGTAGCACAGAAGTCCTCTCTCAATGCATCAGCGTAATTTATCCACCTCTGCAACCTCCTTTGGAGCGCAAGCGTCTCCTTTTGGCCAAGGTTAGTGCCCATAGCAAAAGTTGCAGCTCACATCATTGTTAACCTTTACCTTGCAGCAACCAATGCAGCAAACCCCACCTTTTCCTTCGGCTCCTCTCAGCCATCAAATACGATTACACCTTCATTTGGACAAGCAGGTACGTTTCTCCTAAACTAATTTCCTGCCTGCCTTTCAGAAGCAACATTCTAACACTATCAGATAGCAGTGAGCCAGCCAGCATCAAATACATCTGGGTTTTCCTTTGGAGCCGCGGCACAATCGACACCATCATTATCGTTTGGAGCCTCGGCGCAAACGACACCCGCAACGTCATTTGGAAATGCGGGGCAAACCTCTTTTTCATTTGGAAATAAAGCTCAATCAGCACCATCATTCTCGTTTGGAAACACAGCACAGACAACGCCTTCTTTGTCATTTGGAAATGCAGCGCAATCAACGCCTTCCCTCTCATTTGGAAACGCCGCACAGTCTAAGCCGGCATTCTCGTTTGGAGCAACAGCACCAGCGTCCAATCCGGCATCTACTCTCCAAATTTCTTTTACTCAACCACGTATGAAACCTTATGATACGCGTTTTCTATTAATATTTAGTTGGTTCTAATTGTCATTTAACACGTACTCCAGAGCAAAATCAATCTACATTTGGAGGAAATGCGAATATACCCAGCCAACAACAAGACATGCAGACTTGGCAACAGCTAGCGCTAATAAAGGCAAAGTGGGACACCAAATCACCCCTCTGTTATTTCAAGGTAAGTAATCTTTCATGCCGGTGTATATATCATCAATATCCATATCTGACGGATGTAATCTTCTCCAGCATTTCTTTTATAATATGGTTCATCCTAATGAGGTTCACCGATATGCTAAACCAGCCGATATTGATCCTTATTTATGGGCAGAGGCAATGCGCAACAATCCGGACCCAACTTGGTAAGTTGCCCATCGCGTAATACAGGGTACAGAGGCGAAATCTAAAAGTATTTTTCAATACAGCATGGTTCCTACTTTGGCTGTTGGGTTTGATGACGTTCGGAAAAGAATGGAAGGACAGTACAGGACATGTGCCGTTTTCAAGGAAAGGTTGGAGGTCAGTAACTTAGTTAGAAGCAAAAACGTCGGCGCATTGTATTTGGGTTCTAAATATACGTTTAGGCAATCAACCAAAAAATTGAGCAAATTCAACGGAAACATATCCTGGAGACAATGACACGATTAGCCGAACATAAAAGACGGCACATAGACCTTACTCAAAGAACAATACAGGTACGTTCTTATGGAATATATTTTTTGTTGTATTGCAATGGTATACGGAACTCACCACTCGCTACATAGTTCATGAAGAACTCGCAACTTTTGCGAAGCAAGGGATTCCCTATTCAAATTGATGAGGACAAGCTGAGGCTTCAGTTAGAAAAGGCGGAAATGGAGTTGCAGAGATCAGCACAGTTTAACGAAAACTTGAACCACTTGTGGAATCAAGTGCAAGATGTACGTGAGAACCAAAGGGACACGGTGCTGACGGAAAAATGGGCTTTAACAAGCGAAAAGGACGTTCACGCAATATCTGAAGTAAGTTCTAACCCACAGTATTCCTTATGTTCTAATGTTGGGCTACTAATTAACTTTCACTCCTTTCAGATATTGAGCAGTCAGCATGATGGTTTAGCGCACGTTATTTCAATATGCCATTCGGACATGAAAGACCTGGATGCCATGATTAGTGGTGTCAATGCCAAGCTGAGCCAAACTGTTGGACAATAATGACTTTGATGGTATCTGATGAAATTAAAAAAACATTTAACCTAAGTTTCAACAATACAAGCTTTATGCTTGAAATGCTGAAGGCAGACTTTTTTTTTTTTACAATCTCTCAGCTAACAGTTTATTTCATTTGTATTTACTCGGCATTTGAGCCCAATCAACTCCAACCTCATACTTGCATATTACCAATCCTGCTATGCAGACTCTTATGCTGTTGTGCATAACGAGGAACAGAGTTTCAGCCAATTAACTTTGATTTCAATAGCAACAGCTGGCTTCCGTCACACAGCCATAGAACTCTTAAGGCCTGTCGTGCACAGGGTGCGCCAGACATTGGGCCAATCAAGCTCCACTTTACAGCCAACTTTCTGTCACGCAGTCGTTGCACACCACAGAAGGACAAGAGTTTCAACCAATCAAATTACAACCTTGACCTTGTAGAACCCTTTGTAAATGCAGACGGATCGATTTCACACGCAGAAGACCAGAGCATTAGGCGATTTCACATCGACCTCGTTTTAGAGACATCTTCTGTCACGCAGCTTTTGAAATATGAGGTCAGCTGCGGACAAAGAGGTTACATGTTTTGTTAGTGAATACTCTAAACCTGTCATTTCTGCAGTGACAATGAATGAGCTGAGCTGCTTATAATACATTGTCTACATTCTCTACTATCGTTTATAAGAAGATTTTGGTCCAAGCAAATGCTGCTTGTGCTAAACTTCGTCTTGTCTGTTCACGGCAAGATTTCTCATGATGGCTTCACTGCACGATAAAAGGTATTACATTCTTCACCTTGAAAAAGGTTCTTCCCACCGCACACCTTCAAAAGCCAATGTTCCTTATTCACTTGTATGGCATTTTGTTCAAAAGTTTGCAAGTTGTCAATATAGGCTAGTCTTTCAACGTTTTGATGTTATTCTTATTTCAATTTCATGAGATACTTTGCATATGCCACTACCTGAGTTATACTAGATTGGCGTGGTAGTGCGCTTCTGGTGAAAGGACCATAGTGAGCAAGTGGCGCCAGGACAGTCTCGTGACTGCGGAGACTGAATCATGCACTATATGAATTCAAGCGATGCTCAAGCCGAAGATATACTGGTTTAACAGCTTGATACTTTATTTTTGACACTTTGTAATGTTGGCACGCTCATCCTCATTACTTACTCGCGCAGCTGTGTGTTCTACTTTGCGACGACCATTTACTTCAACCTCCTTGGCACCGCTCTCGCACACGCCACTCTGTCGAGACGACGAACCAACACAGAGCAAAGCTGGAGGTATTCTGGAAAGCGTTCTCTACGGCTCTAAACAGTCTAAGGAGGAGGAAAAGGCTACCCACTCCAAGGTACTGGCGCGAGGCAAATACGTTCATGAACTGCAAAGTGAGTATCTCTTCGGCAAAGTGTGGGGAAGGAGCGGCCATTGAATGCTCTATCCATTAGAGACTACGGTTACTTATGACGTGATACAACAGGACACAAAGTGAAGCCTGACCGAGTGGAGGAGTACGCGGCTCTCATGTAACGTATTGTAAAGGTTCTGGCGCATTATGGAAGCTCAAATATTAACACAGACGTCAACTTAACAGAGCAGAGCACTTCCCCCGCATAGCAAACGATCCTGCCAACAACGTGCATTTGTGTGGAAGTTGGTCAACAGATATTGGACAGCAAGATACATTTGGTAAAGGATAATTCAGTGCTTTCTGCGGTCACGTACAGAGATTGGGGCTAACCTATATGCTTTTCTTCAAGTTCATATTTGGGAATACAAAGGATACCCTGGTCATAAGGAGACTATGGAACGGCTACAACAGGATGCTGTAAGTACATCTTAGTGTTATAAGATTTTAGGTTGGCATTCTTTAACTTTTTGATCTGTCAGCAATATCAAAGATTTATGAGGGACATTCGCCCCCTGTTGATATCTCGTGAAAATACGATGATGCTTGAATTCTCTTTCTGGGCAACTTCTCCGCCACGGGTCACTAACGGAATCTACGAACTCCGCAGATATGAATTGAGGGTAAATGGAATGTTATAGGTTTTATGATTTCTAGCAACGGTTGACTAACCCACAGCCATACTTGATAAACAGCCTGGAAATTTACTCGAATGGGAGATGCATTGGCGCAAGGGTTTGGACTGCCGTCGTCAGTTCTGTGAACCTGTTGGAGCCTGGTTCAGTCAATTGGGAGATTTGAACGTCGTTCATCATATGTGGACATATCCTGATTTACAAACTCGCAAGATCACCCGTGAAGACGCTTGGCAAGTTGATGGGTGGGCTGAAACCGTCACTAATACTGGTAAGCCTCCTACCATAGATTTACACACACATTATAGGATCGAACTGACTTTTTTGTTTCTGTCTAGTCCGTTTGATCAACAAGATGCAATCATCCATCTTGAAGCCACTTGAGTTTAGCCCGCTTAGATAAATTAACCGGAAACATATACGGAGAGGCAAAGTCAAAGTCTTTTCATATATGTGGAGGGGATATGGATGAATTCAAAACATATGTAATGTGGTTTTTGTTGGATGAGGTTTTCTATCTATATATAAAAACAATGCTTGTATTTGGCTGAGATGTTTATCGGGTTATTTCATCCCAGTATCTTGCGTACCTGAGAGCCAAATATAAAGGAAGACGGTTAGGAGGAAATCGTAACGAGATGTGAAGACAAAAAAAAATTCATGTCACACATACTCGGTGGGACTGCGGATGACATCTTCTACGAAGCCAAACTTCATCATGACTTGGCCCTTGACGTTATCTTTCTCACTACGCTTGTTCAATGAAAACCATGAAGGTTGATTTGCTGGGTCGTTGTAGTTCATGGGAAGCCCACCGAAGGAATCACCTTGGTTTCGATCGAAAACATTTCGAAAGGGTATCATCAGCTCACCCATAAAGTCTCTACCAAATTTGTCCTTGTCCCAGAGCGTCACAGCGATATGCTTCGGTGCTCGAGACGGTGAAACACTGATGTCAAAGTGAAAATCCCAATCTGGATTCAGAGTTTGCTTGATATATTGCGTGGTATATTTCTTTTCACTGAGTTGGCCAGCAACAATGAACAATTAAAAGGGGTACAGTGAAACACTTCCATCCCCTATTATTGCGAATACCTACTTGACTCGGATAACACCATATGGGTCTGAAAATCCTGTCTTGTCACTATATTAGAGGAGGTATTGATGGTCAGGTACGAAGTGAGCGCTGTCAAACACTGAATCTCCGTTCGCGTGTACACGCTCCGGTATAAAGTTGGGACCGTGCTCACTCGAAAACACAGGTGAGAGAATGGTAGCATGTAATGAGAAGTGGCAAACGAACTTACGCAGCAGCGAGATCTCGGCCACAAATCAAAGCGATTCTGAACTTGATTCCAGTCATTGTAAGCAAGGAAGGACAAATAAAAGTCTATGGAAACCCTTGAAGGTCAGGAACGTCACTGCCACGCGGAATAGCGATTGGCTGGCATGGAAAGAATTTTTTTTAGCACAGGGATCAAAAATAGGTTCCTTGCAAGCCCCCAAATGCTGACTTGCAGTACCTTCGGCAACCTTCAATCCCTATTATCCTTCTGTTGAAATTAAAAAGAATTGACTAAAACATAAGATCAATGAAAAAGACGGAAGCGTGGTCCAAGTTGAACACATGCAACACCCGTCCTCGTCGAGCTGAATCTTTCATTGTTTGTTAAAAAAAGAAAATCAGAGTATGATTTACTACCTAAGCGCGCAAAGTAAGGGGAATGGAAGGGCAAGCGGAGGACAACTTATGGCGACACCGCCGCAAGTATATGATATGCATATTTTGATTGTGCAATGATATTACCCATCCTTGTTTCTCATTCATAAACTCCCCAGTTATTCGTTGTAATGAAAAATCGCTTCTGGTGGATTCTATTTTTCAGTCTTCTTTTACTGACCGTTCACGCTGAAGGTAAAGATAGTTACACTTCTAATCCCTATATGTCTGTACCATTCATTCATTTTTGATGTTCAGACAACGATGACGACTCAAACGATTCTGCAACGGATAGTTCCAGCGATGCTACCACCGATCCTTCAATAACCGAAACCCCGTCATCGGTCGATTCAGACAGTGAACCATCGACCTCTATGCCATCTTCTTCGGCAACAGATATCCCATCACCAGCTACGCCTGCTAGTCCCCCGGCCATCTCTAATGTACCGGGACTCGCGGCCAATCAAACATTGAATCAACAACAACTTGACCAGCTAAAAATATCGTGTAGTGCTCTCCAACAGTGGTATACTACGCTTGGCGGTCCACAATGGTTAGATTCTACCGGATGGACGAATAATGACATGACTTCTTGTTGTTCCTGGGCTAAAGTTTACTGTAACCCAGTAGGAGGAGTTATACGCATGTAAGATGAAAGCCTGGTAAACAACCCCTTTTCCCGTACAGACACTCATATTTAGCTCTTGACAGTACATTAATAGGAAACAATCTAGCTGGTTCTATTCCAAGTACTTTCCAGAGTTTTCCTCACTTGGTCCATTTGTGAGTTGTATGCTGTATAGAGTATTTTTTAGACATTGCTATTAACATGAAAAGGTTTCAGAGACATGAGCTATAACAATTTGACTGGTGGTATACCAGACTCAATAGCAGCAGGCTTGGCTATTCAAACATTGTAAGCAGGACGAGCTAATTTTAATCAGTTTTGTGTACCTGGTATTCATTTGGTATTGATCGCTGTTGGCGTCTCCTTCCAGAAATTTCAACTTCAATCAGTTGAGTGGTTTGTTACCGGCCTCATTAGGAAGTATGCCTGTCTTGGCTAGCATGTAAGCCAATCAAGCGCATGCTCGTCTCTTTAAACAGCTTTCAATTGACTTTTTTTCATTAGCCATCTCGCAAACAATACTTTCAATGGAACCATCCCCGACAGCTGGGCAAATTTGCCACTTCTTAAGACGTTGGACTTGAGCAATAACAAATTATCCGGTCCATTTCCAACATCCATAGCGAATTATCGATCGCTTGTTTCACTGTAAGTGTAAGAGAGAGTTGTAGCAAATGGGACTATCACCAAGATACTGAGCCCGCTGCGACAACACCAGGTCACTGAGCAGTAACGCATTCACGGGATCTCTGCCTCACAATATCGGTATCATGCCATCGTTGAAATCACTGTAAGTTTCTGACACTGTCTCATTGTCTATAATGAAATTGTAATGACCTATGTACGATCGGTTTGCAGAAGGGTTTCAAAAAATCAACTGACGGGCCCTATTCCTGAATCTCTTGGAAACATCACTGCACTGGTCACCATGTATGTAACCTACTCCAAACTATTAAAAAAAAGTTCTAAAAAGAAATGCAGCGTTTCTTATGTCCACCTGACTGACGTTGATTTAGATCCATGAGGTCGCAGTCATTAAACGGCCAAATACCATCAAGTTTGGGTAATCTACCTAACTTGCAAGTTCTGTGAGTAGAGGTGTAAATGTGTAAACTTTTTGTAGATATGATACTGTACTTATCTTGTTTCCTTATCACCAGCGATTTGACAAGAAATAACCTCACTGGATCTATACCGCCTCAGCTAGGCAATCTCGTTCACCTTCGTAACCTGTAAGTCGCTCTTCTCCATACCATGTGGTACTGTTTATTACGTTCTTACTAAATGCAATCGTCTGAATAGCCGCCTCAGTCGTAATGCATTGGATGGCGCAGTGCCGGCTGAGCTAGGTCTATGTGGCCAGCTGCAGATATTGACTCTGAACTACAATGCATTGTCCGGGACATTCCCTTCGATTGTTGCCCCGCCAGCTTTAGCCTTCTGTCATATGCAACCCAATTCATTCGACGCTTGTCCACCAAACGATGTATCGATGAACTACTCATCCATGGCATTCCAATGCTCCGTGAACTGTACTTCAGCAAAACATAAAAAGAGTGAAGGTATCTCTGTTTCATCAAATAGCCCGTTCTTACTCACTGTATTCATGGCCATATTGGCACTCATTGTACAAGAGGCTATTCACGTTATTCTTTAGTCCAGTCAGTTGGATAAGATAGGGCTGTCCAGATTGGCACTTAGTTTGATACCAATGTATAGCGTCGTTTTCCCTTTAAATTGTCTTTGCTAGCATAATCACAATGAATTTCACACAGATCAATCAGATTCAAGGTGCAAAACGGCAGATTTTATTGGACGATATAAAGTGATGTACACTGACAATGGTGGACGAAAAATGACCAAACGCGATTCACAGACTTGCACACCTTGTCAGCTTGTGCAATAAACAGTAGTAAAACATACAGCGTAATGGCTGTATATAATGTAGTCGCTTAGAAGCACTTGCGGTGAACGATGGAAGGACCAGATTCATCGTATTCTTGCTTGCTGACCCACATCTGTTGGAAAGTGGAGAGGGAGGCAAGAATGGAACCACCAATCCAGACAGAGTACTTACGCTCTGGAGGAGCAACGATCTTGATCTTCATGGAGCTTGGGGCCAAAGCGGTGATTTCCTTTTGCATACGGTCAGCAATACCGGGGTACATTGTGGTACCACCAGACATGACGATGTTGGAGTACAAGTCCTTACGGATATCAACATCGCACTTCATGATGGAGTTGTAGGTGGTCTCGTGAATACCAGTGGATTCAAGACCAATGAGGGAAGGTTGGAAAAGAGCTTCAGGAGCACGGAAACTGTTGATACAGAGATATGAGTGATTTGGTTTCGCGCTGGACATATAGCTGGAAAATCAAGAACTCACCGTTCATTACCAACGGTAATGACTTGACCGTCAGGAAGTTCATAAGACTTCTCAAGAGCGGAGGATTGAGCAGCAGTTTGCATTTCTTGGTCGAAATCAAGGGCAACATAGCAGAGCTTCTCCTTGATATCACGGACGATTTCACGTTCAGCAGTGGTGGTGAAAGTGTGACCACGCTCAGCAAGAATTCTCATGAGGTAGTCAGTCAAGTCACGACCAGCCAAATCCAATCTAAGGATGGCGTGAGGAAGGGAGTAACCTTCATAGATAGGGACGGTGTGAGAGACACCATCACCTGAATCAAGAACGATACCAGTGGTACGACCGGAGGCGTAAAGAGACAAGACAGCTTGAATGGAGACATAGAAAGCAGGGGAGTTGAAGGTCTCAAACATAATTTGAGTCATCTTCTCGCGGTTGGACTTGGGGTTGAGAGGTGCTTCTGTGAGGAGTACGGGGTGTTCTTCAGGAGCAACACGGAGTTCGTTGTAGAAGGTGTGATGCCAGATCTTTTCCATATCGTCCCAGTTAGTGACGATACCGTGCTCGATAGGGTAGCGAAGGGTAAGGATACCACGCTTGGATTGAGCTTCGTCACCAACATATGAGTCCTTTTGTCCCATACCGACCATCACACCTTGATGGCGAGGGCGGCCAACGATGGATGGGAAGACCTTTGAGACAGGATAGAGTGAGCATAAGATACCATATGAAGTTGATGTCGTTATAATCACGACTTCCAGCAACAATCTGATCTGAAAATAGTCGTCTTGGCTTTGATTAGACACTTACAGCACGAGGTGCGTCATCACCAGCGAAACCGGCTTTGCACATTCCGGAACCATTATCAATAACGAGCTGATTGAAGATATATGAGCGTGAATTCGGGCTAATGATTTCTAGATCAAAAGGGATGCAAACTTACGGCAGCAACTTCGTCTTCCATTGTAGATTGTTTGTGAGAGAGTCAAAGAGTCAAGGCACGCGTCGCATTTCTGCCTGCGCTAAAAGCTCAGCCAATCGCCGGGTTACACCAGCAGCCACTCCAATTGTGACTGCTTATCTCCCAGGCTGAATCTTTCAAAAAAAAAAAAAGTTTGGAAGCTGACCTTCACTGATCCGATCTAACCGTCATGCCTCAACCAATTAAGAAGAGAAAGAGAGGAGAAGTTACGGTATGATAAGAATCTTGGCGGTGCTCGAGGTTTATTGAAATATACTGAATTTTTGGTATCCAATGCTATAGGGATCTCGCAAAGACCAGGACTACAAAGATACTATCCAGCGGATAAAAGTCCTCGAATCCGGTTTGGGTGATAAATCAAACCTCAACAACCTTGTAGAAATATTCGAAATTGCTCAGGTAAGTTCAATGTCGCGAGCATTGTACTCGACGTTGGCAAAAGAAGTTGCCGTTTCTTGGTACGATTTGAGTTAACTCCTGGCAACCAACTTAGGGTTCCCATGGCGGTCTTACCAGTGCTGCCATCCATGCCTTGCACCGAGTATATACAACTCTACTGTTGAAGGGAGAGCTGAGGAGATTGAAGAAGGAGGAATCAGCGAAGGCAACGGTTAGCAATTGGCTTCGAGATAATTACAATTCCTACATCAAGTTCCTTTGCGAACTTCTTCGTCATGAGGAACCGGGTTTGCAGAAACCTGCTTTGAACATTTTGATTACGCTTTTGAAGTCAGAATCAGAATTCCAAACATCGCTACGAAAGAAGCACGCCTTTGCAAACGATTTTTATGTTCGTGTTGTGGATGCTGTTCTTCGCAATCCAAATTTCAGTCAACCTTTGCAAGCAGAGCTGCTTGGAAAATATCTCAATGTCTACGACGACCTTCGATACTATTTCTTCAAGAATACGTCGTGAGTAGAGTTCATTTGCGTCTCTTTGTGGTACTATGGTTGGGACGTATCTAATTTTGCCTCATGTATTACAGTGATATTATTACTTCAGCACTAGAGAGCAAAGATTCATCTGAGGCGGATACACCAAAAAAGAAGAAGGCAAAGAATATGTCGAATGAAAAGTTGAATATGTTGATGCAAAACACATTCTCGATACTGGAAGGCATCAGAACGATGCCCACGGCTGGTGCGGAGATCGATGAGTTTTGGACTGGCCATCCCGATCCAGAGTATGCTGCAAAGGCTAAGGAAGATCCTGACGCTTTTGCTGACTCTTCGGATGAAGAAGAGGAGGTCACCAAGGAAGTTGCTGGAAAGAAGGGACCACGCAAGCATATGTTGGTGCGCTTGAGCGTGCACAAAAAGGCATTGCAAACCTGCTGGTTGGCATTTATGAAGATGCCGCTGACAAATGACCTGTACAAAAAGACCCTTCTCATCATGCACAAGCGTATTATACCACATATGACCGACCCTCGACTTCTCATGGACTTTTTGACTGATTCGTATAACGCTGGTAAGTGTGTTGGCTCGAGGAAAATGAATACATTGGCATGAATCAAATAATAACATCTCCATGTCGTACAATAGGTGGAGCAACCGCCTTGTTGGCTCTTAACAGTTTGTTCACATTGATTGTTGACTATAACTTGTAAGTTTTCTGTCTACATGAAACATGATGTAAAACAATGACTAACAACAATATGATTCTAAAGGGATTATCCTGAATTCTACCACAAACTGTACCGTCTTCTCGATGCAAACGTTTTGCATCTTAAATATCGGTCGAGATTCTTCCGTCTTTTGGACCTTTTCCTTTCTTCATCCCACCTACCCGCATCTCTTATCGCTGCTTTCATCAAGCGCATGGCTCGCTTGTCACTGACTGCCCCTCCAGCTGGAAGTGTCATTCTGATTGCCATGATTTACAACTTGTTGAAGCGCCATCCTTCTTGCATGGCATTGATTCATCGTGATGAAGCTGCCGACGCGGAAACTGATGTATTCGATGAAAGCAACCCTGATCCATATACATGTAATGCGCTGAACTCGTCATTGTGGGAACTTCAGACTTTGGCCGAGCACTACTACCCCAACGTAGCCACATTGGCCAAAATCTTCACTGAACAGTTTACAAAGCCAAGCTACAATTTGGAGGATTTCCTAGATCACACATATGGAACGGTAAGTTGGTGGTAGAAATGGATTCAGCATGAATTACAGGGCATTTTAGACTTACACTCATGCATTTGCAGTTCTTGGATAAGGAGCTAACACGTAAGCGCAAGAAGGATCCTGCGTTGGCTTTTGAGAAGCCCACCGAGCTATTCCCTTCATTAGTAAAGGTTGGAGCCACAGATGAGGACGACGAGACTGCAAACGACGATTTAGAAGATCCTAGTGCTGTGAAATGGTCCCTCTGGGCATTTTAACCGAGCACTCTTTCTTAAATCAAATTCATTTCCCAATCACTTTTTGCATATAGACTCAAAAATTTGGCAACGCAACACCTTTCACTCAATAAATCGACAATGCCCTTTCATCCATTGTTTAATGCTATTACACAATACCAGTTAGTTTATTTATCTTTCTTTAATACAGCTATACATGATACGGTATTGGTTGGGTTAATAGATATACATGAAATTGGGGTTTTGGAGATCAGTCAGATCGTCAAAGGAATGAACAAGATCCTTATCGACCTCGTTTTCTCGGCTATCCAGAAAAGCTTGCTTCTTCTTGTTCTGTCGAACGAAATGGAAACGAAGGAACACGAGAGTGAGAATGGCACAGACGTAACATCCCATGTGGACAGCGAAACCAGTAAAGTATCTAGGAGCGTCCTTAGATTGCATGACTTGCGGACCTGAGGAAAATTCACAAAGTTAGTTTCAACTTTTAACTCAGTCTATGAGAATAATATCACAACATACCAATAGCATTGCCTGCTGCCCAGCAAAAGAAGTTGACAGCAACCGCGATACTTTTTTTGGTTTGACCACCGACGTTTTTTGAAAGCAACGTCAAGGTCAAGGTGGATGCACCCCAGAAAGACAAGACAACATAATACGCAACCAAGAGACCAGCTCTAGTACTTGCCGAAGTATTCGCCACTGTCATCAAGACAATGGTACCGATCATGCTCCTACATGGAAACTATTAGCTCTATGTATTTTTTAACTACGCTGTTTGAATGCAGTGTGCACTTACGGTATCAAAAAGCCAATCATAGTCCAGATGGTTTGGTTATACTTCCTGACGAGGTATGCCGAACTTAAGGGGAAACCCATAATCAATGCACCTAGCACCATGGCCAACAGCTGAGTATTCAACACTGAGAATCCCAAACCATTGATAATGATATTTGCAAACGCGCCAATAGAGGACTGAGGCAAAGTTGTGAAGAGTTGAAACAAGCCGTAGCAGTAGATTTGTGGGTCTTTGAAAGCTTCGATAGCTTGATCCTTTCTGAACTTTCTGTTTTGCAAACCTGTTTGGTTGGATCGGACTCGTTCTACCATTAATTTCTTGTCATCTTCTGAAAAGCACTTGGCACGCATAGGACTGTCTGGCAGATACCAGATGACAAACACGGCCCAGCCCACGGAAATAATACCGTAAGACAAGAACAACCATTGCCAAGATTTCAATGGACCTGTCGTAATATTTGTGAAAGCATAGGCGAGCAGTCCACCGAAAATTTGCTGCAGACCATTCATCATGAACCAAAGCTGCAATAAAGATAGGATATCAACATACTTCGTCGTGTCTTCAACCAGCGCGTATAATAGTGGAGATACTAACTGTGATAATCATAGCGTTCTCAGCTTTCGTGTACCACATACTAGAAAGGACCAAGAAAGAAGGTTGACAGGCGGACTCAAATATTCCCAGTAGAGTTCGGACTACCAATAACGATGCAAAGTTCGAACAGAGGGCGTGAAAGCAGAGTACAGCCGCCCAACAGAAGATACAAAATCCCAAGAACTTTCCTATAGGGACTCTTTGGATGATGTAGTTCATGGGGTATTCCACAAAAAGGATGCCAATATAAATGCAGGTACTAAGCCATGCATACTGAACGAATGGTGTCAGCTATTGAACCCAACCTTTTTACTCCGAACCGACTCAATACTTACCTCTTGACCAACCAGACCTGTATCCTTCTGTATACCCATAATGGCCGAGAACGAGAGCGTTGCCTTGTCGAGTGATTGAAGGAAATACGTTACACACATCACCAACAATACTCGCTTATCGATCATCCTCTTCAATCGCTTGTTTGTATCTTCGTCGATGTAGATGGCTTTTGCCGAAGCATATTTGGCAACTTCAGGATCAATACGATCATTATGTATTTGGCCTCCTCCAGACTGTACTTCTTCTAGGTAAGCAATATCCTTCTTCTCGCTGATTTGGCTATGGCTTGACTGGGTATCGTCCTTAAGTGATGTGTCCATGGAAAAGAGAAGCTGTTTAGAAAAATCAGATGGGATCACTTGGGTGCCTTTATATGTACCGGCATCTGAAAATTGGAGAGATCCAGTGGGAAAAAATTGGAGTGATGTTTTGATGAAGTGCGGGGAGAGTGCTGCTCGGTCATCCCCGCGAAATACCAGATATAGCTGAGCTCAAGCATGTCTCCTCCAAACAAATGCTGCAACCGATGGAAGTCGGTGTTGGCGGAGAGTGAGTCTCGGAGACGATGCAAACTTAAGAATAGCCTTCTCAAGCGCTATGGATCGGAACAGCGGAGCCTCTGCGCTGTACATGGTCTGCTCTTTCGCTGACGGCCTCCAATAGCTAATCTCCGCATTGGACTCCAAACTATCCAAATCAAGACCATTTACCAAATTCATCCAGCCAAGCAGTGGAGAAATCTTGATTGCGACTTGTTGGGCCGTGCTTAGTGGCTGTCCACGTGATTATATAACTACTTTTAATGGGGTGCAATATACATTTTTGCTGTAAAAGCATTGATTGATTGTGGTTTTACAAATGAAACTATGGATGGCGCACTACTCTGCAGAAATTGGTGTGTCACTTGCCCGGCGTTTACTGTCATGAGTGCTTTTCAACTGTCCACAGGCAGCCATGATATCTGCCAAAATGATAAAAGTAAGCGACGCTCCCCACCGATCCACCAATTTGTAAATAGTCTTACCTTGGCCTCTCGGTCTTCTTACAGTGCAAGGAACATTCCCTTCCATGACAACAGCAGCGAAGCGATCTATTTGTTCCGATGTGGAGGTCTCATACACACTGCCTGGCCAAGGATTCCAAGGTCTTTTTGGAGATTTCCCAAATTCAGTAAATAAACAGCCTGTGCCACTACTAAGAAAAAGGAACGGAGGAGCGAATGGCTTACATAAGGTTTACATGTGCAGGAAGCTCTTTCAGCAATTTGACTAATTCGCGAGCCTCCATCACAGAGTCGTTCACACCTCGAAGCATGACATATCTGTTGTAAGAGTCAGTTAGGAGTGATCAAATAGAGAGATTCATGATACGGAGGGAGAGGGTTCAAGTGAATAATGACACGATTATGGCTTAACGCCTACTATACGGAACCACCACCCCCTTGAATGGAAACTTACTCAAAAGTGATTCTGTTTCTTCGTTTGCCCAATAATCGAACGTATTGCTTGCACGCATCCAAAACTACAGCAATAGGATAGGTCTTGTTCAGGGGAACAATTTGGTCGCGAGTGGCATTTCTTGTAGCATGTAAGGAGATGGCAAGGGATACACCAAGATCAGATGCCACTTTAGGTATTAATGGTGCCACACCAGAGGTGGAGATGGTGATTTTAGGCTTGGGGATGGCCAGACCATTTGTGTGAGTAAGAATTGAGACGGCTTTGGAAGTGTTTCTCCAATTATACAGTGGCTCTCCTTGTCCCATGAATACTAAATTAGTCAAACTTCGCTTTCTTTCAACTTGAAGGGAGTCCAGTGGAAAGTCGTTTTGAGAATGGGCAGCGATCATGTATTGTCCAACCACTTCTGCAGCCGTCAACGATCGCTGTAATTTTTGAGTTCCTGTGTGACAGAATGTACATGCTAACGAACACCCTATCTGTGACGAGAGGCACAATGTTGATCTTTTGGGTTCCGGAATAATGACGGACTCGATGACATGCGAAGGATTGGTTTTCGTATCGTACCCAACAAGAAATTTGCGTGTGCCGTCCGCAGATAGCTTGTCCAACTGAGTAGACTTGATTTAGTCCATGGATGACGCCCATAATGACCGTGAGAAATCCTACCTTAATTTCACCATAATCAATGACAAACTGCTCCTTGAGCTTGGCACTTAATTGCTTTGGTATACTGGACATCAAATCAAAATCGCTGTAACCTAATTTTTTCTAAACCTTTAATATCATACGGTTCCCAGCCTCCTCTTTTTTCATTACATCGACCCTCGAATTCTATGTAACAAGCTTACCCTGTTTGTACATGAAGGACCATATCTGGTCGGCCGTATAGGTTTTGATCCCTGGGATCGAGGCAAGCTCGAGCTGTAATTCCTGGTAGGTAATTCCGATCAAGTTTTTCCGTTTTGGATCTGCATTCGGGACGGCAAAGCTTCTGATAGCTTGTGTTGAAAAATATGACCGAGAAACTGCTCTAAATTGCAACATGAAGGCGATTTTCCAGTGGTTGTTCAATGCATTCGCACTCGGTTAAGTGAGTATAGGCCAAAAAAAAAAAAAAAAAAATTGGGAACCAGAAAAATTTGGTAGTCTCCTCTACCAGGCCACAACATGTCCAATAGAGCAGCATAGCAGACTGCTAGACCACAAGATATCGCTCATTAGCTCTGACTGCTCAATTAATATCTTTATGTGTACAACCAAGTAAATTAAGGTGGTCGTCAATTCAATGTATAGCATATAACAAAATGTTCATAACGTCTGTCACTGTAATGATAATGTAGGAGCCATTAGAAAACACTGGTTCGCTTATGGCAGTGCCTGCATCACACACAAATATACTGAACTCAAACATCGTGGGCAAACTTCCCAATTGACCTGCCCTTCAGGGAAAAAATCATTCCCAGGAAATTATCAACAAAATCATGTATAAATCCCCCAACAGGAAAGACGAGCACGTTCACGTTGAAAGTCGGGTTGGTGTGGTGGATTTGATGGTACCAATTTAATAAACCTACTCCATGCTTATCATAATTTTTACATGCCCATTATTTTGATTATTTCTGTTTTCAAGGAGAGTATACACTAAACATCTGTCATAAATATATGTTATATACAGATGCAATCTAGACAATGATCTTCAGAAATTCATTATAGTCAATATACTCAACATTCTAAACATAGCCGTTGATGTATTTCTCCTTTCTACCTGAAGTCAGAGGAGAATCTGATGTGGAGCAATTGGATCATGATGTGTATCCCTTTGATAATTGAATCAAGGGATGGAATAAAAAAAAATATCCCAGTCAACACCAGCATCCCTAATGGAGGTCAGAATACAACAGGGAGTCTACTATTTTAGAAGACGTTTTGATAGGGGCACAGTAGGGAGCGTACTGTATGGATCTAACCTCCCCGGCCTGTGGTTCTGCCCCCAGTTCACCACTGAATCCTTGCTTTACCTGTGTGCATAGTTTTTTTTTTTTTTTTAGCACCACTAGGTTCAAGGAGAGGAAGTAATAGAGGTATAAAAAGGTTGACTTCTGGGTCATGGCAATACTTACAATTACCTTTTATCAACACCAATAATAATGCAGATCGTCTCTTTTGCCGTCCTTGCCTTCGCCGCTTCCATCGTTAGTGCTCAAGCACCCGGTGTATCAAAGCCCCCAGTCTCCATCACCTCACCTTTGACCGGTACAACCTACACTGCTGGCCAAAAGGCTATCCTTTCCTGGGTGTCACCTTCTGTTGATGCTATTCCTCAGATTGTTCTCGCACAAGGTCAAAGCACCGCTCTTCAACCCGTCACCACCATTGCCACCAACGTTTCCACCACCGGAGGTTCATACACCTGGGATATCCCTGCTGACTTCCCTCCTGCCAACAACTGTAAGTACAAGGTATGGCTTATTATTTAGCATTTATATAGTATGCTGACGTGTTTGATATTAGATGCTTTCGAGCTCGGCAGCTCTCCCAACATTGCTTTCACCGGTCTTTTCGAAATCAAGGGACCCAACGGTGAGACCGGAGGCAACAACACCAACGCTGCAACCTATGCTGCTGGAGCTAATGCTACCCCCGCCGCCTCTGGTGCACCCGCCATGGCCAGCCCTCCATCCAGCAACAGCGGATCCTCTGGATCTGGATCTGGATCTGGATCTAGCAACACTGCTAACACCCCCAACTCTGGCCAGATGGCAGGTAGCAACGGTGGTGCCGTTGTGAAGTCAGATGCTACCAAGGTCAGCGTTGCCGGTGCTTTGGCTGTTGCCGCCGGAATCGCTTCCGTTTTCATGTTCTAAGGAACGTCAGAGTCACTTTTCATTCCTCCCATTCTATCTCCAACAACATGGAAGAGTTCCTTTAGCGTCTTTTTTATCCTACGTACCAATATTGCAATCCTTGTTTTCTTAATTGTGGCAGGTAATAGAAGTGAAACGGCTCCTCATACTTGCCCCGTAGTCCACCTTCACTAGTCAATCTCATTTTCCGCACGTCAGTCAGCTTCACGTCCATTCTTTTTTTTTTTTTTAACATAATTGTACTTCCAATGGTTTCCGAGCTTGATATCGGTCTCCATTTAGACTTATTCATACTACCGACTTCCTATGCAAATTGAAATAAAACCATTCTGTCGGCATCAGGGAATACGTCGATACAACTATGGCTGGCTGAAATCATTTGCTCTATGCTAGATGGAATTATCATTGTAACCGTAGCGAGTGCGCACGGGTAACTTTTCAAAGCGCTTAGATAGTCTTTTTGTTTCGTTCATATAAATAGCATGGGCGATCCTTTGATGCCAATCAATTCATCCGTCTGTACATAGATCGATGATCTCCTGGTTTTGAAGGAGTCGTATGTACACATTCACTATATCCCCAAGATGTTAAGACCGACTGAATAAAAGCTCTGAGATCAGCCTAGAGGATCATTGGCCGTGCACCGTGTTTCGCCTCCAGTCATTATACCAAGCATCTTGTGTTAGCAACATGACGATCATTGCTCCTCTTCGGCGAAGTCTGAGTTATCAGTCATGCTATTGATCAAAGGCTGGGAGAAGATAGGTATATTTGGCACATGTAGAAAGGATGCCTTATCGCTTTTATTTCGTAACTTAGGGGAACGTAAGTAAGAGGAGCTGTGCCAATGCCCTGGTGGTTCGGAGTGCATCCACCTTACAGAACTGTGATGACGGTCGATGAACCCTACATGTGGCACTGTCAACGTGTTCATTCCTATATCTGCGGCACCCGATGAAGGCTCTTACAAATAATGTTACGCTCCTTTCATCCCTTGCATACTGGTGCATCCGAAGACATAAAAAACAAAGGTTTGTTGTACCTGGTTATTCGCCATCCAAACACTGCAGCAAATCTTTCTTTTGCATGCTCTCATTAAACCTAAAGCGTTACTTTCAGCTGCTAACCACTTCTACAGTGTATCACAGCATTCTGCCTTACGTTTATTATTTCTTTCTATTCAACTTACATGCTGCTCTCTTGGTGTTACAATAGTTCCCAACCGCATGGCTGAGTACTAGGAACAACTGTTCTTAGTATCTGTAGACATCTATATGTCACAGGAATGAATATTCAAGTTGACACCTGTGGCAACTGAAGGAGATTTAATTAACCCGTAAGCATGCTCGTCTTTTGTTTCATGTCGGGCAGCTTGAAGTCGGCTCGGTTCAAGTTTACGCCCTAGCATCAGGGACGACAATTTTGATAGTCTAGGAGTTTCTTGTTATCAGAACGCTATTCATATCAGTGCAGTCAGCGTGAAGGTAAGCGATTCTGCAACAAGCTATAGAGTGGGCTTAAGAGGGTCCAAATAAACAAGCAGGTCAAAAAGCTCTACAGAAGCTTGTTTAGCGATTGTCAAGCGGACACTAAATTGTTGGTAGTTCTTATTTCTCTTTATACAAAATGATTACATATTGTTGGCAACAGTAAGGAGAGGCATCAAATCAATAAAAAACTTCACAAAAGCAGGATTTCTTCCGTAGTACGCTATCGCCACTTTACAAGAAACGTCCTCCATGCGGGTAAGGGTTATACGCGAACATCGTCCTCGTATTCGGCAATGTGAATGTGTGTTCCTTCGGCCGGCACGCCATCACGCAGAACATGGAGAATGGCAGGTCCAGGGGGGAAGATAGCAGCATTTGGTGGAGATTCAATGAGCAAGGTTTCGCTATCGTCTTGAAGTTCGTGAATCAAAATAACATAGCGTTGACTCATGTGCATTGAGTGAGTGCTGAATCCAGGTCGCAATAACGCAACCTTGACAGTGGGTTGTCCAGGTCGTTTCAACCCAAGTGGGTAATTGAGTTTGACTTTGATAGTATACCTCTTACCGTACACCATGACTTTTGGTATGTTGGTAACGAGCGGTCGGGTCGACGATTGGAATAGGTACGGAGGAGAGAAATATTCCACTCGAAACTCCGTAGGATAGGTGGCAGAGATGTTGGAACGATCGTTGTTATTGGAACCAGCAATCCATACCCGACCATCAGGGAGACTAAGAGCCACGGAATGATACATTCTAGCGATATTTGTATTGGCAAGATCTTGCTTCCAACGTTTTCCCAATGGGCGTCCTGGATTGTAAATGAGGGGATCGAAGGTTGGGTCGTGATTTCGATTGTTGTATCCTGCAAATCCTCTTTGGCATCCATTGAGAAACATGACGGTACCGTCGGCCAAGAACACACCGTCAGGCATCAATCTCGGGTATACAAATGTATCCATTTCCCACTGCGGATCCTCATCTCCAAGATTAATGCGACCACATGTATCGTCTGCTTTGGCTGTATTCCTCATAGCCGAAGATCCGCCGCAAACCAAAATTTCCACATTGTAGTTGTTCTTTGGGTCTAGCGGAAGCATGACCGACGCCGCTGTGAGAGGGTATGTTCGTACATTGCCAGGAATGTCAGGTAATCGTCGTACGACTTCGTTTGTCTTGTAGTTGTATATGATGGATTGGTGTTTGGCAAATACAAAGAGATTGCCATCTGGTAAGGTATGAATCACAGGGTAAAGATTGTAAGGCATGGTTTCGTTAAGAAATAAGAAGTCAACAAGCCCTTCTGGTCGTGGTGGCCAAAATCTGTAAAAAACAAAAAAAAACCATCAGATCCATGTATAAATTGGCAGCTCGATCTACCACTAAAAGATAATACATACTCTATACTTGGGACACTATGTATATCATCATTCACTGCCACACCCTTGGTAGCCCCGCCTACAATCATGAGATCGCCCTAACGAAGGCAAAAAAAAAGGCGCTTTCTGGTGAGCATGTGCAAAAGTGTCAAAAACTCACGACTAAAAATTAAAATACCTCTGGCAATTGTTCAACTGTGGGGTACCATCGATTCACGCTAGTCTTTGATGTTACAAATTCTTCCCATTCACATGTGCCGTCGTTGCATGGTGTGAAGTATCGAATAGACTGCCACCCTGCGAAGGCTTTCCACGTTCCACCTTGTCGTTCTCCGCCTCCCGTGCTGATAAAGGTACCATTCTTAAGAAACCCGCCACCCGAGCAAAATGTGTTGGACTCTAAAGGTAACATTCGATATTCATTATCGATGATATCGTACTCGACTGAAAATGCACTTTGACCAGAGTCGAATGTCGCTTCATTCCATTCGGCTGGGGGCGGCGTAAAAAGTCAGTAGGCGAGAAATTGGCTTGGCTGATCTGGAATAGGCTGTCACGCCTGGATGTGCGAATCACTTTACCTTTATCTATGACGAGGATTTTTCGGTTGCTACAACATAGACATGTTAGCAAGACGCAAAAAACCTCGGTCTGCTTGATGTCAATAACCTACTTTATCAAAACCGCGTGCATGGCTGAGACACCTGATCGTCCAATTTGTTCCATTTTGCCATTTTTCATGTATTTCGACGTGTACTGGGGTTTCTCATCTTGCCAGTAGAACGGCGATGACTGGCCTGCCACAGCAACTGCCATTGATATCGTTATCGGGAGTAGTAACAATGTCAACATATGGTAATATAAAGCAGTGTGTGACTGGGTGGCCTTTTTGATTTCGGTTTAAAGGCGAGTGAGAGAACGTAAAGGATAGGAAGATTGATATTGGTGTTATCAGAGGAGAAGAAGGGCAGTGAATGGCTGAAACCGAGGTTTATTTATTGGTATGTTTAGCTGTTTTGTTTTGTTTTGCTTTGCTTTTCTTATTCTGGTGCCTGAAAAAAAGGCTTGCTTCTCTTTACCTTTTTCAGGCCCGGAGAGGACACAAAACCACCTCTGATTAACCATGGCTATATTTAGACCCCACAACATGCACAGGCCATTACCACCCACTGTAATTCTACTCCTTTCTTTTCATTGAAAATGCATCATAGCATAGATATTATGTACATATTCAACAAAGTTTCATGCTATTCGACATAATCGATTTATCAAACAACTACATCCTTTTCGTACTCGGCAATGTGCAAAAAAACACCTTCAGCCGGAACTCCGTCGTGAAGAACATAAAGAGTCGCCGGTCCAGGAGGGAAAATATTGGCATTTGGGGGCGACTCTATCGCCAACTTTTTCTTATCACCAGAAAGTTCATGGTTCAAAACAACATAACGCTGACTCATGTGCATTGAGTGAGTGCTGAATCCAGGTCGAAGAAGTGCGACCTTGATGTTTGGTTGTTCAAACCAATTGGAGCCATGTGGAGAGTTGAGATTCGCATGAAGAGTATACTGTTGTCCGTATGTAAACACTTTTGGAACATTGGAAATAAGAGGTCGTGTGGAGCCTTGGAAAAGGTATGGAGGAGAGAAGTATTCTACTCGGAATTCAGTAGGATACTCGGTTGTGAGATTAGAAGGGTCGTTATTGTTGGAGCCTGCAATCCATACACGTCCGTCCGGAAGTGTGAGTGCCACTGAGTGATACATTCTTGCAATATCTGTAGTTGCAAGCTGCTCCTTCCATCTCTTTCCTTTGGGTTTAGCTGCATCATAGATTTGAAGTTCAAAGGTAGGATCCCAGTTAACATGTACGAAGTTTTTCTGTTGATATCCTGCAAAGCCTTTCTTGCATCCATTGAGGAACAGAACATTTCCATCAGCAAGGAAAACAGCGTCAGGCATCAATCTTGGGTGAAGGAAACTGTCCATCTCCCATGTCGGGTTTTCATCACCAAGATTGATTCTGGCACAAGTGTCATCAGCGTTGCTCGTTCTGTCAATCTTTTGCGATCCTCCACAAATAAGAATTTCTACATTGTAATTGTTCTTTGGATCCAATGGAAGCATGACGGATGCTGCTGTCAGTGGATATGATCTTGGATTGCCAATAAGATCAGGTAGGCGCTTGACCACCTCATTGGTTTTGTAGTTGTAGATGATGGATTGGCGATTAGCGAAAACAAAGAGGTTGCCGTCGGGTAGAACGTAGGTAATGGGATAGAGATTGTAAGGTAGGGTTTCGTTTAAGAAAGGAAAGTCTAGTAATCCTTCAGGTCGTGGTGGCCAATATCTATAACATTGACAGATACGAGTAAATCTTTTTGCGAGTACCCTGAACAATGGAAGCTGACTCTGAGGCTATACATACTCTATACTTGGGACGTTGATCATAGCTGTGTTCACTCTGGCACCTTCTATACTACCACCCATGATCAGTAGGTCTCCCTTAAAAACGCACGATGGTCAGTCCTTAGAGCTTGTAAACGCAGGTCTATTCATCTAGATGCCTTACCTCAGGCATTTGCTCCACCGATGGATACCAGCGGTTTCTGTTCATTTGCTGAGTTCTCCACTCATCCCACTGACAGTTCTGATCGTCACATGGAGTAAAGTAGCGGATGGACTGAAATCCTATGTCGGCCTTCCAGGTTCTGCCTTTGCGCTCTCCACCACCGGTACTGATGAAGGTGCCGTTTTTTAAAAATCCACCACCCGAACAGAAGGTATTTGTATCGAGGTGCAGAAGTCGATAAGTGTTGTCGATAATGTCATATTCTACCGAGAATGCACTTTGGCCAGAATCGAACTGAGCTTCGTTCCACTCGGCTACGGGCTGGATGTTAATTGGCAGATCGAACAACGGCGGTTTTCATACAGTATGGTAGTGTTACCTTTATCTATGATTAGAATTTTCTTTTCGCTGGGGAAAGGTAGCAATTGAATAAGAAAAGACATTGCCCTTCCGTTGTTCGTGTAAGAGCCCTTACCTTATGAGCACGGCATGCATGGCTGCAACTCCTGTTCGTCCATTTTGTTCCATTCTTCCTGTTACTTCGAATGACCTGGAATAATCCGGCTGGACATCTTGCCAGTAAAATAGAGACGTATTGAAAAATACAAATAACGCCATTAATGTGGTCATTAGGAGCAGTATTGCAAACTGCGCATTGTAAGAACGTCTCATTGAAAAGCCGATTGTACCGCGAATGTTTGTATTGTTGGATATAAAAATGACCCAACGAAGGCGTTTAATTGTGAAAGCTGGCGCTGAAGTCGAGAGAGGACAACAGAAACAAAGTACCACGTTCAATTAATTATGGATGGGTTAGACATAAATATCTATCTGCTATCCATGATTTGTACACCGCGAACACCAAAAATCTGACGAGAATTGGCGAGCCTGGTGTTCCGTATCTAAAATTAGCCGATACAAGAAGCCAGGTATCACACAGAATATCATGCCATGTATTTTTGCCTATGCTTTTTATTGAAATGCTAAATATCATATACAGAATGGATTAAACTTCTTCCAAGACGGCTGGGTATCGAATGATTCATACAACGACATCATATTCGTCTTCGGCAATGTAAACAAAGATTCCTTCGGCGGGAACTCCATCGCGAAGAACATAAAGAGTCGCCGGTCCAGGAGGGAATATGTTGGCATTTGGAGGCGACTCTATAGTCAGCGACTGTTTATCATCGGAAAGTTCATAGTTGAGAACTACATAGCGCTGACTCATGTGCATTGAGTGAGTGCTGAATCCAGGTCGAAGTAGGGCAACCTTGATGGTGGGGTGTTCCGGTTGATGGGTGCCAAGTGGATAGTTGAGGTTGAGGTGAAGATCATACTTTTCTGCATATGTAAATACTTTTGGAACGTTGGAAATAAGAGGTCGTGTGGAGCTTTGGAAGAGGTATGGAGGAGAGTAATATTCTACTCGGAATTCAGTAGGATACTCGGCTGTTACGTTGGAGGGGTCGTTGTTGTTGGAGCCTGCAATCCATACACGTCCGTCCGGAAGTGTGAGTGCCACTGAGTGATACATTCTTGCAATATCTGTAGTTGCAAGCTGCTCCTTCCATCTCTTTCCTTTGGGTTTAACGGCATCATAAATTTGAAGCTCAAATGTAGGATCCCAGTTGACAGGTATAAAGCCTTTTTGTTGATATCCTGCAAAGCCTTTCTTGCATCCATTGAGGAACAGAACACTTCCATCAGCAAGGAAAACAGCGTCAGGCATCAATCTTGGGTGAAGGAAACTGTCCATCTCCCATGTAGGGTTTTCATCACCAAGATTGATTCTGGCACAAGTGTCATCAGCGTTGCTCGTTCTGTCAATCTTTTGCGATCCTCCACAAATAAGAATTTCTACATTGTAATTGTTCTTTGGATCCAATGGAAGCATGACGGATGCTGCTGTCAGTGGATATGATCTTGGATTGCCAATAAGATCAGGTAGGCGCTTGACCACCTCATTGGTTTTGTAGTTGTAGATGATGGATTGGCGATTAGCGAAAACAAAGAGGTTGCCGTCGGGTAGAACGTAGGTAATGGGATAGAGATTGTAAGGTAGGGTTTCGTTTAAGAAAGGAAAGTCTATTAATCCTTCAGGTCGTGGTGGCCAATATCTATAACATTGACAGATATGAGTAAATCTTTTTGCCAGTACCCTGAACAATGGAAGCTGACTCTGAGGCTATACATACTCTATACTTGGGACGTTGATCATAGCTGTGTTCACTCTGGCACCTTTTATGCTACCACCCATAATCATAATATCACCCTATGGAATCGGTCAAATATGTTAGTACCCAAATCTGTAGGAGGACTTTGCATCATCTCAAACTATTTACCTCAGGCATCTGTTCTACTGATGGATACCAGCGGTTTCCAATCATCTGCTGAGTGGTCCATTCACTCCATTGACACTCATCATCTTGACACGGCGTATAGTGACGAATTGATTGCCAGCCTTCTAAAGCTTTCCAAGTTCTGCCCTTGCGCTCTCCGCCACCAGTGCTAATGAAGGTGCCATTCTTCAAAAATCCGCCACCTGAGCAAAATGTGTTTGTATCAAGGTGCAAAAGTCGATAGTCGTTGTTGATGATGTCGTATTCCACTGAGAATGCGCTTTGGCCGGAGTCAAATTGAGCCTCATTCCATTCAGCTGCAAGTTTTAAGTCAGAATCTCGAAACAGAATAAGGTAGGTTGTAATGCAGAACTTTCGTACCTTTATCTATAATAAGGATTTTCCGGTCGCTGTATTCAGTAGTTTAGAAACTGGTCTTCTCTATACGATGAGTAGATTGGAATCAGCTTTACCTGATGAGCGTTGCATGCATGGCAGCCACTCCAGTTCTACCGGTTTGTTCCATTTTGCCTTTGTCTCGGTAGGTTGACAGGAATTCTTGATTGTTTTCCTGCCAGTAGAAAGGAATTGTTTGCGACAAAGCTGGTACTGACATTGCAGCAGCAGCTGCCAGTAGCAACTCGATGGATAGCATTGGAGGAGGAACAGAAAAAGCAGCAACAGTCCCGGGACGGTCAAAGGAACACAAAAATAGATTTTTGGTTGCAGGCACGGTTTGAATCTCAGCCAACGAAACCAAAAAAACAACTCCCAGTTTGAGGTAGCTGTGAGCCAGGAACACAAAGTGTATAGAGGGGTTGTATATCCTTAAAATATAAATCAACGCGTGCTGTTGCAACCTCTTTTATAGCATCATGTTGTTTAGTTTAAGGCACTGGAGCCCTGTCCTGATAGCGGCGTGTTTGATACTCTCAAGCGCCGCCGGCATGTCTCAGACTCCAAGTGCTACCAAATTCGCTTCCGCGCCTACTCTCACCTCTGGTGGCAATGATATCTTAAAAGGTATAAACGCTACAGGCTCTACGGTAAGTCAATGAACTCTAGTACGTTGGCTTCATTATCAAAACAACATGACATGATATTCATCTCCTCCTGTAGACTCTGGCGAAAACATTGGCGCTACCAAAGTATATTACTTTACGACAGCTCTTCAGCACCAGTAAAGTCACCTTATTTTTGCCCTCTGAATCAGCGGTCCAGCAAGCCATTTCCGACGGCTCTCTAAACCTTACAATGACCCAAAATACCACCAACATACTAACATATCATCTCGTCGCTGGCATACACCCCTCCAATACGTTCAACGCTACGCAATTTCTCTCAAGTTTTTTCAAGAATCAAACGTTTGTAAAACAGGGCAACAGTTTCCAAGTCCTTGGTGTGTCCCTGGAGGGTTCCACTTTGCAGGTCACGAATGGAGTAGCCAGCGCCAATGTAATCACACCTAATATTCAGTGCAACAACGGTAGGTCCACGACTGACAGCTTGGGCTAGTCAAGCTATCATTGACCTTGCTTTTTTTTTCTCCATAGGCATTATTCACGTTATAGACTCTGTGTTGGTTCCTCCTAAAAATGTCCCAACAACCATTACTCAGATTCCCGAATTAGAAGCATTCTCTAATATTACACAAAATTATAATCTAACTGGAGTTTTATCGTCGCAACAGGCCACCATCTTCGCTCCTAATAATGGAGCGTGGAACCAGTTAGGTTACCTTGCACAACCAGAAGGCATCGTTCTTCGCGATGTTAAGTACGGGGTTGTGCGAGGCGTCTATCGCTCTACTGATTTACAACCGGGAGCATTAATTTCGATCACCGGCCAGGTGGTTAAAGTGGATCGAACAGATGGGAATATCACTATCAACGGTGCCCATATTGTGCATGCAGACATCTTGACATCAGCTGGCGTGGTTCATGTCATCGACAGCGTTATCGATCCTACAGAAAGTTCTGCTTCCATTGACCCTAGCTTCAGCTTGCACTACCTCAGTACTTCATCGATGATCCAAAGCACCCAAAGACCCAAGTCAAGGGCTAGTATCATGATAGCACAGTGGTGGATGGTGGTGGCGTTGGCGGCCGCCATCGTAACGTTCATAGGGTCATGAAAAATAAAGATATCTCATTTATTGCAGGGGATTTTCACAAACCAAATCAAAAGGGAAGCTGATGAAATATGTGATACAATGAATAAAGACAGAGGAGAGAAAATAGTGTGTGGCAGACAAGCAGAACATGATTATATTAGGACAAGGAGATCGTCCATAAAGAAAAAAAGCACAATTAATATTGTCTCATTTGTTGGCCGTCACCATAGTGTTCGTCGATACGCGCAAGGCTGGGAGCACTGCCTACGCTTTGATCGGAAAGGTTGCTCCTATTACTACCGTTTCTCGAGAGATTGCTAAAAACGGAGCGGATTCGACTGGAGCCTCGTGATGAAGTAGAAGAGCTTCTGGGAAGTTTAGCAACCACGCCTCCTAAAACAGCCATGAAGGATTGTGGTCTCCAGTGAGTGCTGACGGGGTCGCCAGAGGCATTATCCATGTTGGCATTCTTCACACGTTTTTCGTGACGGCGGAAAGCTGCCATACCGACCAAACCGATGGCGGCAACGCAACCTACACCGACACCAATTCCAATACCAAGTTTTTTATTGGTAATGTCGCCTGCGACGACATCAGAATTGGCCAAGTTGTTTTGGCTGCCATTGTTGCCTCCATTGTTGCTGCCATTGGTGGAAGATGACGAAGCGCCGGAGGCGGTGGGTGTACCGGATGAAGGGGTAAGAGTAGTTGCTTCAGTGGATGGTGAAGCATTAGGGTCGTTGACAACGGGTTGATCTCCAGGTGTTGTACCTTCGTCGCCAGCCGAAGTAGTGGGGTCAGGAGTGGATGAAGGGTTGGTTTCAGACAACACGCCAACAGGTTGTGCCTTGTTGGTAGCGTGAGCATTTGAGGTCTTTTTGGTAGTGGTGGTTGAAGGTCGGGTGGTAGTCTTATGTTTGGTGGTGGACTTTTTGGAAGTCGTAGTTTTCTTCTTGGGAGTCGTAGTAGGTTTAATATCGCAGATAGTACCGAGGGGGTCAAGAACACATCGTTTAACCCATAAATTGCAACAGTGAACGTCGGGGCAATCATCATCAGTTTTACAGTGGCGGTCGTACAGAGTCGGTAAGCTTCGAATATTTTGTGTGTGTGTTGCGACCGACTTGTGGGCTTGATAAAGGAATATTGATTAGTGTTTTTGGAGGAGATACATGATATAGGTTATAGGTGCTTACTGGAGGTGGATGATTCATGATGCCCTATAAAAATTTTCAACCAATGTTTAGTTAGTATATTTTCTCTTTGCACGTCTCCCCTTTTTTAAGCACGCGAGCCAGGGGGGAGGGAAAGAAGGTGTTCTGAAAGTATTCATACCAGGATACGTCGCTGAGGCAGACCCAATGGCCAAGAGCAGCCATGGCAGCAACGTGAGCTTCATCCGTTGGTGAAAGTGATATCAACTATCAAAGGAGTGTAAGGGGTGGAGTGGAGAGAAAAGAAGAAGAGGCTGCAAAGGACATCCTAATATTATTTTGTGAGGCCCAGGTTACGTTGCAATTTCCTTCGTGCAACAAGCTCCAAAATTAGCGGCAAGCTTTTCGAAACACCGATCGCCAGCAGTTGATTTTCAGCAAGAAGACCGTCGTACAGTAGAGGGGCCACTTCCCATCACCAAACCCCACCGCTCTGTCTGTCATACCGGTAATCTACAACGCTGTTTCAACACGCTTCAAACACTCTTTCTTTTTGAATTGAAAAAAAATTGGGCATTCTCTTTTTTTTCTTTTTATAACGAAATTCCAATTTGATCTAAATACAACGCGACGCAATATACACCATCCTCTTCTTGTTTATATTGTTAAATCATCTAATGGTGGCCGTGAGCGTCCTCAGAACCCTGGAAGTCCAACTTGTAAACGCTGCCGCACTCTGGGCATCTATCGAAGTCGTGCTCCTTGTTGACGGTCAACCAGATGGTATCGTGGGACTCAGCAGGGTAGCCTGATTTAAGAAATGGTAAAAAATCCGTCAGAAAAAATGTTCCGTAACTATACCTAAAAGATAACCATCAAAATGGAAACAATTGAAATTGTGGGACTCTCTTACCAGTGCATCCAACGAAACGGGTAGTATCCATGGACTTGACAACGATGGGGTTCTGTTTGGTACCAAGGTGTGTCATGTTGAGGGGCTCCATGTCGAAGAGTTCCTTACCCTCAAGCTTGGCGAGCAATTCAAGACGCTCCAGACCAGTGGCCTGTTCGAGGTCAGTGGGGACAGTACCAGGTTGAGCACCAGGTCCAATCAAGCTGTCGGCATCACGGTGAGCGACATTTCCGGCTAAAAGAAAGCAAAAAAAAGGTTGGATGGTCAGCATAACATGGATAAGTTTGCATAATGAAGCCTAATTCCATACTAGCCAAAATCAAAAGAGTGGCTGCATGGAAAAAATTCTTACAGAGACGAGCACCCAAGACAGAGAAGGGTCTGACAACAGTGGGGCGAGGGGTGGCGATGGCGCGAACAGCAGCACGGCGAAGGGCGAACATTATTTTTCGATTGAGAGAGATTCAGCAAAACTGTTGTTTTGAAAAAACATGGGCAGTGAACAATGCTTAATTATTGGTTACGTCACAAATTTTTCTTGACATGAAATTATTTCAGCGAAATTGCCTGCGGACAAGGATGGAGCTGTGAGTAAGCGTTATGAACTGACCCTACAGTATTCTATTCAGTGTATGTTCCTAGATAAAATAAATGCATCCACATTTACGAGGCTCAAGGTGTTGGTTCATGGATGCATGTGTTTTGTATCTATGCTTATGCAAGTATCAAAGGGCAATAGCAACTATATGCCGCATCAATGGTGCAAGGTGATTTGTAGAGCTATTGCAGATTTCATCAAACATAATCATGGGAAAAACGGGGTTATTAACGTCATGTAATCATTAGCATTATGAAACTTGTTAGCTTCTCTAGCATATCACTTTTCTAGATTCGCTTTTTATATAAGGGGGGCAGATATATTAAACATATATCTTTTGTAATTTCATATTTATATAAGTAGAAAGGCATACATATTTAACAACAATTATTCGACTTCATCGTTTCCGGTTCGTCTAGATCTGCGGAACAACGATCTGATACCACCCTCGTTCAGACGCTCGCGCTCAAAGTAATCCAGACTCTTGCCTTTACTTTCTGGGACCCAAACGGTGGTGAGCATGCCGAGGAGCATGATAACGCCAAAGATGATAAGAACATTGGGCAAGAAGGTTTCTGCTCCAGGTGGACCTCCAACATCTGCTAAAGCGTTGAATCCAAAGGTAGAAATGATAGCTCCGGCTTTACCACTGGCTGCAGCAATACCGTGAGCTCTGGATCGATGACGCGTAGGAAATACTTCAGCAGGAGAAATGAAAGTAGTGGTGTTGGGACCAAAGTTGAAAAAGAACTACGAAAAAGGAGGTTTGTTAGCTTTTCCATACCCTGTTGATTTTCAACGCTTCCTTCTTTTTTTAAGGGAACTAACCTGAATGATGGCGAATAAGACAATGAACAAGGCGACATTAACACTGCGGATGGGGAACCATGCAGCTCCTAGAATGATAAAAAGCACTCCACACACGAAGAATCCGAGGTACTGAATAGGCTTTCTACCTAATTTCTCAACAGTGAATACAGTTACTGTTTACCATTGGTCGATAGTGAGGTTAGTACTTGTTCATGCAGAGTGAAAATTTAGGAGATAAAATTTCCCAAAGTCTTACCTATATAGCCAGGTAGAGCACCGAGTACTGATAGGATCAAATTTCCAATCGCCTGCTTGAACAAGGTATCCCATGGTGAAAGCCCTGAAGGGGCAAATCCAATTTCAGTTAAAATAATTGACTGGTTCAAGTTGATTCCGTAAAATGCGATGTCCATAAGGAACCTATCCCCGGAAGGAAGCATTGGATGAAATGTCAGCCATGGAAGATAATGTAACATGGCTATTGATTCAGTATTGTTACTCACCAACTGAGTGATGTACCAAGTAAAACCTTGAGATTGGACCACTTTGAAAAGTACTATTACAAAGAGCACAGGTTAGTACATCCAGATATGTATTCGATGGATGATATTTGAAACATTGTAACTTACAGCTCTAAAGTCTTGCTGTTGCTTGATACGATGCTCCTTGTAACTGGAATCGTCCTCTTCGGTTTGTGAAACGTTTGAATTTATGACTTTAATATTTTTTTCATACTCTGCACCATTGCCATCAGCGTCAATAGTTTGTCGTCTTCTTTCTCCGTCTTCTGATGTTACCCATTTTTGATCCTCCAAAGCCTTTCGTGCTGCTTTTTGATCTCCTATGACATCAGCAGAATACCTGGGAGATTCAGGCAACGTCAGACGAGCGTAGATGGTGGCCACAGCAGGTACTGCTCCTAGGCCGATGCATATACGCCATACATAGTCGAGATTTACAACGTTATTATTAACGGGTGTCTTGAAACAAGCCAAGACGATAATAGTGACAAGAGCAGCTGCGACATTGCCAAACCCTTGCATAGAGAAAATGGCGGCAATCATTTGGCCTCTGCGATTGGCAACGGCCCATTCTGAAGTAATAGTGGCAGAAAGTGGATAGTCACCGCCAATTCCAACTCCCAGAATCAGTCTCCAGAAACCCAAGAACGCAATGGCGCTCAAGCCAGCTTCAGCCGACGCCGAGGTGGCACAAAATATGGTGGCAATGGTAATAATGATCAATTCGACACCATAGATCTTCTTACGTCCCCATCTGTCACTGATATAGCCAAAAGAGAGCTGCCCTATAAGCTGATTGGAAACACATGTTTAGACAGTTGATTGGTAAAATTTTCATGACTAAATGGGGTTAATACATACTTGTCCAAGAGAAGTCATACCCTTCAAAGGTCCCTGTACAGCGCTTGGTACCTGGTATCATCAATGATTTAATGACATGCCTTCAAAACGATCTTTCCAGTGATTTCATATGATACCCACTTTGTTGGGAGGCGTTGAGTTTGCATAGTACACATAACCGAGCATGGGAACAACCAAATTGATGATGAAGATATCATAACTTGAATGACAATAAAATATATGAGCATCTTCGCTAGATAACTGTTTTTTAAACGAAGCATGGACGACAAATGACTTACGCATCCATAAAAAAACCTGTACTGCTAATGAGTAGCAAGCGTATTTGGCGCCATGTCAATTTTTTTTTGGTATCATCCAAAACTTCAAGGCCATTGCTGGGTCTTCGATGATATGTGTCTTGGTCGTTCTCGGGGTCCTCAGCATTGTCATTACGACGGTAGTTCACCTCGTCAATAGGGTCTGGATTTTGCATTTGAAAGAAATCGATGTGTACTCGAGATATTGTTGGTAACCGCAAGTATAAGAAGGCCTAGATTATGTTTTATTCGTTCATACTTCCTCTTTTTATTTCTCGATGGTAGGCTGATTTAGCATGAAACTTCACTCCACGTGCATAACGAACGACAATTTGTGTGGTCGATAGAAATGGCTAAGGCGTAACTATCCGAAATTTTTTTGTCTCGTTCTTATGTATGACGTTTTCATATTAGATTTCATCCAATGGAACAAATCGGTAGCGCCATCAACTTCCATGCGGACGCATTGTATCCTGTAATAGCAAAGATAATTGCAACATGCTGCTGCTTATTATGGGCAAATTTGTTTTGTTCATAGTGGCATTGTTTGATACAAGTAAGTGTACTAATCAATGAGGCTATCCAGACATTATCTCATAAAAACAGCCAGAGAAAGCAGTTTATGTCGTCAGTAGCCTGAAACTAAGATATTATCAATATCATACGCCCTTCTTATAGAGTTAACTTCAACCATTTACCGTAAATGGTTGATCTTACCAATAATTAGGGACGTTACAAAATGCTTGTATTATGCAAAAACTCATGCCAAAAAAATTTTAAGCCATGATAAGCTTGCATTGTTGGAAAAGAAAAGCAAGTCATCATTTCCCACATGGATAAATGTGGCCATATGGGTAAATCGATGCATAAAGCGATTTATCGGTAACCTAACCTCCATAATAAAGCGATTCTTGGCCAGACCCTCGCCTTGTCCATAGACTGACGAGAAATGAAAGGAAACAAAAAGAGAAAAAACGAGGGTATTGCCTGGTATATAAAAATCATCATAAATTGGTTATGAGAAAGGAGAAAGGCATCCTCCGTATGTTGCTGCAGTAAGGGGAGTTAGACGTCGATCACTACCAAAACCTCCTTCAAACGAGTTTGTTTTCGTGAACGTATTGACTTTAAGGTTTTCTTTTTCTTTTGTTGTTAGTCATTCTCTTTTTTTACTACCTATCGTAGACCCCCATTACATTCTTTATCTCTAATGACTACCGACGAAGTCTATTCGGGTCAATACCCAGTGCCACGAAAATCATTATCGTCATCCGTCCTAGTCCAATCGTTTAACGCTATGCAATCACCCATGAACAACAAACCTCGCTCCTTCAATAACAGGACCACCAATCGATTTATGAATCCACCAATTACGCTACCAAACCAAGTCAAAATGAATCGTGCAACTTCACAATCTCGCATTGGATCGTTTTTCGATAATTCACATAATTTTTTACCCAGCTGGCTGGGAAGATCACAGCAGAACTCAATAGGGAACAGTGTTAAAATTGTACCAAAATCCAGTAGCAGCAATTCAATCAATCAAGATATTTTTGCGGACGAAGATGTTGTCGCTACCAACAACATCAATCACCAATTTGAGGGCCTACTGGTAAACTATTTCATTGAAACACTACAACATTCTCTTCAGTTTAGCCCGCCCTAAAACCAAAAATATCTTTTCGATTAGGATGAACTCAACATGAAAGCCAGTCAGCGAATAAAGCTGAAACAGCTCTCATCTTCTCGAAAACTTTTTCTCATCAAACAAAATGAGCACCTGAAAAATTCTAACGCCAAGTCACCTACAGAACCTCAACTAGGTAGTGACAGAGCCTTAGACGACTATGGCACCACTGACGCTATGTCAACTGTATCCGTTGATGAATTAGATATACGTACATCAAGCGATTCATCACCATTATCTCCTATACGGCTATCGTCCTCCCTGTCAAAAATGCCACCACCTCAGTTCAATCAAAATCGCATGTCACGTGTAGGTTCCATGGCCATTGAGTACGACTTCATGGCTTGGCAGCAAACCTATCAAATGGTCTCCGATGCCGAACCTGGTTACACTCACCTTTTGAGCAACAATTCACCATGGCAGGTGCACGTAGAGGATAGAGGAGCTAGAGCTAGAGAGAGAGATACACCTTATTATTATGTAGAGAGGTTGAAGAATCGGTAAGGGAAACACAAGTCACAGGTACCCAGCGATATATAAATTGTCTAACACGGAACCCATTCATGACCATCTTTGACACCCGGTAGACATATCTCGCTAGACATCCTTTTAGAAACGCTGGTTTCCCTTCGAGTTCTTTTATCCACCATGCAGGTGGGTTGGATAGATGACTTTATCGCCACGGCCAATGATGGAATGTCTGCACTAGGCAATATCTTGGATAGAATGGAAGAACGCAAGAGGAGGTAAAGCCGCTGAACTGGGATGTGGTAGAATGCAATTGCCGCGGCATTAATCGTTTTATTTATTTTTCAATACAGACGAAAGGCAGGTGCAAAAAACAACGACAAAGAGCACAATGTACAACTGGAATGCGTTCGCTGCTTGCGGGTACTTGTGAATACCGAGGTATGGATGTGATATGAACGAGTGAAATCAATAAAACAGATCAATTCATTTCTTTGTACCCAAAAACAAAAAAAACTGTTCTCCTCTTTAGGCCGGTTTTCAAAATATCGTCAGTCGACCCAACATCCTTTTCCGGCTTTCGCAGTCTTCACTTTACCATCCTCGATCGCGCTCAAAGACAGAACTGCCAAAATCTAGATCAAGCAGTTCGGTGAAATCCTTTATCAGCGACCACGAACTGAGCGTTAGCGCCACAAAACTTTATACGCAAACATTAGATCTTCTGACGGCTTTATGCCGAAAATCATGGCCCGGGTATACAACCGTTATGGAAACCATGTCATCTATACCTGAAGAGAGCTATCGATTTGAACATTTAATGGTAGCTCTTTGTTCACCGGGGTGCGCCGATTCAGATGATCTCCTTCCGGGCACTTCAACCGAGTGGGAGTACATCGATACGGCTTTTGGATTCGTTATTGCCATAGTTGGAATGCCCGATCAAATTGAAGACCGCATGATGTTGGACAACGAGATGAACCGACGTGGCATTGAAGAAAAAATAGAGGTGACTGTCTGTCTGCAAGATAATAGGATACCTCGCACCGGTACTAAAAAAAAATTTCACTCTTTTCAAGGTACTTTTGCGATCTTCACCACCGGATTCGCTAAGAGAGAAGATCAAGACATATGTAGATGCTCGAAACGCCGATAGAGAGGCCTTTCGCCATTCAGTCAAAATAAAGCGACAAAGTATCTGGCATATGTAAGTTGTTAGGAATTAACCGATACATGCCTACGCTTTGGCATTTATTTTAGGGTTGCATTAACCAAGGTTTTGTTTCACAGGCACCCTACCGAGATGGTTATGCAAGAACTGAAACGTTATTCTGTCAATCCAGAACTCGAGTTCCAGGTCATTGATTGCATCACCAATATCCTCAAACTCGGGAAGCATGGAAATCGAAAGGAATCCGACATTTGGACCATCATTAATATGTTCACTGCAGCTATGACGAAGACCCAAGACGAAGGTTTGGCATTCACCATGTATCATTGTGTAGGCAAAATGCAGCAGAAAGCTAATGTTACAACGATGTGAAACAGATTACCAAAGCGCATTTAAGGTGTTCATAAAAAGCGCTCAGCCCATTATAGGAAAAATTACAACCACTGGATTAACGAAAAATGCAGATGAAACATCCAAAGGGGAGCTAGAAGAACTTCAATCTCTGCGAGATATGATGAGTGATACACGAGAGCAGCTTTTACAATGTAACGAAACACTGGCGAAGATAAGAAGAGAGAAAAATGAACTTCTCATGAAATTATCCAAGGCACAAGGCGAGTTATCGGAAAAGGAGCAAACCATTGGTGAACTACAGGGAAAGATCAGTGGAGCACATAGCTGCAACTGTTCATCACAGCCCAAAGCCTCTAATTCTCTGACTAGCAAAACCGTTGCTCCACCTCCACCTCCTCCACCGCCACCACCACCGCCGTCAGCCCCTCCCGTAACCTCTTCTCTCTCAGTGACTCACTATCAGTCTCCCAACAAAAGACACAGCAAATACCATCATCCTGTGGACGTCAACCTCTACTTTTCCTCTCTGCAGTCTCTAGTGGAGACTTCTCAGTCAATGCTGTCAAATAATAGCAAGAAGCTGAACAGAATGTCGACGCAAAAGCAATCTAATCAAAATGTACCGGATATGCCCAGAGATGAAGCTTGCTCTATGCCGAGAGCAACAACAAAAGTAGGTGAAAATGTATTACACTACCCTGAGTTATGACTGGCGCTGACTCGCTTTTAGCAATTCTTCTGGTCCAAGCTGACTCGTGAGCGTATTCAAGGCACTGTGTGGGGAGACATTTTGATGGTAAATCGAAACAGTGTCGTTGAAGGGGCTAGAATGACTGCAGCCAAACGTAGCGATGTGATGCTCATGGCAGCCAAGGTCAATATTGACATTGCGGAAATCGAGAACCTTTTTGGCGTGGGTCAAAAGAAAGGTAAGGCACAACAACTTAAGTCATCTTCATAGCTCATACAGTGCGTTGTAGTGATCAATGATATATGTCTGAATAGATCAAGGAGGAGATTATACCAAGGCTCAGATGGTTCGCAAGTCACCCTTAGTTACGTTACTTGAGTTTAACCGCGCCAATAACATTGGTAAGCACACGTGGTTTGAAGCAGTAAGAAAAAAAGCAGACAATGTCACTGATATCGCTCATCAGCCATCATGTTGGCTCGACTCAAACTTTCATACCCTGAAATCCGAGATGCCATTTGGCACATTGATGACGACAAGCTCAACGTTGATAATTTAAAATCAATTAAGCAATATATACCCACGAAGGAGGAGGTAACGTCTGTTGAAATTGGAGTGACTGATTCTACTGGCACCGTCTTAAACATCTCTTTGATTCTCTGTGATAGATTGAGGTTGTGAAGGGATTTGAAGGTGACCCCATGCTTCTCGGCGATGCTGAAAGATACTTTCGCTCTGTGAGTATAAGAGACGTAGAATGCATACGCCAGAATTTACGAGACTGACTCTTCGTTCAGATTATGTTTGTTCCACGCTTATCGGAGAGGATAGCGTGTATGATCTTACGAAGAAAATTCAATCAAGAGATGAAAGAGACCCTACCGGTACAATCCGAAGAATTTGGTTGCAACTGACAGGCGCCATCAGACTGACACACACCTTATTGCGTTTTAGGATATAAGAACCATTCGACAAGCTACATCGGAATTAAAATCAGCGTCCAAATTCAAAAAGTTGTTACAGGTAAGCTAAACGAAAGCCCATCTTTCTTTTCATGGTCAGCATACTGAGAAGAACTCGTTTGTCTACCTAGATTATACTCTTGATCGGAAACTACCTTAACAGTTCGACCATGCGTGGAAATGCATATGGGTTTCGACTTGATGCTCTTTTAAAGGTGAGCGGGCGTTCACACACAAACATTTGCTGCGCGCCGGGTTAACTTTTTATCTAATGTGTAGATGGGCGATACCAAAGCTGACAATAGCAAAGATGCTGCCGTCCAGACCTTGCTGCACTACCTGGTGCGAGTTTTACTCAAGACAGCTCCGATGCTTTTGGACTTCAAGAATGAGCTTCCTCACCTCCAAGCAGCAGCAAAATGTAAGCACAGCAGTCCGCGCATCTTGTTCATGCACTTGCCTATACTCACCTATTCCTTTCTCTCATGACAGTATCTGCTGCGTCGCTTCATGCAACTGTGAACACTCTGAATGCCGGCCTAACGCAGACGGAACAAGAAATCAGGTTTAACTCTCAAAAGAAATCGGTTACTCAAATTGACCGATTTACAGATGCGATGGAGGTGAATTTCAAAGAGCTAGTTGGCTGGATTGTTCAAAGTGCATACGCTCACATGTTTCATTACAGAACTTCCTTTTAGACGCAAAACCCATCTTGTCACAAGCTACCTCCATGATCAAGGAACTTGACGATGACCTAAGAGATCTCTATGTCTACTATGGCGAGGACCCAGCGTTAACCAAATCTGAAGATTTCTTCGGCATGCTCCATAATTTTGCGACTATCTTTACGGTGAGTGACATTTATGATGTATTAGCCTGGCCGAGATGCAGGTATCTGACTAAAACGCCGTTCTAGAGAGCACACAGAGAGGTCCAGGAGGCTGATCAAAGAATTGTTCGCTCTAAGCAGCGGCAATCGATTCAGGTAAGATAAACAGTTTTAGATCTCAGTTTTCAGTTGGCAACTCACACACTGTACTTCAAGGGTATTCCGGCGTATGGCAGCCAAGTCATTCCCCTTCAGTGCAATTTTGAACAAGTCATTAAGGAGCTCAGCTGTCATCGACTGGTTAGAAAGCACCGATAGAATAGTACCGACCGACTCCTAAAATTATTATTTTTTATCATATTATATTATAAGCTTTTTCGCAAATGAAGAAAACCACTCTAGTTGGATATTATATTAACAAGAAGGATGATGGGGGGAATCTGGTCTATTTGGTGATATCAGTTGCTGCCTTCTCTGAAGTTGTCAACAACGCGGCAGCTTGCTGTTCCATTCGGTTACGTCGCCACCTGGGACCATACTTGCGCATGACAAAGATACCCGGGGTGGTGGCGACAACGATCAATCCGACGGTCAAGAACATATACTGGACGCCAATGCTGGTGATACCGGGCTGGATAGCAGCAGTGCATGCAGCACTAAATTGAGCATGCATTAATATGCATGTTTCAAAACAATTAAAATACTGAAGTTATAGAAAACAACTTACCCCAGGAGACATCGGACAAGGTTATTGGATGCAGTGATGGAGGCGCTGTTCTTTGGGAACAGGTCGATGAGCATTGTTTGATAAAGATTGAACAAGCTTGTAACGCAGATACCGACTACAAGAGATCATTTAAAGCGTTAGAACCTTTTTCCCCCCCCCCAACTTCCATACAAGCCATAGTACTCACGGAAGAACTGTACGACCAGGATGCCGGCGAGAGAAACATCGCGCCACAATAAGAACCCATAAATGATGATAAGAGCTGTAGCCAAGTGGTCAGTGCCTAATCACAAAAGTAACCCAAACGAGTCAATACATACCATCAAACAAGAAAAGAGGTACCCAGATGCTGCGAAGACGAGCTTCGAAGATAGGGAAATCAGCACCCAATGAACCTCTGGATAATTTGCTGCTGTCGTATCCATGCTTCTCCGCAGTGATTCGAAAGTCACGATCAAGCACTCTTCCTATGATCAGTCCACCGAGAATACAACCGACGCCATTGGCAATATAGCATAGACCAATTTGTTGTTCGTTCAATCCGTAGATGGTTTCAAAAAGATACGATGTACTTGAGAGTACGCAGTAGAAGACAGCGTAAGGAATGCCGTTGCAGAACAAGCACACGGCGACATCCGGATAAAAGATATATTGCAAAGGCTGGAGTAGTTTGGGAGGTTGAAGGAATCGACTCTTTTGTCCACTGGGAGTGATTGGTTCGGGGGTATCTTTTCGTAAAGCTTTGGCCTGCAACCATTGTGTTGGCGTAGGGTTTGCATACCCTGATCCATCACCAACTAATGATCGAAGTGTCTCGGGCAAGAGGAAGAGGACCAAGAAAAACAATGCTCCAGCAATGATGGTGAGCAGCCAGAAGATCCATCGCCATCCCAAGTTTTGAGCCTAACGTGAGAGTAACATGTTCAGTCACAAGGTTGCGATTCGAAAAAAACATGGTACACAAAGCTAGCTACTTACAATAACACCGCCAATGATAGGACCAATGATAGGACCCAACATAGGGCCCACAGAATAGATGCCAAAATATGTGCCACGCCTAATGATCATCAACAATTAGCGATATGCGCCACCCATAACGACCAATCCAAAGAAATACTTACTCGGACGGGCTAGCGATATCACCAATACATCCAGCACCTAGGTACGCGATCATCATGTCAATCATAAAAGGCCATAAGATATACACTACGACATAAAGCACCAACAACCACTTACCAATGGCAATAACAGAGCTGGAACCAAAAGCTTGCAACATTCTCAAAACCAGCAGAGCGGTATAATTGGGAGACAAGGCCAAGCCGACGTTGGCACCAAGATAAATGACCATCGTACATAGGTAAACCGGCCGTCTACCCCACTGGTCCGCTAATGATCCCCATAATGAAGGTGAAAGCCCCTGAAAAACCTATCTCACGTGGCGAATTGTATTGAGTCATCATGACCTCTTCGTATCAATGGAGCCAAAATTGCGTTTGAAAATACGAACCATGTAAAGCGATATCGTCAAATTTATCATTTCAGCTGTGGTTCCAAAATCCTGTGGGAAGAGTCAGTGAGTTCAAGTGGGATTCCCTTGCCGACATGAGATCTCCAAGTCCACCAAAATGGGCATGGCACTTACCTCTTGAATCGCATTGAGAGCCGGAAAGTAAATGTTAGCCGAGAGTGTTGAGGCGACTCCAGCGAGGGCAACAATAGCAACAATGACTTGCTTTCGGCTGCGAGTGAACGCAGAATACGGAACGCTTGCGCTTGCCCGGGTGGTGGAAGGAGCTAATGCGTCTGGTGCAGGGTCTATTGTTTGTTCGTCATTGTCGATTTGGTCAGGCGCTGCCTCTAATGTTTTCAATGACTTTTCCGCCATACTGGGTTCTGAATATGATCTGCGTAAAATCCAACTGGTCTTTATATTGGAAAATTTTCGGAAAATGTTTGCACCGCAACCGCAGTTTGGCAAACTCAAATTCCTGTTTTGGTATCATAGCTTTTCCGGCCGCAACGCATGAAAGATTTTTAATCCAGGGAAATACCATAGCCGGTTTTCATTCTCCATGCCCGCCTGATCTATCGTCCAAACCACACTGAGCTGCGGACCACCATAGGATGTGAAGGAATATCAATTTGGTTCGGCCGAATAAGCGAAACCTTGCCGAAGCGGTGCCTGATTCATGATGTTTGATTGACCTGAAACATCGGGTATCTTCGTCAGAAAACTTTCGCCGACGACCGAGAGACAGTCACAATACTTTCGAACAAACAATCGAGAAGCTACTCAGAATACGTTGATTCCATTTGCTTTTCTGTACACTTATTTAATTTAAATGCAAACGATGTAGTATTGATATATGAGCTCATATGTGTGATGCTACCTGAAGTAATAAAGTAAGAAGAACTTGAATTTACATACAGTATCATCGGATGCTCATTGTCCGCACTCTGATCTTGCTATAGCCTAAAAACGTTTCTGTCAATGCTATGTTGAATATTCGAGCGATGGTATTGCATCTGCTGCTTATATGCTCTTTAATAAAGACTTTGAAACGAAATTTTTTCTATCTTTCCCATAGAGATTCCCTAAAAAGTTACACAGAGTGTAATGCGAACGAATGTTGTGTGCTAGAGTATTCATAGTGTGTCAATTACCTTTTCAGCATTTGTGGCACAAGTTTTTCCGTTGGCGTCGTCTTTAAACGGCTCCCGTATGGTTGGAACAAAGGACATGACGTTGTACAAAATGTAAAAACACAGCATGCTACTAGTCCTTTGAGACGGATACTGAATGAACTAACAAAGCAAGAGAATGGTACCATTTGAGGACAAGAATGGTGTCATGTTCGGCTCATTGCCAAATTGATATTTTGTCTCTCACTCACTCATATCTTACAGACGATGTACTTAGTAACTGGAGAGCACCCAATATCAGTTACTTTATTACACTTCTTCTCAAAAGCTGTTTGGAGATTAAAGCTGTGTATCCTATCAAGATAATTTGAGTGCTTGTGTTTGGACACCACCAGCATGATCAAAGGTAGTGATAAACTCGTTGTCGTTCAAGGGAACAATGCCTGGCCAATTTGATTGTGGAGGTGAAACCGAGAGCTTGTTAGTCCAGTTCACTCCGTCGGTTGACACCAACGATTTTACGCCAGCTCCCTGTATCCATTTGTGAGGAGACAAGTCTTCGTCCGTCATAAAGATAGCAACCAGGACATTTCCGCCTAAGGTAGCGACTTGCGGAGAGCCAGCATTGTTGTTGGTGCCGGTGGGGACATACACGACCGACCGATTTCCCCAAGTAATACCGTCGTCATCTGACGTGACGGATTTGACATGGAATGGGCCATCTTGTGTCGTTTCGAATATGCACAGCAATCGTTTGCCAGACCCGGTGTCGAATTCCGTTATTCCAGGCATTCCATCTCTGCCATGAGTGGTCGCACCAGCAATGGTGACCATGGGACCCCACGTCTTTCCATTATCCTTCGAGATATGACGAACAATATCTTGGTCCGTCTGAGAATTTTCTCGGGAATAGTATAGTTGAAGGCTTCCATCATGAGCTATTCGCATAAATGGCTCCCAAAGGCCATTCGGTGGGTTTTTACCCTCTGGTTGACTAAGGAACTGCCATGTTTTCCCTAAATCATCGCTAAAACAAACAGTCTATACACACATAAAACGTCAAAAGGGTGGTTTGCCAAATGCAATATGAAAAGGAACAAGCATATATACCATGCGAAAGTACGTGATGTTGTTTGGGCCGCTAAGCCAAGAATGATTGCGAAATGCTGCCAGTATTCTTGGATTTGCCGCGCCGGTGGTATTGGGTAGTTCTAGTAGGAAACCGTTACCTATATCCGCATTGCCCTTCGTGACCGTTCCAATATCAGTCCACGAGAGTGCATTGTCGGTACTTTGGCATACTGTAAGGGAACGGTCACTGCCCGAAATGGTTGTATGGATACCCAGCAGCTGGCCTGTTGATAACCTAATGATTCTGCCATAAGATCCTCCTCCAGATGACATTTTCACTGGAGAGCCAACCATGGAGGGTGACACGCCAACGCCAAATACACCGCCTATCATGGATGACGCTAGTGCCAACCATAGCACGATAGATGAGAAACCATGAAAAGGGTTCATATATTTCATTGTTGTCAAAGATGACTTTACCAGGATGGAGAAATCATCTCAATTTATGGAAGTTGTTTCCTGCTCTATTTCATAATTCTATTCTTGGATGTACTATCTTCGTGCTAGCGTTGGGCCTGGTGACGCGACTAGCATGCACTGTTTTTTTTTGGCGTCCCCCCCCCACGCAAATTATTAGTCCTATCCAAAGCCACACTTATTTTGAACCACCACCTTTAACACTGTCAAATCAAGCGGCGACATAGCTTCATAGTTCGCTGATATCCAGTGAAATTGTATCCCGCGAATCAAGCAAGGGAATGTATGGGGTATTTCAAGTCACTATGGCAGTAATGTGCTAGTTTAACATAGTAAACACTAGTCTAAAATATCGAGAAATTTCTTGTGTAGCCGAAACCTTACCACCAGAAGAAAATGTATGAAGCATGGAAGCAGAAAGACACACAAATGCACGATGACGTTTTCTGAGCCGATGGCCTTTCATCAACGTTGGTAGAAGTGGCTTCTACTTTCATTGCTTTACAGTCTAATGCAGTGGCTGTGCATAACTTTGCGGTCTCACACGATTAATTGACGTTAACAAAAATAAATGGAAGTCATGCCATTGGTTTCCTCACCTTGCAATCAGTGGTACGCTTTACCATCACGCACATCCTATGTAAAAGAGGTTCTGGGATCTTCACGTTATGTGGTTTAGTACATGCATGAGACATCAGTTACTTTGAAAGCTCTAGTGCTAGTTCGAGTATTTGATGCTGTGATCCACTGCACACGCACAGTTGTTGACCACAACGCTGGGTCAGTCACAATGAATATGGCTGATGCTCCATTTCAAGAACTGTTCTTTGGCGTTTGTAAAGTGGGGAAGGGAAGCCTACCCTTAAAGTATTATGCTAAATATGGTCCATAGGGATCCTCTTGCATTTTCTGCATGTACATTTACTGAAGAGGATGACTGGGTCGCTCGGTTGTTGGCACCATTACTAGCAGCTTTTACATAACACCATTTTGTTGCACAAGTTTCAGAATACAATGATATCACTGCATGTTCTGTTGTTCGCCAGACGGACTTGTATTCTGATACTGCGCTTGAAGCCTAACCAAAATATACAACAGTGCGCAGAAAAATCTTAACACCAACACTGTAAGTACAAAGTCCCCTGACAGAAGGCACGAATTTGAGGTGGCGGATACTTCTTAGCCGCGGGCTTCGGCTGAACATTCGACCTGAAGCAACTACTTTGCGAGGAAGTCGGGAGCCCAAAAAAAAATTGCCAACTTAGTTCCCTATCCTGGAACAGTGGTGAAATGTTCGCGTCAACCACGACAAAAAATGAGCCTTCTCGCTAGTATTCCCGGAGACGACATTAAAAGTATGTTCCTCGCTATTGATAACGATTACTTCAAACAATGCCTTAACCTCCATTGCCTTCTGATCCAGCGTTCGCCACCATTTTGACGACATTAGGAGGCATTGGCGATGAATTGCACTTTGAAGCTCATCGTGGTCAGGTAAGCTGATGTCTTGCCTAGCACAGCGGTATTGGACATACATGCTTACATACTGAATTTCCTTTGCAGTTGGTATTGTCTATGGTCAATTCTTCCGTGACCACGTTAGGCAAGGTGTACATATCGTATGCATTTTTCGAGAAATATCAGGTACGGAAGGAGAGGGACCAGCCCATGGAGTCGGTCTTGGTCTGCCAAATTGCTATCAAGGTAAAGAGAACGGACGAAGGGTGACTCTATGTGGGCGGGTTTGAATTAGCAAGCTAATGGAGGACACGCCTGACTTTTAGGGATTTGCGGCGCTGTTCAAAAAGCAGACCAAGATATTGAACAGCATTGAAATCAAACTGGAAGGCGCATCAAGCGTTTCACACTCGACGGACGATGAATTCAGACCATGTCGTATAAGTGTAAAACGAAACGGTCCCCTTGGTCATTCAGGTACGGCGTTGCTAAGCATACCTTACATTGCGGCGGCGTAGCCCTAATTCATTTTTCCTAGGCTTCAGCCGCACGAAAAGCATGCCGTTCGCACAAACACATCTACCCAATATCCAGTATAGCAAAGACGCAGCCAGCCGATTTGTCATCAAGCCTGGTTATCTTCGAGAATACCTCAACTTTTTCAATTCCAAAGTGGAAGAGATTGTATTTGTGTGCTCTCGTTTCAATATGAAACTTCGCAACGCTGGATCGCCCTCCGTAACTATGGATACATGTAAGCGTTCTGAGGAACCGATCTGTTCGACGCTAACACGATTACTGATGGATGTATTACAGCTGTGGACTCAAGGCCGTTCCAGATCGAAGTCTCACTCAACATGGATCAGTTTGATCTGTACGAAACGGCATCTGATACCATGCTTACCCTTAGCATCAAAGACTTCAAGGTTCGTTTCCATAGGTTCAACTGATTTTTTACATGGCTGTCTGTGTGTGCTGACTCAATCACAATGTTTTATAGACAGTGGTGTCGTACGCAGAGATGTTGGGGGAGCCGGTATCTGCCTTTTTTAACGATGCCGGACAGCCCATTGTCTTCAGTGTTCAGCACACGGAAAACACCATATTTGATATGGTGTTGTTGACGAGACCAGTTCCCGAGTTGAATGCGTATTCTGGCACACAAGACGATGTGTCCATCACGAGGTCGTCCGTTAACATTTCCCATCTCTCCGGTCGGTCTGGGATGACTGCGAATCGATCTCAGCGACCCGCGCCACCATCGATCGAACAACAGGAGGAGCCTTTGTTCCCATCGCCGTCTATTCAGTGCGGAAGGAACAACAGTGGCCAGGACGTAAGCATGCTGCCACTTCAGTCTGGTCAAAGCGATAGTGGGCATTCCAGAAGAAGTCACGGCGAACAGGACATGTTTGCTTTTGGGTCACCGCGGGAAGAGGATGGCGATCCCATGAAGCGACGGAAAGTAGCCGGACGGTCCAACAAACGACACATTACATCGGCTGGCAGCGGCTCCGATACAGATGACGGCTCAGGCATGACGTGATGGCAATCACTGGTTAGAATAACAGATAGAAACTTGTAAGGTGCCATGTAAAGACTTTTTTTGCACCCCTTCATCTCTTGGGAATGGGTGCTCTATAAATAATGTACAAAGATTAATTTAAATCCAATGCAATTCAATTGTTGCATGGCTACATATCTTTTTGGTTGTTGTTTTGGGTTATATATGAAGCAGCAGCACAGATGCAATTCATGCAAGCAGTAGTAGGTAGATTGATTAGAATGCGAGCGACGCATTTTACTTTGGGTTATTTTTTAAAGGTTGATAAAAAAATTAGAAGTCTGCGCTTATGAGTATGAACCAATAGAAGATGAAGTGGAAAAAGAAATGGTACAGGTGGTTTGAGTGTGTTACAGTGGTTAGCAGAAGAAGCTAGGGCTAGGAAGCTGAGTTAGGGGTTTCCGTCAGGCAGCAAAGCGAATTAGGGGCGAGACGAGGAGTAGTAATAGATGATCTAAGTTCGCTCAAATCGCCAGATAATGACAATGGTCAAGATGGTGGTGAGGACGACCAGGGAGAATCCAAACGACATGAGCCGATTCATCCTTCGCCATTTCTTTTCCATGTCTGTTTGAGGCTTCCGTGGTAAAAAACTTCCTATCCACCATGCAGGCGGTAGGATAAACCCCATCATGAACAGCCCAAGCCCATACGTGCACATTGAATCTGGAGTATCCGTGCCTTGATAATGGTAGCTGACTTTGTCTATACACTTGACTTCATCTTGGATACGTGAAAAACGCTGATCTACATAAGTGTCAAAGTGACCAAGAGTAGAGAGTGACGATGCTGAAGCTTTAGGTGTGATGGTTTGATTCAAGTTTCCATAGTGATTCCGTTCTAACCATCGTGAGAAGGAGCGGTCATTTTCACGGTAATCGAATTGGATGGAGATGGCGGGGGCTGGCGATACCTTGGCAGCACTGGAGCGGGCTCGAGTGATGGCAGGCTCAGGTAACGATGGAATTGACTTGGAAGACAAGGCAGCCCCGATGGCAGGACTGCTATGACGCCTTCCAACTGATATTGGACCATCGTTGGACTGACGATCTAAACTAGGCGTCGATACTCTAGACAAGATACTTTCCGTCAGCTGTATATGCCATAGCGATGGCTCAATCATGGTGGTTGTGGTGGTTGCTGTATCGGTTTGATTGGAACATATTGACCGATGTCTACGCACACGACGTGCTGGAGAAGCGACAAGCGTGGGTGCGGAAGAGATTTCTGTGCTGGCCGGTGACGATGGGCTTCTTGATGGTGATGGTAGAGCTGGTGTCAGTCTACTGGTGGTCTCAGTAGGAACTAGAATGGGTCTAAGCGTCCTCATCGATGACAAAAGGGAAAGGTGGACAATGACAGACCCAAACAACCAACAAAAAAAAAAGCAAAAGAAACTGTTAAATGGAGTAAAAGTCCGTGAACGTACGGAATTCCCATTTTTAATAATGGGCTTCAAGGCCAATCGCTCGCTTAAGCGATAGCAACTCATCCCATAATACCAACTATCCCAAGATCGACGTTCCCTGTCGATCCTTGGTGTGACTCCATTTGATCAACTTGACAATGAGAAATCCAACCGTCAGTGATCCGCAGACAACACACAGGGGTAGGAGACATACAATGTTGGATATGTACAAAGCGAAAGTGTGTATTCTTTAAAGAAATATGATAGGCTTCTTGTTTACAAAAAGAGACTACCTAGGTAAACCGTTTTTTTTTTTTTTTGAAATCCAAATCTCTAAGCTCCCCTATTTGCACTCCCTTTGGAGAACCTCCTTCAGCTTGTCACCGTGCCATTCAAACGCAGGCTACCCCCTTAAACCTTGACCTCCAAAATCTAGTGTCCGCCACAGCAACCGCCAGATGCTTTCTGTTTCTTACTCTTCCTATGGCTGCCCTTGGAATTCCGTATTGAGTCGTTGTCGCCCAATTCAATGCCAGGGTGGAACTTGAGTTTGTAGATATCAGTGTCGACTTCTTCCTCCTTTCTAACACCCTGTACGATGTTGCTTCTGAGGATGGAAGCAACTTGATTTGCCAAGGTAATTTTCTGGGACCAGCAATGTGTTTAGGATACTATGTTATGAAGCTACTATGAGCTGTTGAAACAACTGTTACCTCTTCTATGACATTTGGGTCTGTCTCATTCTTGCTATTGTTGAATTCCACATAGGTCTTTGCACGGGCGGCTGTCAGGGCAAGGAGATAAATGTTCAGTATGACCGTTACACTGTAGGAGAATTGCTCGGAGGACAGATGTCAATGCTTACCATTGAGAGCGACGACATCGGCTGAATGTGGTAGGTTACGAGCGAGGTTGGTTAGAATAGAATAGGATAGGTTAATACACACTGATTATCTCTATGCAAGGCACACCGTGGCCAGAATAGCCTCAAGCGAGTACTTACCTCCAAAAGTTTGCTTTTGAGCTTTGAGCAAGTTTCTATAGGCTCCCAAAGCAACTGTTCTTTGTGTTGACATGACGAATGGTGTTTTGTCTTTGAATGAGGAAATGTTGGAAATTGTCAGGGCTGTCCTGGAAAAATTTCTGGGTGACTGTGAATGAAAATTATCCCAATGTTCAGGATGGTGCAGGCAACATTGGCTTTAACTACTGGAGGGTTCCCCCAACGGACCTTTACTTCCCTTCACTTTCATTTATTTTAAGTGCTTTATCTTACAAGGCTATTGGCTCTAACAGCAACTTCCGACCAGTCTAGGGTGGATTCTGATGCGTCGTTTATACCCGGTTGCCAGTCGATATAGTATCGATGATTCAAATACACACCTCGCATCCAATTAAGGAGATACCGAAACCTGTCTTCCACAAAATCAAGGTCGAGGGCATTGTACTTGAACTTTCTACTTTTAAGGCATTCCAGATGATCCAAAAAGTGCTTGTACGTATGGAGATAGCAGAGACCATCGATGTGCTGGCTATAATAAAGGATAAACGGCAGCCGCTGGGTAAATAGTTGGAACACCTCGCTTTGCAGTCTATCTGTTTTGCGTTGTATTTCTTGTAGCTCTGTATCACTTTTATATTTACAGGTTTTCACCGTATCTAACGTGGAAGTAAAATCAATGACTTGTCCAATCTGATGTGGCAAACATGCCAAGTAAACTTACTTGGCGAGGTTTGAATCCAATCGTCTATCAATTGCCGCTCAAGTCGGTATATGTCTTGATTGATATGTTGACTTGCAGGTTGTGATACTGAAAGCTCCTCCAGCTCAAGTAAACTGTTTGGAACATCAATTCCATTTTGGGATACAACGAACTGCAAGTAGGGTTGCCATCGCCGGGTATAAAAGCCATTGGCTATGTGGACGGGAGGATCAGGCAGATGAACGTGGTCAGGGTTATCAAGCGCTTCGGCGGTTAGCCAAGAGAGATGGTCGGCATAGGAATCGTAATAGACGTGGGCTTCGTAACTAGGGAACCTGCAGATCATCTCCTGGGAGTAATAAGTAGGCAAATAATGAGCAATGCTCCAGTCTTGGGCTTGAGGAATCAAGATCGACACAGGGAGTCCGTCCAACCGGGGTAATGTGCTCATCAGGTCATTGTAGCCCATAAGCGTCCAAGACGGCAAGTAACCGGTGGTAATGGCGGTAGCGACATATTGGATAAGGTAGTCGGTGAAGCTTTCGGCGATGCAGCAAAGTTCATAGGTCTTGTTCTCCTGGGTTTGTCGAAACACTTTACCAATTCCACTCTTCATGCCTTGAAAATCCACGCGCAGGCCATGTCGGCTGATCACACCTGGTAACTGACCTTGAAGATTCCAATTGGCGTCCAGCAGCAGGGTCAAGAACTCCTTGGTCGGAAATCCAAATGTCCAATCCGCCAGTCCAAAGCATGCCATCCGGGTCGAGTACATAAACTCAATAGCTGCTTGGGACAAGTCCTCCAGCCGTTTGCTAGAAGGGTATACCGTACTGAATTGAATGATGGCATTGGTTGATTTCCACCAGGGTTCCTGTTGGAATATGGGTCCGGATGCTAATGCGCAAGGCGGATGGCTATCAAAGGCCGAAAAGGTGAGATAAGGAGAAAAATACAAAAGATACAGAACAAAGTCGATAGGAAACGGAGCGCCAAGAGCTGTCTCGATGTTTTGTATGAAGGCGGCTGAGTACAAGGGTGTCGATTTAGGTGGATCAAACATCATTGTCTTTTGTTGTGCTGCCGATGTGACCTCTCGTTGGATATTAAGAACATGGACGGCAAAGACGCTGCGTTGTTTCCAGGACTGAGTCCAGTCGTCTAGCCACTGTGCGCTGAGGTCTTCCGAGCCATCGAGTTGAACAAACTTGGGTCGCGTCACGCTTCTTACGCAGTCGGTCACCACGAACTGGTGTATTGGATACCCTCTTGTCAACTTGGCATAAGCTGCTTCCCATATGACTTCATCGCACAATGCCAAGTACCAGAATTTACATGAGGCACTTGCATTCAGTAAGTCTGAGATATCGAGATGTCGAAAGATCTGGAATTTCAGTTCTGGGGGTAACCCTCCCGTTTGCTTGTCCAGCAGCATAAGACCACCACCATCAATGCGGGCGCGCTGTGAGAAAAGTGGCCTGATAATTTGGTTACACGCCGTTGAAGGCAAACATTAGTAGACATGACGTTTAGCCTATAAACCTCGTCATAAACTGATGTACTTTCGGCCCATAGAGAAGATGGTAAACAATACGCTTCGCTTTGACGGGTTTTATTTGGTAATGTAATACTGTAAGTTGAGGTGCGGAAGCGAGACAAAAAAAGAAAGAAACGGAGAGAAAATATGAATAGTGAAAGAGAGAAAACAAAAAATCTATTGAACTATGGATAGGTTGAGTCAGCCATAAAGTCAATCAACGTTATTGCGTGGTCCTTCGCCTCATTGCTTACCTGTTAGGAGAGCCTTATGAGTAAAGTACCTGACATCACTATCCGTATCATCCCCGAGTTTATTGAGAACTGGAGTTATTTTGTTGTCGACATGCTCGGCCGTATCATCAGACTGCTTGAGCAAGGGAACCAGGGCTTCCAAAGTCTTGGCAACATTGAATCGAATGTTAGGTATTGGATCATCAGCGAGGGAAAGTACTATGGGTAAGACGCTTTCATCCAATAACTTGCAATCCAGCGTAGGAGCGATGGTAGCAATGGCAAAGAGGGTGGTCATTCGGTGCAAGTAGTTTGTATCAGCAGCCATCCTTGCTATCTGAGGTATAACAGTGGCAGTAGCCCACTCGGAACCAAACACTTCAATGAGCTGTTTAAGATTAACAATGGCAGCCTCACGGATAGAGAACACGGGATCGGCTAACCATGACATGCACATGGTGCCTAACTGCTTGTCAAACATATCTGGTCCAAGCTGTCGTGCCAAGGTTGGAATGTACTCGATGATGGCCAAACGTACTCTCCACTGCTTGTCTTCTGCCAGCTCCACAACAGCAGGAAGAATGGATTGCGAGAGCATTTCAATTCCAATGACATTATTAACTTGTTCTAGTTGACGAATTATATTAAGTCGCACATCGGACGATTCGTCTTTCAAAAGCTGTAAGAAAAGGGGTTGCAAATTTTCCAGAGTTCTAGCGGGGTGCAATATGAGTGAACCTGGTGGATGGCTGAAATAGCACTCTCAATCGACACTCACTGTTCTTTTCCTAGAATGGGGGCAAGACCACTGATATGGGTGGCGAGCATAGCACGGACTTGTTGAGCAGTGTCGGTGATGAGATCCTTAGTGCAGGCAACAAATGTTCCTAGAACCACCTCTCTGTCAACCAAACCTGCAAATCCAGGTAACTGGCTGCATGCTGCGGTCCGCACTTCGGCTTCGTTGTCCTTTAAGATTTGTACAAAACTGGTGATGAGGTCGGATTTGACAATCTCGTCGCCAACGGCCTTTGATAACTAGGAAGGGGTGGACGTTTAAGAGGCTTGGAACGAACAGTTACCTAACATGAGCATGACTTACTGTTACATATTTCTCAGCAATCATATATCTCACTCGCCAGCTACGATCACTGATCATATTCTTGAGAATGGGGAGTAGGTGTATTTTTGTCTCTTCTGGATCAAGCTTCTCGGCAATGGATATGACCGCCTCTACTACAAGTAATCGAACAGAATCTTGTTCATCTCGTGACAAAGAATCAATTAGGGGGATAAGGTCGGATAAAAGCTGTTCTTTGCTGAGAACATTGGCCAGTTTCTAAATGCGGAGTGCAGGGGAAAGGTCTCAATAAGTTGGAGCAGACAAAAGATCGAACTGCCAAAAAATATGACTTACAGGAAGAGACTTTGCAGCAGCTCTTCGCACCATAGGTGTATCATCATGTGCCAATCGAGCGAACAGTCTTTTTTTATATGTCAAGAAATAGACCAAGTCAGCATGGATGGAGGATATCTTCATGATGAATCCAACAGCACTTACTTTCTCATGTCATCTACTGTTGCAGGTGAAAGCTTGGTGTGGCCAGCTGCAAATAGACCAGCTGCGCTGGTTCTACTGGTGAACCAGTCGCCAGAGCTTAGTCTTTTGACCAGAGGGACGAAATGATCTTCCATTTGCTGTTCGTTGAGAAGTTCTGCTGTTTTGCACAAAGATTCAACCGCCATATCGCGAACAACGGTCTCCTCTACAGCAGCAAGGGTTTCCAGTGGCCGCAGCAAAACATGCGCATACTCGTTTCCACCCACACAGCTTGAAAAGTTGCCTAGTTCTTCAGCTAAAGCCAGCAACACCTCGTCTTCGTCGTCAGTTGATTCTGATACAAGAAGAATGATCAGCAATGCACGTGGACGGAAATCTCGGATTGCAACTCTCACCATCAAGGAAAGGGACAAGCTCGTCTCGCGTTCGCTGGGGACCAAGCGCACAGGCAATGGTACTAAGGCGTCGAATGGCGTTTAATCTGAGGGTAGTATCTTCATGTTTTAACTCGTCAACCAGCACTGCGATTGGATAAAGTTGTTCATCGGCTGGGGCTTCCATGATGAAAAGGAATGAGAAGGAAGGTTTTTCGAGTTGAGTTCGTTCGCAAAGGGCGGGCTGGTGTGATCAAAAAATTGGGCTGCACTTCAGCAACGTCACAGATTGAAGCTGCAATTATTTTTTATCCACTTCACAGAGTCTTCCCCCACCTCACCGACGTCATACTCTTTATGAAAATAGAGCGGCAGCAAGCATGAAGGCAAGGGCACGAATGATTGAATAATGTCAATGATTGATACGTTTGAGTCTACACAAAATTCCAAAAAAAAAAAAAAGAAAGTACGCCGATATAGAAATGTAGCATGTTTTCAAACGTGTCAGGCATTTGGTCAAGACATATTCCGCTTTTTTATTGCCGTGGCATCAAGGCAAAGGCGGAAAAAACGTATCAATTTGAATGTCAATTACGGCCTGTTAATGTACCACACAGCTAGGAAAATTGTTGTAATACCTAGGCACCCGTACGACAGTGAAGGAATGGGATTTGCAAGAGTTCATGCTGAAGAGTATATGGATATGAAAATCTTTTAGATAGCGCGACACTATATAGTAGATTGCGTGTACGTCTTCATTTCCCTTGAAGAGCAACTGTATTGAGCTGTTTTATGAATAAGGTGCAATTAGAACATCAATTCATTATCGACACCAAAAATAGACATGCCATTGACGGATCAAAACTCCTCCAGCCGATTGTCTCTCGGTAAAGCGGATCTATTCAAAGTCCATAAGCTATTCAGTACACACACTATACAAGTCAATTCTGCTTTGACGTGCAGTCATCGTTTATATTGTTTTTCCCATTTGAGCACGCGAAGCATTGGGAATCTCCATGTATCTCAGCTGGTAGGCGACTCTTGTACTGTCCGTGTGTGTAGAAATTTTGTAAGCTCAATGAATCATCTCACTTCATCCTCTTGTCTGTCATTTCCTGATTGACTAGATGCAAGTGGTAAGGTGTATTGGACGACCGTGTCAAACCATTCGCAAAGTGTGCCTTCATCCCACAACTCCGTATTAGCCAACCTCCAGAGCCGACTTATGGTCAGGATTGCAGCGGCGATCCAACTCAAGCAAGGTTTCGTTCGACCGCTTGATGGCCTTGGACACTTGTTCGCAAGTGGAACCTGATGAGGCTTCGCTCGAAGGACGGTCATGACCGTGATGGATATTCCTTGTGCGATCAAATCGTCAGTCTTTGAGTCCGCCTGGCTTAACCTCTTCCATGAGCTCAAGCGGAATTAAGACTTTGGCACATTCTTTATTTATGAAACAAAAATTAAATATCAACAATGTTTATTTAGAACGACCAGTGCTTTTGTGGGGTCTATTGCCGAAAGGTAAACGAGCATACTAAAATATAATAATAATAACACAAACATGACATACTGGAAAAGTATGAAAAAAAAAAAATAACCAGTCAGTTTACATGGGAAAAAAATTACACAGAAATAATAAGGTGCCCGAATATCTAGTAAGGAGGATATCCTGTTGCTGGTGGATAGCCTGTTGACGGCGGATAGCCCGTTTGAGGTGGGTAGCCAGACTGCTGTGGTGGATAGCCAGCCTGTTGTGGTGGATAGCCATAGTTCTGTTCAGAAACCGTGTTCTGTCTTTGCAATCTAGATGGATAACCACTCGGGTTATCATAGCCTTGGGAGTAAAGTGGTTGTTGAGGTTCATAAGGCTGTTGCAACATACTAGGCTGGTACATAGGTGACTGAGGGGCGGCGGGCGGATAAGCTGAATAGGCAGGTTGCTGTTGCGGGAGTCTCGGAGTAACAACTGGAGTAGGAAAGCCACCGTAGTTGTTGCCCATGGAAGGAGACACACCTGGGCGAGAGGAAGGATCTATAAACCCGGCAGGCGGTAATGTAGTTGAAGTAAGAGGTGGATACATAGCTTGCTGCTGCTGCTGATACTGCTGTGGTGGAGGTCGGTGGTGCTGTGGGGGAGGGTAGGCCGAGGCGCTTGGCGGATAACCACCTGAAGCCGGACCCGCGTACGAAGGGCCTCCAGTGGAGATAGGAGGAGGTCGCATGCTTGGGTTCTGTTGGCTTGGTGGTATGTTGATAGAATGCCTATACATAAGGTGAGGTGGTTCTGGTGGTGGTGCAGGTAAAGGTTTGTTATTTCTGCGCTGCTGTGGCTCTGCTGGTAGAAGTTTGCGTGCACGTGGTTTGCTGGATGAGTAGAACGTCAGTTCCAAATAGATTTCGCCAGCGCTTTTGCCTTTGTAATTCAAAGGAAACCAGCCTATGATTGAAAACGCGGATGTTAAATCTTTTTCGTTTCTGCATGTCTTGCCAAGAAAAAATTCGTCGTACCGTCATGTTCTCCTGTAGTCAATACATTGGATACATCAAGTAGCGTCTCCGATATCAAAAGCCCTTTAGGTGCTTCTCCATCATAGAGCTGTACTTTTAATTTGGTATGCCCAGGTTCAACTGGAAGGTTGACCTATTTTCAATTGACATAGGCATTAGTCCTGGTGAGCAGTTTTGTGGGTTTTCAGCGCCTCATCAAACACCGTACCTGGTCATCCCAAAGTGGGTGTTGGCCACCGCGATAATCTGCCTTTGTATTTTCGCTATGCTTTCCAAACGTGAATCGAGCAACGGGATCTTGCTTGCCTATAATCTGCATTTCATTTTTGGAGTTGGCTCAGTGAAGGCATGAATTGCGACTTGATTCGAATCAATAACATACCGCTCGATTAGGTAAATTCCTCTGCAAGAGAATTCAGTCAGTAAAAAGGTCGTTACAGAGTCCAGGGCAGGTTCAGGTACCAACCGCTTTGAGAGCAACGATAACAAGTTCTCCTAGTCCTTTGCTCATGCAGGCCAGTGGAGTATCAACTCAAAGAGAAATGAGGAATGGACAACAAAGAAATTGAAAAGCGGCAATTTTGGTATCCATGTCTGTCTGCCAGTCAGTACCTGGGTTATTTAATTTTTTATTTTTTATTTTAGCCAGTGGTAAAAGAGTTTCTGCATGATTCAGACGACTCTACCTTCGACTGAGCACACCTTCTCCCAAATGATGCGTATCGCTGGCTGAACCGACTGACCTAGTGTTTACAACAGGTAGGTGGTGAATACAGAAACCAGCACGGGCCAGGTTAAACAGTCAATAAGGTGAATGCAGACGTGACAGATGGTGTAGAATAGAATATGACCTTTAAAATATACAGCAGATCAGGTGGCTTCATTACACTAACCTTAACGTCGAAAAACCACAAGGTACGCTCCTCCACCTTTTCGGTCACATTCCGGTTCTCCGTTTAACAGCCATGCAACAGTGAATATTCACCGGCGGCGTAATCATCGTATCGAAGCCTCCTTAGTCCTAATACCGAGCCTCGCGTTTCAGGCCGCACTGCATTTGCATTGCAAGACATAAGACTTTTTTTGGAAATACCCTTTTTTTCCCTCTCCCCCTTTTGCAGATGGATATAACAGACAGTTTGTATAGAGACTTTGATATAAGTGAGAAGAATGAGTAAAAAAAAAAAAAGTTATTCACAAAAACGTAGAAAATGTTCATTGCAAAGGGATATATATATGGGTTGTAAGTATATATATATAAGAAAAGAAAAAACGCATGTTGTATGTATAGTAAAAGGCAGAGAGAAAGTAACGAAGAAGAAAATGGTGTGGTGTCAAGAAACGGCGTGAGTGGATGAATTTGTTGTTGCGGTTTGGAAAGAAAAAAAAAATATGTGTCAAGTGAAGGGGATCTTCTTTGTTTGAACGACAAGAGGGGTGAGTAATTTGAGCAGAAATGACTTGGGTTGGAGTGTATACAAAACAAATTTGTTGGGTTGGCCTATAGTCCATGGAACAGCAGCGGCGGCTGAGAACAGACAGATATAGAGAGATAGGATGCATTACATAAAACGAGCTTGAAACCAAATTGAACAAGGGGGGAGGGTTGGAAAAAGGCAGGGTAAGAGTTTAAACGGCCACTTGTTGAAGCCAATTTGCTCTATCATCCACATCCACGGCGATTTCGTCATCACCCGTGGGTGTTGGAGGGGTAGAATCTTGTTGTTGCATCTTGGGGTAACCACTTTCCTGCGATGGCCAGGTGGGCGAAGGGGTTGGCGTCATCTGCTGGTTTTGTTGTTGTTGTTGTTGAGGCATGTAAGCCATGTTGTATTGAAATTGATCGTTGCCATAACCATACGGTGGAGGTTGGCAGGTATACATATCAAAGTTACTCATATTGGCATAATCGGGACCTGGAGGGGGGGCTGTTTGATAATAACCATCGTAGCTATGGCGGTATCTAGAGTTGGCGGCGGCGGCAGCAGCTGCAGCAGCAGCAGCCACGGCAGCACTGCTAGATCGTTGATGATGTTGATGAGGTTGGTTTTTAACCAAGGTAGATCCAGAATCCATGGACATAGATCGACCATGGCTATACGACTCGCTCCGTCGTCTTCTGGATGCAGCCGTGCCTTCATCGACACGTCGATCCACTGTCCAGTAACTGCCTTTACCGGGCTCGTTGATAGGACGAGGGACCCTTACGAAGCTCTTGTTGAGACTGAGATTGTGGCGAATTGAGTTCTAAAAAAAGAAGGAATGTAAGGAATGTGTCAGGCGAGGGAGGGGGTGGGTGGGGAAGGGGGTATTGGTTTTTTCAGACGAAACCAGGTACCTAAATGAAAGAAAGAAAAAAAAAAATACACGTACTTTCCATCCTGTGCCTGCGGACTCAAACCAAGGGTAACGTTCTAGGATCCAGGCGTAGATGTCACTCAAGGTCATTTTTCTTTGTGGGCTAGTTTCAATAGCATATCGTATCAACATGGCATAGGAGTAAGGAGGCTTTCCAGCATTATTCTTTTCAATTTTAATGGAAGGTTTCATGCGATCAGACGAAGATGTGGGGGAAGGCGTAGGCAATGAAAATCGTTTTGCGTCCGGGATGAGAATGCCGGTGGAAAAGGAAGTGGTGGGACCTCCAGATAAGGGCGGTAACTCATTTTGTTGCTGTTGAAATCTGGGTGAATCAAATTGATGGTGGTGATGATGATGATGCCTGTCTACCCAGGAATCGTATGTAGAATGATATCCATTTGACATGGTCAACGAACAATAGGAAGAAGGGTTCAAAAGTAAAGTAAAGAGAAGAGAGAAAGAAAGAAAGAAAGCAAAAAAAAAAAAAAAGGTTGTGGTGAGAAATGTTGCTGTGGCGAACCCTTCAATGTTTGAAGGTCCAATTAGAGCATTCCCAACTCGGAACATGCCTTCCGACGGTACCACATCAATCCACGTGAGAGCATGATCTCAGCTTAAAGGACAGATGATCAATATATCTTATAATAAACCTGTATGGAAAAGAAATGCGAGGGTTTCGCGATCAAAGCCTCCATAGTCTTCATCGCTATCATCATCATCGTCTTGCCAGTGAACCACGGCTTGATGCTGAGACGCCCATTGTTCCAGCAGCGACACAAAGCCCCAACCCTCTGATGTTTCTTTTTTTGAAAAGACATTCATGCCTCTGGGCAGCAACATTTGGTCGGTGGTCATGACGATGACTTTGCACCTAGGTTTTAGGGAGTTAGGGGAGGAGCCTAAGGTATGAAGTGAACACTGTATAAATTTACTTTACCTGGCTCGGCTTACCGCCACATTCCAGCGCCGAAAATCCAAGAGAAAATCAAGGGCTGATTCGCTTTCAGCTCTGAGAAATGTGAAGCAAGCAATAACGAGTTCGCATTCTAAACCTTGCATTTTCTCCACCGTGTCGACCATGACCAGACCGTCGTTCACTTCTTGTTTCAACCACAGTAGAACTGCGTTTCGCTGCCGATGATGTGGCGTCACAATCATAGCATAAGGTTTTGGTCGGCCTACATCGATTCGGTAGCGCAGATGCCATTTCACGATAGTCGCCACCACTCTAGCTTCTGTTTGGAGCATCTGGTTTCGTTTTTCTTGAACTTTGACTAGAGTGATTGCCTTATCTGAGGCCAGTGCTTGGCGCACGTGTTCATTGGAGTCGTCTTCCCACACCTCTTTTAGGTAGGCACAGTGAATATCGGGATATCGAGCCAGATAGTCATCTCCGTATATTTGTTGGAAGAACCCGTTCAGTTCATCATTCTTTTTGGGGTGTATCCAAAACAACCGGACAGGTACGCAAAATGTCAGTCAGTTGAGGAAGCAACAAAAAAAAAGGGCTAATTTTTGACCCCGCCTCGCTTACCATACGCCAGTTGTCTTTGAGTTGGATAGTACTCGGTCCAAAATCATGTCTAGAACCTTTGCCCAAAAAGAAATCGCCACTGCCACAGACACGTCCGTCCTTTCGGCGCATAAGGCATTGTTGTATTGACCCAAAAAGTAATGGCTGATCTTTCTGCAACAAAGGGTACTCATTCTGCAGGATTGGTCCTAACTGCTACTTGGGTTCAAACAGAACATGACGTTAGTGAGCCAAGCTTTAAACTCTCATGGCAGCTATGACGTTGTTGTCTGCCTAGTCGTGTTTAAAGAAAATCGTAGTACTGACCATGTGGTCTCCTGCCACTATTAAACGACTGTCCCTTTGCTTTAACATTTCAATGCCAATGGCTGCATCCGACACCAAGAGCTATGGCACAGGGGGGGAAACATATTTCATATCAGATTACATAAACCATTTTCCTTCGTAAAATCTGGAACTTACCTGCGAAGCCTCATCTATGATAAAAATGTCGCAACCGGCTTCGGAAGGCCATGTCTGTCTGACTTTACTCCAGTCCCAGACCGTGCCTCCAATCACGACTGCGCCCTTACCCAGATGACGATTGAGAGAGCTCGCCTGACAATATATCATGCCCTCCACAGGTTCTTTTGGGACCTTTCTAACCATACTAATCAGTTTGAAATTCGCACCACGTCTTTGTCGTTGAACTTGGGCAATGCGTTGTAGCAAATTATGAACGGCCGCTCTTGTGTACGCCGTAATACCAATGCGCACAGACTTGTCAGCAAGATACGTCAGATACCACACCACAAAAAGAGCAAGAAAGTGAGTTTTTCCCGACCCCTGTGTTACATCCGGAGACATGGTTTAGTAAACTAACCCCCAACTCGTGGCTACCAAGACATGTTGTACATACCGGTGGGCCCCAGACAATTTGTAGACGACGGTGCATTGTTTCATTCGATATGAGTTGCTGAGAAGGTGACATTCCAAATTCGTCACGTAGCCTAAGAGCTGCACTGCGCAAGTTTTTTGGGATGACGTGGGCCACGTTTTGTTTTGCCCATAGATTTGGAGATTTGAGAAGTTGCTAAGCATAATATGTATAAAGAGGTCAATAACACGCATACGCGCCAGTTATAAAAAAAAATCGTCCAAACAGTAGAAGTCTCTTAGGGTCCACATTGGAGAGCAACTTCAATGTTTACCCTGCCTATTTTCCCCCTAAATTAACAGGTTACAGTAGTTAAATCTTACTTACGACAAATATTGATTCCTCTCCGCGTTGATCGACAGCCTGGAGTGTCTGTAAAGCCTTGTCGACAGTGAAATCAATGTATCTTTGATACATTCGGTAATGCTTGCCATGCGTCAGGTATGCCCTTTTGAACGTGCCTTTCATAAGAATGGTACTGTTCGTGGGATCGATATCGTAGATGTCAAATGCTGGAAGAGGGAGAGATTGCATTTGCGCACGATACTTGAGATCAGGAAACAGAATAGCTTCCAGCGCACCCTATGTCAATAAAGAAGCATTGTCAATGTCATGAGGAAATACTATCTGCAGAGTTGGACATGAAACTAACTTCATCTGAATTTTCCACCAAAATGTACTCCAACATGGTTGTCACTTTGAGCATATCCATTGGTCGGTCATCATCGCAGCGTGGTATTACTGCGAATCTACCAGCTTTACTCTTCGTTTTAAGCGTTGGGCTTTCGACGTCTTCAAACCCCAAGAATAGTATATGTACGCCTCCTTTCTCTTCTTCGTCCTCTTCAAATCCTTTGAACCTTTCCTTCCTTTTCTTTTCGCATGCAGTAACGGCCTCGAACATCTTGAAAAAGTATAGCTTTCCAATGTATGAAGAATTGAAGGCTCTGGTACGAGCTATTCGCACCTCGCCAGGTGAAAGGAGGAAGAGGTTGACACCTGGTTCTATGTGGCGTTGATAGTTTCTGGCAAGACCTTTGTACCGTTGAACAACTTTGAAGTAAATTTTCATTCTATTTTTCATATCATGATTGATGTATTGGCCAGATTCCCATTTCTGGTAAATCTCGCTATCGGTCATGATATGTTTGTGCTTTTTTACCATGTAGTAAGCCATATCTTGAAGCCGATAGAAACCATATACAGGCAAAGCGACGTTCTCCCGTATAATATCCTCGATAATCACTATCTTGGGACCTGCTTGACTACAATCGAGAATTTCCGGTATGTCGTCAGTGTCAATCGTTAGCAACTGACCATCGCTAAACATTGTCAAGAGCACCTCTTTTGCCGCACTCCGTGCCACACCCGAAATAGGCTGGTCCACAGCGATGCATTGTATAAGAACATCTTGCAGGCATTTCTTTTCGTATTCGGTGGGTAAAAACATGACTAGTTTCATTACTGTGCCATGCCACCAACGAAGTATCGCGACCAAATCCTCAGCTAGCATTTCGGCCAGTTGTATGCAATCTTTTTCTTCTGCAACTCCGTTCGTCATTCTTATACTTTTGGAGGTGCAAAAATAGTCAATTGCTACTTTCTTGCTATCGTAAAGTTGTATAGAGTATGTGTACATGCGCTGAGATACAGGATCGACTAGAAGGCTGATATACAGTTCATGCGTGACAGAATGGGGGAACTTGAGGGTTGAATTTCCCATAAACTGTATAAGGTGTAATGATTAATTGGATGAGTAAAGTAGGTTATGTTCATGAAATGATTATTCGTGGATGTAGCCTACCACAGGTGCGTCGTGGGCATGAGCTATTCTAAAATGGTATGGCAAAGATTCCCAAAGTGACCGTGCATTGAGAGCGAGACCCGAAAGACGAAAGGCTAGGTCTTCAATATCAGTAGGAAGAAGCGCTTCAACTTTTGCCTCCGTCATATATGGTGTTTGACCAGGCGTTCCTTCAGCCTCCGATCTACAGTGCTCAACGAACGTACAGCCTCGACATTTGTTATTAAATAGCCATGTCACTGGTTTTTCGCTTAGTATTTCTGGAAGTTCTTTCAAGTAAAACTGCTCAATCTTGAGATTCAGAAAATCCAAGCGAAAGAGCTGCGGTTCTTGTGGGTCACTGGGTAGCCAAACACCGCCTGAGATGTCAACGTCCATACCGCGCATATTACGAATGATGTATTTCAGGAAATAAGCATACGAAGCTACTTGGAACTACCAATGGAAGATATATTACAAAACCAGCCAGCATAGTTAGCAACCGTATACACAAAATGAAAGCCTAAGATGCCTTACCTGGTGCGAAATTGTCGTCCCTTTTGCAGCCTTTGCATCGATAATTCTCAGTGTCCGCTGTTGGCCCGTGCCATTCACAAAAATAAAGTCGGGTATGAAGATCCTGATCTTGTACTTTCTACCAATGTTGAACTGTTCGTACCATACGGATGGTACTTTCAGTGGAAGTTGGTATAGGCACTGACCGGGCTGAGCTGACTGTAATATGAGTCTTGCATTCGTCGGGTCGGCGTTGGTACAGTCGATGACATTATCCAGAGAGTTCTTAAGCGAAAGCTCAAACAGCTCTCCCCTTCGAAAATGAGCTTCCGTTATTCTATCAGGTGAAACTTTTAAGTTGTTGTTGGACTTTCTCCCTGATAGTTGAATCAACTTATTGCATGAAAAGTGATAGGTGCTAGCCAGCTGCGATATAGAGAAGCTTGGTGAATTTCTAACCCGCTGAACATTTGGCAATGAAATTGGTTAGAGGGAATCATCTGCTTCTATTGAATGCAATGGGCTTCACTCACCTTTGGCTCTACGACAGAACTAGCTCCAACAAAAACTGTTTGCATGTTGTAAGGCCAATTGCGACGTTGTCTGAGGTTATAGCCAAATTTGTCGTATTGCTAGTTTGTCCCACTTTTTGGAAATTACTTGCGACTCTCGAAACACAAAACGCGAGAGATAGAAAGGAAAGCGAAGGTATTATGTGTTATTATTTCTTTTTATCTCAAAAGACATGCTTCAAGGCATGCTTAGCGTATGGGTATATAGGCGGGATCGCAATTTCGATAGACATAATCAACTTCATCGAGGATAAACTAAAAGAAACAAGCGCTTACACGAATAGACCCATCCAACTAGCCAGATGGTTTTCTGTATCTTCTTTCTAGCTATCAGTTCCATGATAGTCTTTCTTTGCTTGGTTTGTTCTATTGAATATTACAGGTTTCATCTTCCAAGCCGAGTCCCTACCTCATATTGCATTACTTCAACACGTATTTCTAGACCATTTTATTTTCCGTTTAACCTCCATATAGCCTTGGAACCCCCTTTCATAAACCGTATGACAGTTCCTCGTTGCCACTGAACACGACAAGGAGCCAGTGAGCATCGTTCACGTCCGAGTTGTGACAGTTGCTGAGATTGAAAACTCCTACTGATGCTAGCGGCCATGATTGGGCCACGCAAATTGTACTTAAACTCGTGTGGGGGTAACTGGCTCAAGGCACTAGCACTTCTTTTACTTCGTACTATGGCTCGTGTTAACTTCGCCTTCCTCGTGGCCTTTGTCTTGGTTGCATTGACCACTTTGGTTTCTGCTGCTAAGGGTCCCGTCATCTCTAACAAAGGTAAGATGATTGAATCTTGTTCCATTGCCGTGTAGAATCACATTGGAGCTAATTCGCTCTTAAAGTCTACTTTGACATTAAGCAAGGTGATGAAACCCTTGGCCGTATTGTCATTGGTCTTTTTGGAAAGGTGAGTGTTGGTTACTAAGATGACCAGACTTTGCTCCTCAGAGGCTGATCTTCTTCTTTTTTTGGTTTTAAGACTGTCCCCAAGACTGTCGAGAACTTCCGCGCTTTGGCTACCGGTGAGAACGGCTATGGTTACAAGGACAGCACTTTCCACCGTGTCATCAAGGTATAGATGATTTGGATTTGATTATATATCCTTCCCCATGGAAGCGTTAGATAAGCTAACTGTTGTGTGTACAGAACTTCATGATCCAAGGTGGAGATTTCACTAAGCACGACGGAACTGGCGGCAAGTCTATCTATGGCGACCGTTTCCCCGATGAGAACTTCAAGCTTCGTCACACTGGTCCTGGTCTTTTGTCTATGGCCAATGCCGGTAAGGATACCAACGGATCTCAATTCTTCATCACCACCGTTAAGACCGCTTGGTTGGATGGAAAGCACGTTGTCTTCGGTCAAGTCTTGGAAGGCTTGGATGTTGTTAAGGCTATTGAGAACACAAAGACTGCGTATGTATCAATGATTGGTGATGAGCTTGACCAGATGGAGTAAAAACTCATGCACTTTGCTTTTTATAGTCGTGGTGACAAGCCCGAGGTTCCCATTATCATTGCCGATTGCGGTGAGATTCCCGTTGAGGAAGATGTTCACGCTGAGCTGTGACTTCCTGACGAATCTCTTGAGGTCTCGTCCACTGGTCAAATCGAAAATGGCTCGAACCTGAATATCGTAGCTGGTAGTGTATTATCTTTGATTTCCGTTGGCTGTCTCTACAAGTACAGACGAGGCATTGTATCGTCTTTCCAAAAATAAACATACAGAACTTTGATGCAGTATCCATATATTAGTGTTCAGCGTATATGAAGTTGACGTTGCGCGTTATGAAAATCGTTTATACGACGAGGGTTTGGCAATACTGCCAATACTCTGACCTCTTTCCCCATTGTACTACATTGCTGTACGTCAATACAATGTAGTTAAACTGTGACAACTTTGTTCATTTTATACACCTTTGTATGTATTTTGCTTCGTCTGATACGCCCAGGGGCAGTCGAGCTTTACTTGGCGAAACGGGTGCAATGAAATAGCCAATGCTCAGAGAGCATCTTGGTATTGAAGCGACTCAACCTGCAGTAGCCCATGTGTCTGCCCCTTTTTTCCGTATTTGTTCATGAAAAAAAATTAACAGGCTATCACACTTTCTTCCCGTGCCAATGACTGACCAACAGAATGAAATCATAGCACGCCTACAAAACCACACATGCCATCCGGATACTTACCCTAATATGCGAAGAGGCGCTGTCCTTATTTGCTTCGCTCCCGAGCCGTCTGGTGAATTAGGTGTCATTCTTACATTGAGGGCCTCTACTTTAAGGACTCACCCAAATGAGGTCTGTCTACCTGGAGGTAATGTCCGCCGATTCTCAGTTTAAAGCTCGTACAGTAGTTAATACGGTAAAACATTTTATAGGCAAAGCCGACGATGTAGATGAAAGCTTGATTGCAACAGCGGTAAAGTCAATTACATCGATCAATGGCTCTACCCATGTGATTAATATAGCCATTTCCCACTAGTTCCGAGAAGCTGAAGAAGAAATTGGCTTACTTCCATCTCAGCATACTTACATTACAACACTGCATCCATTTGTCTCGGCTCACTTATTGATTGTCACTCCAATTGTATCGATGATGAACGCAGATGCTGACTTTGAACCACGAGTCAATCCAGATGAAGTCAGCGATGTGTTCACTTTGCCATTATCTCGCTTCCTCTCGTCCTACAACCACTCGAAGCAAGATTTATCCTGGTACGGACAGATATGGAAGTATCACACCTACGGCGTGCCACATATACCCGATGTCATCAACGAGCGCGAATACCCTGTAACTGGATTTACTGCTGCTGTGTTGTTACATTGTGCCGTCATAGGTATTGGTGGTGAGGTCTGCAACCTTGAGGAATTCGAAGAGGCCGAAGTGGAAGACGGCAAATCTTGGGAAGACATCTTTATCACTACCATTGTAGAATCAGGTGAGCTTGAGAGGCGCCAAAGAAGAAGCCGCCGCCCGCAGCGAAAGTCATCAAAGAGATCCGGAAAGCGAACGCTCCGAAATCATAAGAAAACTGAAAACAGTCGAATTTGAGTTGCGTTTTTACAATAAATGGGATATCGCATTTACGTTCTATGAATCATTTATATTATTTCGTTTCGTGTAGACTAACTCATCGGGTAAAACGTTACAGTATATTGGTATTTCTGTAGAAATGTGATGAACAAAGAAAGATATACACGGGAGTCATGTAAACTACCGAAAAATGTTTTCGTCAAGAAAAACGCACAAATATATGTCTAAAATACAAAAGGTTCACCGCTGATGGGCGTCTAAAGGGAATTGGTTGATATGGGTGTGGAAAGTGTTTTCGCTGATTTAGTGAGCAGCCTTCTTCTCAAGCTTCTTACGCTGAATGTCAGCAGGGTTGACATCAATCCAGCCAAGCTCACGACCAATGGTTTCAATGGATTTGCCCTTGGTTTCGTGAATGAAGAAGATGGTGAAGATACCGTGAGCCAAGCCAATACCAGCAAAGATCAAGAACACGTATCCACCCATAGCAGCTTGGAGAGCAGGATAGATGAGACCAATGACAAAGTTGAAGAACTAGAAAAGAAAACGGGTATGATTAGCATCGAATTGGAGGCTAGGAATGGTTATTGGATGGGAAAATTTTCTTACCCAGTTGGCAACAAGAGCAGCAGATGAGGCAGCACCGACAGCATAAGTAGGGAAAACTTCGGCAACCAAGATGAAGGGAATAACACCGAGACCGACAGCATAACAGCAGACGAACAGCATGATACAAACGACTTGAAGAGCTGGGATACCGACCACGACGGCGACAGTCATGATTACGCAGAAAATGCACATACCAAATTCGGAAACGAGCAGTAAGATTTTACGTCCAACACGATCGATGAGAAGCAGAGACACAACGGTAAGGACAACGTTGAGTGCACCAACACCAACAGTGACGTAAGGAGCTTGGTTACCAAAGGCAATTTGGAAAATGGTGGTGGAATAGTACATGACAGCATTGATACCAGAGAGCTGAGAACCGGCGTGGACAACAACCATACAAATGGTGAGCTTGAGGAAAACCGGAATAGTCATAAGATCCCAAAAGCTGAGAGCAACTTCAGATTCGAAAGCGGGAGCATCAGCTTCGGTATCCGATGTGACTCCATTGTTATCATGAGCGACGATAGCAGAATCGTTTCCTTCGATAGGCTTCTCATCGGCGTCGATGGCAGTACCTTTCTTCTTCTTAGCAGAGGCAACCATGTCAGCGAATTCTTCCTCAATATCTCCGTTGCGAAGATGAAGCAGAGCAGCACGAGCTTCCTCGATTCTGTTTTGACCGATGAGCCAACGGGGACTGCGGGTACAGAATGGGAGACAGATCATTTGGATGACAGCTGGAATAACGGTGAAGACAACGACGATACGCCAGCCGATGGCAGAAGACAAACCAAGGCCGATAGCTTCGATAATCAAAATACCGATGGTCATGAACAGCTGCAAGAAAGAACCCAAAGCACCACGGTGACTGGGAGGAGAGATTTCGGCAATATACATGGAAATGACCACAGTCATGAAGCCAGAGCCGATACCAACAAAGATACGGCCAACAGCGAATTGGCCAGAGGTAGTGGCCGTAGAGAGAAGAACAGCACCAATGATGAATGAAGCGTTGATCATAAGCATGGAGTCACGACGACCCCACTTGGAAGACATGGGATCGGCTAACAGAGCGCCAATAAGACCTCCAATAGCGAACATACCGGTGACAGCACCCCAAATCCAGTCGCTCATAGGTATACACATTGGGAGAGGAGATCCTGGATAGTATTCAACGACTCCAGGTCCACCAGGGCACTGCTTGACACTATCTCCGGGAATATTGAGAGAAGACTACATACATATTGTAATTAGTTAGGTGGCACCCGAAACCTCATCCTAAATTAACACACTTACGGTATTGAAACCGTTGTTCATCGCTCCAAGGGCAGCAATGACAACACAGAAATATACATAGGGTCTAACACCTGCTTCACGAGAATCCATGCCGGTCATTGTAGAAATATGAAAGAGACTGCAAAGGAAGAACAGAGAAAAAAAATCTTGTTCGCTCTAGTGTCAGGTTAAATGCACATTGAATACAAACTCCGCCAAATATGACGAAAGATGCAATAAGAATCGCTTTTTGAGTAAGCCGACTTGCGCAACCTTAACCGCAAAATTTAGCCGATCTTTTAAACTTCTCTTGCCCTTTGACTCTCCATCATGCCTTTTCGTTTGGTAGATAGCAAGTGAATCCACGATATCATTTTGGCATATTGTGTAACGCTTAGCACGATGAGATGGATGGGATGGAGCGGAAAAGCACTATCCCGGAATTTCCAAACCAATCAAATTAACTAATTCAAATAAGTCCAGTTACCCGCATTTTACCAAATTCTGTCATTGGCTGGGAAATTCGGGGTAACTACTGAATGAGACTACGACCTCACCTTGGCTTACTGGGCGGGATATGGAAAAAAACGTGGCCCGTACATTCAGGCACCGCCCCAGACTGAGATGTGAATCTACTCTGAGACTCAATCGGTTCGTCGCTCTGTTCCTGTTAAAAATTTTCATCGCCTACAGAATTGACGTCCTGTCTCATAGCATGATGTCATTCATCTGCACCAGAACAATCATCTTTCTCTTGAAGCTTAACCATGTCGCACGCTGCTCAGGAAAATAAAAACTTGTGATAAGGGATTACAATTCCAACTGCAAAGAAACTTGGATACCTCTGTCGCTCAGAGCCGAACCGAGCGGAAGTAAGCGTGGCTGCCCGCCGATCAGGTCAGTTTCTGAGACAAGCTCTTACGATACGCTCATCATCATTTCTATTAAAGACACACTGTCGATTTCTACTCAGAAAGTCGTAAAGTCAAAATGAAAAAAAAATTTGCCGTGGTGATTCTCAGCTGAACCTCCGATGTTATAGACTGCAATGTGCACGTTGAACAAAGTACAGCAAAGGCTGCCCGTTCATATTTGGCTACCTCCACATGCATACATACTCCACAAGGCGGGTGGTTTGCAGCATCTTTCTGCATTACATCAATTTGAGATGCTTTATCTTTCTATCGAGCGGAATGACAAACGCCCCCGCCGGCACTGCCATTGAACTCCTTAACGTCCATTCCAATGGTGTATCGAAAATATTACTAAAATACATACAGGATATTTATTCATCACTATTTAGCACTATTGATCACTCGTGTGCGTTTTAATATCTTCATACATTGCTCTGCTCAACAGAAACGTTATCAACGGATGCAGGATTCTTTTCATCGTTCCACTGCGTTCCATTATTCTTCTCTCCACGATGCTTTGCAGCCTCTACTTCTGCACGCAACTTCTCGACATCTTCACGATGGGCAGAAAGATAGGCATCGTAGTCGAGATTGTGAACAAAGATTGGGCCCTGGAAAATAACTTCCATTTCTTCCAAAGATAATCCCTAAAAACATGCATGATGAGAAACGGCTTTCCTTCGTGGCATAGAACATCGAAAAAAAAAACATACCTTTGGTTCAGGGCTGAAAAAGTACAAGAACAAGAAAATGATAATGGCAATAGCTGCGTAGACTACATAGGTATAACTGTCATTTGGTAAATCAAGTTAGTTCCAATCCCAGTAGGGCTTTCAGTTCGAAAGAAAAAAATTTGACTTACAAAGTGATGGCATTCATCAAAATGGGAGTGATTTGACCCACGAGAACGTTTCCAACCCACAATAAAGCTGATGCAAAAGCGAAACCTTTAGACCGAATTCGAAGTGGGAAAATTTCTGAAATGTAGATCCAAGCGCATGGAGCCCAGGTAATAGCGTAGAAGCAAACAAACAGGAAGATGATGACAATGACTGCGTAGTCGGCACCCTTGTTTCCTCCCATGTCAACAGCGTGGGTTAAGTTGACCGAATCCCATACAGTATGACCAACTCCTCCGTATACACCGGCCATGAGAATAAAACCAATACCCATGGCAACCGTTCCTGTAAGCATGAGCTTTCTACGACCAACCCGATCGACGATAAACATGGCAGGAATACAGAAAACAACCATTAGAGCATCTGATGTCGAATACAGATTAGTATAAGAGGATACTCTCAAAAGGGTGCAAAAATGAGGTAATACACTTACAATCGATACCATTGGCAAGCAGAGATGCAGATCCTTGGAGACCAGCTTGTTCAAACATGAGGGTAGCATAGTACATAATAACACTTTCAAATTTCTCATCAGTTACAATGCTATGATGATATCGTGGAATGCAGAAAACGGGGACTTACTTTGCACCAGTGAGCTGCTGGAAAATAGCAATGGATGATCCGACCCAGAGAACACGACGGTTTTTGGGATCTCTTAACATACTGACATACGACTTGACGGCCAAATTGTTTTCAAGCTCCACATTATCTTGAATTTCTCTAAATTCTTGTTGAACATATGGATGATTTTCTAATGGCAAGAATATCAAAGGTTAAGACGTCATTTGGATGTTTTTTGGTAATTCATTGAAACATACCGTTTCCTCTTCCATGAACACGAGCCAATACAGCCAAAGCTTCTTCCTTGCGACCCTTTTCAATAAGCCAGCGAGGAGATCGAGGTAAAAGCAAAGGACACATGGCCAAGATGAGACCTGGAATGATCTGGATACCATATGGCGCTCTCCAGCTCCACTCGCCAGCAATTTCTCCAGTTCCGTAATCAATCCAAGAGCTAACAAACAGACCAATATCAATCATAAGCTGTTGGAAAGCGACAAGGCGACCACGGATTTCTTTGGGAGCAAGTTCAGCCATGTAGAGAGGTGCTGAAAATAGTGTCATAAAAGGAGATTAGCCATTGATATGCATGTTGATGTATGGCAATTATGATGGAAAACTTACAAAGCACGGAGCATGCACCAACAGAGAGACCAGAGACAAATCGTCCAACCAGTTGCATACCCAAGTTCTGGGCAGCACACTGCAAAATACCACCGACAACGAAGACGAGAGCAAAGAATGCAATGGAATCACGTCTACCGCGCCAATCCGAGCATGATCCAGCAAAGAGACAGCCAAAGACAGCACCAGTACCCATGAGAGAATTTAAAGCTCCCTTGTTGGCAGGAGTGAGAGGAGCGAAATATTCTTGGAAATTGGGCATAACCAGCACACCACTAGTGACGCCAAAATCATCTTCAAGAAAAATGTGAGATACCGTCCAATGTGATGTATGAGCTTTGATATTGTATACTTACATCCAAAGATAAATCCACCGATGGCAGCGAAGGCTGTTATTCTTTTGAAATAGATGCAACATAGAGTTAAAAAAAAACGTGTCTATCTCTGTTGAGCTGAGCAACTGAGACACCTACCCATAAAGAATGGCGCCAGCTTCAGATCTGATCTGCGGTTCATCCCTGTTCTCTGTCGTCTCCTTCGTCGCAACAGTAGGAGTCATGTTTGATGAGAGGAGTGAGATTATGTCCCTCTCCGTAACGAGATGTTCTCCTTTATATATTCTAGTTTGTGAGCATTTTCCAATTAGGTTTTCTTTCTAGCCATATCTTGTATAATTTCTACATGATTCAACTATTCTCCGGATTGATCCAAGACTGTGAACTCCCCAGGCGGATGTCCAAATTCTGGTCGGTTGAGCTTGAATTGAGCCCTGGTGCCTTTGATACATCCCAGTTTGATACTGTCTTGGCTTCTTCCATGACCCGTCTATAAACTTGAAAGAACCTTGTTGTGATTTCATTCAAAGCTGTTTTTACGGTTGAAGCAAGCAAGAAACAGTTTATTTCTCCTTATGGACAAGACAGAAGCGAGTGTGACTGTGAGGAAAGATGAGGGAAAGTACCAAGTTTCACGGGAAAGCTTCCCCGCAAAATTTACGATTGGGTCGTTGATGAAGATGACGACACAAACCAAATTAGTTGGATTATGTAAAAACGACATGCTTACTCCATGATTTGCGCTCTTTAGGAAGCTATATCGCTCATCACTCTTATGGTCCAAACGATTTTTTCGCTAGTTGTTCATTCAAATCCCATCATTTAGGACAACTGCATCTTTGATTTCAAGTTACAGACGGCTTTCATTATTACGCAAGGAAGATCCAGTATTCCTCGGGAGCAGCAAGCGCATGGAAGCACGAGCTTATATGCGCAGTTTTTCCGATATCAACAAATTGTCACACGGCCGTAGATTTTCATGTACAGTGCTTACTACAGAGCGGCTTTGCATTCATTGGGATATTAATCTTGCTTCAGCCCGTGCCTGTTATTACAGGGCAACCTATTTTTGAAACGATACCATAAAGTAGCCTTCGTTTGCGATGACAATGTGGTGCTGTCATTCCACTACAAGCCTGACCCACAGGCCATCAAAACACCAGAATAAGTAAAAATAAGAAGGATAGGTGGTCCGGGGAAATTGCCATAAGTGAAAAACGGGGGCAGGTGGGCGGCAAAACCAAAGTGGGCAATAGTAGGAATTCCGTACAATACAAGATCGCGGTATCGGCTACGCGCGGCACGGTCTTGCAGTGAGCCAACGCGGCCATGGATGATGAATATCGTTCATAAGATGGCAAGTGTCTAGGTACTCATTTCAGCGTAACGTATTAACATATTATTTATTGTGCCATGCAAATTTATTTTTTTTATACATTCTATGCGGAGTGATGCGTTTACGCTTTCTTGGCCCTTTTAAATTTGCCTTGTGCAGCCTTCTCTTCGTGTGCTACTCGTTTACCCTCCTTCCGGAAGAATTCCTTTCGTCTTTCTCCTTGCTTGACCTTGGTAACTTCCTCGATCGCGGCCAATTTCTTCATAAACTGTTCTCTCTTTTCAGTGTTCTTGATCTTACGCTTCCTAGTCTTCTCATTCTTGAGAGTGTGAATCTGTTGCATCAAAGTATAAATCTTCTTTTCTTCAGGCTCAAGAACAACAGCACGCTTGGCAAGATAGGATTGCTCCTTTTGCTTCTTCAAAACCTTGGGCTTGGATGCGAAAGGAAGATCGGCTTGAAGACTCTTGGAAATCTTCAAGGGGTTGAATCTTCGTTCCTTGCGTTCAATTGGCTAATTTTATCAACGTAGTTAGAATTTCAGAATAAGACTTGTGGAGGGGACGTTTAGGATAATAAACCAACCTTATATATAGAGTCGACCTTCTGTGGAGCGTGCTCATTGAGGTCCTTTCTGATTTGTCCAGTTAATCGCATACCTTCCCAATCAGTCTTGGATGAAAGTAGCAACGATGTTACTGGATTGTAGAACTTTCTGGGCTTGATAGGATACCAGGCACGAAGGAAAACAATATCTAGAGAAAAAATTACCCATTGAGTTAGACTACCGATGTGAACCCCCCAATGTATGTCAAGCTGATAACTTACCACTCATCAGAATCTTGTCTTCAAACGTAGCACGGAAAGCTCCTTCAGGTTTCTAAATACTCCATATGTTAATATTTTTGGTCCTAGCTTGTGAAAAAAAGAAAATGCTCACGCCGTGGCAACCCTTACCGGAAGATGTTTTTTAACTTGACCTCGAATACCAGAAACAGTGCGAATATTTGCACCTTCGAACTTGGCAACTTCCAGTGCGCTAGTGAACATATCTCTAATGAATGCCGTATTCTTGAAAACCTTGTAGGGGTAACCAGTCAATTTCAACTTCTTGACAATCTCAACAGAGTGATCGATGTCTAGAACAACACCAGTGGCGCTGATACGGAAGGCGCTTGTGCCGGTCTCGGAAACTCTTTGAACAGCACAGAAACCTGTGTTTGGCGTGTGAATGGGACCTAAAGGGAGCAATTCAGGAAATTAGTTGCTGCATTTATATCAAGTTATCGAAACATAGTTAGATGACTTACCAAAGAACGTTGCCAAACAATGCATGTGCTCTGGTGTATATTTCAGCATACGATTTCTTGTACCATCATTCAGTGAATATATAGGAATGGATTGGAAGCGGCGCCAGCCCATGGAGAAAATGAGAGGATCATTTGTCTTGAGAATCTTTCTGTGCCAACGATGACGCTTGATTCTGACTTGAACAAATCCGAACTGTTCTTCAGATGTCAGCAGACCACCAAGGAGAACTGGGTATCGAGCGTCGAAGTTTTCGACAAATTCACAAGGCATGTTCTTGATCAAAATTCGAACATAATATCCTGGTCGGAAACCTTCGACCATGGCTCTTGTTTGTGGGTCATCATCCTCGAATTCGGCTCTGTTCAACATGAGTTGCTGACTGATTTCTTCTTTCTTAGTTTCATAGAAATCCAACTTGGGACCGTCTTCGTCATCGTCATCGTACTCTGCATCGAACTTCTTCTTGAGTTCTGCTTTTCTTTTAGCAACAGCATCTCGTTCAGCTTGAATAGGATCCTTGACTTCAACAGGTTCAGTTTGCACAACCTCGCCGGTTTCCAAATCTTCAAAATCACCGAATTCTTCTTCATCATCACCATTCTCGCCGTTTTCTTCTCCTTCCTGGTTATCATCAAGGTTGCCAGTGATGAACCGATTTCGAATTGAATTGAGTACCTGGAAAGATATCAATCAGCGAATGAAAACATGAAAATAAAGTTTTTGAACACAGTGAACTTACTTGCTCGTCATCCCATTCATCTAGCACGACGTCTTCATAGCCTTCCTTGGTGCTATCGATGACTTCTTTGGGCTGTTCAGTTTCGTTCTTGCTATCGACTTTGAAAAAGTCATCATCGTCATCTTCTTCTTCATCATCCTCCTGGGCGTCACTATTTTTGCTGCCGGATTTTCTGTTTGGATCAACATCGCCACTTGCAATCTTTTCAGCAGGTACTGACAAGTCGTTGTAGATGAGAGACATCAAGTTGATGCGGCGGTTTGCGAAGAACATATTTTCGGCTCGGCCAGCCATATTGTCTTTCCAGGCAACTTCGCCATCCATTTCAATTTCATCGCTGGTATCGGCGTCGCTGAAAGCATCGTCGGATAGGTCTGGTACGGTGGGCTTTCGTCTACCATCAACAATCACCATGTCCTCCTCGGCATCATCGTCGCCAAGGTCACTATCACTGTCGGCAAATACAACATCCTGGTCTGTGTCCTTTACAAGGTCTTTGTCGCCTTTCTTAGGTATATTTCGAGTGTCATATTTGGACAGTGCTTCTCCTCGCTTTGGAACGTGATTATCTTCGTCATCGCTTTCTGCTTCGCTATCGATCATGTCGTCTTCTTCTTCTTCGTCTTCCTCGTCATCGTCCATCTCATCGTCCATCTCATCCTCATCACCGAAAATAGCTCGTCTGCGGACTCTTCCAGTGTCGTCTTCTTCAAGAGATTCATCAGGGACGGTGATATCGGTAGCACGAATAGGAGCGCTAGAGGAGAACACTTGGAAGTCAGATTCTTCAAGTTGAGATGCCAAGGTAGTTTTAGCATCCTGAAGAGACATGACCATCTTTTCACCAATGCCATGTTGAATTGGAAGTTGTTGCTCTTCTTCTTCACTTTCTTCGTCGCTTCCGTCTTCGCCTCCTCGGACACCGAGTGCTGATTTCTTTGTAAAGTTTCCAGGCACATTGATGTAAACGGCATCCTTGTCATACATGACACCTCCAACATCAGACATAGGAGCATAGATAAGCTTGGCCTTCTCGTCCAAGCGCTTTCTCTCTTTTTCTGGCAATGGGCAAGGATCAGGAAGGATGCTGACATCGTCAATGACATGATCTCCAGCTCCAGGAATGTGTACACGCATATGATTTTTGAGATTGGTGCCTCGCAAGTAACCATAAAGTGTAACGGATCTATCGCATTTAGGATTTTGATGAACAAGATCTGGGTCCGTCAAGTCTTCAACACGATCGGCCACCATGTAAGGATGTGTGTTGCGCCATACAAGTGGTCGGAATTTCATGACTGATATGAATCTTGAAAGGTTTTGAACTTCCATGTTGGGATATTTGCCATTGATCACACCAGAGAGGTAAAACAGCTTGGCTCCTTGGTAAATTTCAGTCCAGAAACGATGCTTCAGACGCTTTTTAGTAGTGCGCAATGTCTTGTTATTTTTGAACTTGTCCAAATGAGTAAGAACTCCCATAATCTTTGGGAAGCCGTGAGACTGCAAGATGTTCAAGAACTCGAACGTTTCCTATTTACTTGCTGTTAGCGTACGTTCGAATCATATCTGGTGTATAAAGCATAATATATACTCACCATTTCAAATCCAAAACTTGCGTCGATCATCAGCAATACCAGGTCAGCAATCTTGGCGATGTCAATCATGGAATTCATGTCGTTTGAACATTCCATAAAAGTCAAACGTCGCTTCTTTCCGCTAACAACGGTGATAGGTCCTTTGATTTCTGTCAAATTGTGCTTTGTGTATCTCTTAACAAGTGACTTTATAAGTGTTGTCTTTCCACTCTACAGATACAAGAGGTGAGGGTTAGTCTTCCGAACGGCTTGCATGTCTAAGTAAGCTATCAAGGATTTACTCACTCCAGGTGGTCCAACGACAGCAACTACAATTGGAGGAGCTTCGATGGGTGTTCTGTCGACTTGAGGAACATGAAGCTTCTTCTCTCCAATATCCATGTTTCTTCTGGCCGACTTTGCCGCTCTTCCAGCATTTTGGAATGTAAAAGCCTGCAATAAAAGTCAGAAGCACATTCACGGTCTAACATTCCATTCAGTCAATAATCATACCTTGGGATTATTCTTCTCCTGATTCTTGTTAGTCTTTGCCTTTTTCCTTTCGGCTTTCGTTCCTGCCTGTTTGGCATGATGGGCCTTCTGAGGTCTATCTTCCATTGTATTGAGCAGTAAGACTACGGCGAACTAGTAAAAAAAATGGGCTCTGAGAAAAAATTAAAATTTCGGTTGGAGATTCGTGACCGCTTTGTGGCTTGGGCCAAGGTACAAATTTTGCAGTTTCTAATTGATGTTGATACTTTCTCTAACAAACATCCGTTGAAAATGCCCCCAAAGGTCGATCCCTCTGAAATCAAAGTCATCACTTTGAGAGCCACTGGTGGCGAAGTACGTATTACCAGGTGCTTTGAAAATAATTGTTTTTCAATTGGTTTATTGACTTGTTCTTCGTGTTCAGGTTGGTGCTTCTAGCGCCCTCGCCCCCAAGATTGGTCCTCTTGGTCTTTCACCCAAGAAGGTCGGTGAAGACATTGCAAAGGGAACCGCAGACTGGAAGGGATTGCGCGTTACAGTTCAGCTGACCATCCAAAACCGTCAAGCTCAAGTTTCCGTTGTCCCTTCAGCATCTTCTTTGGTTATCCGTGCTCTCAAGGAACCCCCGCGTGATCGCAAGAAGGAGAAGAACAGTATGTGTTGTAGTAGATGGCCAAATGCGTTATCCGTTGTGATATATGGAATTGGACGCTACGCACGACTGTAATTGTTTCACCAGAGTGAAGGCAGGTATTGACCTATTTTTTTCTTTTTTGTTTCTTTTTCTAGTTAAGCACAGCGGCAACATTTCCCTTGACGATGTCATCGAAATCGCTCGCACTATGCGATACAAGTCTCTCGCCAGAGAGCTTAAGGGTACCGTCAAGGAAATCTTGGGTACTGCCTTCTCAGTTGGCTGCACTGTTGACGGACAGAACCCCAAGGATCTTGGCGATGCCATCGACGCTGGAGAAGTTGAGATTCCCGTAAGTATACAATTCGTCACTGCTGAAAGCATAATTTGGTTTGGTTTATAATTTCATTTTTATTTAAAAATTATAGGAGAAATAAACGTAAACGAACCCTGGAATTACGGGTAAACATCATTCATACAAACTGTAAAACTATGTGCTAAATAAATTCAATATGTTCTCTTGCCATTCATGAGCTCCTATTTATTTGCAAGAAATAACGGTCATAGTAGAATACAATACTATTAGTACTCCCTTTCTGTGTTCGCCAAGGTGTGTCTAGTGTCCACCACTACCTTGCACTGACCTGAATTCAATAAGTAAGCTAAGCTACAAATGATTGCAACAGAAAGTAGGAGTTCAACATTCGGATATGCGTTCGAACCATTGTGCTTGAAAGGTTTGAGGAGGACGAAAATAAACGAGAGGCATGGATAAATCCGAAGAATTGCCCTTTCAACAAAACGTGTTCGTATAGATTATACTTATTATGTCTTGTTCCATTCCGAGCTGCCCTCCTTACTCGAGCATGGCAGGCGTAGATGACATTGATGAGATTTTTACAGTTTGATATTATTCAGTGATAGCATATGAAAGTCTGGTAACGGCCTTCAGCAGACCATTAATTCTTCACGCTGGCTGCTGAATACCTAAACCCCCCCCCTCCCGTCGGGAACAGCTATGGTGCTTTATCAACCCAAGTTTAGCCATCATTGGAAATCAAACGCCATAATATGTTCCTCTTTTTGCTGTGGGTTAAGTTGCACGTTAAAGTACGTTGGTCGGGCGATTCATTGTAAACATCTATCGAATTCCCCTGGCACATTCTCAGAAATGAAGGACTGAAAGGGTCGATTAGTTGTCAACTATTCCGCGCGGTCCACAAAACTCTTTTGTCTAATTATACCGTTTGTTAAACCGTATAAAAAAAAAACTAAGGCCGGCCATGGCTGTGTGATACGATCACAAAGAGGCTAAGGCGCTTTAAAGACATTGTCCGAGGTCACCCTCAACAAACGGTCGCTTTCAACGTACGAACACCCTCAACGAAGGGAGACTTAATGCAACCCCTGTTAAGTAATCGGTGAAGGAGCTTCAGAAGCTCTTCCTGTATACTGGCAGTTCCGTCGATGGAACATTTTCACTTTGGCCAAATAGACGGATGTTTTTTTATTTGCCAAATGATAAATGCCAAGATAATCATCTCACTAAACTTTTACGGGATCCTGTTCTGTGTATATTGCACCGCCTTAAGCTGATAAGACGGCTGTGGAAGAGTCGCCGATGGGTGAGTCGGAAGTCAAAGACCTTGACTCCAAAACAACAGCGATCAATATTATGACGATGTTCCATGTAATCAAGTGAAATGTTTATCGTATCCTATGTGAAGCTCTACTCGTTTTTTTTAGCTCGGGTTATATGTTAAGACGAGCATGCTTTGTGAAAGCATGTACAAAAAAGAGCCAAGCGACAATAAGAGGCACGGACAATTTTTAAAAATGCTCTGCGGTTTGAGTATTTTTTGTTTGGGAAGCCAAATTCGTAAATACCCTCTCTTCTCAGTCGCTGATTTCGCATCTTTACACTTTTTTCTACCCGAAAAGACGCCTTTGATATGCAAACTATAAAATGTGTTGTTGTTGGTGACGGTGCTGTTGGAAAGGTATGTCTTGCTCAACTGCTTGATTCACCCACCATGTGGACCTTTCTATGCTTGTCAATTATTGACTTGGCATTGCTCTAGACGTGTCTGCTCATTTCTTACACAACCAACAAGTTTCCTTCCGAATATGTTCCTACAGTGAGTAGTAGTCCCATCCTGATTGATCATTATTCTCTTACTTGATGTCTAACTATCTGTATATTATCAGGTATTTGACAATTATGCTGTAACTGTGATGATCGGTATGTTTCCTTGTTCGTTACTTGTCATTGCCCCTTCCTCCTCCCCTTTTCTCCAACTAGCACATCGCTAAACCACCATTTTGTCTCTAGGAGAAGAACCATATACTTTAGGACTTTTTGATACTGCTGGTTAGTTAGCTTTTCATGCTATATTTCAGTTGAGGACTCCATGCATAATATGTATTGTAAAACAGGTCAGGAAGATTACGACCGTCTTCGACCTCTGTCGTATCCACAAACAGACGTTTTTCTTGTTTGCTTCAGCGTTACTTCACCAGCATCATTTGAGAACGTCAAAGAAAAGTGGTTCCCAGAAGTGCATCACCATTGCCCAGGCGTGCCTTGCTTGATTGTAGGAACACAGGTCGATTTGCGAGATGACCCAACCGTCTTGGAGAAGCTTAACCGACAGAAACAAAGACCCATTACCTTTGACGCCGGTGAGAGACTGGCACGAGAACTTGGTGCTGTTAAATATGTTGAATGCAGTGCGTTGACACAAAGAGGTACCTCCGATTCTTATCATGACATGATTTTGCGCAGTGGAAATTTCCTATAGTTCTAATACATTTCTAGGTCTTAAAAATGTTTTTGACGAAGCGATTGTAGCTGCACTGGAACCTCCTGTCAAGAAGAAGTCTAAAAAGTGCATTATGCTCTAGGGAACAATATATAAATTTCCACTATAGTAAAAATCACCTTTCTGGACTCTAGAACTTCCACTGCTTCATGCAACAATATTTCTAGTATTTTATCGTCTCCATCTTTATGTACTTTATTGATAATGCGTCATACCGTAACATGATTGCTCTTTCGTTCTCCTGCTTTTACAGAAGCGTCGTATCTCTCTTTTTTTTTGCTTTTTTTTTTGGTGCCGATCATCTTTTGTTTGTAGCCCAAATAATGGCAGGTTATTAAAGGAAATAAGCGTTGCCTGGTCGATTAGCGTGATAAGCGTCTCCTTGCACTTCATTTTCCAGAAATATTCGGTAGTCGCTATCTTCGACTTCAGTTTGATTCTCTTTGATGCTTAAAATGGCTGCCTTGTTTCCACAACGATAACAGTAGTTGGGTGCAGACCATAAGGTGACTAGCTTTCGATCTGGGAACGGGTAATTGAACCCTTCATCAACAAGTTGATGGCTTCGAACAATCAAGTCCACTTCGTTGTTGTGACAAAACTGAATCGCGAATGCCAGTCAGGACTCGAATCAAAACCGGTTAAAATAAGTGTTGTTAAAATACATACTGCGTTGGTTGGCATCGCCCCAAATAAATAGCCACCTCCACGAGGACTGACAGCCCAAGTCTCTACTTGTGCCTCTGGATCTGACCAGAGCAGATCTACGAGTTGAGAAAGTTAGATGCCTATATGACGTTGACTGCTTTATCATCAATGAACACAACTTACCGCACGGGCCACCTGTCTGTGGCAACTCCTGCATTCTAAAGAGAGTTCTTTGATACGATTATCAGCTAGGTGTGCATGAGGAAGGGCATGCTATTGGACATTACTCACCTAATAGAGTCAACGGAGGGAAGCTCGGGTGATAAACCACCATGCACACAGAATATTGAACCGTCAATTAGCTACAGACATAAGAATTGTCAGTGATCGAGCATCGCATTATAGTGAATGACATCGAACAAGTTTGACGCTTACCGCAGCTAATGGCAGATAGTCGAATACTGTGCAGCACCACTCCCATACTTTGGCATTTTGGTATTTTGTAAGGCATTCATCTACCATTCCATTCATGTTTAGTTAGGATCGTTTTCTTTGCCGTTCACTATATTGCCAAGATGCCTACCATAGAAACCATATACCCGAGTTACATTTCGACTTTCATGATTTCCTCTCGTCAACGTAATTCTATCTGGGTATCTAGATTGAAAGAGCGGATCAGAAACATATTCCAGCGTTTTCCACGGATGGACCTAAAATGACTGACCTAACTTTGAGCAATAGTAATAACGTCAGGGTTTCCAACGAATAGCGTCCACGATCTACAAAGTCGCCCTATTTGTCAAAACAGTAACGCCTCGGGGTTAGATGCTATCTTTTACAGAGAAGAACCTATTGATGTATCTTTCCGATAAACTCTTTCCTCTTTCTATTGGAATTTCTGTTCCGGTATCGGTACCTGAGTTGTGAAAATGGCCACTTACCATGAAGATATACGACGTTTCGGGTGCTGAACCGCCGACTTCAAACAATTTTAAAAGATCATAAAATTGACCGTGAATATCGCCACATATCGTAACTGGTGCTTGGACGGGAACGACAGTGGATTCTTCGGTAAGAATCTCCTTAAGCTAGAAGTAAGAGGGCAAATGGGTGAGCATTTGTCTTGCGTCATTCTGTGGGCTGTAGGGACGGATGATGCGAGAGAATGAGACATGTGTATTCTCACCTTGTTACAAAGCTGTCGCATGTCACTCTCCGGTAGATATTTGCATGTCTTGATTGTCTCGATGCATGCGTCGATATCCATATTGGAAGACGGTTGATATGCGAGTTGGGTTCAATATCCAAAAACTTGCAATATTGCGGTTTTACGACGCACGTGAACTCCGCTTGAGCATCTGTGTGCAAAGCAGAGCTGGGACCTCAGTTCTTCACCTTTGCAAAACGTCCACGAGCAAATGAGCATAGATATAAATTGCATAGCTGTCATAGGAAAACAGGTATGCTTGGTGCATGAATCGAGTCAATTCAATACCTCTTCCTAACTGATGTTGGCAGAACAATCCGCTGTACATCAAAAACTATAGTTCGTCACATCCAGATCTCAAATACCACTATATAGCCCACACTGCAATCGATGTCATAGAAGAGAGAGGTGAGCACTAGCTATGTAGTTTTTAACCTGTTTGATTTTTATTTACGCTGAACCATTTTCTCTGTTAGTCCTTAATAACCCAAAGTTGACTGACGCTTACTTGGGCCTCTTGTACGCGATGGAAGATTTGGCGGTGTAAGTCTCGGTAAACTGATACGATTATTGCGCTGGCACAACCTGACCTGATTCATTCATTTGTGCTTAAGATATGGCTTTATGACAAACACTCGAGTCAAAATTATCCTTGTCATTGCCGTCACAGACAATGTCGTAAAGGATGCCGATATTAAAGCAGTAAGTTGTGACAACCTTTCTCTTCCATCCAGACACTTTTCGAGTAGCACTCACCATAATCTTTGCAATAGATATTCACAAAGGTCCACTCAGCATATGTTTCGCATGTTTGCAATCCTTTCCATAACTTGGATCAAGACTTTGTCGCCAGTAAACGCTTCTCAAATGCTGTCGATCACATAGGACAGCAGAACAGCCGAGCAACAATAGACGTGTAACAAAACCATCTTGTTTATAATTGAACGAATACCTTTAGCTCTAAATCTATTTTCTATGAATTACAATTCATACACATTTTTTGTCAGGAAAAATTGATTCCTACTAGTGTGAATGTGAGAATTGGTTTGATCCGCGCTTCTGTAACTTTTATCCGTAAGACGACATATATGCCCAAGTAAGCCATCCTCTCCATAGATGCTCGCTGCTAAGATTGGGTGCAGCGACTGTGGTGGCTGTTTGGATAAGAAGTCATGTAAATCTATCGAAGAATTGTTGTTAGAATAAAGAATTTCAAACCAGAGTTAGACATGAATGTTTTGAACATTCTTACCGTTGAGGGAGGCAACTAGCCGTGCTGGTACACCTAGTCTCGCTAATAGCTGTAGTTGCACATTGGCTAGCATTATCGTGTCGTATACCTCTTCAAATGTTGCAGGTCGCAAAGTAATACCAAAAGGTCCGAACGAAGATGCCTGAGGAAAATTCAAAAATAAGCGTTTCGCATACTCCACTTCATTTCGACCATTGATAATATATACCTCTTTATCTTGCACAGCTTTGATTATGACCTCAACCCGTGATAGACATTGAACGGTATCTTGCTCTACTACTTCCTGCGTTACTCCTACTTTTAGTTTGCTCAGCGATATCGTTGCCCACTGAGCATCGACCAAACTCTCGCGGTAAATGTTGGGATTTTCTTGCTCAAATAATACTTTGGAAGCATCACTGTTGGCATCGAGAATGGAAACTGCAATAGTGCGATTAGTACATCTAGAGAGACCTTCGAGATCAATATGGCAATAACTCATACCCATCGAATACGAAGTGCTTAAGGAGGACTTCAAAGCCTTCTCCAGTGCTGGAGAGTCGACATAATATTGCTCTAGATGATGGTACACAAGCTCCAATGCTTTCTCGCAGTTTACGTTCATCTAATTTGTTGCGGTGAAACTGATGAGACAATTGCTCACACCGGCCCATGTCATCTTAATACAACTCACCTGAAGGCCAATAGCTTTAGACACAATGATAGCAACATCCTGTCGAATATCACCATCGTCATCCTAAAGTTGGTTCATTAGACGCGTGGTTAGTATATAAATAATGCGATAGATGTGCACAGTCTGGCTATTATCAAGTACCTGTAGCAGTTCAATAATGGACATATGGGTCGCTATTATTTCGTTCGTCAAATCTTCAGACTTAATTTCTTGTACATTATTGAAAATGTAGGGCGCAATAAATGATAACGACATAACTGTGGCCTCTCGCAATGGCAGAGTCTGTTCGATGTTAGCATGCTCTTCTTTGTGGTACACTGTCTGTCACAACATTCTCAAGCTACACGTACCACGTTGGAATTGCTGTACTTTGCAAAGGTCGTTGACCAAGTCTTGACGAACTGCAAGTGGGAGCTGGATCGTTGCTGAGTTTGCAAAATCTACAATGAAGGTTAGATCTGGAGCACAGCCAAAAGATTTCAATATGAAACAAGACAACATACTTGCGCCAGCAACGCACCCATCAAAGGCAGGATAGCCTCCTGGGTTGACTGGTTTTTAGAAGAATCCATTTGATGTACAAGTCTGAACCACAGATCCGTGATAGTGAAAGGCAATGAACCGTCCTCCAAATACGGGGTCGTTGAATCAATTTGTGTGAGTAAGAGAACAGCATTTCTGAAGCAATCCAGATGAGATTCTTCTTCGTATATCATGCTGGAAAGCTTTCGACGCAATCCATTACGATCAACTCTTTAGGGGAGAACGTAAATATTAGTCCAGTGGCAATAAGAAAGTAATTCTGTCCAACTTCTGACATACCTCTTATTTACAGAACCCTCTAATAACCTTTTGATGATTTCAATGACGCTGAGCCGAACTTCGTATATATCAACACTTAGTAGCTGTACAAGCAAATCCTCATAATCTGATAGATCTTGGTTAAAATCTTTGAGGAATAAAGTAGCCAATATTTCTGCTTGCTTTTGACGCAACAGATATTGTCCAACCAAACTGGGATCTAGAACATGACTGTTGGGTGTATCTAACAGTTGGTGCTTGCAGTAACTGGCTACGTATGTTCTGAGTTCAGACAAGTTATCAGCGCATACAGAGTTAAATTCTTTTGGTAGACCAAAATCGATTAGCAATGTGATACACAACAATCAATAAGTTCATCCAGTTTTTCACTCACCTTCAATACCATCCTTGCTGTCTGTTTTAAAGATATCACACACGATGAAGAATTCTAAAATGATATCAAGCAAAAGTGCTACAGTGATAGGACATTCATTGAGAACGATCAGCTCTTGAAGCTTGGACACGAGGACCTCGGGAACTTGTCGCACAAAGCTTGTCCAAAGCTCTATGGAATCGCGCTTGTGTAAATGACCTCTCAACAAGTATTGACATTGCAAAAGTTTTCCGTGTAGCTCGTTTTGGTTTGCTGCATTGCATGATTTCAAAGTCTCGATTACAGTGCTAACAATGCTGTCAGACGAGATCAAAGGAACCAATGCGCGAGCGGCCATTTCTCTAGTCTGTATTCAACAATTAGCTTCACTACACCACACAACACATTGAATTATGAAGAAGGACAAACCTTATAAATTGAGCTACGAGAGCATGACGTGGCAAGTGGTATGATAGCTGACAAACTCTCTCTTTGTGCATCGCTATCCACGGTGGATGGTTGGAGCCGTGACAGAAGAGTGAGAATGGGATACAAACCGGGGTGAACGCGAGTTGTCTATTTCATGATAAAGGTTATTAACATTTCTGCGCAGATCTCCACCATATCAATTAGTACTCACTTCTCCAGATTCGACAAGCTGTCGTACGGCTTCTCTCAGCTGTTCAATGAGATACGGCCTCAACTGGGGATAACGAGTGAAAAATTCTGTCGCTGTCAACAGGTTGATGACACTATGTTCATCTTTGGTTTTCTTAACACCCAGAGTTCTCTGAAGCAGAGTAGAGAAAAGCATAACCGAACAATTGCGAATGGCCCAACTGGGATAAAGATTAAACAAGTTAATGAGACTCAAGCCGAATGCCATAACGTGGTGTTTGCCACATTAAATTATATATAATAGCTTTACCTTGGCGATGAGAATCCGCCAATAGCAAGATGGAAGCCGTCTTCAGCGAAAACGATAGCTTCCTGACCGAGTTTGGAGTCCATAAATATCACTCTCATGATATTGTAAGCATGAACCTGAGGAGTATCGACCGTTTGATTTGCATCTTCGCTAACAACCACAGAAGCAATTTCAATGAGCTTTCTCATGGTCAGATGAAGCATTGATTTTCTACTGGATGTTTCACTGCTGATGATTGCCATAATGCAGAGAGGGAGACCAGCACTTCTTCTTGTGACCGAAATGCTGCTGGCAGTGATACTATCGATGTTTTCCTAGAGTTATGAACGTAGCTTAGCCTATGCATTGTAATTAAAGATAAACTATCTTCTCGGTTGCTTACCTCGAGCCAACTGAGAGGAACCTTAGACAAGCTGGTATCGGTTGACTTCAACAGTCTGGAACACAATGATACATATGCAGGATACACAGCTGAAAATGCACCTCTGTGTCGAATGCACATCAAAAGTGTACGCAGTAAATTGCCGCATTTCAACAAGTAATCGTTGCTGATCAAAGGCTATTGGATTTTGGACTGAATCAACATATGAATGCACTTGTTGAGTATTGCAATACCAAATATTACCTCTCCAGCTCCATTAGCAGTGGTTGGAACTCTTGTGATGATTGCCTCTAATAAAGTACTGGGTATAGCATGTTAACAATCCACGAAAGGCAGGGTACATGATGCTTATTGACTTTTACTTCGAGTTCAATAAACATCATCGGGATCCTTTCGCTTACCTTGCTTCCTTGATAGCTCTCCAGCAGGAACTCAAGATCACCTGATGCTTCGGGCTGTTGGTATCATTCTCTCCATCCTGGTTATCATCCAGAATATCGTCGATTGTCTCTCCGATTTCTTGGAATGAAGCTGGCATGTTACCTTCAGGTGAAGGGTTAGACAAAACGCCCAAGACTACATCCGATATATCGCAGGAAAGGGAGATGATCTTTTCGTGGATATTTTTCCACGCTGAACTGTTGTCGCCTTGACCAATTTCGTCATACTCCAACTCTTGAAAGAGATACCTTTAAACCACGTCAATATTCCTTGATCAAAAGGATGACGAATATCTATATACTCAATTCGTAGCCCACCTTAAAGCCAACAATGTTCCATGCATGGGATACTCTTCCGCAGAGAGCAAGATGTTCTCTTTAGCGACGTTCAGCTGTCTTTCTATCAAATGAGTAAGCTTCCATGCAAATCGTACTGTAGAGTGTCATTAGATGTCAAGTTAAGTAATCAACGGATTGTTTGATTCGATGACTTACAACTGCTTGGCATAGTTTGATCAACGCTTTCATTTTGCGAGAGGCCATTTTGCTCTTCTTCTACCTCAAGATCCATGTCGGCGGCCATGATGTACGTTCTAAAGAGCAATCGAAGCACCATCGCACCGCTGTCACTTTCTCCAGCCCTCTTGCTTCGCACCTTTTCCAAGCCCCACCACATCAAACGCTGAACATCAGCCTGATTTTCATATCCAGGCAATGGAGATGGGAACTCCATAAGAATGTTGAAAGATAACATCCTGTTTTGGTCATAAGGATCCATCAATACACCGACTAAAGCTTTGGTATTTTGTTCCGTTGCTATCAAGATGGGAAAAGGGAAGACTGGTTTGCCCAAAAATCCTTCAGGCGTTGGGACCTCAATGATACCAAATACCTTGATCAAGGAGGTGATGACTCTCAAGGCGCTGAAGGAACGCTGAAACGAGCTTCCTGGATACAAAGATGCGAAACAGAGATCAATGAGCCTCTGTAGAAATCCTTTCGAGAACTCGATGTGTGACTTGAGAGTCTCCATTTCTTGAGAAGCGATTTGCCGTTTGTCCATTGGGGTCCCTTCGTCTTCAGCGTACTTTTGGACTGAAAGTTGCTTTCGATATTGAGCAAACAAATTTCCTCTCAACTTGGTGAAAAATTTGGTGATTTCAGAATATAGTGTTTGTCTGAATTCTGGTGAGGTGGAGTTTAGATTGAGTGGGAGGAACTCTTCTAAAAGCTGGCACTCGATTTTAGTAATGTAAGATCCAGACTTCTTCGACTCGCAAATCAAGCCAAGAACGTCAGCGCGCACTTGGATGTCAGCATGGTCCATAGCGCTCCTCAACAAGGGAAGGGCTATGGCATTTGAGCCGGTTTGGTAATCTGGTTATAACATCATATTAGGTTCTATTTCTAGGATTGCACACAGCATTCGTTCGCATTACCTTCTGTATAGTTTGCAGCATCGATTATATCCAGCTTTCTACCAACCCGAATCACAGATATGAATGCATTCAGTTTGTACTGACTGTATTCTTTGCCGACATATTCCATAAACATGTTGTCATCTTGCAATATGGCCATGATACGCCAAAGCCCAGAAGAGTAGAATTCCAGAAGCGGGGTTAGGACAAGTTGACCGACATTTCGCCTCAAAACATCTGATGAGGTTGATAGTGCGCAAAGAACAGGAGACAACCATAAGTTCATCCAATCACGAACTTCCTTCTATATTGTTGAGATGCGTTTAGAAAAAGTCTTAGAAAGCCCTTCGAACTAGAAAGTACGCAACCACTTACATTCTCAGGTCCTTCCACCTTGCCTCCTTTTTGAGTTTTGTTCTTACGATACTGTGGCACGGTCTCCACCAACCGTTTTTCTAAGAACTGATCAAGAAGAGCGGCAACTCGTGGCTGTATCACCATGTTGTCCATAGCTTGTAAGCTACGCCATATGAAATCGGGTTGATGTTGCAAAAAGTTCTCTGTCGGTAGACTAGGAAGCAGCAATGAGAGCAAGGCGTACTTGACCTTTCGATGCCAATCCATAACCAGGAGTTGTGCAAGTAGACTTTGAATAAACGATTGATATTGCTCTTCGTCGGACTCGACTTCGGAGTGCAACTTCAGTACTTCAAGCAAAAGCTCGAACATAGATTTCACCTAAACGTTACAATTATTAGTCTGTCATGATAGAGGCAAAATATTCTGATCACCCAAAATAAAACTTGCCTTGTGCTGTACTGCGTCGACAGGATCATCCCAGTGGCTCCAGACATACATGACCAACATCTCTCTCACTTTTTCCGTCACGACTGATTTGATGGCATCCCCGGCAGAATTGGATGAATCCTTTTTCAGTAAGTTTTTGATTCGCTGGAGCCATGACGTTATACCATCAAAAGCGATGACTTTACACTGTGGCTCTAATTTGGAATTAGCACAGAAAACGGACAACGCTTGGAAACAGATCTGTAACAGACTCAATGGTGAAGTCTGATCATCGTAAACCTCTTCATTCCTGCAATGTACAAAGTTAAGAAATGATCTGAATGAAAGGATTGAAAAGACGTTTACACCTACCAGCACTGCTTTGTATCGATTTTCTCACTGATGTGGATAGGCATCAATGATGCTTGCAAACTCGTATTGGACACCATCCCACGTATAATCATGAGCATAGGGCTTTCAGGTGAATTCCATCCTTGGGTACTCCTTAGGCTTGCAGGAAAGTTAAGATTGAATTTTTGCGTATATTCTATGGCAATTTCTGACGGCTGTTGATTTCCTTCCAAGAACCAAGCAGTCAGCAAGTCTAACACCACAGTTGAATCTCCCAACGTATTTACAGCAGCTACGATGACCATTCCAGCAACCTGTAGACAATCGATGTTGTATTTGTCTCCGGAACCGAAGATGTCTAAGACGGACTGTAACAGATCGTGCACCAAATCACTGTCCTGTTGTAAAACTGCGGCAAGCTCTGGGTTCTCATCTGATCCTGCCTTGGTCAACACAGCAAGTATAGATTTCAGCACGTATTGAACGTCACTCAACACTGCATCACTTGATCTGCCGTGTGGCCATTGCCCATCGTCCATAATTGTATCCTCTTGGTTGGCTGTATCGTGCTGGTGATATCCTTGAAGTTTCTGGATAGGCGAGAGCAGAAATCGCAAGGTTGCGTTGAAATTATTCTCGATAGCCTTAATGCCTAGCTCGTATTCAAGTGCGCTAGTGACGGTGAGAGCCTTATGGCTAACAGGCAATTGTTCGTACATGGCGCTATTGTTCAAAAATTCCTGATATGTTGCAAGGAAGCCGCTATTGTCCACAGCCTCATCACAGATTTTGATCAAAGGCATAAGGTATCGTCTTGAAAGACCTTCCATCGACAGAAAATATGCCTGACATACCACTGGTTGCAATATGTTCTCTAGCTGATCTCGGAGTTGTTGATCCCACTTATCCTTGCTAGAAAGCTCGGTTTCTGGTCAGTCGAAAGAGGATCGGCCGAGTAAATTTTAAGACAGAGAAGAATGGATGGCATAGTTAGTAGCTGTATTATCTGAGATAGCAAGCAGCTGCTCAGTTGTCTCTGTTTACCTAATTTACGAAGAATCGCCACTTGTTGATCCCATGATAGATCTGGCTGGGTCAAAAGTTTTGACAGCTGATTCAACTGTGGGTTGAGTTCTACATTCTCGACACTCTCGATCCATTCCTTCAGAATGGGGATCGGCTCCTTTCGAGGCACCTTGGATCTTGGAGCCTTCATGCAGGAATTGTAGGCTTCGACTGTTACGATGATTCCGAATTAAAAAAAAAAAAATTGGCGCTTCTTCAATTCCATAGATGAAACCATGGCCATAACTGACAGTCATTACCCAGAAATCAATGAAGACCACTTTTCATTACACCGTTTCCACACAACAACGGCCATTTTTACTTGATGCAGTCATCCATTCCTAAATATTAGCATTCGTAAGCTCCTCTTAATAGTCTCCACAACCACATGTTCATCAATATTACTAGCACAACTGCCTAAGTGGCAGAATTGTTAAGTCTCGCGAATTGTTTTGCCATGCCTCTTGCAAACGCTACATAACGTACCTGGACATTGTGTCCTATCATATTGTGCGTGGCTCTAAATTTAATGGTGATATGAAATACGGCATTGATACTGTATGACAGTCTAATCATTAGTGAGAGCTAAACTCATTAAAAGCTCAAAATTGCATAAATGTGTTCTTTGATACAACTAAAAAAACAAAGCAAAACCGGTCTTTCTTTAATTATTGTTCCTGTGATATAAACCGTTTTCTTTGCTTTATATGTTGTCAATGTATATCTGAATCCTCGCTGTGAGTATAGACTTTTATCTTATTTCCTTCTATACTATTCCATTTCATTTGGTCTACAGTTTGATTAAGCAAACGATCAAATACACTTATTGACGCGAATAATATTCTCTCCGCAAAATATCTTCCATTTAATTAATTCCCTGATCCATCGTGAAAACAGAAAAACAAGTGAGAAGTTCATAACAGAAAGGAAATAGCAGATGAAATCATCCATCTTATTGGTACTTGCATTGAACTAATACCTTTGTCTGCCTGTTAGCTTTGATTTATCTCCATTTCTCCCAAATAAACAGGCTAAATATAAAGAAAAATTAAAATGACCGAAACACAAGTTACAGGAAGTACTGAAGCGATTAAACTTTCAAAAAAGTTGAAATTGCCACAACACTCTGGCAGAATGGACAAACCGTATCGAGATCGGAGATCGAAATCTTTTCACCCAATCAAAAAATCGACAACGGCAGGATTCGAACCTGCGCGCCCAAAGGGCACCGGCTTAGCAGGCCGGCGCGTTAACCACTCCGCCACGTTGTCATTTTCTGAAATCGGAATTTTGAAAAACTACATGATCAGCAAATTTATGAACATAATCATCGACAAGCTCAATATCCAGTAGTGGAAGTATTCATACTTCCAACATGCTTTCATGCTCGATTTCAGTTAATAACTATCAAAAAACACGGCCATAGTTAAATGGAGGTGATATCCTAGAAAACAATCTTCAGAATGGGTGAAGCTGTGCTTGTCCTCCGATGCAAAAGTCAGCTGTAGACAAACACGCGGAGTTCGCCTGCATCACTGCCTACATTGTATGCGGCTATAAACTTTAAGTAAGAAATGCTCATGTACGTATTGTTTTTCTTTAATATCAGGCTACTTTTGCGGGTGCCTAGGCCGTTAACACATCGTGTTGCCCATCATCTACATATTAGTACGATGGTTGGTATGCTCGTGTATCATACTTTCTTGCCCGTCAGCTTTTCTTGATGGGAACAAGTCAACACTAATTATCTCAATGGGGTTTTTTCTGCGTCTTTCTTTTTGAAGCAGTTATAATGTTCGGCCTCCATCTTCAACTAGAGCAATCATACTGCAGTATGCCAGATTTGAGTTTACAAAATTAAAGTAATCGCTCGTAAATCTAGTATGGTAAATGTTGTTGTGTACCAACTAAGGTTAACGGAACCTTGCTTCCAACCGCAAGCGTAAAGCGGTCGATAAGAACTATTCCCAGTAAGTGCACATCCGTTTTGCCCAATTTGTTACACCAATGTCATTTTCTAGGGGTGTATTTGTACCACAGTCTTTTCAGGTTCTCCATGCCCTTCTTCCCTAAAATGATTGCTATGACCGCACTGCCGTGATAGACGCTTGTTATTTCTCTAACCATCTGGCATCTTGCCACATGGCTCTCAAGAGTGGCTTTGGGACCTCACCATCACAACTCTGCTCCAAGTTCTTCGATCCAAGCGTCTTTTATTTGACATGATAGTCTTAAACATATTAAAAAAAACTAGCCTATACAAGCGAAATGACCAGCAATCACTGATCAGATCTCACTGCAAACTCTTTTCGCGTGATGACTAGTTGATCTTGTGGGGTCACCATTCTGTGTGAGTTATGCACCATATGTTTCTTCTAATTATGTCATATCTGTGTTTAACCAGGTGAATAATCGTATGACGTTGTGCTCGATGACCCCTTGCATAACATGCAGTCGATCAACGGTCCAGGGTATATGCTCTTTCTCACGGTGGGATCGTTTATTAGCGTTCTTGCTCTTAATAAACCAGTTGTTCAACGCCATCGTGCAAAAATACAATTTACACATACCCATCTAACGAGTCTAGAGTCCGTGTAGTTTCCATCAACTCAGTTAGGACCCTTTCAATCTGGCTACCGCAACCAACATGATCTGTGGGAATCCCCATACAAATTAAGGTATGTCAAAATTAAAAATATCTCAGAATATTTATATTGCCATAATGCACCTATCTTCGCAGCTGCACAAGAGCATCTTTAGATTTAGTATTGCTGCGCTGGTTTTGATACTCCTCTGCTATTGCTGGGACTGCTATGTCTGTCCACAAGGAGTTGGGAATTTCGATACATTGAATACCGGCCAAGCTTGAAAATGAAGTGGTATCAGAGCTATCAACGAGCGATGATATCTTGTTGAATATTCATTCCTAAGACCAAGTGCTCATAGTGTCATTACGCGAAGTATGCTGGAAAAGGATCATCAGAAAATACGTCGATGTCAACAAAGTGTTACGCTCATCACTGTTCAACAAATGACAGAAAAGGGAGTTGTTTGGCAAATCGAATGACATAGTCTTTAAATCTTTCTTTCTAGTCTATCAATGAAGAGCTTTTACAATGTATCATCACATATCCCTTGAGATACTGTAGCGACTTCCGTGATACCTTCCTTTTCAATACACTCAAGAACTATAGGTCCAACGAAAGCTCCAATTTTTTTTATGTATTTATTATTGTAAATTCAACAATCCGGTTATATCATTGACCATCCTTTTTATCACCCTTGTTATCTTTCTTTTCTGACATGTTGTTCAACGCGTCTTTGATTCGTGGATCGTTGGGGTCCACACCAGGGAGTGAGCTTAGAACTGATGACATGAAATCAGGGTTGGCCTCCTAGATAGACAGCGACAGAAGATGCGTCAGTTAAAGCGGATCTGGAGTGGTGGTAGTGCTAAGATTAAACGGAATACTGTACCTCTTGGCTACCGCCCATTGATAACTCGATTGCTCGACTGATTTGTTCTTCTTCAGTTAAGTCGCTCATATCGACATCTTCATTTTGAGCACCGCCCATGGACATGGCAAGCGCGGCTTGTAATTCAGCATCTTCAGTGTCGTCTCCCTCACCATGTGCGCCAGAATCGACTGCCATATCTGCTGCCTGACTTTTTGACGATGAACTTTCAGCAGCCGTTGCTTTGTTCTTTGCCGCTTCAGCTTCTTGGCGTGCCTTTTCTTCTTCCAACGAAATACGTAACGCCTGCGGATCAAAAAGACTATGAGTGGATGATGATCTCATAACATACATACAGGACAAAACCCAACGTACCAGTTCCAGTTCAGGATCCATTCCTCCATCCATACCAAACTCGTTATCACCACTGCCAGATGCAAAACCAGCAGGAACACCGTCCTCTCCTTCGGCGATTGGTGTGGACTTGAGCATTTCACTCAAAATATGTGGACCAGGTGGTATAGTGACGATGTGGCTATTGAAATTTGGTGAGGATTGTGGAAGCCGGCATTGCTAACTAGAAAATAATGATGTTACCTGTTGTCACCGCTGTTGACATTGTTAATGAATGCTTCCAGCTTGGCGGTGTTTTCGGATTCTTCACCAAAGTTGACAATATCGACGGCGATGTTATTCTTCTTCATCTTCTTTGCAAGTTTGATCAGTGCCTTCTCATCAGCCTGAACAGGGCTACCAACGAATGCGATGATTCTCTGTCGCTGATTTTTGTTTTGTCGGTGCTTTAGTGCCAGCTATGTTGAATAAGTTAGCATAGTGTTGCTGTTAAAACCCATCAATCAAGGAAGTATTCGCACCTGTGCAATCTGAACACCCGTCATAAAGTCGCCAGCACCAGCTATCTTTACAGAATGTAAAGCTGACAATATTTTACCCAGATCTGATGTAAGCGTTACTAGTACTTCCGGTCTGCAGACAGAGAGAAAAAAAAAGTACGATGGTCAACAGAAGCTTCAAGTATGGTGCAAATTCCAGGAAGACTCACGATTTCCCGGCTAGTGTCATGAGGCCGACTGTGTTTTCTGGATTCGATTGAGTCTTTATTCTGAACAACAGGTTGACTGCATCGTTCTGTGCTCCCATGCGAGTCGGCGTGTAGTCACCATTTCGCATCCACTCTGAATTGTCGAGTCTAAAGAGATAATTATGAGCCATGAAAGGGGTCCAAGGCGTTAGTTCGGTCCATTACTCATGTCTTCAATCGCTTGTCACTTACACTATCATAGACGCCTCCAAAACCATCTTTAACTATTGTGTTATAACGAAAAGGTAGCTTTTTGCAGGTCAGGGCTCACGCGTAGAAAAGCAGGCCAACCAGCTTACGCACCAGTGAACCTTACGTCACAGGAATTTTATGAACAAATTTCAACCAGCCTACTTTTTCAACGACCGGGCAGGCAGTTTTACGAAATTTTGTTTTTCGAACTTTATTGTCGCACGACATTCGACACACTATGGACAGTAAACCAGAGACGACTGCCATGGACAACACTAGCAATGATTCTGCCAATGACATAAAAGACATGAAAAAGTTTGAACGCTGGCGCAAGTCTCTTCAATACATTACTGGACTTGGCATGTCGGACGGCGAGAGAAAAGAATTTCGAAATCAAGTCGACATGGAGGCTTCCGGTTGGCAGTGCCAACAGTGCGAAAGCTGGAGAGATACTTTGATGAAAAATAGTAAGTGGATATCATCGGATTGTTCTAAATGATCTATTCGTCTTACCGTCTTCTTCCAAGGCCCGAATGTAAGGTTTATGCTCGACAACCTCAAGAAGGTCGGCTGTGCCATGACAAAAGAGGATTTCAAGTGTATGCCATGCGATGAAACAAGATCTGGAGGCTTCTCACCACAGGATGGAATTTTGCTTTGCCAGAATCGATTCTTTTCAAAGTCACATCAAGAAGATACCATGGTCCATGAGATGATTCACATGTACGATAACTGTCGCTTCAAGGTCGATTGGTCAAACTGCAAACACCATGCCTGCAGTGAAGTGCGCGCAGCCAGTCTTAGTGGCGATTGTAAATGGACTCGGGAAGTTCGAAGGGGATTTTACACATTTACCAAGCAACATCAAGCTTGTGTTAAACGACGGGCCATCTTGTCTGTTAAGCAGAACCCAGCATGCGCCGACGAAGGATGTGCCGAAAGAGCAGTTGCTAGTGTGTTCGAAAGCTGTTTTGCAGATACACGACCATATGACGAGATTTATTAAATAGAGCTTGGCGAGGCTTTCGTTTGCATATAGAAGAAAAAAGTGTGAATAATGGGGTATATTGTATATGGAACCTCTCTAGACACCTATTTGTTCCAGACATCCATTATTGCTATGTATAAAAATCCCAAAAAAAAAAAACAACCAAAAAACAATTGGCCTAAATATTACAAAACTCGTCTGAAGATATAAGAAGAAAAATATAGTAGAACCCTCAATTCAGACTTTCACGCCTGGCCCAGATCATGGTCAAATTCAAGAGGACCAGGACTGTCCATACGAGGTAACTCGAATTGACTCTGGGTTGGACTTGCTACATAGCCTTCGCCTGAAGTTCCATCGTCCTTGGCAGTCTGATCATGACCTGAGACGCCAGACTTGATAGATCTACGGCGGGACATGAATGAAGCAGCGTCATCAAAGTTGTAGACCGAGCCAGAATGGGATGGCAACTCAAGTGGAGAGTTTTGATTGGTGATTCTTCTAACGTGGAGTGCTGCAAGGCTCTTCTCCATATACGCCACGAAGGCTCTTCCTCGTTGTTTGTCGCCCATTCGGGTTTTCGGTAAGTTACCTTGAGAGACAATAACAATGGTGTCTATCAAGAACATGTGCTCCTGTAGCACAGCATTGACAATGGAAGGAACCACAGAGAGAGCAGCTTCAGCCGACTTGACAGCCACAATGGTAACAGTTTCATTAACGGATTGGAAGGTGATCGCCCCACCAGGAGGAATAGCAGGATGGCAACGCTCGATGGACGCCTCTACATCCTGAGGGAAGTACATTGCGCCGTTGACTTCAAAGGTTTCCTCAAGCTTTCCGAGCACAAACAAGCATTGTCCTTCTTCGACATTCGGGTTTAACGATCCTACCCGACGTTGGACAGGCCATAAGAAACCGAGATCCCCAGTACGCGCATAAGAGATACGTGGGTCACCTCCTTGAATCGAAGCACTGAACTTGCCTTCATGGGTCTTTTGATCCTCTTCGGTAAAGCCTTTGACAGTGGCAGTGGAAACAACCCAAATTTCACCAACCACGTTGGCAGGGCAGACGATTCGTGTCTCTGGGTTGACGATAGCGATCATGGTGGTACTGGGAACGATGCCAGAGTCGTGCAAAAGTATGCCAAGAGTCTCTTCTTCGGGCGGTAATACACGTACGATACCCCGACGAAGCGATACCAAATCAATCAATAGTGTTATAGGTTCCATGAGCATGTACGACCGGGTAGTAATCATCGGGTTCATGCTACTACTGTACACATTGTTGATGGTTTCCTTACTCAGTCGATTAGCATGGAAGTATTTGAGCATTTGATGATCTGTTGGGTACGAAAGTTTAGCTGTTTGTCAGGTGGAGGGATGGGTCAGTTCATGGCAAACTTACAGAAATGCGGTTTGGGTCTTCCTTCGGAAGAAATCATTAGGTTTTGGACATTTTGAAGTGTAAACTTTCTATGTTCGCCCGTGGTAATGTGGTTCATGGCATACTGAAGCAATGGATACGTTGTTACAGTATCTTTCACTAAACATTTCAAAGTGAGAATTTAGAAAAATGGAACAAACGGTAGGAGAATAGCACGTAGGAACAGCATACCTTTCAAACGTTGAAGCCATTCGAAGAACACAACGGACGATTGGAAATAGTCTGTAGAATTGAGCAGCAACGTAGGTGATCCTAAGAGAAAATATAATGGTGAGTACATATAGTCTACATGGAGCGCCCATGCAGGTTCATCCCGTGTACTTACCGACATACACGCCACAGAAAGCAGCCATCAAAAGCCCCAGTCCGCTATAACCGCACAAGGAGTTTGCAACTATACCACGCTGGGATCGCATCTGACAAGTGATCTTTTGCGTCTGACACTGAGCGATAATGACCTGATGGTTGAATCGAGCCGATTGTCGGACCATGTCTGGAGTATGGCTGACCGTGATCATGGCAACGTAGTCAGGAGATAGCCATTCCCGTTTGACGGTGTAGCCACTCTCCTTACCCAGGAGCTTTCCATACTTTGACATTTTTGAGATATTGACCAGCTCAGGCATTTTCGTTCCTCGGCCAGAAAACTGTCGCCAAAGCATAGAGACTTGCTTGTTCTTGAACAACTCATCCGTGACGGAGTTGACCAAGATATGACTTACACCATGGTCCATGGCAACGTTCAACAAAACCGAAGTATCCTGCTTGATGCGCTGCAGCTCCATGGGCTCTACAGGAATGGGCACAACACCAAGCACCAAACAGGCATAGATGGCTTGAATGAATTCAATCCCGAACGGAATCACAATAAGAGCCCGTGAAGGTGTGCGCAATCCTTTCTTGGTAAGGTAATAGGTAGTGGAAGCGATTTTGCCATTGATTTTTCGCCATGTATAAGCTTTCGTCTCTTTGGCCTTATTCTCCAAAGAAATATAGGCGGTTTCCTCTGGGTGGACAGCTGTTCTCCAGAGCAAAATGTCGACGATATTGGTAAATTTCGACAAATCGAATCCGGTTCGTTCATCAATGACTTCACGCACAGATTCCATTCCAGTATGTTGCGGCAAGCCACCTCCGTAAATCAAGCCTCTTCGTATAGCTTCGTCGTAAGCAACGACACTGCTCCGCCAGACACTAGCGCTAGCTACACTCTCTTCTCGCTTGGGAACGCTAAAGATAGTGCGATCAACATCAATCTTGACATAAACAGGGTTCAGACGTCCCATCTCATAAGCCTTCTTGCACTGCATGGTGTGAATGTGCTTGCGACCATGCTTGAAGTGTCGAGGGATAGAGTTGATAGGACACACTAGGATGGTGAAGATGCGCAACCCATGATCTTCCAGCAAGACATCCGAGACGCCATCGGCTAACCTAGCAAGGTCTTCTTTGGGGAAGTTGGATTCACAGACGACCACAGGTAAATGTTCTCCATTGACCATGACTTCAAAAATAGCACTATTGACAAAACATGACAAATGTTGTGTTACGTGGTGGGGCAGAATGGGGTGCGGTCAAACATTACAAAAAACTTACCAATTTTCGACAGCGACTCTCTTTAGCACCGTCTTGGTCAGATCCGTAGAAAAGTGAACCTCGTCAATACCGATATCCGCACCAAGTTTCTGCTGACGCACACGATCTTCGTACAATCCAAATACAACAATACGTCCACCAACTGTAGCGCCAAGAAGGCCCGTTCGTAAAAATTCTTGATCATAGGGTTCAGGGTACAATGTGTCAGGCGGAATGAGAAGTGGACGGGCGTGGAATATCGCCTCGGTATGTTTTGGCAAGGCCCAGAACCCTCCTGACAATGAAGGTGAGTCAACCCATATTTCTCCAATGGTTTCCGGTGCACAAAGTGCTGTGGTTTCTGGGTCGACAACAGCAACGGTTGCTAACAAGGATGAAAAAAAAAAAAAAAAAAAGGATTAGAAACTACATGTTCATAAAATAGGAGTTGATCCCATTGCTGTAAAACTTGTCAAGAAATTTACCTTCAGGCATGGCAAAACCAAATGCAGTCGCCAAGACAGCTTTAGTGGTAGGTAGCTGCTCTTGAACATCAGCTCCTGTTGCCAAGACAACGATGCGATTGTCCTTGAGCGCTTCACGATCCAATAAACACTCCCAATAATCCCTGGATGAACCTTCAGCTGTGATCCATCGGATAGACATACTCTGACCGTCTTTGTCTGGCTTGTCATTTGAAACGACTTCCTCTAATTTAGCAGGGCCAAGATAATCTCTTAGACTGAGAATCATTCCACCATGTTCTGGAAGTGACGACATGGCGCACACCACTTGAAGTGGATCAGCCACACCAAGAGGTAGAAGAAGATTTTCAGCAATATGAACATCGGTTTCCGAGTCGACAATCAACGTATCGATGAGTAGAAGTCGAAGAGAGGATAAATCTGCCGGTTGCTTCTTGTTGTAATTCATCACCTCTGCTCTATTGAAACTAAATTGTCGGGTCACACCTTGAAGAGCAGTATAATCGGCAGTAGCAATCGTTGCACGGTATCTGGATAAGATATTGATCCAGATAGCCGCCGAGTCCATGACAGTGGAGCTGACCAAAACAGTGGAGTTTCCAGAAAACACAGAGCAGAGAATTCCAATGATCAACCCGACCTGTTGACGAGGTTCAAGATAACTGACCACGGTGTCAGGACCAGTAAATGCTGGACGGCCATTGGCTTGTGGTTCGGAAGGTGATATGGCGGCCTTGTAAGCAATGCACTGTGCCATGATGGTACGATGTGAAATAGCAACGCCCTTCAGTTCGCCATTGGGAGCCTTACTATATTCAATGTAGGCAAGATCGGGTAGTGTGATCTCTGGATAGTCACTGCCGCCTTTACTCTTTGGGTACCATGAGCCAAATTCATTTGTTTTCCACCACTCAATGTTGGGAGGGAACTCCTGCTGGCGACTTTGCAGATCTTTAGTAAAGGCTCGCAAGTTATAGTCGGTGGTCAAAGCCAGGTAAACATTGGTGGAACTGAGGATGAATGAGAGTTCAGCCATTTCCTCAGCTGCATTAATCGGTACAGCGACAACACCGGCTAAAAAGCATCCCAACAAGGCTACAATGAAGTCTAAGATCTCTGATTTACGATAAATCAAAGCTGCGCGGTCACCATGGTTGAGACCTGATTTTTGGCGAATCACATGGGCCACCTTCTCTGCTCTAGCGTTCACTTTCTCCCAGGTCAACGACGCTACTTCCTTACCCTTGGGATCAAGGGTCGTGAATGCTACTGTCCGTCCAGTATTGAGAGCTCTATGTCGTAAAATTTCGGCAATACTGCTAAAGCAGCTCATCTCGGTGTGACCATTGACATCCAATATACCAGGAGGCACCTCTCGTGGTTCCAGCGGTAACATTTGGTGACCAGCAAGTTGCAACAGCACATGAGGAGATAAATGACCGAGATTGGTGAGAGGTTGGGGTGGAGGTTCCAAGGCTCGAAAGTTAGGAACCATGCCATTGCTAGAATACCGCCCACTGCTACCCGAGGTTGATCTTCTGTGGCTGAATCGATTGTCTGTGGGACGTGCTGTGGTAGGCGATGCGAATTGAGCAGCGGATATGGTGGACACCATGGAAGGACTACGGTTATGACCAACGCTTGTACGATTGACTGATCTTACAGATTGTGTATCTAGAAAAGTAGACAAAAATAACCATTTCATCAGTCAACATCTTTCAAATACCGTATAACTCCAGTTTGACATACTCACCCCAATCTCCACGCTGACTGTTAGGATCGACTGTGCGTATTGTAGATGACTTGGCTAACCCAGCACCTTCCATTCTCTCTTGTACCATATCTATACTTCGTCGTTTTCTTGGGCCATCGGATGGCGGCATCCAATTTCTTGGCCGCATACCAGGTGGCTGGGGACCAGGTTGGGCAAAATTGTTGTAGCCTGGACCCTGCGGAGGGGGCATAGGTCGATGGTTTATGCTACCCATTGGACGCAAAGGCATGGGCTGTCCAGGTAGGTTGGCATACATGCCAGGCGGACGAGCGACATAAGGCGGGTTGGGTTGACCGGGTCTATAATTAGGCGGTCTGACATTGGGAGGAAATGTAGAAAACTGATTGGAAGGCGGTGGTGGTCTGCCCATCATAGACGCGTTAGGTGGCGGTCGGCCAAATGTGGGTGCTCGTCCAGGAATATTTATGGATAGTTCTGGTGGCGGTCGTCCTCGGCCCACAGCGGCATTGCCGCTTCCTAGTGGTGGAACTGGCAGAGGACGACTGTGTATCTGTTGCGGATCGCCTGTCATGCCATCTGAGGATAAGCTTTTCTTTATGTCATTCACACTTGATGCTGTGGCCATATTATTCATAGATTGCGAAGGTCGTAAATCTCGGTCGATGGCAGGATTGGCTGGGCTATGCTCGGGCCTTGCTAGTTGGTTATGGTTTGCTTCCATAAAATCCATGGCCGGTGTATGAGTAGGTGAAGGCAAAAAGTCTAAAAAATCATCCACATCAGCAGCACTAGGTTCTGGACCAAGTTCTTGCTCGGCAAGTTGTCTTTCGCGTTCGATCTCATCTTGGTTTTGCTGATAAGACTCGGTCTCGTCATCGTTAGCGACGGATTGGCCATCTTCAGTCTGAGGAGGGCGATTCATGAGCTCTGCATAAGGAGACAGGATCTGTTGCCGTTTCTTGTCAAAGCCTTTTTGCGTGATATCACCGTCCTCGAGCTCCAACTGCAGGCTTTTGAGCTTTTCTAGAATATATTGCGGAAGCACGTCGAGATTCTCCTCCATAATGGCCGATGGATACCAAGTGTGGGCAGTACAACGGGTGGATTGAGATAGTAGCACGTTGTGGTGAAGAAAAAGTGTACAGAGTAATGCGTAGGGTTCAGAGGAATGGGGAGGTGTTAAGCATGTAAAATAGAAGATGAAATTTCAATATTAATGCAAAGAACACTTTAGCATTGGACAAATGTACAATGATTAAGACTTGCTGGACACCGAAATTGTTATCCTTTCAGGCAGCGTAATTTTTTTTTTATCCGGCCCTTGTTTCTGCCTCGAAGCCTTTTGGCGGGTTGGATTGGGAAACCCAAGACCAAAGCTTAGCTCAGCTGCACTGGACCTAGACGTCACAACAAGCATACGATTGAATTTAATCATATAAAAAAGCAAAAAGCTGAACGGGCCCATAAAAAAAAAAAACCTGTTCTCCTCGTTAACAAGTCCGTTGGGAACGGGCAACGTAACACCAGCTCTTTTGCGCCATATCGTCGCCATGTCGGACATGAAAAAGATGTTTTGCCATATTCAGTTTTGTTCGATGTCATAGTAGAACGGCGATGATGCTGGAAGACATACACAATCATTCAGAATCCCCAAATATGGACCCTATGATCCTTGGCAAATACCGCCTTTCCGAGGTTATTTGTGTGTTACAGCATGGATTTCCATTCTACGGCACCAAGAAAGAAGCATATCATTACCAAATTATGACACTCCTTAACGTGTAACGGGATTTGATTTCCAAAAAGTCCAGCAGTAAGCGAATATAAATACAAGGTCAACAAACCTGTAAAATGTTCTTCACGCTGGTTCTCTAACTAAACACTCTTCCATAACAAAACATGAAGTTCTCTCTTGCTGTTACTGCCTTTGTGGCCATCGCTTGCGCTCAGATCACATCTGCCTGCGAGGAGAAGAAGTGTGGTGAGAATGACAGTTCTTGCATTGACGCCTGCGTCAGTCATATCAACTCTTGTATCAGTGACTGTGGTGGTGGCCAGTCTTGCTATGACCAGTGTGTCACTGAATGGACTCCCACTATCACTGCCTCGGACGGTTCCACTGTGTCTACTACCGATGCTCTCGGAACAGCCACCGCCGACATCTCTGGCGCCTCTTCCTACGCTGCCGCCATGTCTACCGCCACTGATTCCATGGCTACTGACTCCATGGCCACCGCTTCTGTCCCCACTGGTTCCATGAATACTGCTATGGGTTCTTCTTCTGCTGTCCCTACCCCTACTGATTCCCTTCTCTCGGCTTCTGCTTCTTTGGCTACTGCTTTCTCTTCTGCTACCTCTGCTCTTAGCTCTCAATTCTCAGTCAGTCTTCAAAGCGCAGCTAGCAGTGTCGCTGCCGCAGCCTCCTCTGCCGCTTCATCTTCATCCTCTGCGTCATCCGATGCCGTGAACTCCGCTGTATTCTCCGCCAAGGTCATCTTCACTGTGTGTGCAGTGGCCGTCGCTGCAGTAGCTCTCTAGAGAACCCTGTTTAGCCCCATCATTTCATCAGCAAAATTTTTTTCTTCTCTTTGTTAATTATTTCCTACCTTCTAAGTATAAATTTTAAAGCGATGAAGAGCCATGATGCAAGCTAGTTCCCTGGGACATAAGTTTGCGTCGGTTTTGAACAATAATAAATGACTCGTTCAAAGCAAATATCATTGAAAACCCTAACCCTATACTCCTGTCACGCAATATGGTGTAAAAATTGTCGTGCGGAACTTCGTTATTCCGATCGCATTTGCCCGCCTATTCTTTTTAGCTCTCAAGCACTGCCACGGCATATTTCTATATTTCTCTTCTGCAAAGCCCTCCAAATCCTCCTCTATGTCCAAATTGACCGGATCTGAACTCATTGCTGCCACGCTCAAGCGACAGGGTGTCCATGTCATCTTTGGCATTGTCGGCATTCCTGTTATTGAAGTGGCCGAGGCTTGCATTCAAGCTGGAATTCGCTTTATTGGCTTTAGAAACGAGCAGTCCGCTGCCTATGCCGCTTCCGCTTATGGTTATCTTACAGGCAAGCCTGGCGTCTGTTTAACAGTGGGTGGTCCTGGTGTAATTCATGCACTGGCTGGTATTGTGAACTCACAAGTCAACTGCTGGCCCATGGTCCTGCTTGCTGGTTCTAGTGATACCGATCAAGTCGGTATGGGTGCTTTTCAAGAACTTGATCAAGTAGAGGCATGCAAGCCGTATACAAAGTATGCCACAAGACCCTCTAGTTTGGCAACTATACCATTTGCCATTGAGAAGGCGTTGCGTACTTCTGCATATGGGCGTCCTGGCGCTTGCTATGTTGATTTGCCTGCTGATTTCATACAAGCTCAAATTCAAGATCGCCAATACATTGAAAAGGTTCAGGTAGCTGCCACTGCTCCTGCTCCAAAGTATCTTGCAGACCCAGAAGCCATTAGGGCTGCTGCAGATGCTCTACGCTCAGCTAAGAGCCCACTCATCGTCATTGGCAAAGGGTAAACCATTTTAACAATCTATACAGTTATGGTCGTCTTTCTAAACATCAACTCTTTGAATCTAGAGCTGCTTATGCACGCGCCGAGTCAGAATTGAAAGCGCTTATTGAAAAGTCGAATATTCCATTCTTACCTACTCCAATGGCCAAGGGTCTACTTTCCGACACTCACCCCTTATGCACATCAGCTGCCCGTTCAACCGCCTTGAAGCAAGCTGATGTAGTGTTGCTTGTAGGTGCAAGATTGAATTGGATTCTTCACTTTGGTCACTCTCCTCGCTGGTCGAACACCGTAAAGTTCATTCAAATCGATATTGAGCCTGAGGAAATGAACAGCAATGGTGCTGTCACTATTCCTCTGGTGGGCCATATCCCGTCTGTACTCGATCAGTTGTCTCAGGCATCTCTTCCTCGTCTTCCTGACTCCAATACATTCCTGCAAAAAATCAAGTCGACCGTGCATGCTAACGTTCAAAAAGCTGCCGCCAAAGCAAAACAAGGAGATGACAATGCAGTCATGAATTATCACAGTGCTTTCGATGAAATTAAGCGACAGTTGCCTTCAAAAGATATCGTTTTTGTGAGCGAAGGTGCCAATACCATGGACATTGCTCGTTCTGTTTTCGATGTCCATGAACCTCGGTGCCGACTTGACGCTGCCACTTTTGCTACCATGGGTGTCGGTATGGGATTTGCCATCGCAGGTATGTAGGACTATCAATAACAGAATAGAGACACAGGGTCAGATGCTTAACTGAAACACCTTTCATTTAGCTCAAGTATACTACCCACATAAACGCATTGTGTCTATTGTTGGTGATTCCGCCTTTGGTTTCAGGTAAGAAAGTTTCCTTATTGAACGATGTGGAGGATGAAGCTGCACATACGTACCTGTTTATACATGTGATGGCTGCAGCGCATAGATTACCAACTATCAACCCCACCATGTCTCTTCTACCGAATTGAATCTGCGGTTGCTCATATTCCATTTTCATCTAGCGCTATGGAGTTAGAGACGGCAGCACGAGCCAAACTTCCATTGATTATCCTTGTTATCAACAACAATGGCATTTATCATGGATTAGATAACAATGATTACCAAGAATCAAGATCCAATAACTCCTTGCCCTCCACCGCCTTGTCACCGGATACACGCTATGACTTGATTGCCGAGGCATGCGGTGGTCGTGGGTGGTTGGCCAAGAACCGTAAAGAACTGCGCGTGGCCATGGCTGAGGCGCTGGCTACAAAAGATACAACCTGTCTCATCAACGTTGTAATTGCCCCTGGTGGCCGTACTAAGCTGGTAAGTGAGGGGTCAGTGACAGCGGATACATACACAATCAATCAATTAACGCTGAAACAAATTATGATAGGAATTCGGATGGATGACCAAGAAGGGCGAAGCCAAATTGTAGAAATAATATAAACGGTCCTGCACCATGACATCGCCGGGTAGGTAAACGTTTTAGATCTTAGGCATCCATCGAATTGTTTTTCTATATATCGAGGATACAAACAAACAATGTTTGCAATATGATTTGTATTGTGGGCTAAGTTGAATAACCATTTGTATAAACAGCAAAAAAAAAAAAATGAAATAAAAACCGAATGAAGTATACAAGGCAAATGTAAAATTCATGATATAATACAAAGACGAAGGATGGGGAATATCTAAATGGGTTTTTGTCCAGCAGCTCTATCGACATTCACTGCAACAGCCCAATTCTTTGGAGCAGATTAAGGCTCCACACATGCAAGTTTCAGTATGTTCATCACACATCTTGTTGTGGCAAGAGGCACATTCCCGTTCCAGTTCACAACGAGTACAAAACCCTTGGTGGAAAAACGGACATTCGTCATGGCAAACGACGCAGCTATCTGTCAAACGTCCATCACATTCGCCACAAAAGCGATCTCCACAACGTTCACAGGCAAAGCTGCAATATAAACAAGTGCTTTGCCCAATGATCGGTTCGTCGCAAGCTGCACATCTCGCAGATGGGTATTGTATGTCGGCCAAGTGTTCGTTACAACCCTCACAGACGTAAATATCATGTTGACCTTGAGACGTCAGGGCCCATAAATAGCTGCTAAGTTGTCTTGCCATGTGTTGCGTTCGATTTCCTTCACATGGCATCACCTTTGATTCACCCTTTTCCACCAACAAGAGTCGTTGAAACTTCTGATAGCGAGTTTGATGCATGTTGGTAGTCGCTAGTGGTGCCAGAGCTGACGCCAACGGCCCTAACAAGTCTAAGCAGTTCAGGGAACGGGCATCCAGGCTGACCAAATTAGGGAAAGCTTGAAGCAGTACAACAACGATTTCTGGGAGAGTGTTGACAAATAGACTTCCAACTTCGATGTCGGTAGTAGCCGCACGAGAATTGGCGGGCAAGGCAGATATGAATTGTAAGATCATATTAGCATTAACATCTCTTTCATGGCTATTATCGAATTTTATGGATTTCCAGTATTGTCTTCGTGAGAGAATCAGTTGGCGGAAATAACGGCAGGTGGCCGACAAGTGCAACAGGGAAGGTTGCGATAGTTGGCTAAGAATGGCGTCTCGTACTTCGACCGGGCAACAGAGAAATGCCGATGGAAGTAATGGAGTCAGCATTGAGGTGGTTAAAGGGTCTGCTATTATTGGTGATGGCGAAGGTAATGAGACCGATAACATGGTGTTGGTTGTTGGTTGGGGAAGAAAATATCGCAGACTTTTTTTTTATACCGTGAAAGAGCAGGCAGGTGACTCAGACAGTGGAAATTTTTTTGTTATGTGCACAGATCGACCGGCCTGAAGCTTTGCTATAATCATCAGTAGGCGGACGATCTAGAACCGCAATACAGAAGATTATTGGTTCTGTTATCATTGCTCCACACATATTTGTTCAATCCATATAAGTTTTAGTACGATTTCTAGAGGAGCTGTCCTTGAGAAAAGGCGTAACCCGCCAAGCAGAGCCAACACAAATGTAACATTTAAGCTATCAACCGTTTTGGGACATACAAGATTGCTTCTCACACAAGTGTTTTCGAAGCCGTGGCTCACAAATATAAAGATATAGAGTAGCTTCTCACTTCAACTTTTCGTAATGCAATTATGAAAAGTTTCTCATCTTTCCTGCTGCCCTACTAGCTAGTTTCTTACGTCAGATTTCTTCTCTGTTGACGCTATACGGTCATAATACTCGCAACTTAACCACTATCATGCCTGCAAAAATATTTTTGTAACGGCGCTGAATTATACTTTCAAGCTATTTGATCTTCCTCTGCACCAGCCATTTCTCCTTCCTACTTTGATTGCCAAACGAAAAATTTAGTCTCCAGCGCGGTTACTGAAAATAACTCGAGACTAATGGCGGCCCTGCTCAAGAAGCGACAGCCTAGTATGCCACGCTACATTCCGACTTACTACAGCTTATGTTCAATTAGCTCATCTCCTTCCACAACCGATATTGTTGGTGAATATAGTGCGTTGTTAGGACAAGGTTTGGAATTAAAGGTGGAAGGCAGATGGAGTACATATCGTACAAAGTCGCACTTGATCATACCTTCAATTCCGTAAAAACCGAAAAGGAACTCCACCGTGCGGCGGTATCATGCATCTCTGTAAAGCTAGCCTTCAGTTGATGCGATAGCTAAATTTTCGAATCTTATTGGCTCGTAGGATAAGGCTAACACGAATTTTACTATTAGAGATCCTGTCTATGAGATCGATTATCAGCTGTTGCGCAGAAGACAAAGTGAATGCTGGGACTTTCGAACAAACCAGGAAGCCGCGGTTTGAATACAGCCTTATTAGAGATGTGCTTTTGGTATCGTATTGAACACAGATTTGGCATGGATAGGCTTTAGCTGTGCCTTAGTATGATCATGGCCTATATCTAACTTAGCTAAGAAATTGTTGATGATTTCTGCCCGTAATCAACGTGCGCAGCTTCATCAACCCATTCATTGGGTTACCATTTAATTGGCTGCAAAAGTTTCTCGTTTCAGGGTCATATTGGTATCATTTAGCTTGGGAAATATCTCCAACTCTCTCAATCACGCACACAATTCACACACTTGTAAACCAAATATAGATGGGTGAATGCAAAATGAATTTAACTGAGCAAGTATGATGTAGAGTTGCCCCATGAAAAATAATTACATATATACAGGTTTGATCCGCGGAGTGACTGTAACCGCGCTGACAGGGATGATCACAAATGTGAGCTGAATAGACTGTTTTTGAATGTACACTAGTTATTCAACGTCCCATTTGTCTACTGTCAGATGACGCCAAACAGGCTATTTACTCGGCAGAAGCAGCAGCCTTCAAAGCTTGAAGGGCCTTGTAGTTGCGTTCCATAGCATCTTGCAAGAACTGGCCAGCGGTGATTGCTTCAGGATACTTGGATTTGCCTTGGATAATAGCAGACTTGTTGGCTTGATTGAAGTAAGCAAGCGAGTAGCGAGGTCCTTGATATTCTCCAACCTTGGGAGTGCGCACGCGGTGGAAGTTGCTCTTAAGACGATCGTCAGACCATCTCATGATCATATCACCAATGTTACATACAATTTCGCCTTCTCCAGGGTTGATAGGACTCCATGCATCACCCACTGCAAAGTCAGTAGAAGCTTCTCGGCCAGGGCATACCTCAAGACCATTTTCACCGGGCTTCTGGAAAAGGAGAGTCAAGGTGTCGAAGTCGGTGTGGGCTCCAGCGCGCCAGTACTCTGGTGGAAAAGTCTTTCCGGTGATATCGTGATAGTGAAGGCATCTCAGCGTTTGTTGGCAGTCAGGCTGGGTAACATCATGCTTAGAGAGGAAGAAGTCTTCTTCGAACCCAAGACCGATGGCAAGACAAGAGAGAATCTTCATGGAAACATCCTGACACTGCTCCATGAAATGCAGTGACTGAGTTTTGAAACCAGGTGCATCTTCCTGGGTAGGCCAGAGATCGTCCACATTTTGCCAGCCCAGCTGAACAGACTCCTTCAAATCGGCAACACCTGTAGAAGGTCTAATCTGAGCCAATTTCTCCCAACCAGCATTTCTGGTCTTGTCCATGGGGGTCTTGGCCTTGATCTCATCAGGCAAGGCAAAGAAGTCATGGCTGGTCTGGAACATGGTACGGATTTGTTGAACAGAAATACCATGGTTGACAACTATTTGCAGTTATGTTAGGAAAACTGAAATTAATTTTAAAGGGATGATGCAGGAAAGAACATATACCATAGAAGAAGCCTTGCTCGGTAGAGGCAGTCATCAAATCACGAGTGATCTCGTCTTTGCGATTGTCATAATCGGACAAATCGATCTTCATAAAAGTACGTTCTTGAGCCATTTGATCACTTATAAAATAGAAAAAGTGAGAATAAAAGCCATAGCCTGTTGATAGCTTGTCTATATATCTTTTTTTCCAATCTGTCATAAGATTGTACCTCCGGGGAACGTCTTATCTAGAGTTCCGCATAACTAAGTAACTCCGACTCCTTTATACCAATGCGTAGAGGTAGATATGTGGAGTACGGATTAAACCTTATCATCCCGGCATGTTATCTGCTATCTACACGATTAACCATTATCAACCACAAATTAATACCTCATAACTACTTTATTTACAGCGTGATTTTGTATGGAGTGGCTGCGAACCATATGTACATGTAGATGACAAGTGTGATACATAACAGAATTATTATATTACAACTCTTGTCGGTGACCAGCAAGCCCATGCTCCTCCAAATAATCCTCCTCTCCATGGGCATGCATGCTCTTAAGATAATCATCGTCACGGAACACGGAGAAGGCGTTGAAGAAAGCATCGTCACATTCCTTCTTCAACACCCCGCCGACAAGTTCAGGTACACGGTGATCGATTTGATAGCCACCAAGTCGGGCGGAGTCAACCACCTCTTGCCTACAGTGTGTGAACGGTTTTAGCATGTGATGAAGAGCATGGTAATAAGATGGAAAGAATTAAGGATGTTCTTACATTCTGATGATCAATTGCTGTCTACCGCTGCGGTTGATATCGGGAATAGAAGTTCCCCAGACCACGCGAGAAACACCGCGGTAAATGCTTTGAGAAGCGCACATCGGACACTAACATAGAACAGGTCAGCGTTTAGACACAAGGATCTGTTGGTTGGAATAAAAAAAAATAGACTAACGGGCTCTCCAGTAGTGTACAAAGTCTGTTTGGACCAATCAAGACCAGGATTGAACATATCATCGTTGGTTGGAGAGGGGTACATCTCGGTACAGCTATGCAATGGATCGATTGGTTAAAATAAAAAAGGGGCAGGTACATAAACATTGGAGTGAGCTGGTACATACTTCCAGAATGCAGCCGTTTCACCGTGAAGGAGCTTGTTCTTCTTATTGCTATTGGCACCGTAGCATGAGATCTCGTTTTGCTCATGGTCAACAATAAGGGCTCCGAAGGGGAATCGAGGATTGTGGATCTTGGCGAAATCCAACGCAATCTTCATGTAACACTCATCTCGGGTATGTTGGTCGCCACCACATTCTGTGGCCATTGCCGATAGAGGCAAGGCGGTAACAGCAACGAGGATGATAGAAGATAAGAACTTGAGAAGCATTTGAAAAGAAAAACTAGAGAAAGAGGATATACAAGCAAGAAAACTTCAGAAAATGGCTGGTATAATCAATGACTGTTAATAGGTAGCACCGCGGTTGATACCTCAATATTCCAAAAATTGAGTTCGTTATCAGTGACTTGGATTGATCGAGCCCGAACCAAAAATAATCCCATGTTAAGCTATCTTGTCCGTCCGACTCCGTTATCACACCCTCTTTGGCGGGAAAGCTACCTATCGACCTCAATTAGGCTGCTATCAATTACCATCCAATGATAGAGGATACACTGATCCACCTAATATAAAATGAGCTCTTTTCATGAACCATCTCTCACTTCATTCCATCGTCTTCCCTTCTCTCATTTTCTCCAAATAATTTTTGGCCTCCTTCAACATGAGCGCTACCGAAGAAAAAATGAACATGGACACTGTTGATAAAATCATTCGTGGTGAAGAAATTGAACAATCTTCATCTCAAGCATCATTTTATCCTCCCGCTGATCAACCACGTCTTACTTGGAAGGAAACTTTTACAACTAGGCGTGGTTGGTATGGTGAATATGATTATGCTGCTCTCTGCATGCCTCGTATCCCATTCATTGGAAGCAGCAAGTCCGTCTCATCTCCTTTCTTCGGTCCTAATGATGAAATTCCTATCATGGTGGCCCTTCTTATGGGAATTCAACGTAAGTTGATACTATAGTAACATAGTTGGATCATTCTTCATTCTTTGCTAACCAAATTTTGGCTCTAGATTTCTTGGCTGTTATCGGTGGCGTTATCACACCCACAGTCATCATCAGTGGTTCTGGTGCCGGTTACCTTAACCTTGATGAAAGTACTCGCCAATATCTCACTTCCGCCTCTCTTATCCTTTCTGGCATCATGAGCTTGATCCAGATTATACGTGTTCGTATTCCTAAGACTCGTTACTATATCGGCTCTGGACTTCTTCAGATCACTGGTGTTGCCTTTTCAAACATCCCAGCTGCATCCGCTATGATTACCACAATGTACGACAATGGTACCTGTCAAAAAGAATTGCAACCAGATGGCACCTACATCTATTCGCCTTGTCCTGATGCTTATGGTGCTGTCTTGGGAACTTCCATTGTCTGCGCTCTACTTTCCATCCTCATCAGTTTCTTGCCACCCAAGGTCATGAAGCGCATTTTCCCTAAATCTGTCACTGGTGTTGTTCTTACCGTCATTGGTGCCTCACTCATTGTTAGCGGTATGAAGAACTGGGCCGGTGGTAGCTCACCTTGTATTGATCGCCCTGACTCTGGTATCTTCGCTCTATGCCCAACCATCTATGCTCCTAATGCTCAGAAATGGGGTTCACCTGCCTACATTGGTCTCGGTGCCTCCGTCTTCATTACCATCATTATCGTCGAAATTGTTGGTTCTATCTTCTTGAAGAATACCAGTGTCGTTATTGGTCTCCTCGTCGGTTGTGCTATTGCTGGTGGAGTTGGCATGTTTGACGGAAGCGGTATTGCCGATGCTCCTGCTATTACCTTCCTTTGGGTCAAGACCTTCAAGCTATCTGTTTATGGACCTGGAATTATTCCTTTCTTGTTCGTCTACGTTGACTATATTGTTGAATGTCTTGGTGATCTTACAGCTGCCTGCGATGTTTCTAAGCTTCCAGTTGAAGGTGATGAATTCAATACTCGCTGTCAAGGTGGTCTATTGGCTGATGGTCTCTCCGGTATATTCTCTGGGCTCGGCACTTCCATGGGTGTGGTCACCTTTACTCAAAACAATGGTGTCATTGCCGTTACTCGCTGCGCCTCCCGCAAGGCTGGCGTCATTTGCGCTGTCCTCCTCATTCTCTGTGGTGTCTTTGGCAAGATTGCTGCCGCTTTCTTGGCTATTCCCTCCAGCGTCATGGGCGGTATGACTGTTTTCTTGTTCTCCTCAGTTGCTACCTCTGGCATTCGTATCCTTGGCTTACTCAGCTGGTCTCGCAGAGATCGTATCGTTGTCGCTGGTTCTTTGGCTTTGGCCCTTGGTGTAGCGCTTGTTCCCGATTTCTTCTCTTATCTCCTTCCCACCGTAGAAAACGTTGCTCTGCAAGGCTTTTACGATGCAATCTCCACCGTTCTTAGCACCGGTTATATCATGGCTGGTATTGGCTCCATTCTTCTTAACCTGGTTCTACCAGAAGATGCTGCCGATCCGGAAGATATTAAGTTGAAGGAGAAGACCCCCGCGTCTTCTATTCAACATGGTATGGTGGTCTAAATGCTCGTATCATCCTTGCGGTATATAATCTGATAGGTGATATACCAGACACATTTCAAAGTATAGTCAGTGTCGAATCACATCTGTCCGCGGTTCCAGCAACTCCGCGTTAAAAAACCTGTACATAGTATCTCTTTTAGCATTCTGTATATAAGTGCCTTCAATATCAGTAATTTCTGGTTTATTTAAACCATTATTTCCCTACGTGACAAGCTGTTTGTTCTCAATGTTGAAAATGCGAGCTGAGGTGAATGAGCCGACGTAATACTGGAGAATACTCTCTATTACTGTTGTATCTTTTCATATCTATTTCTGTCTATGACGATCTTTCAGCAGTCGTTCTAACAGTCAACCATGCCAGTACATCATGTTTTACGACACTATCAGAATCAGCCAGTATCTCTCAATCACATTAGTACAGGTATTGTTTCATTCCACGTAAATGTTCTCACAATAGAGCTTACCTATTGCCATTAAATTTATACATAGAAACGACAGAGTAACTGTCTAGGACGAAGGCAGCCGCATTCATGTTGGTTTCGTTACAATGATCAAACTTGAGAGATCGGACTTTAAACATAAGTTGATCTTTCTATGTGTTCCCGACGCCTTCAGGTCACTTACATTATGAACATTCCGCAGCATGTCGTCGTTATCGGAGCTGGAGCAGTAGGCGCTTCTGTAGCCTATTTTCTATCAAAGAAGAAACCCGATCTGAAAATCTCCGTTGTGGAAAAAACCGGAATTGCGCAAGCAGCTTCAGGAAAGAGTGGAGGCTTCCTGGCTTTAGACTGGTAAGTACACGACACACAGCTAGTGGTCATGGACTTCTTTCTTTGCTCATATTAGGATCTCTTAATAAAGGTGTGACTCGTCAGATCTAGGTCCAATAGCAAGGAAATCTTTTCAGCTTCACGAACAGCTTGCTAAGGAGCTGGATGGTGCATCCTATGGCTACCGGAGAGTAGACGCCTTTGATGTGACATTTGCAACACCAGAAACAGGAAAAGGTTTACCGAACGTTGCATGGATCAATGACAAGAGCGTATCATACTTTGATGTTATTGGAACTACAAATACATGTGCTCAGGTACACCCATTCAAGTTTACCAACGCCATGATCGACGATGCTAAGAAGCGAGGTGTTAAAGTCTTATGTGGCCAAGGTGTAAAAGAATTGATATTGGACGACACTAGTGGACAGTCAAAGGGAGTAGTGCTGGAAGACGATAGCATCATCGAAGCTGATGTGGTGGTTGTGTGTATGGGACCGTGGAGTGGCCAGTTACCTATTCAAACTACTGGAACGCACATTGCACGCCTTCCAATCTCAGGAGCACGCGCACATAGCATTGTGATGAAACCTCGTTTTGAGATACCCCCACAAGCTATTTTCACTCATACTTTACTAGGTGGAAAGCACTATCATCCAGAGGTAAACGGAAACAAAAATGACGAGATGGCGAAGGCCATAACTAACGTACTTGGCATGTTACAGATATATCCACGACCAGATTCAACTGTCTATGTGTGTGGCGGTCCTGACGATGAACCGCTTCCACCATCTGCTGCAGAAGTGAAGGTCAACGTAACTTCCATTGATACCATTCTACAACTTTCTTCTATGGCTTCGCCGTCACTATTAGATGGAGCTGAGATCCTTACCAGGCAAGCATGCTACCTTCCTAACTCCAGCGATGGTCTTCCCTTGATCGGCGAATATCCCGGCATTCCAGGCCTCTATGTGGGCACAGGACACTCATGCTGGGGTATACTCAATTCACCAGCAACCGGTCTAATGCTATCAGAGCTTATATTGGATAAGCAAATAAAGTGCGTTCCTGAAGCAGCGGTGGAAGTGGTCAGCCTCAAGTACAGATGTTGTTGACTGGCTATAATGTATCTGGAAATGATCATAATATACATGCCCCTTGTAATACTACTGCCTTTCAGATTTCCTAGAATCAAATGTGCCCCTTTATTGTTAAACATACGCATTATCAGTGTGCTAATGATTTTCATTTCAGCTATCAGCCACATGCATCATTATCTTTTTTGAAATGAATATTAAGCAATTGATACGACTATTATGATCCCGTAATTGCTGATATCGATGACAAAATTTAGTGCCGTAGAGCTTGTTGATGCTATACATCTGTTTTACTTCACCCTGTCAGAATTCTACATTTTGATACGAAGCCTAACCTTGTACAATATAAGGGTAAATTATTTCTCAAAGGACTGTATATTGCGTGTCAAAATTTGAGTGTAGAAATTTACCTTTCGTGTCTTCGCTAAATAAAGGCTCCTTGTCATTATCAAGGTGCCGACGTACTAGAGATTTGCCATTGATTTCCAGAAAGGTACGTGCCCCGCGTCCCGAGGCGACAACGAAGGCATCTACTTGAGAGGTGACTGGTGTATAACAACTAGACTGCTCAGTCAGCGTTGAAGATAACACCATATCCCAAATACTGTTTGATGCAAATGCCATCACAGTATAAGGTCGCATCAGGTTGATCAATAATTTGAAAATAATGCACGCTGCTGGGAACAGCAAGAGGATGAGAACCATAATGAGATTCATGTCTGCGGCTTCAAAGACTGGAGCATTTTGCACACCACTCATCCCATTAAATCCAGCTTGTAGTACCAAGTATAGTTTGATGTAGGCAAGTTGTCGCGGATCCAAATCGGTAGCAGCTCGTCGAACCAAGGATCTCTTTGAAGATCCACTACCCTTTATTTTCATATCTTCTTGGTTTTGGATGGATATATCTACATTTGTCGAATGTATTTGCCCCGTAAAAGATGTTGTGTTTGTAACCTTTGGACCCATTAAATTGGGGTCTGCCAAGGATATTCTTTTCTTTAAAGCTAGAAATCTAACTTTCCTTTGGCCATAGAAGATGCTGGAAACAGCCGCTGTTATTACAACCCAGCCATCCTGTTCTTCTAAGATGATAGCTTTTATGGATGCTCCGGAAGTCTGGTTAACTTGGCTTGCGTAGGTGCAAACGGCAGTGATATTGGCGGGATACTCCTCTGCATTGAGTATTTCATGTGAACAGTCGACAGGATATGGAGTATCCCAATATATGCTAGTGACCTCTTGCCACATCTTTATGTTGTCATCAGCATAGAACCCGGCATAAGCATACCGACTGAAAGTATCATGTCCAATGGTAGGTGAAGGAACAACAGGGCTTTTCAGACTTTCAATGAAAGGCGCGGTATCATTCAAGTAAGTGTCGGCTGCAAGTCGTAGTAGGTATTGATCAGCTAAATTGGTTAGCTCTGCTACCCCGACGCCGGCCGATGCTTCGATAGTGATGTAGTTATCTTCCTGCAACAATGTATAATTCCCCACTATTGTCGAATTATAATTGCCAATGAAACCAGATTTACGGACCTGAGTGCTTGCCACGTTATTATCTGGATAGGACCACTTCTCTGCTACGGACATATCGATTATAGGCAAAGAGTCGGAATGGACAGTGTCTAAGTATGAGTATAAATCTTTGTTGGAAGTAAAGGAAAGAACATCCCGCTCTCCAACATTCAGCGTCACTCCAGTCAATGTCCGGGCTGCCACATAATAGTCTAAAGGGACAGCATATTCCACAGCAAGCTTGGTTCCTACAGGAAATAGTCAAGTCATGAGAGTTGGATAAGCATTTAGACCGGTCGTAACCACAGCAGCTATGAAAACAGCTACTGCCATTGATTTTGACCGTTTGGAAATTCTGATTATCCCATGCCGTTTGGTAAGCAACCCTGTGCGCACAGTATTGAGGACTTCCAGATCACGGTAGCCGCTCAGTATTGATTCTATTACCCAGCTTACTAAAGCTGTAATCAACATACGCTGTATAGTAAGTATGGCCGTCTGTTGCTGTTGATTAAATAGCATTTTGAACTCGATTTCTAAAAAGTGTCATGACTATTTCTTCTCTCCTACGCTATAAATAATGAATTATGGTGGCGGCCTAGAACATTTGATGATCGTTAAACTTTAAATAATAAACATTTTCTGCGTCGTGCCAATATTACTGAGTGATAGCATACTTTTCCATAAACAACCAGCATCATCAATACTGAAAAAGTGTAAGTCTGTGTGCTCTATGCTAGTTAGTAACTTGCAAGGTCATATTCCCTTCATACGCAGATACCTTGTATGAATGCTTCTGATACGTATAATCTCTTCTGTATCTTATTGTTTGGATGGCTCTTGTTGTACCGGATATGGACATAACAGCCACAGTTGTTTGTGTGGAGTTGACGCACCTGGCTTTCGCGACATGCACAACAGCTCCCCACTTGCCAGGTAAAGTCACTTGCTGGGAGGCCACAATTCATGAAAAAATCTTACTGGGAGGTTTCGCCCAACACTGTTGTCGAATGCTTTTCGTCTATAACGGTATGTATCAAAATGATCTAAGTTGGTTTGGGTATTGGATGCGATGTGTTGAATTATAAGTGGGCGGTCTGTCGGGAATACGGATATCGAAGCGATGCAGCCGAATATCCTTATTGGCTTTACAGCCACTGGCTTCATTGAGGAACCAAGGAAGAGTATATGGTTTCAACCTTGTCGTGAGATCAATTTACAACCTATATTTTCTTTGCGGTAAGTAAGTCTTTTCTTTCTTACTATCTTTCAGAGACTGAAATGGTCTGTATTATCATACAGCCATTTCGACAGATTTGAACTGTGTTATCATAGGTCATACGTATCCTGATCTAATCAAAAGCCGATATATCGGCTCAGGAAACGCTAGAGATTTCTTCTCGTGATGTATGTACTGCGCAGAAATTTTCGACTCTCTATCACGCAAACTGATGCCACAGCCTAAGACCTTAATTGCACCTGGCTGAGCATGGCTGATGCAAAATGCTCTGGGTATCAGCACCTTTGTATAGGAAATTGAGAATTTGGTAATAGTCGGATGCAGGATCTTCAATGCCTAATTCAAACCTTGAAGCACTCTTGAATGCTGGATAGTCACTATACGTGATCCGGCACATTTTATGTTTCACAAAGGTCATGCAACAATGTAACTGTGGCCAGAAGAACGTCGCAAAGCTGAAGGATCTTGATAAACATCATAAGTAACGATTGCAGAGTTGGATTCTTCACATAGATGGCCAAAAAAAAATAAACAGTTCTATTCATGGATGGTCACCTTAAATTTTCGACATTGGATGCCCCTTCATCTCCCCGGTAACAAATCCTAGAATATAACTTTATGGAGGAGCCAAAGCGGGGGGGGAGGACGTTTCCTTTTTAGGACTTACGGGCAAAGCGGATGAAACGTCGTCTTTCTTTGCTAGGAGCTGCAAGTTCACCCACACTTATATTTTGCCGCTTTATACACTCGTAAATAGTTTTACCGTGGTAGGGTAGGAAGCAATATGCTACATAATTTCATCAAAGTACCAACGTTCGCGGAGCTACGGAGCCAGGAGTTCAGGCTGTTTTGCACCTTGTTCTCTCCTGACGGCAATTTAGTACGAGAGGTCATGAACAATATTTAACAACGTCTTCATACATAACTTAAATTTTGCATTACAAGAATGGTAGTCTTCAATGGCCTAGTAAACGACCTGTGGAAAAGCTACTTACTGGAAGATACTCTAAAGACTACCTCAAACTTTATCAGATGATATAATAAAAATACTCTAGAAGTTATGAATGAATTTGTAAAGTACACTGGTATTAATGATTCGGACGACGAGTCAAGTGTTAATACAAGGTCGTACTCAAAGCTTTGCAGAACTGTCATCAGGAATGATCACGTATTATAAGAGGAGGAAGGCAGTGCTTACAGCTATACTGGCACAAGCGATGATGAGCTTAAAGGTACCGATAGGCAGTTGAAACGTTGCTGATGCTAGAGAATTGGCTACAGATGCCCCATATGAAGTGTTCAAAAACGTCGATCTATCGCTGATACTTTTTATGATAAAATAGCCTGTGTAAGTAACATTAGGAGCAGTACCAAGTTCAAAGGCGTAATTGTCTCCTGTTGGGAAGTCAGCAGGAATACGCCATGTAAACTTTTCGTCTTCTGAATTAATATCGGTAGCGACGAGAAGGATTGGCTGAGCTTTATCTATGGGACCTTTTGTGAGGGTTATTTGGGAAATTGTTGGAGATCTTGGCTCGGTCCAGGTCACTATCGTCAAACCACCAGCTGTAAAGACGGTGTCATATAACGGAGCTGTGATCGAAACTGGAAAGCTTTGTGCGCTTGAGCTAGATAGCATTGGCACAGAAAGATACAGATCCATGGTATAATATTATGTTGAGAAAACAAATAAAGAAAACAAAGATGAGAAAAGAGCAGGAGAACCGACCCGTCTTTATATTTTTAGCTTGACACTTGCCTTCTGTCAAATTTGACTTGAATCAAGGGGACATTATCTGCGTATTCGAATAGTAACGTGTGACGGTTAAATACCTGTGGTAAACCGAAACCGAATATGTGTTTTTGAGTTTAATAATGACTGTACATAAGTGTACTTTGTTGTTGTATTCGAGCTTCATTCCATACTTCCGGAGTAACCATAATGGTTAGACACTGTTCGCCATTAACCGATAAGAATGAAAATAGAAAACACGACAAACACGCTGCTTTTTTCGGTAGTCAAGGAGTTTATTAATTGGTATACTTATGTCATTGACCCAAGCACTACTAAATTAAAGGAAAGTCCAATTTGCTTCCGCGCTAGTTCTTCTATCTGGTTTATATCTTGCAATGAGAGGATGCGCCATAGAGATTTCGGAGATCTAAGCTCGTGTCTGATTTAAACGTTGTACAATACTTTCCCATTTTCTTGAGCACTGCACAGCGAAGTATTCAATGTTGTATTAACAAAAATTGCGTATGTTAAAATTTACGTGGTCACTTTGCCACTTCAACAGTTTGGTCCTTGTTCCATCTTCGATGTCTTTCTTTTTTTTTTTTTCTCAATAGCGTGACTGTTTATTACAATGCGAAGTGGAGAGTCTCAAAAGTTTGTGAGATAGGCATGCTAACTTATAGGGATATGAAGATGCGAGGGCAATTGATATAGACAGTGTCATTAGACCATTCTACTACTCCTTTCCTTAACCATTTGCTTTTTTCTTTTTGCGTCCTCTTGTATTCTTGTTGACAAGGTGTGCCACAATGATTCCATTTTTTTTTTTTTTTTAAATGATCAAAATTGACTTTATTTATGACATTGGTAAATTTTTCACTGAAATGTAAGGAGCAGATGCTAATGAGATGTATTATTCAGCAATATGTATACTTGGGTAGGTGATATGGACGTTCTGAGACGTCCAGTCCACTATCCCTTTGTGTATCCATATGCTGTTTTTTTTGTGTTTTTTGCTGTCATCTATTATGCGTTCAGATAAAGTTTTCCACATGGCATTCTTGAGGTGGTTGTATGTGAGACTTTGTGATCTGTCTTCTCGGAAAATGAATGACCAGTGTTGTTTCCAGACTGTCGAAATTGCCATACTTAAGATTATCATGG